GAATACGGAGAAATGGATTAATAATAATAATAATAGTAAAAAATCCAGCAACGGAAACGGGAGATATCGAGATGATCAAATGAATAAAGGGGTGATAATAAGATGAGAGTGAGATGAGGAGATGGAAGGGGGGGAGGTTAATTAAAAGCAAGAAATTATAACGTAAGTCAAGGCAAGGCTTAAAATGTAAACCAATAAGTTGCTTTCCGTAAAAGTTAAATCCGATACCGGAAGTTTATTACTTCTGCGATGAGTGATGGTGGGGTTAAAATTAATAGAATAATGTGGAGATCATCGTCTTTATTTTGTCATTAAAAATTAGATATATAACACTTCAATGAACAATACCATTAAATTTGAAGAATGAAGAATGAAAAATTTCATATGATCACGATGAAAATTGTATAACAATCAACAATATCCACTTTTGATCATTTCTTTTTTTTGTCATACCATAGTCCATTTGGAAATTACCTTACGTATATGTAAAGCCAATTAAAATACCCATGAGCTCAATGATAACAATATCTCTGTGTTTCTCTCTCTCTGCCTCTTTCTATTCAACACGGATAAACTACTACTGTTAGTACTTGATTAAACTTTCTTTACAACATCCCCCTTTTTTAGTTCTATTCTTAATGCTAATGTTAATGTTAATTAATAAGCTTAATAATGAAGTCATCAAGGGGGGAGAGGCAGTGGTTATATAAAACTTTATTTAATTTGCGGATATGTATCACGTGACATACCCCGGATTAGAGCACAATGAGCACCAAGAAATAACGTGACTTTGTTTATTATCATTGCTCGGAAATTGTGGATGTGTGAATGTACAAAAAAAATAAGAAAGAGGCTAGAATTGTTTATTGTTGATAAAGTAGTCATCTTAGTCTAATTGTAGTTAGCGTATATGATTTTCGTATGTCTTGTTGTTAGTGATTTCTGTTTAATGTAAACTAATTCTTAGTGTATTATAGTCGGATGTTCAACGTGTGGGTCGATCCGCCCTGCCAGCCTGGCCTGTTTGTCGACCCACCTGTCCGCCCGCAATAATCAGTATATATATTTTTTTTTAGTTCAAGGAAAATTGGTTGTCTCCTTTTGGTTGTCTGTAAATTTGTAATAGAAATTTTTCTTGTACCCTTTTTCTCAAATTTTGGTTCTATTTTTTTACATATTTAAATTAATTTCACTTCACTTCAACAACTGTTATCCTTTTTTTGATTTGATTTGTTGGTGTTCTTCTTCTTGTTGATATCATTATCTAATAGAGACATATCTTGTTGGTTGAAAGTGTTTCCTTATTTCATTTCTTTTATTCCGGACACCATCATTATTCCATTACTTATCTATCTATTCCCAGCCTTTCCCTTGAATTTCACTTTTTGTGTGTGTAGAGAGAACTGAAGCAATCAAGGCTGTTGATATGTCATTACCAACAGAAACAGCATCGTCGTTGTTGTTACAAGCAACAAACAGTCATTATTACTATCATACTCCAAGTTCTACCCCCACTTCAAACTCAAATTCAAATGATTATAATAATAATCAAGCGATTGGAGCCACTCCTTCCGCAGTATTATTTTTTTTAGCATTGGGTGTTGGAGTTATAATTGCATTTTTATTTATTTTCTTCACCATACGATATTTTATAAGAGTTAAATATGGTGTGAATTTGTCTGGTTTATCGAGACGAAACTTCTATAATTATCAAGGTCGTTCCTATAGCAATAATAGCAGTGACAACAACAACAATAATGATAGTGACAATGGTAATGGAACAAATAATTCAGTTGTTAATGAACATACATTTGCTCATATTTTCACCACTACTGAAGTTCAAGACCAATTACAATACATTCGAGAACATCATTATTTACGAGGTGAAATAATTGATAGAAGATTAAATTATGGATCGGATTCATTATCTGCCAGAAGGAGGAGAAGAAGACGCCAAAGACGAAGAAGGAGAAGAAGAAGAGGTGGCAGATTTGCTAAAATGAAGAAATTAACTATTGAAGAAGTTGAATTATTATTTCCACAGAAGACTTATAGCTCTTGGTTAAATGGTGGTAAACAACAAGATATTGAAAAACGTGGTGGTATGTTGTATGAAGAAGAGGAAGAAGGGTCAACTCTTGGGCAGCAAAATGATATTAATGGTAATATTCAAGTTAGTGATGAAAGAGTTAATACAAATGAATGTGGTAATGATGACGATGATGATAACTCTTCACTACCCACTTTATTGACTGCTGGTGATAACAATAACAATCATGTTACTATTGGAACATCTTCCAGTAATAATGATATTGAATTAAAAGAGTTGACTACTGTTAGTCATGTTGACCATGATGATGAAACTGATTTAGGTGATGGAATATCTAATTCGCCAACTAATACCACTACTACCAATGAAAAGGATCATATTATAGAAAGCCATACTGATTCAAAAGACAATGAAGAAGAAGGAGAGGCTGACATTATCGATCAACGTAGTTTACATTTTGATTCAGGTTCATGTGCAATTTGTTTGGAATTAATTGAAGATGATGATATTGTACGTGGTTTAATTTGTGGACACGTTTTCCATGCAGAATGTTTGGATCCTTGGTTAACCAAACGAAGAGCTTGTTGTCCAATGTGTAAACGAGATTATTTATTTAAAAGAGATTATCATGATCCAAATAGCCCTACCACAGAAGAGAATTCTGGTAATTCAAACAATACAGATGGTGCTACCAACACTAATACTAATAATAATAATGAAAATTCCGATAATGATAATGATAATGAAGATGATGATGACGATGATGATTCATTGAGTCTAGATTTAGAAGAATTACGAAATGATCCAGCATTACAAATGATGTTACAAGAATTGATTCCACCAAGTGAAAGAGTAAGAATATTGTTGAATGATTCGAGATATAGTGAATTAAATTTAGAAGAAAGAGGACATGAAATTTCTAATAAAAAATACGGTAGATTTTTCAAGATTTTCTTTTGGAAATTAATGGGAATTTCAAAATCTGATTTATTTAATTGGGCAGTTTTAAGATTAGTTCATGAATATAGAAGAGATAACCCTGAATTATTTCAAGAAAATACCCCAGATACCAACGAGGGAAACAACAACAATAATGATAATCAAACTGGAAATGGAGAACAAGAAGAAACCAATGGTGAATCTAATACTGGTCAAGAATCATCAACAACTCCTACTACTGCCGCGGAACAAGAAGAAACTAATACAAGAGAAGTTGATATAAGGGAATCAACAACAAGAAGACAAATAATTGAAAACAGAGTTTAAGAAAGTTCATTGTATAACTTAAGATAATTTTTTTTTTTTGCAGTTAATTTTGATTTATGTTTGTGGTTTTTATTATTAATGCTTTTGTGTATAATTATCAAGTATCGTTTATTTAATTTAATATATTCATTTTTTTGATTGACTTCCAAATAGAAGTTGAATATTGATAATTCAGGGATTGGGTTAAATAACCAAGGCTAGTGTATTGTTGATGAATCACGTGGAGTTTTTGAAATTGAACAAACAATCGAAACAAACGTCTAATCTTCCTCCCCCCCTAAAAAAAATTCTCAATTTTACTTACTACTTTCTTTCTTTCTTTCTTTCTCCAAATGATTGATTGTCTGGGTTGTGCTTTTTAAATGTTGGCGACTTAATTTAAGATGTTGGATGAATAATAGTTTTCTAATATTTTAATTATTTCAGCATGGTGTATTTTTCAAGTCCTTTCTCTAACTAACTAATACCCAATATCCAAATATTTGGATAAATTTAATTCTAGCAAACATTTTCAAATTTTTATAAATCTTTTTAAAAAATATATACCTGTATATAAATTCATATTTATATTTATTCTTACCATCTTTTTAGATGATTATTTAAAACTTGTAGATTTGTTTGAATAAATAACTTTATATCTTGTACTAAATGATATATTATTGTGTAATTAATAATCATTATCACGTGAATATGGTGAAACACACGACCATAATCATCATGAATCTTTTGTTCATCAGTTTCTAATGAGAATCAAACAAAATAAAAATTTCCCATCACTTTTTCTTTTTCTCTTTAGATATCTTCTTAATTGTGTTGAGGTTTCGTAGTAAATTCCAGTTTTTTTAAGATGTTGTCATTTATGAGCGTTATTTGTATTTCTTCCTGTTTTTTTGGGAGTCACTAAATTTTCTATTAACGTTGAATAATTCATAATTCTAGCATTTTCAATTATTATAGTTAAATATATATATATATACAAATATATCATTTTATTATCATTATTAAATATTGTATTAATAATAACACTCTTGTATGTGATTTGTTTTTATTGTTAGAATTTGTTGGGATCATACGAATCATTAAATAATTGAATTACTTTAATGAAAACTGAATAATAATCATACCTACTCAAGTCACGTGATGGAGTAAATTTTTTCATTTAAAAGGAGAAGAAAGAAAATTTTCACCGGATAAAAAAATAATTGAACGAACTCCTTTATACGCTATTTGGGAAGACTTTTCTGATTGCATTTCACTCTGCATTATAACAGTCAACTATAATTTGCATAGGGTTTATGCCTCCCTTTCTTTAGAGAGAATATTACTAACTAATACCCTTACCGTTTTTTTAATCGGTTTTTTTTTTGAATTATTCTAGCATTTGTATATTTATGAGTTATTAATGTATACTTTTCTTCTGTTTTGTTTGTTTATAATGAGAATATGATTACCTTTTGTAGAGTTCAAGGTTTGTTAGTATTGTTTAATGATTTCATGAAGATGTTTTAATTTGTTAATGGAATAGAACTGACCAGTGTTGAACTAAGACAGACTAATTGACGCGTCATAAATAGTTTCACTTCCAAAAAAGTTAGTAATTATCGAATACTGTATTCTTGACATTAAATCACTTGAACGATTACCAAATGAAATTTATAAATTGAATTCAGGAATTACATATGTTGCTGATCCTAAAGATGAAAAATCATCAATTATTAAATCATTTAAGAATTTTCTGAACAAAATACATTCAACTTGGGAAGATTCCTATTATTTTAATCTGAATCCAGATTCCTTTTCTTTCGATAGTGATAGAAGTATTATTAATGAATTTGTGCAAGCAGATTTTATCTTTGATTGCTCAGGTTTGAAATGTAAACTTGACAGGGATACTTGGCTGATCTATTGTACATCAAATTCTAAAGTATTCTTTATGGAACTATCGTCATTACTTTCAATAAAAAAAGAACACTGCAGATGATTTAGAACGCAACCTTAGTTTCAAAGAAGCATTAGCAACTATAATTGGATCACTGGATGAGAGATACTATGTCTGTGTCATTGTCTATCCAATCGTTCAATATTTGCCTCGGACAAATATAGGAATGGTCCAATTATTAAGTCAGAATTACTTTTTGCGATTAATTCTTATTATAGTAGTTGCTTTATTTATTCTAATTAGAATGTTAAAATCCAGAACCAGAAACAACTTGCTGCCAACATTTAAAGATCATAAAGTGGGTTCTAAAAAATGTTTAATTTTTCAGAAGAACTAAGACCTCAAAGCAATTCCATATTAGAATAATTAATTGAAAGTAGGAATTGGAAAGTTATTTATCATTATGAATAATATCAAGAATTAAATAAGGCTAGACAATGAAGATAAGTTAATAATCTACAGATACTACCAATATAAAGAATATCACAACAATATCTTCTCTCATCTTACTACTAGTGGCGATACTCAACTTGGTATGAATTTAGTTCAGGATTTATAATTGCAATTATTACTTCAACAGGAAACATTACAGTATCCATTTAGGTAAAAAAGAAAACAAGCAATAAGCTCACAATTGCCACCAAATAAAACAACTCTACCAGTTCTGTAATACGCTTGATAGCATCCACAGATATTGTCTTTATATTTATTAGCTTTCTCTAATTAGGATATGATTTTTGCAATTTCCTTGAGAATTTATGTTCCAAAATTAGTTCACACACTATAAAGAATAAACGAAACGGGTGGAGAAATTCCTATATTTGTGATCTTTTACAATAATTAAGTGAATCAGTCAAAACTGATAGTATCACGAAACTTTATTTTTAATTTTATTTGCATGGTGATATTTGACTCGATTGTGATAGATTTAGGGTGACGAATTAAAGTGGTTATGATATATCCCACGTGACTTATTCTAAAATGTTTAGTATTGTACACGACCGGATTAACTCAGGCGAAAAAAAAAAAGTTATCAACAATATTTAAACCAGCAAATAAGTAGAAAAAAGAACATTTAACCTCCTATTTGTTTATACCATGGAACATGATTTGAAGTAATGTTTGTTTGATCCACACATATTGCAAAAGATGTTTTTACGAATTTCTCTTTTGTTTCACGTATGACCTAACTACTAACGATGTAATTAATATCATCTAGCAACTAAATTTTTAATGCTGTATTTTTAGATTGAATACATATCTTTTTATTATACAATGATTAAATCGTAGCCAACAAATTGACACTCTAGATGATGCATCACAAGTGCAAATCAATATTCCATTTACGATTTGTTACAGTGGTTCATGGTTGTTTGGAATCTTCCCTTGAATCACTTTGCTTTGTTCAAATTGCCTATTTAATTTATAGGAGGAAGCGACTCAAATAATCCATAAACCAATCAACCAATCAAGTCAGTAATACTCACATCACTCTAACATAACCTCTCTCTATATCACGTTTACTAAAGGCATATGTTGTACAATTCTTCTATTTTGTTGATAGCAGGTCCATTCCCTGTTTCGTACTTCCATCCCTCCTGCATACAGTCACGTGCACACACACAAGTTTTTTTTTTTTTTTAGGAAAAGAAAATTTTTTTTTTTTTTTCTGTTTGCGAGAAATTGAAAATTTTTCTCATTCAAATATTTATCATCTCATTTTTAGTTAAACATAAATCACCACCACCACAAGTACATTTGTCCTTTCCCCCCTATTTTGACACCGTTGGTTCAAGTTAAAGTTTTTGATATTATCACATTTTGTTTATCTAATTAAGTAGACAAGTATTTTATATCAATTAATCAAACGTACATATTACTAAATAAAGAAAAAAAATACATTTGTTATTTATAATCCCAGTATTTAACTTCCCTTTTTTTTTAATAACATACTTATTATCAATTATTAATCATGGCCCCACCTAAGAAAAATGTCAAGATGGATTTAAGTTCCTTCTTAGCCGATGATTCATTCGGAGGATCATGGGCTGATGAAGAAGTTGATATTAGTTCTATTGGAGTTTCATTAGATCAACCATCTTATTCAACTGCCGCCCCAATTGGTGGTAGTGGTAATACTGCTACTGCTACTAGCGGTGGTTCAGGTTTTGCATCTCAAGCCCCAGTTAATGAAGAATTCAGAAGAGAAAGAAAAGAATTCCCAATTCCAGATCAACCACCATACCGTGCTAGAGTTTCTAATTTGCCATGGGAAACTGATGAAGATGGTATTGTTAGACATTTTGAAGATAGAATGCAAGCTCAAGGTATTATTTCTGATGTTGTTTTACCAAAAGATAGAGAAACTGGTAAATTGAGAGGATTTGCATTTGTTACTTTTAATGAACGTGAAATTTTAGAAGAATCCTTGAATTTATCCATGTCTGAATTCCAAGGTAGAAAGATTTATGTTAATGTTGCTGCTCCACCAAAAGAAAGTGAAGGTGATTGGAGATCAGGTAGAGGTGGTAATGCCTCATCTAGAAGAGAACCTGCTGTTGAACTCGACTGGGGTTCTGCTAGAAATTCAAGAGCTGAACTTCCAACTAGACAAAGATCAAATAGAAATATTGAATCTGATCAATCAAATGAAAACAATACTCCAACAAGAGCTCCAAGAAGACAAGAACCTGAACTTGATTGGGGTTCTGCCAGAGGTGCTAAAATTGACCTTCCACCAAGACAAAGATCCAATAGAAATTTCAATAATAACGATGAAAATAATAACGCTACTCCAAGAACTCCAAGAAGACAAGAGCCTGAACTTGATTGGGGCTCAGCAAGAAGCACTAGAGCTGAACTTCCAGTTAGAGAAAGATCTAAAAGAAACAACAGTTACAACAACAAAGATTCTACCACCACTACTCAAAAACCATCTGAACCAGAATTTGATTGGAAAAGAGGTCAAAGTTTACCATCTGGTCGTAGATCAACTTCAACCAGTACTAATAAAAAAGATGACAAAAAAGAAGAACAATCATCTCAACAACAAGGTCCACAAAAATCTCATTTCAGTGTTTTAGATATTGAAGATGAAGAAGATGAAGAAGAACATAAAGAAGAAACTCAAAGTAAACAAACTCAAGTTGAAGATTTAACTGAAAAAACTGCCGATTTATCTGTTCATGATGACAATGATGGCTGGGAAGTTGTTAGAAAGTAAGGAAATGGTATTGTTGTATTACTAGTTTTTATCGCCAGCACTATTAATTATTTTGCATTTTTTTTAGAAGAACAATCAAAAAAAGAGGAAAGCAAAAGACTGAGAAGAGAATTGTACTTCATATATTGATTCGTCTTTTCCTGTTGAATGACCACTAAATTGTTAATTTCCCCTTTTGGTTTTTTTTTTCATCACTTTTTATATAAGTACTTTTAATCTCTAGCTTTTTTTTGTTGTTATATTGTATAATAGGTAGTATATGTATACTTGAATAATTTCTTGAATTTAGAAGATGTCAACATATGTAGATTTGTCTGATAACTTTCATTGACTTAACTTAAACCATAGTGGAGCTTCCGTGATGATCCATAAGAAAAAAATTCAAATGCAATAATCATTGAAATGCAGATTGTAATCAAGATAACTATTTTCGAAACTTTGAGTCTATTATTATCTTCATCAAATATAGATTTTAGGACTATTAACACAAATCCAAAGATGCAATCTAAAAAACCAAGTAGGTAGTATTTTCTATATTGTAATAAACTTGAATAGTAGATTTAGCCATCATAGAAATATGGATCATCAGCCTTGAAATCAATGTTGCGGATTTGTGGTACATTTATCATCTCACGGCCATTCTGCAATTGTGGAAGTCTTGTTCGAATCCATTTCCGAATTAAGTCTTCTCTGTTCATTTTTGTAAAAAAAAATATTCTATACTTTCAAAAAGAAGAAATAATGTGAAAACAAAATGAATCTTGAATTTCACGAATCTTTGAGATTTAAATACACCATCTTAGATACATGTCAAATACCTTGATGATGTTTTGTTCTTCATTTTTTTTTTTTTTTGCAACCAACGAAGTCGTGCATGGAGGCAAGACAATTAACTATTGTTTCTCTGGACCACTTCTTTTATTCTATCCACTATCAATGTAGCCCAAGAGCATAGCAATCACTATAAACTTCTCAAACTCCGTGCTTTCTGGGAAGCTTCTATATCTAAATGTGTTTTTATTACAATACCAAAGTACAATAAGCAAGCACTACTTAAAACAATTATCACTAGAAATTGCCATCATAACGGATCATAGCAACAGGGACAACGTTTCATGAGCATTCCATTAAATTCATCACAACAATCCACACTTCTCCAAATAAATTTTTGCTTCGGCTCTTCTATAGGTGTCAAGTCCCAAGAATCTAGCAGTAGAAAGTTTGCAAGTACTTCATTCCCATTGTGATATTCCTTTTTTGCATCTTTAGAAACAGACTTGTAGAGTTTAGGATCTATATAATTTAATCCCCTATCTGGATAAAGTCCTGTAAAATTATTCATAGCAAAATTCAAAAATTGATCAAGGTCATGCACTTCTATAGAATATACTCGAAGTATATCACCATCCCATTTCCAAAATGAAAAAAAGAAACTCCCACTGATATTCTGTACTCTTTACAATAACGAAGTATTCAAGGTTCTCAATACGTGGGCCCATCTATGCTCCAAGATTTTCATAAATTTGTGAAACATGTTTTGGACCGTCAAATATCTTGAATTCTTGACCAGTTATAACCTTTTCCACCCCCCCCCAATTTCTCTTCTTGATGCTTAGGAGCTTTAAACCATCTTCAAACTTCCATGCCATTATGGATTTCTAATACCGCATCAATAACTCATTTTACAATTTCTCCCCATGATTCAGTAAAAGAATAGTCTAATGTTTGGAGTGGGGCTGCTCTAATTGTTTCTTTTGGAGCAGGAGAGGCTCTTGGTACTCTCTATTTTGGAAACAATTTAAGTATGCTAAAAAAATGCATGATTGCTTACGGTGTAAAAAAAAAGAAAAAAAGAGAAAACATAATATTACCTTTTGGATAGATGTGATCAATACATCATATTGTTTGATATATATATGTGGAACTTGCTTTCATTATAGTTTCCTTGTGCAATACAATCACATTTTTTGATTTTTGTTGTTGCGGGTGACTTGGAGAGCACACGCAGCCAATCGCATTGCCTAAATCTTGTTTGTGTCAACTTTAGAGATGCGAAACTTACACTTCCAATAATGGAACATGTCAAGACAAGCACAACATTCAACACGTTACACCAAAAGCCGTGAGGATTGTCTACCTGATGCAATAAAATGGAAAGAATAACTGGAGACTATGTTTAGAGGCGCAGGTGATGCTATTCTTCCTATGTTAGTGAGCCCATTGAAAAATTACATATCTATCTTTTTAGGAAACGTTGCTACCATAAGGAAACTATAAAAAAAACCAGTTCATATAAAAATAGCATGAAGCACACGCTTTATTTTAGTAATCATTAATCGCACCATTAACACTCGTGACAACTATCAAAATGTCCAGCGGTGGTAAAGAAGCACTTGACAGAAAGGACGACTTGGACTCAGAATTCAGTTTTGTGGGTGAAGAAAAAACGATCTGTGAACAGGATCCACCAATAACTACAACTCCTGGTATTAACCCCCGTATCGAGTGTTGGAGGTTGTTTATACATAATATTTTTAGAACGGTTGTTGAATTGAACCAAGACCTCGATGTTTGGAAATGGTTCATGTTTTCTAACTACAAAGGGAAACAGGAAGTTCAAGCTGAGGTACAACCTGAGAAGTTCATGATATATGGTGGACCACAACATACCAGGGATATATATCGTCGATTGAAGGCTGGTGTTGGTAAACAAATTCTGAAACTTCAATTTATAGTAATTTCAAAGTTTGGAGGTCAACAGTTTGTGACTATTTTTTGGACTTGGTCTTCCGCACATATCCGTGTTTATGATGTGCTAACAAAAGAGCTAGAGCTATTTTACAAATTTGCCGCCGCAAAATTTAGAAGTAAATGTGAATGTACTCATCGGGTACATGCAACAATGGCATATGTTTCGGAGTGTGTGAATGACGTAATTGATCAAAAAAGGAAAGCCATCAAGAAAACAGGAAGAATTGCTGCTTCTGCCAACAAACCAAAAGCAGAACATGAAATTTTTTTTTATTGGATAGATGTTGAAATCCTCCATTTATAATCATACAGGTATTATAATTGCAAATTTTATTTCTATAAATGTATCCAAACCTAATAAACAAAAACTTTAGTTCTGGATTCAAGACCCTCATCCCCAATGAATATTTTTCTCTAGTTCTGAATTGGCTACTGTCAGTCAACCGCTCAACTAATACGCTTGTTGCCTAGACGGTTTATATAAGATAGAATCAGAACTACTCGTCATATATTTAATGTAATTTATTTATAGATAAAATTATTGTAGACAGAGATTATCAATAAATCCAGATTCGTAAATATCAGAAAACTTCTAGTCGATATCAACTACATAAATCTTACATGACAAAACTAATTAATTCCAGCCTTGACTGCCTCTATGACGCTGGAGAAGATTTCCTTGTTGGCAGCAATGACACCTTGTGAGTCAAAGGTTCTACCTTTTCCAAAATCTAACGCCCTACCTGTGACATCACCGACTTGCCCACTAACCAACACACAGTATTTGACCAGTGAGTCAAGGTTGATTGTTTGACGAGCAACAGTTTCCAGATCAAATTCTAGCTTAACCTTGATCTGGGCTTGTGTGGAATGAGATGCGTGTTCCTTTTCAACACCTTCGACGACTTTCAATTCCTTTGGATCTCGGTGTGCCTTCTTGTTGATTCTCTTTTGCTCAGCAAGTGGGGTGAAGCCAGAATTGAACAATGGCGCATAGTATGGACCAACACTGGTATTGAAAAACATATCCAAAAATTTTATGATATCAAACTTGGCTAGTATTCAATGAATGAAGGATGTAAATGTTTCAAGTTTTGGAAGCTTCTTCTTAAGAATCTATCTTTGTAAAAAGATTTCAAATGAGCTTAGAGCGGATTCTCAAAGAGGTTTTTGATGTATTAGTTTGGTTTGTAACTACAAAACAAGAATCAGATCTAGCAATACTTTCAAATTTATATTAAGTAGCAAATTATAAGCTATATATAATAACTATAATGATCTGTATGTTCGTATAATATTATAAGCAGCCCAAATAACCGCAATAATAGTAACTAAACTATATATTATTGTATTCGCCAATGATTTGACAGTTTAATTATCACTATTTGCATTAATCAATTGAGCTTTAGCGACTAACAATACCTCGAAAAATAACATTATACCTGTATTACTTTGTCTCAAACTTTGCAAACATATCACCGAAATTTTTCTAATGATACCATAAATGACCTGTATAGCATTGGCCACTGTAGCATTGACCTCTGTATCATTGACCTCTGTAGCATTAGTCTCTGTAGCATTGACCTCTGTAGCATTAGCTTCTGTATCATTAGCTTCTGTAGCATTAGCTTCTGTATCATTAGCTTCTGTAGCATTAGCTTCTGTAGCATTGACCTCTGTAGCATTGACCTGTGGTATTGAACTACTCATTTCTAAGTGTGATGCGGGCATATTACTCTTCTGGTTGGTGTTGTATGTTGTAAAAGAAATAAAAGTTAAAAAAATAAGAAAACTTTTATAATCCAAATTTTAAATTGGCTGTCTAGATACATTTTAAAAAAAGCTCGTCTGTTATGCTTTCTAATTTTTTCTTTTTTTGTAGTTTTGCAACCCAAAGAGTCAATTTTAGTGGCGAGCCAGAGTAGTTGATGGTTCCCCTTTTACGTTAACAAAACTTTCGGCACATTGATTCATATCTCACCCCTTGAATCAACCTGTTCCTATAGTCGCTGGTTACATCTTACTTGTATAGATTCCACAGATGCTTTAATCTTTTTATGTGCCTATCTCATTTTGCTAAACAAATTCCTCCCAAACTTCATTTCAATTATTATATAATGGACAGGTCTACACACTCTTTTGCGACTCTGAAATCTCCCACGTAAAATAAGTACATCAAACTTACAAAGCACTGCTATCATAAACACCTTCACTATGGATTATTCTCACAATAGTAACCAGTCTTGAGCTTACCAAAATAGTGATTGCCATAGCTCACCGCTTGCCAAATATACTTCTTCTCTGGTCGTTCTTTTGGCGGTAACGTCCATATATCCAACAGCTCAAAATTTACAGATACTTCATATTTAGATTGATGCTCTTCCTTTTCACTTCCAGGGACAGACTCGCTACGTTTCCAATTCATGTAATATATCCCCAAGTTTGCATATGGAGTTTTGAAATTATTGCCGGCGTGAGCATAGAATATATCTTTTATTATCTTATAATGAGAGTACACCCGGAGCATACCTCCATCAATTTTCCAAAATGAAAACACCAACCCACAATCCCAAACATCCAAGACAACTAAAAACTCAAGGTCCTGGATACCCGATCCCATGCTTGCTTTGAGTGCATCATAGATGACTGAAACATGTTTGGGGCCGCCAAGCAACTTTAACTTTTGACCAATTACCACCGCTTCTACCCCCAATTTCCCTTGTTGATAATCACGACATTTGAACCATCTCCATACGTCCATGTCAGTATTGATTTCCAAGACTGTCTGCACAACAAGTATCATAAGTTCTACCGAATGCTTATAGTTAGCTACCTTATTAACCTTTAAAGAACTCGTAATGACTGGTGTTGTCGATAATAAACTGGTCTTTAACTTGGTTAGTTTGCTAGCAAAATGCATGATTTCTTACAGTGTAGGCAAACAAGAAAAATTGTTAGCGTGTGGATAGATGTGTTCAATACATCATATTGCTTGATATATATGGAACTTGCTTTCATTATAGTTTCCTTGTGCAATACAATCACATTTTTTGATTTTTGTTGTTGCGGGTGACTTGGAGAGCACACGCAGCCAATCGCATTGCCTAAATCTTGTTTGTGTCAACTTTAGAGATGCGAAACTTACACTTCCAATAATGGAACATGTCAAGACAAGCACAACATTCAACACGTTACACCAAAAGCCGTGAGGATTGTCTACCTGATGCAATAAAATGGAAAGAATAACTGGAGACTATGTTTAGAGGCGCAGGTGATGCTATTCTTCCTATGTTAGTGAGCCCATTGAAAAATTACATATCTATCTTTTTAGGAAACGTTGCTACCATAAGGAAACTACAACATGAGCAATTCATATAAGAATAGCATGAAACACACGCTTTATTCAGTAATCATTAATCGCACTATTAACACTCGTGACAAGTATCAGAATGTCCAGCGGTGCTAAAGAAGCACTTGACAGAAAGGACGACTTGGACTCAGAATTCAGTTTTGTGGGTGATGAAAAAACGATATGTGAACAGGATCCACCAATAACTAGAACGAATGGAACATTTTGCACAATATATAAATGATTCCCGTGTTAGCCAAATTGAGAAACAACTGCCAACAGGAAGAATTGTAGTTTCTGGTAAAGAGCCAACGGCTAAATTTGAAGTTGTGGGTTGTTGGATGGATACTGATATCTTCAAGATGTGACATTATATAAGGTAGTTATAATTTTATTATGATAAATTACTTGTGTTAATATGAGTAGAACTGCAGTAGTTTGATGAATCAAATTATTCTTTCTTTTCTTGTTATCTATTTATTTTTACTCCCAAAAAAATTGATTTGTTACATGAAGGTTTAAAATAAAGCAAACTACCGTATTAGAAATACAGATGATACGTTCTTTTGAATGTATATTTCCATATTTTGGGGAGTACCTCAAGTCTGTACTTTGTCGCAATCAAACTCCTGGGACAGTGAAAAGCAAACATCACTGATATTATTCTATTACTTTAGAATACTAAGTTATTCCAAGGTAATATTACTACTAATACGAAGAGACAACATTGTATTTGTGTATTCTGTAGATTTTACATTTGGTGATGATACTTGGGTGCAATCTCCACCTCGGTTCTCATAGTAGGTCGTGCAAATGGAGATAAATCTCTTTGCGACAAACAAAATGGAAAAAATAATAATAAAAAAAAATTATTCATTTCATTTCTTTCTTTCTTTCCTCTTGTAACAATTTTGAAGAGTATTGGGTCAGTGTCAGTTCGCCCTCGAATCTCTGTGTTAAATTCGATGAGATGTCCGTCTTATTAATATGTTTTACTAACGTGAGTTACTACATTACAGTTCTAGCATTCGAATAATATTGGTTTTAATATATATATTCTATAATATTCATTGTTTATTCAAAAAGAAAAAAATCATTTGTAGATATCATTTGTAGATTTAGATCTTGGACTCTCTTCGATGTCTTATTGATATAGAATCGTCATTTTCTTAACTACTGTTTTTAGATTCATCACCATTACTTCATCTACAGTTGCATGTAAACATAATTTAAAGCGATGTCGCGATAATGTCGTACGCGACATGGCCAACTATTTTTCTCAACTTTTTTTTTTTTCCGATAAATTATGAAAACTAGACTGGTTAGAAAAAGTGTTGATAATCGATATCCAAACTTAATCGTTAATCTTCATATTGAAACCTTTAATCATTTATTCGTCAATGACAGAATCTCAAAGTACACATCTTGATGATTATTACCTAATAAACACGACAAGTATGTATTTCACATCATCCATATTAGATGCATTCACTCTTGAGTAATTTTAACTAACACGTTTTTGAAATTTTTATATTATTAGACATTTATAAACCATTGACACCGACACCTACAGATAATTTAATTAAGAAATATGGATTAGAACCAATAACTAAATCTTTAGCAAGGACAAATCCTGATGGATCAAAAGGAGTTAAATTAAGAAAATCATATAAAAATCATATTCAAGATTTACCAGGAAAACATCAAATATCACCAAATAAACCAATACCACCAGGATTAATGGATCCTAATTTAGATAAACATCCAAATATTATTAAAAATTTAGATATTGAATTATTAAATAAAGCTATTAAATTTGATAAAACTCCAATTAATGGGATTCCTGGTTTTAATAGTTCAGATTTAGCTATTAATGATCAACAAACTTTAATGAGAAGTGATGATGTAAATGATGATGAATATTCTAAGAAATTAAAGAGGAAAAAGAAAAATCAAAATGGTGTTAATACCGGTGGTGATTTAAAAAGACAACATATATAGAGAGAGAAATGGAGAGATTTTAATGATATAGATTATTGTTGATGTAGAAGAGGAAAGAGGTGGTTCGTTGTATAGTTGTATTGGTTTGTAATATTAAAGTTGATAAAAAAAAAACGAATATATTACTTGTATATTTTGGATTATTTATTTATTTGGTTATTTGAGAAGTATTGGTATCATCCATTACTTGTCGAACATCACTTATTGTTTGAACAGTTGATCTTTTTGTTAATTTCTTTCTTGATTTCTCTTTGGTATAGGTGAATTTATTTGCAATTAATCTACCAATATGACTTAAAATTATTTTAGTTATTTCCTTTTGAATCATTTTAGTAACATCCATAAATGATAGAATTTCATTTCTAATATTCCATTCAGGTAAGTGGATTTTCAAATCATAAACATTAAGTACTCTTTTAAAACCTTTATTAAGCTTAAGCGTAACTTGTAATGAAATAGCTTGAATAAATAATGAAACAACTGAAAAATATTTCTTTGATCTTTCAACCATAATTTTAATATCTTTATCTTCATCAATTAAATCATTATTACTGCTACTACTATTACCATTCCCAATTGATTTACCACTAACTGATAACAACGTTAAATTTCGTTTACTTTTACTTGCCAAACTTCTACTCTGAGATACTTCTTCTTCTCCTTGTTGTTGTTGTTGTAGTTCTAGTTCCTCTTCCTGTTGTTGCTTCTCTAAATCAAAACCTTTATTTGCACCTTCATTTTGAGAAACTAATCCATATTGTTCATTTTTACCGTCTTGATCATTTGAATCTTTAGTAACTTCATCTTCTTTTCTTTCATTGGCAATAGCTATAATTTTACTATCTTTAACATCATCTCCACTGTTTGTATGAAATATGAAACTCATCAATTTTTCACCAGTTATTTCATCAATCTTAATATTTAACGGTGATGCATTGACTGAAACATTTTCAACAACTTTAATACCTCCAACTGATTTATTCATAGTCCATTCTAATTCAATTATATTATCAGTAGATTTTTTATCTAAAGGTTCAATAAAATCAGGATATTTTGCATTTTCAATCAAATTGAATCCTCTCATTTGTCCAATATGTACTTTATTTATATTTGATCCACTTTCAAGTTCTTTGCGTTTATAAATTCCTTTAGTCAACGCAATATTCATAATTGGAGTTCTATCATCTTCTAAAATTTGTAAAATTATCTCATCTGCCATAATTAACCATGTCATTTGTAAAGTATCAGATGAATCAGTTGCATAATCTCCAGTTAATAATGTCTTCAATAATAAAAATACATCACTGGCAATATCACCTCTTTCTAAATTAAGTTGTAAATAATTATTCAATTCTTCATTGTTTAATTTATCCTTTCTGAAACTATAATTAAATGACAATGTATTTAATAATCGATAATATTGTTGTAACTCAGTTAATTTACCAATTAATGCTCCTAAATCTTCAAAATCAATTGAAAATTTCATCTTTTTAATCTTTTCTTGAATAACTTTACTCATTGGTTCACTATAAAATAGTAAACTCAAAATAATGACATACAAAGTGAAATATTGACTTGAAGTGGATGTAATAACAAGTGATGGAATATCAACCTCAAACCTAAGTGGTGAGATATCATCATTATCTTTTTTAGTTAAAATTTCACTTTCATAAACTAATACCATTACTGAAAGATCTTCAATAAGTAAATTATTAGCACCAGCCCATTTCCCATTTTGAGTAATTTCTGATCCTAACCATGGTGGCCAATTTGATTTGGCACCATATGGATTATTTACCGTTAACATTGATGAACTTCCAAGAATATCTTTTTTATTAAGAACAAATACATTAGCATCTTGTAACAATCCACCATATCTTGTTTCTAATAAAACTTCATTATTTCCTTCTGAACTAGCAGAATCAATAATTGACAATATTTTCCCCTTGATGGAAGGTGCAGAAACTATAACTACTGAATCTTCATAATCTTCACTTTGAAGTTGAATTTGTGGACTAAGAATTTCAATTAAATAATCTTCAACTAAATCTTCACCTTGATTAATTTCTCTTAATATAGAATTAAAATTAGCAATTCTTTGTTGTGAACTTGAGTTTCTATCACTTGTTGATCCACCATCCCTTGTAAATGCTCTCATTATTGGTGATATACTTGAAGTTGATGATAATTCATCAGTTGCATCTAATAAATCATTTGCCCTTTGCATGATTTTATCCAAAGTTTGAATAGATTTATATGAAAGATATTTCCTCATCGATGATTTCAATTTAACAAAATGAATATATCTTAATGTACAATTTCTATTATTAAAATTCCAAATTAATTGTGGTGAATAAAATGTAAATTTATTATGAAATTTTTCAGATTTATCAAGATCAGATAATGTTGAGGCACGACGAAGTTTTGAATTTAATCCTCGATTAACTTTACCAATCTCATTTTCTAAAAACAGAATACGTTTACGTAAATCTTTTATTGTATCTGTTTCATTTGATTGATAAATTTCATTCAATTGTTCTTCTAATGCTTCAAGTCGATCAGTTAAGACTTTTAATCTTGTTTGCAATGGATTATTTGAACCAATACAACATTTATGGAAACCTCCATAAGTTGATCCAAGTTTATTGGCTCCTTCATCAAACCCACTATCATGAGTATTTCTCTCGTATGAAAATCTAGGTAAATTCATAAGTGGATAAATTGCTATGGTTTTAACATTTCGAACAGATGTTAAATAAGCTTCTTCGAAATCTTCAATATCAAACCATCTTTCATCTTTATCATGTATATGATATGTAGGTTTAAAGTCATTCTTCTTTTTAGAATTACTCTTGTTGAATATATTTTGAAGAAATGATGCATGCATAACACGTAAATCAATTGATGATAATAATACTTCACCAATATGAAATTCCATTTTTGAAGATGATTTTTCATCTTTCTTGAAACTTTTACTTTGATGTAAATCAATCATTAATTCATCAACTTTACCTCTTAATCCAACACATTCAACTCTATCGTTATTTAAATCAATAATTTCATCACGATAGACATGAGCAATAAATAAAGATTTCATAATAAATGAAAACTTGTTGGAAAATAAATGTTGAGAAAACTTAACTGACTGTTTAGGTTCATCAAACATTCTGCCTCTTCTAATTGGTAATTGCATATTACTTGCAAATAATTTCCACCAACTAAAAAATTGTACAAATACACCCGGTGATAAATGAATAGTATTATAACTTGATTCATTATTTGATTCTAATGAAATAGCCATATTAATATATTGACTTCTAAAACCAGCATATGAATCATGATTTTTCTTACAATATTTTGGATCATATAAATGCACATCATAATGAGGTTTAAATTTATCAGTAAGTTTACCAGCATCATCATCATCATCGTGATCATTATCTTTTCGTTCGAGTAAAAATCCCAATCGGAAATTAACTCCACCACTAAGATTAATAACAATTTTTTCAACAACATTATTTGCAGAATCAAAATCAGTATCACCAAATCTATTTCCAATATAATATCCATAAAGTGAACTTATCATATGGGGACTTTCAGTTAAATAAATTGCTTCTGAACTACTTCTTGTCCATGCCCATCAATGGACCTTCAGATAATTTGGAATATACCATGAAACTTTATCAGAAGTAACATCAAAGAAATTTTTAGAATCATCATTCTTATTAATATCCCAAATCACATTCTTCTTAAATGATAATACAAATCCTCCTGCAGTACAAAATAAATCATATGGATCTCTTGATCCTTTAAATCCAACTTCTAAACTTTTCTTGGTTTTAATTGTACATTTCCCATGAAGGACATATTTTAATTTATCCCAAAATCCTAATTTAGGAGAAGGATCAACTGGAGGTTTGGAAAATTTATCAAAATTTAACATGGTTTGTTGTATACCAAAATTATATGAAGTACCCCATATGATTCTTGTTGGATAATCTGAATTAAAACTACATTGTAAATCAGTATACATTTTAACTGAAGCCAATGTTTTCTCAACAATTAGTGAATCAAATTTATTCAATGATAATTCAGGATCATGTTGTGGAACTAATGGAACATTAATCTTTCTTATCTGTTCAGGTGAATTGATAAACGCTTCAGTTATGATTAAATGACCATCTAATGAAAAACTAGTATCAGCAATATCTTTATTCCTTGGTGAATGTACCAATGGTAATGGATAATCACGTAAATGCATTCTTAATTCACCCAATTTCAATGATGCATATAATGGAATCAATAAAGTATATTCCGTATCCTTTGGAACACCTTGACCAAATTTATAAACAAAATCAGCAACTTTCTTGAGTTCAAATTTTGGTTTTGAAAGATCCAATTGTAAATTGTCCATATAAACAGCTGTTAAAGGTGGTGAATAAGGATAAGCAACTACATCATCATTCAAGGATTCCGGAAGTAATACTTCACCACCAAATAGATATTCTTTATTGCTAATGATTTCTTCTCTTAATTGAGCTTTATAAGTTTTAACTTTTCTTATCCATGATCTAGACACTGTTTTGTGTAAATGATTAAGTTTGTTGAAATAGTCTTCACCGTCTTCTTTAGTAACAGCGGCTCGATCATCAAATAATGTATAAAGTTCCGATCTTTTCCTTTGTTCAATTAAACCCAATTGATAAATCATACCTAGTTCAACTTCAAATGGATCATCTTCCATAGTGAATTTCAATGTCTTGGATTTAAGACTAATAAATGGTAAAGCCTTGGGTTTTTGTAAATTTGGATGAACTATATTCAACTGTTCTTTAGAACTTTCATCTTTTAATAATTTAATTAAATGTTTAACTAGTTTAACAGTGACAGAAATATTATCAAATAATTTATAAACAACAAATTGATGTGGTTGAATAAAACGTATTGAATTAGTATCAATTTCAATTTTGAATTCTTTAATAGATGATGGAATATTAGTTCTTAATTTCAATTTATCCAGACAAAGTAATCTATTCCATTTATCTTTAACTTGTGGAGAATCAGCAAGTCCTCTTATAAATCCAACATCTGCTCCTATTTCTTTATGTCTTAAAAATGCTTGAATATCAGACAATTGTAATTTAACTTTGAATTCATCACTTAATCTAAGAATGATATCCAGATAATCCAACTTAAATTCAAAAGAAATATAATCCAATATTGATTCTGAATCAGGAGTAATTGTTGGACTTAACATTAAACTATCAAATCTTGTTAAATCTTTACGAACCTTCAGTTTGATAAGTTTTATTGGTGATATCATAAATTCTCTAATAAGATAGACACATCCAATTAATGTGCCAAATTTGTATCGATTATAATCCAAATTTAATTTATCCATACTTAAATCAACCACGATTTTATTCTTACCATTATAGTTACAAATAGCATTTATATTTGATTTAATAGCTGGTATTTCCAATAAATGAGAAAACTTACCATGAAGATCAGTCAATGCTGAAAGTTTTAGTTTATCAAGTTTGGTATTAATTGACCAATACATTAAATCATAATTAATAGAAGCTAGGGTTTCCAGGGAAGCAGATGAAGAAACACTATTGGTTGGTGAGTTTTCACCGCTTTTATTTCCATGATTATTAACACCCAATACTAATGATTCAATTTTAAAATTAATTTGTTTTAATTCATGTTGTTCATCAAAATCAAAATCAAATTCGGGACCTTGGCTATTTGCTAAATCTTGTTTTGGAATCAATACCGATCTTGAACCTAATAGAATATTTAAAAATGATAACTTAAAATCTAATTTAGTTAACCATGATGGTAAATATTTGAATAATTTATCTTCAATTGAAGATGATTTGAATTTTTTAGCAGTTGATCCAGTAGACAAACTTCGAAGTTTCAATTCATGACGAAGTCGAAGTAATTCTTGGTTGAATTTCTTATTAATAACACCAATTTCGAGATCTGTTTCAACCATTCTAGTAACATCTAATAATAAATAATGTATACCTGTGAATATTTCAAGGTTTGTTAAATCTATAGTTAATTTATTAAAATCAATAAACGTCTTAATCTTAAGGTTTTTAAGTATATCAAGTTTTATATCAAGATAATTCATACTTGTTATATCCTTTTTTAATACGAAATTTTGTTTTTCAATTAAATCAACATGTGATTTTTCATAATAAGTAATTTTGGGATTTAAAACTTGACAACTGGATGCATAATCTCTTGTTGAAGTCGTGAATAATGAAAAATTCAACAATGAATATGAGAATGATAAAATTTGTGTGTTTTTATGTGCTTCATAATGACGAATAACAATACGGGGTTGTTCAATGACAAGTTTGATATCCAATCTAGGATAAAATTCATTAAGATATCGATACATTTTCTTAGTTAGTGGTTCTCTTTGTGTAACTGCCTGCAGTCCATTCAAATTGAAACTTTCATTGGTGATATCATGAGCAGTTTCTTCGTCATATTCTTGTTCATCTTCAGGGAAGAACTCTTCCGGAGACAATGGTGAATTAACAATTATATCTTTAAACTCGTGTAACCTTCGCCATTTCTTAATGAGTATCAAATTATAAAGTAAAGCACTTAATTGTCTAGTATCAAGATCAAAAATCGGTGTGCTTGCGGAGAAATAAACTTCAATGACACAATTTTTAAATCCTTTACTTCTAACCAACTGATCAAGAACATTAGTTTTATAAGTTAATGCAACATTTGGAATATTTAAAATTTCATCTGATGTTTGCCCAAGATAACCTGTTGGTAGAGTAGTTCTTGCAGCATAGAATACTTTCAATAACTGTACAGAACATGTTAAATGATATGGTCTATCCTTTTGAGAATTGAACAAAACTTCAAATCCAGCAGCATCTTTATTCATTCTTGAAAAATTAAATGATACGGATTTGGTCATCAATTCTAGACAAGTTGCTGGTTTTGAATCATTGAAATAATGTTTAACATCAGTATTATTTTCCATTGTAACAAATGGAATTTCTGAAAGTTTTGAATTTTCAATATGGATATTAACTTCTGAGATAATTGCATGAACAAATCTATATCCATTCTCAACCATTTGAATTCTATTATTCTTTTTAATTTCCAATTCTTCGGGTGTTGGAATTGGTCTATGCTCAGTTACAATTTGTTGTTTATAAATTTCATCTTTAAAAATATAATACTTTGCAGCATTAAAAACCAGGACATCACTGTCATTAATATTAATTCTAATTCTTAAATCATCTATTTTCCCAGTAATATAGTTAATCAGTAGTTTATTTTCAAAATTAATGCTACCAAGTTGAAAAGGTTTGATTATATCACCTCCAGTTTTAATATCATGAATAATTTTATTAACCAAGATACTAAATTTCAAGGAAATTTTTTCATTAGATTTCCTACTATATCGTGATCTTGCAAAAAATTTCAAATATTCAATATAAGTTTTGTTTTCAAATGCTGATATTATAGTTGTTTGACGAAATTCTAAATTTAATGTTGGGATTATTAATAATATGCTCTTTACAATGAATTTTCCAATTTTGTTTGATGGAAAAATGTTAATCGATGCTATTGAAGGATCTAATTCATCATTATTCAAAGGTCGTACTCTATGTTTCTTTGTCTTATTAGATTTGATGATATTATTACTACCACTTGCAGTAGTATCCTTTTGGAGTTTTAATTTTATTGTTAATTCATCAATTATAGTCATTCTTGTATTGCCCCATAATCGAAATCTTAATGCTTTAATCTCCGCAATGAATTTCTTATTCTCTAAAGTTATCCCATTGAACAGGATTCCATTATTGATAGTTATTGACAGGAGATGAAACCCAATTATTTTAAATACAAGATACCAGAATGATAACCATCCGACGATTATGCAACATAGATAGAATACCAACGTATTAGTATCTATATAGTTATCATAAAACATAACACTGATATTCTATAGTCAAGGGTTTGAATAGTATGTAGCTAGTATTTAATGTTCACAATCAGTAAAGAAGTATTGGTGGCAGTTTTCTGTCTTAGTTTTTTTTTTTTATGGCTGAAAAATAAAAAAATGTAAACACGCATTCAATCAATCAATCAATCAATCAATCAACCCAAGCAAGCAAGCAATCATTCACAGAAATGTTGGTATTTGTTTGTGCCACCACGATAGGTTAATGAACAAATGAATTGACGAACAAGTATGCAAATCAAAACAAACTGGACCAACAAAACTTAATGAACCCAAAAGGTCAAAGTTATTATGAGACGATATATTCAATACGAGGAGATATTGGTGTGTAAACAGAGAGAATGTGTAGCGATATAGAAGCGGAGTATAAAACTTTGCTACATTGGTGGCTAAACCCAACCCAGTGCTGGTCAGCTTGTTAAAAAAAAATGATAAAATACACAATATACAATACAAACAGTCTCTATTGTGTATTGTTACGTTACAGGTTATGTCATCATGTTATTTCCCCCATTTGAAATTTTTATTTTTATTTCTAACTATGGAACATCCACAAGTATCACAAAGAACAAAAACAATCCCGGATGGGGAAAAATTTTTTGTTCATTGCTATTTATTCAATTACAGATGTGTGTGTGTGTGTGTGTGTGTGATGCTATTGTATTCTTCTTTTCAGTGTAGGAATAACCAGCAACTATGGATTACATTATGTGTATTTTCTCTTGTTAAACTACGAAGAAGAAGATTTGTTGTTGTTTTCATTTCTTTTTCTTGCTTGAGGTGATTACGGGCAAAGGAAGATAAAAAGGTAGTATTTACGATGAAGATGATTAAAATAAAGGCTGGTCTAAACACTGTGCTCGATAAGTTTAAATTTCTAGAATCCGGATCAATTTCTATTCTTTTCAAAATACATAAACTGACTTATCCTCACACCAAATTGACAGAATATTTGCTAATTATATAATTATGAGTAATAAGATACTAAATTAAAAAAAAAGAACCACCTCTTCCTATCATTACCCATCAACCCCGAATACCCGTTATTCCAAAGTTGATTAGTTTTTCTCTCCGGCTAATAATAATCCATGCATATACTAACAGAAGTCCACATCTTTATCCGAAATCTCACAAAATTAGAAATTGTTAAAAACACGGTGTGTGATCATCATCACGTGTGTGTAATTAGGGTTATAGCCCTAGATGTATATATTTACAGGTTAGCAGTGTGAATCTTTTTTTTACAGTTTGTGAAAAATGCGTGCGAAAGTGGACAAAATCTCGTTAACTATGGGCAGAAAAATTGTATGGGTGCGACAAAATCTCAGTGTGCGCCGGCCCAGCGATTGCAGTGGATGTAGGGGAATTGCACACGCACACTCTCTCACACAGGAATCTCTCATTGGGAAGGGAAAGAGAGGAAAAAAAAATTTTATTGAAAGTAATACTTTGAAATTTTTTCTAAGAGGAAATCTCTTTTTTGATCACATTACACTTGACATCATATCAAAAAGTATGTTTATTGGAAGGATAGATAGTTGGATATAAAGAGTTATTATTATTACTATTATTAATGATTGAATAGAATCATTGGGAGAGGTGTACATGGATTCATGACGATTTGTCATTTGGGAAATGTATCGAGATGGAACAAACTGAAAAATTTTTCATTGCATACGATGAGACCAAATAGAAAGGAATAATAATCCATAGGAAAGTGTTTAATTAGATGTATTGGGATTGAAGAAATAAAAATGATCAAATGAAATGGACAAGAGAATCTCATCTCGAAAAGAGTATACTATGAAATTATGACAATCTAAAGAATTATACACAATCTCATGGAACTAGTTTTAATTAACTCTTCATATTGTTTAAATACATTTAAACTTGAAATACTAACTTGATTTTTTTTTATTTATAGTGGCCGGTTCTATTCCACACCCAAAAATTGTTAAGAAATACACCAAGAAGTTCAAGAGACACCATTCTGACAGATATCACAGAGTTGCTGAAAACTGGAGAAAACAAAAGGGTATTGATTCATGTGTTAGAAGAAGATTCAGAGGTACCATTCCACAACCAAACATTGGTTACGGTTCTAATAAGAAAACCAAGTTCTTGAACCCATCTGGTTACAAAGTTTTCTTGGTTAAAAACGTTAAAGATTTGGATGTTTTGTTAATGCACACTAAAACTTATGCTGCTGAAATTTCTTCTGCTGTTTCTTCTAAAAACAGAATTGAAATTTTGGCTAAAGCTAAAAAAATTGGTGTTAAAGTTACCAATCCAAAAGGTAAATTGAACTTGGAAGCTTAAATATGATTTTATGTTCATAATAATAATAAATATATATATTAAAGCAAATGTACAATAATAATTCTAAACTTAGAATGTTTTAGTTTATACTTGATGATAAACATTTGTAAATCTGTAGTATCTGTTGAAATGAAGCAGTACATGTTTAATCACTCAAGAGAATAATGAACGAACAACCGACTACATCTAATAATAAGTAATGAATAAATAAATATATCTATTGAACATTAAATAATAATTGATTCCCAAAAAATCAAAATATGCTAAATATAATGTAATTGTAGTTAGTAGATTTAATATAAATGGTATACAACACACGTAACATGAAGCATGTTCACCCCCGCAATATTATTAAAAGAACACTTTCATAAACAAGTTACTCTCTATATCAATCACTATGAAAGGTGTAAAGTATCGTATTTTTTTTGTTGTTGTTGTTTAGTGTTGTTGTCGAAGATAAAAGTTGTCTATCGTGATTCAGCTAAAATTTTGTCTCAATACACGACCTCCCACGTGACATAGCTAAAATTTATGACCAAAAAAATTCAAAGTGTAATAACTTCGTTTACATTGTAGTTTAATATTTTTCAAAAAGAAATCATTGCTCTTATAATAAGTATCAAGAAATATTGGAGAGTCACAAGATAAGTGAAATTGAAATTACAGTATACAAACTTGGATGTTAAGATGAACATAAAAACAATCATATATTGACAATAATACTAATACTAATAATAATAATATACATTAATGAATGCTAGAAATTTAAATCGTTTCAAATGTTAGTAAGTAGGTCATAGTCGTGAAATGGGTATAACACAATATATGGTAATACCCATGAATGGTAGATCCGTTGTAATGTTCACAATTTTTAAAAGTATCCAGGAAATGAAAAAAGAAGAAAAAGAAGTGTAAAATAATTGATCAATTTTTTGTCCTGTTTTTCATACATATTTATACTTGCCTCCCTCCTCCTTCCTCCCTATTTAAAAGAATTCAAATCGTGTATTTTATGTTATCTATGTGTACTGGTTTGTGAGGTTACACGACCTAGTGTGCCTCCACCACCAAGTGTGCTTTGAGGGAATATTATCAACTAACCCTTTCGGGTGTCGGCAGGTGAATCTCCTCCAAGAGATGGGACGTGTGAAGGCGTCTAGGAATTAGTATATAAACCACTGGATTCCCATTTGGGATCGAGTAGAACAGAGAAAGGAAGAAGGAACCAACTCTATTCATACATTTTCTATATTAGACACGAGGTATTATATGTATCTACGCTCTATTCTTAACATTTTTACATAATTATCATTCATAGCGTGATCTATTCAAAAAAAAAAAAAAAAAAAAAAAAAAAATCGAGTTAATCAATTAGAAGTAATATATCTATATACCAATTGATCAAGAAAGAAAGAAAGAAAGAAATGAACTTGTAAGAAATCCATAGAGTAATGATTTATTGTCTTAATGGTTAATATTTGTATTAATTATACATTAGAACCTACAATATATCTAACATTGGATAAAAAAGATGAACATAAAGATACTCATATATTGATAATAATACTAATATACATTAATGAATGCTAGAAATTTAAATCATTCCAGTACAGGGTTAGTAAATTAATAAAAAAACGGAAAAGTTCTTGTTGAGACAACTATGTCAACAAAATAAATGCATCAGTAACATATAATAACAAATATATTTCTCATCAATAAACATGATGGTTCTTTTCATGGCTATTTATATTATGTACAGTGGAGAGAAAAAAAAAATCAAATCATGAGTATTGGTTAGTGCACGACTTATTAATTAATTTGTCCTTTTTAAGCAATTCAGACGTGTATTATCTCAGAGGATTTATTTGAAACATCAAGTATTTAATATTAAAATTACAATCTATAAAACTGTTTTTATCATATTAATTAATTCACAAATGAACGAAATTAAAAGATAAATAATATATAAAGAGAAAATAAATGAATGAGTAAATGAATGAATGAATAAATATATAAAAAAAAAAAACATAATAATAACCACCTCCCAATTTTTGAAAAGAAAAATCCATAACCTATAATATCCAAAAATAATTAAAAACCAATATACCTCTAAAGAATCAACTAATAAGAATGAAAATATAAAAAAAAAAAACTATTTCAATTGATCTATCTTCTAGTACCTGTATTTGAAACATTACTAACTTCAGTATGATGATGTTTTTTAATTTTATAACCTAATTCACAACTTCCATCTTTATTCAATTGTAAATCGGTAGCTTCTTTTAAAACAGGAATTTTCAAATCAGCTAATGTACAAAAACCTTGTTGATTCTCACCAATATTCTCTTCTCCTTCATTATTTGTTGGTTTATTAGTATTATCAGTACTTATAATTGATTCAGCTGGTCCACAGAAACTAGCATCTTCTTGAGTTAATGAAGATGGCGATGATTCTTTAGCAAATTCATCTGAATTAAAATTAGGTTTTGGTGATGGTGGAATATTAAGTGATGTTTTAAATCTATCATCTTCAACATCTTCTTGTTCCCCTTCATCTTCATCCTTAATTTCAGTTAATGGTTCACATTCAATTTTGGAATCAAGTGGTACTTCTTCAACTGGAATAGGAATGTTTTCACCACCAGTGGTTGCTGTGGTTTCTTTTTTAGGAATTGGAATACTTGGAAATTCTTCAATTGGACTATGTGGAATAGGATTGGTATGTTTGAAATCTAATGCCAACATAGAATCACATTCTTCATGTTCAATATCAGATTCTTCAACTGCAGGTAAATTATTCCCATTAACTGGTGATGCTGCTTGATTTATTTTATCTACTGATGATGGAGCTGAATTCATTGGTGATGATGATGACGAAGATCCTGATGCTGATGCTGATCCTGATGCTGATCCTGATGCTGATCCTGATGCTGATGCTGATCCTGACACTGACCCTGCCGCTGAGAGTACTTCATTAATCATTGGAGCATTGTTTGCAACACCTGGATCTAATCTTGATTTCAATTTATTAGATGTATCATCAAGTGAATGAAGACTAGCGTTACTTGAAGAAACATCTCCATTGGTGGTGGTAGCAGCAGTATTTCCATTGGTTGTTGGTGGAAGATTATTGTGGTTCAAAAATTGACTATTTTCTTTAAGGGTAGTCTTGTTAACCTTATCAGTAACATCAGTTAAATCCAACATACTTTTAATTGGGGTATGAAGACTTTCGTCATGACTATCATATCCATTATTAGTAGCAACTTTTCTTGAAGTAAATGTACCTCTTCTTGAAGGAACTTGAGAATTGGTGGTTGAAGTATAACCAGAACTAAAACTTGGATGAGTGTCAACATTATTTCCAGTACCTGGTAATACAAATGGATTAACTTCTTGATCTGGATGTTCATAAATACACATTTCTAATCCTTTAAACCAAGGATCTGCAAACAACATATCCATATTATATCTAGTATTAGGTGAAGGATCACATAATTTCCAAGCAACTCTTGAAGCTCCAGTATTTTCAAATTTAGCAGCCAATTTAAATTCACTACCTGGACCTTTAGGATATTCAATATTGTCTTTAAAAGTATGATGATCAGTACAAAATCTCTTGTGACTAAACTTATAGTCTCTAAAAGCATGATCATTTGGACTTGATTGTTGAAATGGAACACCACCATAAATTAAACAAAATAACATCATACCTAATCCCCAACAATCCATTTTAAATGGATCATAAGCAAAATTTTTAATTTCAGTACTAGATTTTTCTTTTAAAAGCATAACTTCAGGTGGAGAATATGGTGGGGATCCAACATAAGCAGTGGATAATTTAACTGGACTTGAAAAATCACCAGGAGTTTCATGACCAAATTCACTAACACCAAAATCACACAATTTAGCTAATCCATTAGCATCCAACAAGACATTTTCTGGTTTTAAATCACGATGAACAATATCGTTATCATGAAGAAATTTAACCCCATAAGAAATTTGTTTGAAAAGACAATATTTTTCAGCTAATGAAGTATTTTTCCAACCTGGTTTAACAATTAATGAAAATAAATCACCTCCACCACAAAATTCCATAACCATACCCCAACCTCTAGTCAAGTTGGATTGAGATTGGATTCTTAAAATAGCAATAACATCAACCACGTGTCTTGATTTTGAAGCTTGGTGATGAAGAACATATTCTTTCAGAACTCTTTTATAAAATTCTTCATCGGTTTCTTTACTTAATAAAGTAAACCTTTTCAAAGCAAAAAGACTCTTCTTGTTGTTACAAGCATTAATAATACGGACATCTGAAGATCCACCATCACCTAATTTTCTAGTACCAACATCAATCTCAAAATCTTCTAATAAATTAATATGAGTTTGTTTCAAATAATCAGGTAAATAATCATTTGGACTAGCAACAGGGTTAGCTAAAACTCTTTCTCCGTCATTAATACCAGACATATAAAAACTGGTATTTTTAGGACGTTCTTGAGTAGCAGTCTTGTTAAGACCATAAGGATTATAAACAATTTTATCGCCATGATGACCCACAGGAGAAGCATGATTACTTGGAGCTCTACTACTTCTCAATTGTTGTTTTTGAGCATTTCTAGTATCGATTTGATTCAAATGAGCAAAAGTATCAGCTTTTGAAAGAGTTTTACGACCTGGATGAATAGGACCCTTCTCTGAATTACTTCTGTGTCGATTTAAAAAACCCGGGGCATGAAGATTTGTTCCACTACTGGAATGATGGGTATGACTATTGCCGTTAGTATGGGTATCCTTAGTGTGATGATTGACATTATTGTTTGCTGCTGCTGTAGTTGTAGATTGGATTGGGTTTGTATTACGGCGTTTTAATGTATTAATTGACGCAGCTCTTCTCATAGTAGAATGAGGTGGAGGAGTAATAGGTGATGAAGTTGAGCCAGCAACAGGATGTGGTGATGCTGGTGAAGGTACAGCTACAGGTGATGATGTTGTATTGGTATTAACATTATTCTGGATTTGATTGTGATTGTAGTTGTGATTATGATTACGGTTATTAGAAGGGACTGGGGAAGGGGCTGTTGATGAAGTTGGGGTATTCAGATCCTTTTTTGAATCATGACGATGGAATAATTTGGATAATCCAGTACTTGAAGGAGAAGATGAAATATCTGGAGTAGGCTCCTTTTTAAAAATACTCTTAATATTTGGCATTGTGAATTGAATTAAATTAAATTAAAGATTAGTAATAATCAGTCCTAGTAGTGGGATGGTGGTGGGGTATTTCTGATGAAGATGATGCTTGTGATGATGAAGATGATGATGATGAGTGGGCAAGTTGTAGTAGTTGTAATTGGTGATAAATAATTGAATACTAATTAGTCAGCTGTGACTTTCCTCTAAAAAAAAAAACAAAACAAAAAAGAATACAAATATAAACGTGGTATAATTTGGTTTAATTTAATTAATTAATCAAAAAATCAAAAATCAAAAAAAAAATGGGAAATTATCTTCTAAAATATATAAATATGAATATAAAAATATGAATATGAATATGGATATATAAAAATGTGAAATTGTCAATTTGCTTTTTCTTTTTCTTTTTTTTTTTTTTTTATCTTTTAGAAGCAACAGAAAAAAATTTTCTTTCTTTTTTTGTGGGCGGTCGTGTGGAAATCAACTTTCCCTTCTACTTGGGAAAACCCACCCCCTCCCCCTCCTCCATACACACCCTACATTATCACCATGTACACTAATATTTGATTAGTCGATTATTTTGAAAGGTAGATTGATACAGATATGTTTATGTGGTGTACATTGATTAATTAAAATTAACTCCTCTTCTTCTTCTACTTCTTCTGCTTCTGCTTCTGTTTCTGTTTCTGTTTCTAACGCATTAACGCGTGGCGCACCGCCCTACAGAATACCACTTCTCTACTATTCCATTGCTCCGCTATTAATAATAAGTTGATCATTACAATATTACAAACTCCTCTCTCTTTCTTTCCCCCTCCGTTATGTTGTTTCCACTCGGGTTTATTAAACCCGTTTTGTATAGGAAATATCACTGTACTATAATGTATAAAATGGTAAGCAAGTCATTTGTTTTGTTTTTTGGTTTGATTTATTCCGGTATGGGTTTGTTAAATCCGGTGTATCCACCGCGGTATTAAATTCCAAACATACCCACGATCCGATTATTAAACTTACAAATTCAATTGATTTCACAATTGGTTTCACAATTGGTTTTACAATTGGTTAATATTGGTTCTTGAAATTAAATATAACCCCACCATACCTCCTATTTCTCTTACGAGAAATTAGTTTCATTAATTTTGTTGTATTTTTTTTTTTTTTATTTGTTAAATTTCTGGGTTTATTTATGTGGATCGTATTACATACACAATGCATTATAGGTTATGTGCAAATGGCAAATACATACCATGCATGGATTATTTATTGTCCTATTAAAGCAAGCCAAAACATTCGATTACTAGTATTATTATTACTACTCAACAATTCCTTATCGTTATTATTCTGTATAGAATAATTAGAAAAGAAGTCAACAACGAATTGAGATTATCGATGGATGAATAAATGAAATACTACAGTTAAACTTAAACACAAACTTTGTTTCTTTAACGTAGAAGTAGAAGTAGTTAATTAAAAATATTATTTGCTCTTTTTAAGGTTATAGTCTATTCTTTTCATTTCTTGTCCTTGATTTCAACAATTAAGGTTAATTGAATCCTCTTACAAGAAAATAGGGAAAAATCGCCGTTTAACTTTGCCAAATAATGAAAGAAAAACTGATATTAGTAGTGCTAGTATTAGTGGTGATGGTGGGGGTTGTGGAGAGATAAAAAAAAACCATGACAAAAACCAAAAAAAAAGCAATCTTTTATTGAACCACATTGCTATTCATCAAAAAGTTATTCCGTTAATATCAATGGAAACTTTCTTGGAACCACTCACCTTCCATCTCTTACACTTATAATATCAACTCCCCTCTCTGTCTGCCTCCACAGACTCTACCAATTCATATAAAAGAAAAAGAAACGCATATTGATACATCTATTCTTCCGATTGAACTCTAATTTAATGGTTACTTTTTTTTTTCTTTTGTTATTGTTGGGATATGATGGAGTGTCATAAATCCAGAACAGAAAACAGTTTTACGTTTAAACATATTCGATGGTGATGTTATACATATATGAAACATTCTTGTTAATTGTTCATTAAGAAATTAAAAGTCGTGTAATGTACCGTTTGCGTGTGTGAACCAAAACACCAAAAAACATAATCATGAACCCTTTTAGCCATTGATAATAGGGGGAAAATAATAAAAGATAAAGAGAAATTGATGGATGGATCCTACTTGTTCATTGTAAAACATTTAAAGTTTATACTTTGAAAATCATCGTTTCGAATTATTTTGTTTCTAGTTATTATTGTTACTATTATTATTTTCAGATTTTTCAAGAAGAATTGCAGTATAATGTAACAACGATAAGACAATAAAAAAAAGGAGTAGAGTTAGTATTGAAAGAAATTTTCATATCGCCACGATGTTTATTGAATCTTGAAATGTAACCAAGTTGAATATAAATTCAATTGGTTACTTGATTACACAAAAAATTAAATCAATCAGATTTTATATTCCAATTTCAATATAATTCACTCTTCCACACTCTTACTTGTTAATCAACGAGATATGACAATATCTTAAATCAATTTCTGTTCTCATATAAGCAAAAGAAAAGACGTATCTCATTACCCTCCTCCATCTCTCCCCTTGAAGTGTTATAATAGCACGGCTGTGTATTGAGTAGTTACATATTACTACCATATTGAAGTTGAGATTAAGGAGAAAGAAACGTGGAGATTAGGTATTACTAAAGATAAGGAACTAAAATAGAAAAAAAGAAAGGAGAAATCTAAATGAACATCTCTCTCTCTCCTCTGTACTCTTTATTCTTCTTGGACCCGCCTTTTTACATATTTCGGTTAAATTATTCATTTATGGCAATAGCATTATTTATTTGGTTTCATGCTGAAATTCCTTATCCTCCCCCCCCCCAACCCCCACAAGATCTACTTTTGATAAATATCTTTATAGAAAGTAGAACTTTTCCATTTAGTAGTTGATCAATACTAAAGTGCAATTCACAGCGAGTAATGACCATGTGTAATATATTTATGAAACCTATTTTTAATTGACTAATTAATATTGCAGAAGATATCACACTATAATTGCAGTTAATGTATAATTATGTAATCCTGTTAATGGGGATAGGCTTCTATATTACAATTAATTCTAGATTCATAAAAGATATTAACCGTTACTCTTAGATCTCTTTTTTTTATTTTTAAAGAAAGCCAATCAACCCCCCCCCCCTTGAGATGAATAATTACCCCTTAAAAATTATCGAAATTCGAATGAAAATGGCAAGATATAAATTGCAACCTTATTTACATATCTGATGAAATATTGACATTTTAACAGGTCAGAAAATTCATTCTACTTCATTTGCAATAATAAAAAATAATATATAATTAACATTAGACATGGTATTTAATAAGAATAATAATAATAATAATAATAATAAAAATGAAACAAATTATAACAAATTAACAAAATAGAAAAACTAAGAACAAAACGATTTCAACGTAATTGATGATGTTAGAATGGGGGGAAAAAGGTAAATAGGAAGAATCTATTCAATTCTTCTTTAAAATAAATGGGGGGAGAATAATGATGAGATATTTCTAGTGTAGATTTATCTAAACAGAATCTTCATCGGAAACTTTATGATTTCTTTTAATTTTAAAGAATCTAATACCACCAGTATGATCTTCATCTTTAATATCAGCAGAAGGAGGATTAACTCTTGTGAAACTAGATTCATCACCATCATTTGGACCAAGAATTGGAACACCACCATTAGCAGCTTGTTTTTCGGCTTTAACTCTATTCATGTGTTTTCTATAACTATTAGCGATATTAGCTGAGAAAGTCAAGACCCAACAAATTAAAATACAAACAAAAGCAGCCCACATAATACCCATTGATTTAGCACCAACATGAGCATATCTATCAGCATTTCTGAAAGCATTTTTAGCCAATACAGTAACACCAGTTTGCATAGCAGCAAAACCAGCCATGAAAATTAAAGCAATAGTAATTAAAATAATAACAACTTTATCAATAATTTCAAAACATAATCCTAAAATATCAATAATGAAAGCTAAACCAACAAATGCTAAAGCAATTAAACAGAATGCAAATGAAAATCTACTTAAATAATAAAAAGTATTTTCGTTATTAAGGAAATCTTCAGGAACATTTTCAGTAGTACCAAAATTATCTTGAGGATCAATTGGATAAGCTGGACCTAATAAACAATTTGAAAAATCATTTTTATCACAAACACCCCAAAATGTCCATGCACTTCTATTAGCTGGAGCATTTGGAATATCTGAAGTATCAGCTTGTAACCAATAAAATTTATTTAATGGTGCATGTTTTGAAGAACCTGATAAAACAGTGAAAATTAATAATAATATGGCACCTGCCATAAAAAAAAGATTAACAAATGTAACAGCTACTTTCATATTTCTTATCTCTGTGTCTTCTTTTCTTTCAATTGACTTTTCAATGAATAAATATATAAATAATCAAATAAATAAATAAAGAAAAAGAACTGTCTTTAATAAATGAAAGAAAGAAGAAAGTTAAAAAAAAAAACAAAAAAAAAATAGCAAGTAAATTTTCCCTTTTACTAAAAAAAAATAAAAAACAATCGATGAATTAATGAATGGAATGAAAAAGAAGATGATGATGATGGTTGGTTTGTGTGTGTGTGTGTGTGAGAGGTGGGAGGTGGAATTTCAACGTAAACAAAAGAAAATTTTCCCTTCGAGAAATTGTCTTTGTGTAATTTATATGTGAGTCGTGTACCAGATGAGAATTCTACTCTATTTTTGTTTTGCTCTCTTCCCAATTAGGATATATTTGTTAAATATTGCACGACTTGATGTTCCTAATTCAGAAAATGTACGGCTTATTCTGGTGATTTAAAATTGTTCTATTACCAATGAATTACGGAAAATCAAAGACGAAGACAAAGAAAAAAAAAAAAAGAATATGAGAGTGTGTCCATTAAGCTAGATGAGAGAAATCATTGAGTAGTGGATTAATTATAACTTCTATTAAAATCAATTGGAATAGCCATAATCACCATTGTGTGCGTGGATATATGTGAGTGTGTGTTGGCAAGTTCTAATTTTAGACCTCACAACCAAGAAACAATGGTACGGTAGTGGTAGTGGTGGTGGTAGTAAACCGCTGGCGGTAAAAAAAAGAAAGAAAAAAAAAAGAAATTGGTCACGTTTGGTCATACAACTCAAGCCCCTGAATTTCATACACGACCCACAAATTTCACTTAGACTAATAACTAATATTAAAATGTTTAAATATCCCAATCCTATATAAGAAAAAAAAAACTATCTATTTATTTACTCTTCCGTTTGTCTTTATCATCACCATCATCATCGTCATAACCCCATTTAGAACACCATCCATACCATGTTCTGTCTAAACATTTCTTTGGTGGCTCATCGTCTGTTGGAACCGCTGATGGAGACGATGATGATGATGATGAAGACGAAGACAATGTAGATTCTGTACTTGTAGTGCTAGTCGACGTTTTAAATGAATCATTACTACTACTCTTTAATGGATTTGGTTTTTTTGGTTCATCATCTTCTTTCTCATCATGAGTGACAAATCTCCAATTAAAACAATCTCGACATGGTGGCTGTTGAACACATGGTGCTGTTTCATTATAATCCAAGATTATATTATCAATAACCGTATGAATTCTATGGTTTAATAAATTCACAGACCATCCTTTATCTGTAACAACATCATAAACACATTGTAATCCAGTATGACATGATGTTTCCATGGCATATCCGGCTAAATTACATGAACTTGATGCTCCATTGCAAACTCCCATATAAATTGGATCAGCGGTGTTTCCAAAATGCCAGATATTCTCCATGTATTTAGGAATTCCCGGTGGTGATGGCAAATGTAACCTATTAGTAGCCAACATTTCTCCTGGAGCCTCGAACGCAACAGCTGGTAATCCAAATGTTCTACCCAACAATGAAGCTAATGCTCCTCCTAATGAATGTCCCGTAACCCAAATATCAGTGGTTTCTGGTGGATAAATTGCAGTGACATTACGATATAATTCCAAGACTGCTTTATAATATTTATCTTCTCTACGCAACTCCTTTTCAAGGCAATCTTGATTACATGTATATGTCTTTTCATAACAATCACAAACAGTGGTCCACATATAACTAATTCTTGCACAACAACATGAAAATAATAAATTATCATTGGTTTTGTCGTTACCCCCGGTTTCATCACTTCCTCCTCCTGGCAATCCTGCTCCTGAAGTTCCTTTAATTCCAACAACTACTGTCTTGTTATCTTTACTAACAAATACATGTCCTCTTAATCCAATGTCATCCCAACCAAAGTTAATATCACTATTCTCACGGTTAGGATCCCAATCACCTAAATCAATCCAGTCAGATTTCTTCTTTTCATCATCATTTTTAGGATATCTCACATATGCATTGGATGAAATTGTAGCCAAAGTAACAACAGTATCTTTATCAGTAACATTAGGTATTTTAATATCATTAAATTCCCATTCTAAATTAATTCTATTCAATATACTTGCGTCACCTCTAACATCTCTCGCATAATCAAGATAAGATTCAATGAAACCAGGTGTATGTCTTTCTTTTAATCGAGTTGATTCACTAGTACTTTTCTTAAATGGTAATTCAATAGTGAACGGATTCTTCCCTTTATAATATTCCGGCCAATCTGATTGCTGGTATATTTCATCTAAATTGGAATCAACAGAAATCTCTCCTCTTGATGGTTGTTGCAATTCTTGAACAAGAGTATTGAAATATGATTCATGTTTTGACAAATATTCAGGAGTTATATCCAATCTACGATGAACTTTATAATTCTTGGGACCTGTTCCATGATGAAATATATGTTTTAATTGTAATGTTGACCCATCATCTACTTCTTGTTGTTGTTGTTGTTGTTGTTGTGATAGTAGGAACGTTTCCTTTATTCGGAAAACAAATGACCATTTTGTGATTATAAATAAGATGGCAACAGTTAAAAAACCAATAAGAAAGCGCCAGATAGATACCAGACGATTCTTTCTTACTCGTCTACGTTTCTCTAAACTCATATTGTAAATGGGATCTAATGGTAGGTATAACAAAATAATAAGTATTAAAAAGATGTGGAGTAGCAAAGAAAGATGTGGATTTGGTTTTCATGATCTTTTTTTTTTTTCCTTTTGGATTTCTTTATCAGTTAGAAATTATTTTTTTTTTGTTCTCCTCTTGGTTGTGTTGCCCCTAATCTCGCAGAAATCACATATTTTTTTTTTGTTGGGAGGAAGAAGAGACCACGGGATCGGACATTCCTAACATTTTGCAACACTCACACACACACACACACACACTGAAGAAGAAACTGCAAAACAGCAATCCACAACGTTTAATAGTTTCTATTATTCTGGTCTATATATATACTACACCATTATCCAGCTTATAATCTATCGTTAAATACTCCTTAGCTGCAACTATTCTAATATCCTTAACCACACTTGGTTCCTCACCTGTTTGTTGAATCTCATCTTTGAAACTAAACTCAAGAATCTTGTTTAATTTAGTCAGGACATCATTCAACATTTCTGGATTTATACTATATTCATAATTATAAAACTCATTTGCCATTAATGCTGTAAATAAATCACCACACCCATTAAAATTACAATCTATTTGATTTATTGGAATATAAAATGTACTCTTTTTGGTAGATCCCACACAATATAACTTGTTGTTTATGGATACAGATGAAATCACAATATTTTCAATATCATAGTCGTTTCTAAATTCTTCAATTGCAGATTTGACATCCTCCCATGTATTTATTTTAACCCCACACAATGTTTCAAATTCAAATTGATTTGGAGTAATCAACGAAACTAACCCAGTAGAGAAAATTTCCTTATACACGGGAATGACTTTTTCATCAACGTAAATCTTTCCATTATCACCCAATACTGGGTCAACAACCCAATGTGGTTTCTTACTGGATTGATTTTTATCTTGAATCGATTTAATTAATTCATCTTTAACCACAGTTAAAACCCTTGCATTGGGTGTATACCCAGTTAGTATTATATCATAAGTCACCTTGAAATTTAAGATCTTCTGTAATCCTTGAATGATATCTTGTATCAAATCTGGAGATGTTGCAATTCCAGTTAATGATCCATATCCAGGATGATTCGAATAATTTGTGGTGTTTATAGCATCAACATCCCACCCTGTATATTGCAATGGGAAAACTGTTGCCCTATTACCGACATATCCGTGAACAACATGCGACAGGATCGATAGTAAAGCTTTCATGGGTTCTTTATCGGACATTAATGTTTGTAAATTTCATCTCAAAATCATCTTGCTCGACGATATCAAACAAAAAAAAAATGGCAACCAACAAAAAAGAAAAAAAAAAAAACAGAATTAAGCGACAGCATTTTTGTGCATATCGACACGACGATAAATCTGTGATGACAAATATAAAAGGACTCAAAGCAGAGATTAATTCAGATTACTGTAAGCCAAAGAGAAAAAGGCAAGATAATTAAGAAACAAGGCTTGATTATCAGATTTTGTGAAATTATGCTAAAAAAGACTAGAATCTAGTTTAATAGTCCATAAAGATCTAACGGAGTTAAAGGCTGGAAATTGCACTGAACTATCTTACACGACCATACATTTAAATGAATTTTAGTACAGTATAAATAACTAAAAAAAAATTACACTTTGTGTATTCGGTAACAACTCACTCCACTGCACTGCATAGCACTACACCGCACAGCAAAGAACTGTAAAGCAGAAGTAAAATTACTTACAGTTGGAATACAAGAAAGAAAAAAATAAAAGGTTGTTTTTTCTCTTTATTTTTTAGGTGTGCATTTGTTAAATTATAGTGAGAAGAGAGAAGTCAGATCTTGCGTGTTCACTTACATTTTCTCTTTCTCTATTTAGTGTGTTGACAGTCGTCGTGTTAAACTGGAGAGGCGAAAACGATTTTGTATATTTTTTTTTTTTTTTTTATTTTTTTACAACCCAGAAAACGAAAACGAAAACGAAAACGAAAAAAAAAAAAAATCCCAGACAACATCATCATTTTGAATTTGGTTGTAAGAATCAAAGACAACAATAAGTAAAACAAAAAAATGCCCATTAAAGAGTCTGCAACAATTGATGTTGGTTATCCGATCTATGGAGTCAAGTTTATGAATAGTAAAACTCTTGTGGTTGCTGGTGGTGGAGGTGAAGGTAATCATGGGATTCCAAATAAAATTAATGTTCTTAAATCCAATTTTAAAGTGTCTGATTCCAAAAGAAGATTACAAAGATTTAGAGAAATCACATTGCCTTCAAATGAAGATTCCCCTCAATGTTTGGATACTGCTAAATTGGTTGGTGAAAATGAATTCAACATTATTCTTGGATGTAATCAAAGTTCCCAATTACTTAAATCAATGAATATCAATAACAATATTAGAAAATATGCTTATTCTGGTGATGAACATATTAATTTTGTTGATGCAGCACAATTTGAGGAAGAGGTAAGTTCGTCCTCGGAAGATTATCCAAAAATCATCAGGTTATCTCATGATAATAGTATTGGTGCATTTATGACATCAAGTGTCCCATCATCAATTTATATCTTTAACCCTGATAGTTTGGAATTGAAGTATAAATTTATTCCAAAAAATGAATCGGAAATCAAGGATTTGGCATTAAGTACTTATAATGGAGCATCATTGGCTTATGTTACTGCTTCTTCCATTGAGATCATTGACACCAACTCCAGAGAATCGATTTTTTCTTCTGTTTCAGTTGCAGCTTTAAAAAAACAATTGAAAGGTTATATATTATCAAAAGTCAAATTTATTGATGAAGATAAACAATTGTTGATTGCCGCTGGTTCTCGTGGAGGTAAAGGTGCTGTTTTATTCAAGTTTAATATTGCATCTAAGAAAATCACTCAATTTCAAACCGTTTCCAAAAAATTTTCCAATATTGTTGCTTTAGATGTTACAGAAAACCAAGAGTTAATTGCTATTGCTGGAAATGATTTATCTGTTACCTTGATTAATTTATCAACATTAAAAGTAATTCAAGTATTCCATAAATTGCATTCATTTGCAATCACCAGTCTTTCCTTCTCCCCAAGTGGGTTAAAATTGGCAAGTGGTAGTGCTGCTAATACTTTGCATGTGTTTAAAATCCCATCCAAGTATCGTAAAGGTAATTCAATTATTGGTACATTATTACAATATTTGTTCACCATTGTGTTGGTTGTTGCCTTGGGTGTTGGTGTTCAAAAATTGAATGAGACTGGACAATTACAAGATATTCTTTCAAATTCTAAACAATACACTGATGTTGCACAAGAATATGTTAAATTAGGTTATGATTATGCTCATCATTATGGTACTATTGGTTATTCAATTGCAGAAGAATATGCAAGAACCTATGGTAATCAAGGATTACAATTCATCAAAGAAAAATTAAATAAAGATGAATCACAAGGTTCTTTAGAAGCATCTACATTGAATGATATTGTGAATGAAGTTACCAAAAACATTGATGAAGAAATAACCAAATCTGATTTCAATTCTGATGAATTTTTACAAGACAAGGATAACTATATAACTACATCAATCGGAAACCATTACCAAGAAACACCAAAAGTTGAAACTTCAATTGTGTCATCTTCAGAAATAGATACTTATTTAGAAGAGCCTCATGTTGTCGATGGAAATAACGATACATCAAGTGAACAACAGCAACCAACTTTTGTTAACCGTGAATCTGTTTTACCAGAAAGTCTTCAAGCAATGTTGGAAAAACAAACTAAATCTTCCACCGAATCAATTGCACCATCTAGTGAAACCGTTGTCGTTGAAGAAGTTGTTGAAAGAGATGAACCAATTGTTGATGCTGAAGCTGTTGTTGAACAACAGAAAGAAGAACAGGTTTCTGAACCAGTTGTTGAACAAGTTCCTGCTCCAGAAGTAAGCCAACCGGTTGTCGAAGAAGAAATTATTATTGAAGAGCCAGTTGTCGAAGAGCCAGTTGTCGAAGAATCAGTTGTCGAAGAATCAGTTGTCGAAGAAGAAATTGTCGAAGAACCAATTGTCGAAGAAGAAATTGTCAAAGAGAACCCTGTGACTGAACAGACCAGTAATGAAGAACTAGTTGTTGAATCACAGGAAGAAACTGTTGATGTTGTTGAACAACCTGAAGAGGAGCTGGTTAGTGATGAACCAAGAATTCATGCCGATATTGAAGAACCAAACTCTGCTTCCGCTATTGAATCAGAAGCTGTGAATGAAAAAAAGCCAGTCGAAGAAATTATTGAAGAGGTTGTTGTTGAAGAAGAACAATCATCGCAAGAACCGGTTGAAGCTGTTGTAGAAGTCGAAGAAGAGGTTATTGAAGAAGTGAAAATTAGTCATGAACCTAAACAAAAATCTACTACTCAAGAAGAACCTGCTATTGAAGAACCTGTTCAAAAAGAGCCAGTCTCTGAAGAACCCAAACAAGAAGAACCACAAGCTGAAGAAGTTATTGTCGAAGATCCTCAACCAGAAGTAGTGGAACAAGTTATAGAAGAGGAAATCGTCGAAGAAGTTCAAGAACAAGAAAATGAACAAGAATCACAAGCTTCTGTGGAACACGTTGAAGAATCAATAGTAGAAGTTCCAACTCCAAAGTCTTCTGTTGAAATTCCACAAAGTTCACAAGTCTTAGATAAACAAAAGGAAAAAATTGTTGATGCTGTACCAGCTGCTGAACCAAAGCCAGAAGATGTTATAGAAGAGAAAGAACCTAAAGTTGTTGAAGCTGTTCCAGAATCCACTCCTAAAGTTCAAGAGGCGGATGTTGAAAAGGAAGTCCAACAGGAACCAGTTAAACAACCAAAGGTAGAACAACCAAAAGCTGAACAACCAAAAGCTGAACAACCAAAGGTAGAACAACCAAAAGCTGAACAACCAAAAGCTGAACAACCAAAAGCTGAACAACCAAAAGCTGAACAACCAAAAGCTGAACAACCAAAGGTAGAACAACCAAAAGCTGAACAACCAAAGGTAGAACCAGTTTCTCAAAAAAAAGTGGTTGAAGAAGCTCCTGTTGTTCAAGAAAAATCCAAAGAACCTATTCCAGAACCATCCACTGTCCAAACTCCAATTATTGAGCAAGTCAAACCATCATCTGTCGAACAACCACAACAATCTACAACTTCCAAGTCTGAAGTCCAACAAGAATCGAGTAATACACAATCATCCGTAGAAACTCCAGCAAGTTCTACTTCCAAAATAGTTCGTACTAAAAAAGTTACCAGAACAATTATAAAGTCTAAACCAACTAATAATGCACCTGAAAAAGATGAATTATAATGTTAAATACTAATAATATAGATAGTAAAAGTTATTACAAGAGATAAAAATATAAATATAAACTATAGTATTCTGTTTCCGTTATCTTCTGTTCTTTTTGTGATTATTGCTCACACACGTCTTTGCGCGATGTAACGAAGAAAAAAAAAATCTAGAAAAAAAAAAACTCGTCTTCAATAATAATCTAAATCATTGCTTTGCCTACAGAACTACTATAAAGTATGGATATCAATGAATTAGATAATATAACTGATCCATCGGATTTCAAACTTACAAAATTACCAAACCTTTCCGAACTTGATTTATTAAAGAGGTGTTTTATATGTAAAGATTTTTTTCGAGCACCGGTAACTATATCAACATGTCATCATATCTATTGTTCACAATGTATTAGAGAGCATTTACTTCGAAAACCTAATTGTCCTATATGTAAATGTGAAATATTTGAAAGTAATTTAAGACCAGATCCATTATTGGAAGATATTGTACGATGTTATAAATTATTACGCCCTCAATTATTGACATTATTGAAAAACGAAGAACCAATAAACAAGTCGACTGATCTGAATGATCCGAATGATCAGCCCAAGGTAAATGATAAAGAAGATGAAAAATTAACAGAGATATCGGATATTAATGAAGAAGGACGCGTTAAGGAGGAAATAAATGGAAATATTAGTAATGGCGATGCGGGAAAAGATGGTAAAGTAGGGTCAGAAACTCCAGTGATGGATAATTCAATAGAAGTAATTGAAATACTATCTGATGATGGTCAAATTGTTACAAATAATACAAAGATAGGAACGTGTCCCATATGTCAGGAAAGGATGCCTATTGAAATCTTAGAAAGAAGACATGTTGATGATTGTTTAAATGGAAGAAAACCAAAACGAAATGCAGCACAAATATTACAACAACAACCTAGAAAGAAACAATCTAAAGGAATTACTTCTATAACAGCATTTTTTAAACAATCCACTAGTCCTGATACTACCAGTAGTCCTGAAACCACCACCATCACTCCTCCTCCAGGAACTCCACAAGACAATCATAAACCTGTTAAAAGCATACAGTCAGGACAATATGAAGATAAGGAAACACCTGTGATTAATATTCCTGCAAGAATTCCCAAATTGGATTTCCATAGTTTAACCACTCCTAAAGTAAAGGCAAAATTAAAGGAATTACAATTATCAACTACTGGAGATCGAAATGAACTAATGCGAAGATATAATCAGTATTTTGTGTTTGTTAATGCCAATATTGATAGTAACCATCCCGTTGATGAATCAACACTTCGTGATAGGTTAAGTAAATGGGAAAGATCATTCAAATCCAAAGCAAAGGATTCTCTTGATACTGATGCAAATTGGAAGAGTCTTGTTGCAAAGGCAAGACAATCAAAATAAGTTATTTATTAAATATTCTAATGTCATAAATATTAATGATAGATGTTCTATACGAATAGTAAAGGGCGTTTACGTGTAGCAAAGTTTATGTGTTTTCATTATATTTTGTGAGGGGAAAGCTACCAAATTGGCTGTTTCGGTTTTTAGCAGAATGTAGCATTTTTTTTCAATGAAGCAAAAATTGACTTTTAAACACAAGAAATCGATCGGCATTTTGCAATCCAACACTGGATTTATTATTTATTTTTTTTTTTGTACTATCGAATGAATATTGAGATGTGATTAAATACGCTATTAAATGAACAGCATTTTATTGTCGTCTATATGGGCTTTTGTATACTTTTGAGCTCAACAGTTTTAAACAAAAATAATTGTGGATTTGGTTGTATAGATATAGGAGAAGTGAAATCTTAATTGCCGCGCGAATTTATTTTTCTTCTATTTTACATTCAATTCTCCGAAAACACCTTATTATTATAGATTTGTAATTTCATAAATAACAGCTAACCATTATAGACAAAGTTGATAGTTGAATTATATGAACACATGAGTTGACAGTGAAATAAAAAGTTAGAACGATCAAAAATTTGCAGCGTTAATTATTACTATTTTAAGGCAATCGATCCTTGTGATATTGGACCAAAAAAAAAATTGATTCATTTGAAGATACACAATGCCAAATCGCCTAAATGGCCAAATGAATAAGGCCATTGAAGAGCAAAGCAAATTCAATATTAAAATAAGACAAAGTGTGGAAAAAGAAATTTTTGTTTGGTTCATTTACGTACGTTCTGCTATTTCGGATGATAATTGTATTGTATTGTATTGTATGAGATCGTCATCAATCCGACCGATCACCAAACAAAAAAAAAAAATTCCTCAGAGATATAAACCCTCATTATATATATATTTCTTCTTTTGTTCTTAGCTATAATATTGTTTAAATGCCTCGGAACCAGGCATAAGTAATTACACCTCCATTCATAATCACAGCCATTATACCATTATTCGTTTCCCCCCTCATCCTCCTCCCCACCTTCTTAATACAACACAGCTCCCCCACTTGCTCATAATCACAACTTCTCCACTAGGTCATAATGTCAATGGATGATAATAATTATTTAACCACTTATGAAGCGGCACTTGCAGTGGTAGCAACAGCTATGAAAAAGGCTCGGTTAAGAATAGATGTTTTAATACTAAATTCTATACTAGGCGGAATGTTTTTCGCTACTGGTGGAATGCTTCATCTTTTAGTACAAGCAGGATTTCCTGATTCACTACAGAAGAATCCTGGTGTAGTCTCAATTCTAACGGGGTTTTGTTATCCAATTGGTTTATTTTATGTTGTTATTCTAGGTGTAGATTTGTTCAATTCAAACATATTATTTTTCAGCACTGGTATTTGTCGAAGAGCCGTATCTATTTGGGATTTACTAATTAGCTGGATAGTTAGTTGGTGGTTCAATTTAGTTGGAAACATCTTTGTTTGTTATGTGATTTGTACATATTCTGGAATTACAGAAGAACAACAAATGATAACTGCAAGTATAGAATTACTTGAGAAAAAAGTTCTGTTTTCATTTATTCAATCATTTATCAAAGGTATAGCGGGAAATTTTTACGTTTGTTTAGCCATTTTCTTACAATTGATGGCTAAACCATTGCATGTCAAATTTTTAATGATGACTTTACCTGTTTTCACTTTTGTGTCCTTTGGGTTTACCCATTCAGTGGCAGATATGTTTGTGATTGTTATTGGATTAATTAATGGTGCTCCTGTTAAAGTGGCCACAGTTGCTTGGAAATTATTTCTCCCTGCAGCCCTTGGAAACATGGTTGGAGGATCCTTTTTCGGTATTGTTATAACTTGGTACTTGCATATATTTGTTGTTGAACAAGATAGAAAGAAATTAGAATTACCAGAATACGAATTAAGAGATGAACAACCAGAATTGAATCAAGATTCAAGAGTTGTTAGACAAAAGAAATCAAAATTTGATGAAGATGTCACTAAACTGGATGAAAGTACTGGAGATTCTGAAGACACACAACAAGAAGATGATATGGATCCAATTCCTATTTATGATGAAGTCAGTATACCACTGGCCATTACTCAATTAAGACCAACGGTAACTCGATCAAGAACTAGATCCAGTACAGCCACAACAAAAACAACTAGGAGTCCTAAGAATGTTTTCCCAGTTTATGGAATGGGTGCTCCTTTACAACGTGAACGAACAATTGCAGGTCAATTAGAAAAACCGAAAAGTAGAGCCTCGAGTGATGGTTATCCTTTTGCTAATGATGATAATGATGCTGAACCAGAAGCAGAATATATTGGATCTCAACTAAAAAGAGTATTTACTCAAAAATCACGAGTCCTGGATTTGGAATCCGGTAATAATAGTCCTAGAATACTAACACCAAGATCATCATTCACGAGAAGAAAATCCTCTCAATCCGATAGATCATCTTTGAGACTAAGTGCCGAAAACTCCCACCAGGAGAAAGACCTTGGAGATGCCACTAATTCATCCAAGGAAAATTTAGATCGAATACTGGAATAGTGTACTAAGGAGTGTTTATAGATATTTAGTTTAATATATTTATTTATTTATTTATTTTAGAAAAAGAGTGGTGTGCACAGGTTATAGTGTGCTTTTATGGGTTGAAAAAAATTATATGGAGGAAGCAAAAAATATAAACTGGACGAGATAAGAGTCGAACTCATGACCTTTTGCTTGCAAGGCAAACGCGCTACCAACTACGCCACACGCCCTAGTTTGTTTCCCTGTTGTCTCGCCTCTGGTTCCTCTCGAGCCTGTTTCGGTGGCTGGCTAATTTAATGTATTGTGATTCTGAGTGTCTAATGGCTATCCTTGGTATCTTCACCTGTGTTATTATGTTGCAGCAACTCTCAAATGCCCTCTGACTCTAAATACATCATCATTCAGCTAAGTTTCACTATTATGAATTTACATCATTTTTGGCACGAAAATCACCTGAAACATTACACATAGAAAATACAACTCTTGAAACAAACAACCAACATTCAATTAATGATTCTGAAATTGCACGGAAATCAGTTTGGAATATTCGCCCTGTTGTCCAATTACAATCTCTATAGTGTTTTGACTCACAGCCATTGCTACATGCTGATTATTGTTTGGTACAATCCATAGTCAATCATGCACGCAAACAGCTTTTCGGCCGGAAAAAGCACAGCAAAAAAAAAAAAAAAAACTAAAAAATCGGCCGCTCTTCACAAACCCTGAATAAAAAACAATCACATTACCTTGTGAACAAACATCGACAACCATCCAATATGGTAGAAAAAAGACAGCAGAGAAGAAGAGCAGTGTTGGCATGTACAAACTGTAAACGGAGAAAACTCAAGTGTGATCACCAACTCCCTTGCAGCAGCTGTCGTAACACAAAGAGGGCGATTCCCGAATGCACCTATGAAGTGATGGACGATAAGTCAGCAACTGACCAGCAGTCACTGCAGTCTGGAGTCAGCTTGAACACAAGTCCCGGAAGTAATCCACAGAACTATCTATTGGCTGCAGTCAACCAAGCAGCAACATCGACGAACCCAATAGTCAGTCCCACTAGTCAAGAACGGTATTCATCAAGCTCAGCAACCGACCCCAGCGTTACTAGCAAAAGTTCACACTGGGATAAACCTGCTTCTGCTAAACAACCACAGACTAACGAGTCATTGGTGGATCTTCTGGACTTTATTCACATGAAGGAGTTCAAAGGCAGCCGTGTGTTCTTTGGACCAACATCGTGGAAGACATGCATCATGTACTGGTGCAAGACCATTCCTGTAATGAGCGATATCCTGGCCATCACGGTGAGGGAAATGATGTCGTTGAAACTACCAGAGAAGGAGGGGGAACAAGCAGATACTAGTCCAACATACCACATTACCAGTCTACTTCCAGACTACGAGGAGTCCATTGTCCTTCTCAAGTCGTTCAATAGAGACACGTTCTTCACAAAATGTTTCAACCACGACACCATAGCCAGATATGTGCATGAAGTGGTAACACCATCGGGACCCAACTTACAAGCACCAAGTGCCAATCTCAGCATTGTTCTATCGATCAAGGCGTTGGTGTCGTTCTTCAACGGACAGGTCCCAGATACCCGATTGCTAGTGGCCTCCAGGTTATTCTTGTTCAAGACGGACCTCAAGTCCAACTTTGCCACGTTGACTGCGCTTTTGTTGTTGTACGAGTGCCGTAAGTACGACTGCAACATAGACTTTGAGGAGGCGGTATCGTATGACCAGAGTCTTTTCTCCACCATCATTACACTTGGGTTATCACTTGGGCTCCATCGAAACATATCCCAACTTCATTTAGAAGACCCGCTCAACATGGCTGCCATACAGCACACATGGAAGTTCCTCATGCTTGAAGACTCGTTGAGAAGTTTCCAGAGGGGATTGCAGCCGATGATCAACGACAACTACACGGCCAACAGAATGCTCCATTTGGTTAAAACAAGATGCACATCGTCTATTCTCACGTTCAGGAAGGTCAACGATGAGATCAATCTGTGTGTGGCAAGCGAGAGCGTGGACTTGGACTCGGCGTTGTCGTCCATAGAGATGTTGATGTTTGAGACGCCTCCGACAGACCATGACGATATGCATCTACAGTTGTTCTTGTACACATACGCCCAGACGATCACCACCATCCGGTACTTGAAGAACAAGAGCGGCAAGAATCGATACGCGGCCTTCAGATACAGTTTGTTGCTTTACAAGTTGCTGAAGGAGATGCTCTTTGATTTGATTGATTCTTCAGGACGCATCATGCCAAGCCTGTTTTACCAGGAAATCAAGGAGTCGATATTCCGGGCCACGTTCTTTTTGCTTGTGCTCGTGCTTCAGCTGTTTGATAACGTGGAGAAGGTTGCTGGTCACCTACCGTACCAAGAGGTGTTGCTCTCCAGAATAGATGCTTCTACAGACGTGTTTTGGTTGATGTATACTGTGACACACGAGGTGCTGGCGACAATCCTGAAGATGACCAACGTGAGTCTAACAGCAAGGGCCATGATCATATTCATCAACCACATTTTAACCTACGTGATGGGTGAGATCGAACAGAGGGCAGCTCCAGCACAGTTGACACCCGACAGTTTTAATTTTTCACCAGTGTCACTACCAGATTTGGATCTCGATTTATTCCAAAACGACAACTGGGGGTTGTTCTAATAGAGTTTATTTGTAGGTGTGTAAACATTGTGTAAGTGTTATTGCTAATAGCAAATCTATTTGACTACATGATAGCTGCAATGAATGCCAATGACCAGGTTCTAGGTGATACATTTATTAGAACTATACCCATTCTGTTTTATACTTTACATAAATATAGTGCATTGACTGTGACCTAACCTTCAGAATGCACTCCCTATTTCTTTTATTACGGTGTCAAGAAACTATATGTGAAAAATAGCACAAAATGCATCACCAAATTTCACCTCATATTTAAGTTTGTGTAAGTATCCAAGACAGGGTTGGCATGATGAAATGATTTGATAATAAATTGTTACATTTATTGTTAATCCCTTATTTCTTCATTTATTATTTATCCTTGAATGTTTCATAATTTCCAATAGGCAGTATGGGATGAAATTCCAGCTTCTCGATTTGTCTGTTGAGGGGTAGCATATAAAATCTGGCATATTTGTTCGCTGTCAGTCATTTAGATTCTTTCGTGTTCTTTTTTTTCCAGTTGGTATTTTCATTTTAGTCAAAGTAACCCAATACTACTAGTGTTACGTTTGAATCCTAGTAATTGAATTATAATGGGTAGAAAGAATTCAAAGAAGCAACCAACGAAGAACTTAGAGCAAGTATCTAATACCCCTAAGATTTCAGAGTTTGACGAGCTTTTCATGAAACTATTAAAATAACCATCAAAAATTATTAAGCATGTTTTATCCTACATTCGAAAGGATCATTTACACATATTTTTAGATTGTAACAGTTTGATTCCGTTTATTTTATCCTATATTGAAGAGAAAGTTTGGATAGTAGAGGAACAACCTTATATAAGTGGACCACTTAATTGGGAAAGGTTTGAGCCTATCACATATAATTCAATGACAATTATGATGGATGATTTGAAGCAACTCATGAATAAGTATGGAGTAATTCCAAAGGAAGCCATAATTGACCTTTCTGTGTGTCTCAACGAGCACCCTCGAGGAGAATGGATCAAAAATAATGGAATCGTGATTGGTTCTGATTTTGAGCACCCAGATGAATACTATCCTTCATATGAAATTGTAATTTCCTATTGGTGCTCATTTTACCTGGAAGTCTTGACAAAGGTGAAGAAATGGCACGTTATTGATGATATTCAGCTGATTTCCGCACATTATGTTCTTGAAAAAGTCAAACCTTACATGGATTTGAAATCAATTTCCTTGGACTTTGAAGAGTATCAAAGACATTTAAATGATGAGGCGAAAGCAAAAATTTTTACTACTCTTCCAGATTCAGTCCTCAATCTTCTGATCTCACTGTCGAATACCACCATGAATTTCAGTCTTCTCAATTATCCACTGTTAAAAAAATTGAAATGTCCAATTACCTACGGAAATGATATTTATCAACTACCAACCACACTTGAATCTTTGGAGGTCTACAGTATAAAGGGCTATGATGATTGTATTACTTTTGAAGAGTCTGATAAAATGTTCTCCAATTTGACACATTTTATAGTAGTTGGTAATGGTGAATTTGAAGACGCAGGAAATGCAATTAGGCTGATGCCAAAATTATCAATATTTGAGTATGAAAATTGGAACAATGGCTGTGATATCAACGAGTTGGGTTTACCAGAATCAACCATCACCTCACTTACCTTGAAACTTGCAGTAATTACTGGTTTTTATTCTCATTTGAAGTTGTCGAATTTACAACACTTAACAATTGGTGGTGAAGATTTCCCAAAGGCATTATTCTTTTCAGGAAACGAGCTTCCAAGATTAAAGAGTTTTGCATTTGAAGAATATTCACTGCGTGGTCGCATTGAAAACTCAGGCAAACTTGTGTTTCCACAAACCTTGAGAAGCTTGTCAATTGAGGCTCACTTTGGAATTCTGGGTTTGATATTGCCACCGAAGTTACGTTCATTGTCCTTGATTTACACCAAGTTTAGACAAGGAATGATGTTCAAGCTTCCTGAAAATTTGAATAAATTAAAAATTTGCGGGACAGATATAAACAATTTAAACAATCTTCACTTTCCATCGGGGTTAATGAGCGTTGAAATTGATTACAATTATAAGTTGAAATCTATGGTGCACACCAATTTGGGTGAACTCAAAAATTTATTCTATGTGAGAATTAATAACAACGATCTATATGACATAGATGAGCCAAACAAGGAAAATAAGTATAAGCTTAATACTTTAGATAGTAATTATTCTGACGGAGAGTCATTTTATCAAAAGTATGCTGATTTGACAGGTGATCCAAATTGGCTCGCAAGAGAATACATGGATGATGAGGAAATTCAGGAATATGGTATTGATTCTGATTATGACTGGTTTTAAAGACATATCAGCGATAGTATTACTTGTGGAATAGAATTAACTAGGTTACATATATACAGTAATACATTCAGATATTGACACTGTTTTGTTTAGTTTAGTTACATAATTATTACATACGCAATATACACGAAGTTCTCTTGGATTTCAGTTTGGTAGCATACTAACTTTAAATCCCCTGGAAGTATATTAGGCATGGAAATCAATCTGAATATATTTCAATCTTAACTTCTGATCTTTGGACCTAAATATGTTTATATAGTCTCCCAGTGATTTGTATTATTCTATGTAATATATATCTACAATGGATATAGACATCTAATATGTCAGATACACCATCTTTGGTTTATGGCCAGATCTATCAACTGAATACCTTCCACCATCGAATTTCAACAGTATAAGTTTTGGAAAATCATCTAGTTTCAATAACCTAAATCCCAAAGGCATTTCTTTAGGGTTTGCACCACGTTCTGGTCTTGCAAATAATGGTGCTTTATTGTCCTTGTAGTGATGAATAATGGTTTCTAGTGATCTACTATGATGATGTATTATGTTATCAAATTCAAGACCAAAGGAATCTATTTCACATTTTGTTTCTAATCTAGTTAAACTATTGCTTCTCAAACCAAGCACGAATTGTTGAAACGAAAAATTTGCACTATCAACTATTCCAAATTCTTTCAAGTTTATGAAAAATTGTGCCATTCGAGTAAATGATGACATGTTAAGTGCGGTTTCTTGTAATATACTTAGTTTTGTGATTGTGCTGTAGTTAAAGTGACTCAACATGTCATTATAGTTCAATCCCGTTAAAATGATAGACTTGCAATTGATTTTATATGCCAGAAAATTAGCCTTCAGTGACAGGATCTTCATTTCATTAATTGAATATTCTGGAAGTGATAATGGAGTAATTGGAGGTTTTCCAAATTGACGAAAGTCATCCCCAAATAAGTCATGTTCGATAACCAGCCAGTAGGCTTGTGGCTGAGTGCCAATGGATAATGTTACACATACAACTCTGTTACCATTGAAAGGTGCAGCATCGTAGACTTGTACATCATTAAGGGTATGTTTCAAACGTTCAACATATTTCTCTTCTGTGGACAAAGGTCCCATAAATATTAACCTTTTGTTATATTCTGGGTCAAAGTATTGGGATCTAAACATATGGAAAAATGCATCAGACTTCACAAAAGTATAATCATTCCAAGACGATGGAAAAGAATAAACACTCTTATCTCTAGTCACAACCACAATTGAGTGCAAGAGAATATTCTTTACAGCATTGTCAAAATTGCTGTGGACCAATCGCATATTTGCAACATCTTTCTTGGTCAAATTCTTGAAAATGCAAACTAAAATTTCATCAGGAAAGTTAATGAACGGGCTTTCATCTTTTAGGGGCAAAAAGCTGAATTTTTTATTAGAGGGCATTAGGTGATGATAATTAGAAGTATATTGCACCAAAGTTTATTGTATGATTTTTTTTTCTCAGTGTTCAGTTTTCAGGGGTAATTGTACAATACATTCGTCAATTTTAATTTTTTCTTCACAATTCCGCTAAGGAAACAAAGAAATTTATACAGTTACACAAAACTCGTCTCATTAAAATCATTCCCAAATACCATTGGTCAACACCTAGTTATCAAATGTATGAATTACATTCTTAACCAAGGATTTATTGAGATTCCCCTTTTTTACCATACTAGTCAATATCTCATATGCAATTTGTGCTCCATTAGTTGCGGTTATTTCAGCAATATCATAGGCAGGAGAAACTTCAACTATATCAGCACCAACAACAGTCAAACCTTCAATTTGTCTTAAAATATGAATCAATTCTCTTGGTAACCAACCACCTGGTTCTTGAGTACCTGTTCCACTAGTGAAACCAGGATCTAAAACGTCCACATCAACCGAAATATAAGTTGGAGTATCTTTTGGAATTGTTTTCAAGATTTTGTTCACCACATATTCAGGTCCTTTTAACCATATGTCATCAGCTTCAATTCTGATAAAGTCTTGTTCGTCATCATCTTGTAAATCTTCGAGTCCAGAAAGCTTTGTTCTTAAACCTGCGTGAATATTGGTGTTGGTGGTCAATCCTTCTTCGTGTGCTTTCCACAACATAGATCCATGATTGATTTCATTCTGGTCGGATTCCCAAAAGGAAGGATACTTATCTGGTTTCCAAGTATCCAAGTGAGCATCAAAATGAATTATATTAAGTGGTCCATAGATCTTGTGTAAACCTCTGATATGTGGCAATAACACAGAATGATCTCCTCCCAAGGCAACGAATCTTGGAGGTACATCAGTATCGTTTAATGATTTCTTATCTAACAAATCCTTAAATGCTTCGTCCATTTGTTTAAAGGCCAAAGAATTGTCCATTGGTGTCACAGGGATATCCCCACAATCCACTATTTTTGCCCATGATTTATAAGGATTGAACAATGCACGAGGATTAAACCCACGCAAACTGGTTTGTCTTTGAGATGCATCTCTAATTGCACGAGGTCCAAAACGTGCACCTGGTCTGTATGAGACTGCTGTGTCAAAAGGAACACCAATGATACCAATATCAAATTGTTTATCTGATTCGATCAAACATGAGAAATGTTCTAAGTGAGCAAATGTAGCAACTCCTTGGAATGGCCAAAGGTCTCCCCATTTCTCAGCCAAATCTGTGGCTAATATACAAGGTAAAAGTGTGAGTAATAAGAACAATTGCATGATATTATGTAGTATTTCAGATCTATAAATAGTAATGAAATATTCTTTTTACTCTTTTTTTTATTGAGATTCAATGATAACGAATTGATCTCGTTTTTATACCAATGTCACTGATAAACAAGATAATTCCGTGTCTACTTTTGGACTAAAATTCCGTGCGGAATTTTTTCTTTTTTGTTTGTGCCAACCCGCTTAGATTTTTTATTTTCTTTGGCCGAATAGCGTTAAAAAATTAATTACGGTGTGACTTGAAGCACGTGATCTGCTATTGAAAACTAGATTCTAGCTTTGTGTTCTATATAACCGAAACAATGAGAAACGAAATTTCAAGTTACCTTAACGCAAAAATTAGCTTCACTTAACTTCTTGCCTTCTTTTCTTCTTTCCTGAAATTAACGGACACTATGGGATTAATTAGAAAGGCATTTAAGAAATTAGACTTGAATCACAAGTCTCGTGATCAGCAAGATTCAAACAATGATACTAGTCAACAGAATCAATCACTGGATAATAGTGCTCAAACAGCTGATGCCGGTTATAATCGACCACCAGCTCCACCACCGGCAAGTAATAATAATGAACGACAACAAAGTCAAAACTCTGCCCCTGAATTAGCTCCTAGACCAAATCAATCTCACCCAATTGATGGTGATGATATTTTATCTACCCCAATTGCTACTGGTCCTCCACCACAATTGTTCAACAAAGTTAGACACAATCAATTACCTATTGGATGTTGTTGTGAAGAAAAGGATGAACCAATTCATACAAACAGTTTCTATAACAATCTTACTATTGGTGATCAAATGATGCCTGTGTGGCCACTTCCTTATAGTATGTGGTATCTGGTAGATCCTGATCAAGATCATGGGTTTGCTTTCAATCACACTGATGCAGCACAGAGAGTATTTGGACCTGATCCCGATGCTGTTCCTGCTCAATTTTATTTCAACCCTCCAAAGATTAAGTCATGGGTGATTTCCGGTATTAATAACCCCAAATTGACTTTATCTGATCATAGATTAATGTCAGTAACTACTAGATTAGAAGGTGGAAATGGTAAAATTACTATTCCAATCGTTCAAGGTATGGGATTCATCACCGCCATCTATGAAAATGTGAATCCTGTTTTTGCATCCCAAGTCGGTGTCCAGGAGTTTAACAAAGTTGGAAATGTTGTCGGTAACGTTCAAAAATACACCGCCAAGTTGTTTAATCAAGTAGTTTGGTCAATTTACAGTACTGTCGATTTGTCTTTGAAAGATCCTAACCATGTGGTTGGTAATGCACCGGGAACTATTCAATTTGCTCGTGGTGATTCTCAACATTATGATGAAACTGCTGGTGCTTACGCCGAAAGTGCTGAAGTTTCTGCATCAGCCGATGGGGACAAAGGTCAATATAAATTCACTTACAACATCAAGGGTAACTCAAAATCTGGTAAAACGATTGTTTGGGCACTTCCACATCATCAAGAAGTTGTAATCAATACCCAACCAACTGATTTGACTCTTGACTCTCCAACTAAAGGAGTTATGAGATCTTATGTCACAAATGAACTTCTCATGCAAGAACAACTTCCAGTTGATATCATGTGGGAACCATGGGCTGTATTTTCTCCAAAGGCTAAATACTCAGATGATGCTAAGAACTTGATTAGAAAGGTTGCTGAGGAAGAAATAAAACAAGACGTTGTTGGTATGGCAAATATCGATTCCATGTATACGGCTGGTAAAGTTTTAGACAAGTTTGCACATATCGCTTATGTTACCAAATTTATTTTAAATGATGATGGCTTAACCAATGAAATCTTCCCTAAAGTGAAGCAAGCTGTTGAAATATTTGCTAAAAATCAACAACAATTTGGATTGGTTTATGATTGTACATGGAAAGATTTGATTTCATCAGCAGATCCTGCTGCTGATTTCGGTAATGCTAATTATAATGATCACCATTTCCACTATGGGTACCACGTTCATGCAATTGCATTACTTGCGAAAGTTGATCCAAATGTTTTGACTGACAATGATTCACTTCTTGGAAACTATGCGAAGGTTTTGCTTAGAGATACATGTAGTCCTCAAGTTGATCAATGGTTCCCACAATTCAGATCATTTGATTTCTTCAATGGTCATTCATGGGCTCATGGTATTTTCCCTTCAGGTGATGGTAAAGATAATGAATCATCTAGTGAGATGTACCACTTTGCTCGTGCCATCAAATTATTTGGTAACGTCTGTGGTGATAAGAGTATGGAAAAGAGAGGTGAATTAATGTTGGCAATTATGAAAAGAAGTGTTAACATGTATATGCTTTATTCTGATGACAACAAAATTCAACCACCAAATTTCATCGGAAATAAGGTTTCTGGTATTTTGTTTGAAAACAAGATTGATTATTCGACTTATTTCGGAAAAGGAACTATTGGGGATGAATGGATTCATGGTATCCACATGTTACCTATTACTCCTGTTTCATCATACTTCCGTAGCCCTCAGTTTGTTAAAGAAGAATGGGAACAGAAACTAGCTGCATGGATTGACCAAATTCCAGATGGTTGGAAGGGTATTTTGATGCTTAACAAGGCATTATTTGATCCTAAATCAGCATGGGATTGGTTTGCTAGAGATGATTGGAACCAAGCGCAAATCGATAATGGTATGTCCAGAACCTGGTCATTGGCATTCATTGCAGCTATCATGTAGTCAAATAGATTTGCTATTAGCAATAACACTTACACAATGTTTACACACCTACAAATAAACTCTATTAGAACAACCCCCAGTTGTCGTTTTGGAATAAATCGAGATCCAAATCTGGTAGTGACACTGGTGAAAAATTAAAACTGTCGGGTGTCAACTGTGCTGGAGCTGCCCTCTGTTCGATCTCACCCATCACGTAGGTTAAAATGTGGTTGATGAATATGATCATGGCCCTTGCTGTTAGACTCACGTTGGTCATCTTCAGGATTGTCGCCAGCACCTCGTGTGTCACAGTATACATCAACCAAAACACGTCTGTAGAAGCATCTATTCTGGAGAGCAACACCTCTTGGTACGGTAGGTGACCAGCAACCTTCTCCACGTTATCAAACAGCTGAAGCACGAGCACAAGCAAAAAGAACGTGGCCCGGAATATCGACTCCTTGATTTCCTGGTAAAACAGGCTTGGCATGATGCGTCCTGAAGAATCAATCAAATCAAAGAGCATCTCCTTCAGCAACTTGTAAAGCAACAAACTGTATCTGAAGGCCGCGTATCGATTCTTGCCGCTCTTGTTCTTCAAGTACCGGATGGTGGTGATCGTCTGGGCGTATGTGTACAAGAACAACTGTAGATGCATATCGTCATGGTCTGTCGGAGGCGTCTCAAACATCAACATCTCTATGGACGACAACGCCGAGTCCAAGTCCACGCTCTCGCTTGCCACACACAGATTGATCTCATCGTTGACCTTCCTGAACGTGAGAATAGACGATGTGCATCTTGTTTTAACCAAATGGAGCATTCTGTTGGCCGTGTAGTTGTCGTTGATCATCGGCTGCAATCCCCTCTGGAAACTTCTCAACGAGTCTTCAAGCATGAGGAACTTCCATGTGTGCTGTATGGCAGCCATGTTGAGCGGGTCTTCTAAATGAAGTTGGGATATGTTTCGATGGAGCCCAAGTGATAACCCAAGTGTAATGATGGTGGAGAAAAGACTCTGGTCATACGATACCGCCTCCTCAAAGTCTATGTTGCAGTCGTACTTACGGCACTCGTACAACAACAAAAGCGCAGTCAACGTGGCAAAGTTGGACTTGAGGTCCGTCTTGAACAAGAATAACCTGGAGGCCACTAGCAATCGGGTATCTGGGACCTGTCCGTTGAAGAACGACACCAACGCCTTGATCGATAGAACAATGCTGAGATTGGCACTTGGTGCTTGTAAGTTGGGTCCCGATGGTGTTACCACTTCATGCACATATCTGGCTATGGTGTCGTGGTTGAAACATTTTGTGAAGAACGTGTCTCTATTGAACGACTTGAGAAGGACAATGGACTCCTCGTAGTCTGGAAGTAGACTGGCAATGTGGTATGTTGGACTAGTATCTGCTTGTTCCCCCTCCTTCTCTGGTAGTTTCAACGACATCATTTCCCTCACCGTGATGGCCAGGATATCGCTCATTACAGGAATGGTCTTGCACCAGTACATGATGCATGTCTTCCACGATGTTGGTCCAAAAAACACACGGCTGCCTTTGAACTCCTTCATGTGAATAAAGTCCAGAAGATCCACCAATGACTCGTTAGTCTGTGGTTGTTTAGCAGAAGCAGGTTTATCCCAGCGTGAACTTTTGCTAGCAACGCTGGGGTCGGTTGCTGAGCTTGAAGAATACCGTTCTTGACTAGTGGGACTGACTATTGGGTTCGTCGATGTTGCTGCTTGGTTGACTGCAGCCAATAGATATTTCTGTGGATTACTTCCGGGACTTGTGTACAAGCTGACTCCAGACTGCAGTGACTGCTGGTCAGTTGCTGACTTATCGTCCATCACTTCATAGGTGCATTCGGGAATCGCCCTCTTTGTGTTACGACAGCTGCTGCAAGGGAGTTGGTGATCACACTTGAGTTTTCTCCGTTTACAGTTTGTACATGCCAACACTGCTCTTCTTCTCTGCTGTCTTTTTTCTACCATATTGGATGGTTGTCGATGTTTGTTCATAAGGTAATGTGATTGTTTTTCATTCAGGGTTTGTGAAGAGCGGCCGATTTTTTAATTTTTTTTTTTCTTTTTTTGCTGTGCTTTTTCCGGCCGAAAAGCTGTTTGCGTGCATGATTGACTATGGATTGTACCAAACAATAATCAGCATGTAGCAATGGCTGTGAGTCAAAACACTATAGAGATTGTAATTGGACAACAGGGCGAATATTCCAAACTGATTTCCGTGCAATTTCAGAATCATTAATTGAATGTTGGTTGTTTGTTTCAAGAGTTGTATTTTCTATGTGTAATGTTTCAGGTGATTTTCGTGCCAAAAATGATGTAAATTCATAATAGTGAAACTTAGCTGAATGATGATGTATTTAGAGTCAGAGGGCATTTGAGAGTTGCTGCAACATAATAACACAGGTGAAGATACCAAGGATAGCCATTAGACACTCAGAATCACAATACATTAAATTAGCCAGCCACCGAAACAGGCTCGAGAGGAACCAGAGGCGAGACAACAGGGAAACAAACTAGGGCGTGTGGCGTAGTTGGTAGCGCGTTTGCCTTGCAAGCAAAAGGTCATGAGTTCGACTCTTATCTCGTCCAGTTTATATTTTTTGCTTCCTTCATATAATTTTTTTCTGTGGAATATTGTAATGTAACACCTAGGTGTTTGAATGTTCTAATGTTACATTTACTTTTAATAATATATTTATTGTTATTTATTCATTAAGAAATTGTATGATTATGGTCTGATAAGGAAGATATCACATGGTTGCATTACTGATGTTTGATGAACCTTATTCATATTGACCAATCCTATTTAGGATATGTTGTAGTGTATTATGAAACACTCTAAATAATGAACCAGTGGCATTACCAGGTGTTAGATTGAAAACTATAAATAGATGTGGTTTTTCCATCTACTCAATGTTTGAGGGAATCTAATTAATCAAGGATTGATATTAATAGATATATCTACTACAACATTGAGAGATGGCTAATACTAAAGGTAAAGCTACTGGTTCTATTTCTTCTGAAGAAACAGGTCGTGTACATACGACTAAAGATCACACTGGAAAAGTATTCTCACATTTTCAACCCATAAAAGCACACTATAACCTGTGCACACCACTCTTTTTCTAAAATAAATAAATAAATAAATAAATATATTAAACTAAATATCTATAAACACTCCTTAGTATACTATTCCAGTATTCGATCTAAATTTTCCTTGGATGAATTAGTGGCATCTCCAAGGTCTTTCTCCTGGTGGGATTCACCTATTCAGTTAACTCTGTACCATAGAAATCACTGGAATGTCCTATATATTATTTGGATCTAAAGTATCATACTGATAGAAATCTATTCCTCCAAAATTTTCAAAAAATACAGCATCATACAACTTACTATCCATTTCATAAACCAAATACCCTTCTTTACTATACCATAACATAAAGTCTCGGTATACATTTGTGGGTAAGTTAAAACAACATTTTGCGATTGCACATAACGCTGAATAAATAAACAATATACGAAGAGCATACTTATGTTTCTTGTAAAGTAAATCCCTTATACCATCCGATAGTAAAAATAAAAATCGATATATTGGCAGTGGAAGCTCCAAACTTTTACAACTGTAAATACAGACAAGGAGTAAATTTAATGCTTCTTCCAAGTACTCAATCTCTTCAGAAATATCTGAGCTAATTTCATTGGTGCTGTAGTACTCTTGAAGTCCACGTTTTAAATTGACAATTATTGGATAGGTACAGGTTTTCAAAGTTGGAGTTTGCAGATTCATCATAGGTTGATGTCTCAATATTGGTCCTACTTCACTTTGCAAAACTTCTGGAAACCACGTTTCCACTGCTTCTCTCATACCCTTGGCAACCTGAATCATATCTGGTGATTCTTTGGAGAAATCTATTATGGGTACTAATTTATGGGGAGTTATTCCCATGTAACAAAATATTAATATACTTGAAATAGTTAATTGTTTTGCAACATCAAAATTGTACGGATTTTCAGCTTTAAACGAACCCTGAGTATGTGCTTCAAGTAATTTCCTTGTGCATGTAATTGCACCAATAAAGTATTCAAGATTCTTGCAATACAAACTATTGGGATCCCTTTCATTGACGCTGTAGACATGTCGTAATGATCTTTCATCTTCCAAAATATCAATCTTTTGTGCTACTTCTAAATCCACAATAGAAGACAATGCCATTGCTGAAAGACAGAAGATACTTTTTCTTACGAGATCACTTTGTAGGAATAAATATGGAACCTGTTCTTTCATCATCTTGTGCACTGCTTGGTCTTTGCCATATGTAAACAATTCAATACAACGTTCATCAAAAAAACGAAGTAATCTTAACTCAAATTTGGAAATCCCCAAAATTCTAGTTGATTGTGTCAACACCAACTCTCTGGCTAATTCTCCACGTTTAGCTACACTAATGTCTGTTGGTACTCTCATTGTTGGTATCGAATTTAATTGATTCAACTTCTCTAATTTTTGTACCCGTTTCACTCGTGCTAATTCTCTTCTCAGAAGTTTTACTTCAGGATATATACATTCTCTACCTGTATATTTACAATATTCACAACTCGGTCTCCCTTCATCACACTAATCAGAAAGTTGTTAGAATTCCAACGTTTAGTAGGAAACATCACCTCAAAATAAAATAACATACTTTAATTCTTAAACATTTGCAACTTAAACATCCCCGTCTTGATCTCTTGATACCTGCTTTGAATCCTACTTCTGTCATGATTACCTGGTTATAGAAAGAAAGTTATCATGTTTTTGTTCTCCTTTTTTTTTTTCTTCTTCTTCTTCTACTAATTGGTGTAAAGAAACATAGAAGTAAATAATAATGATTTAACCCATTGTGCATATTACTTGTTTATCATTGGGCTAATGAAAGGCTCCATGCTTTCATTCAACAGCATACTTTACTACGAACAACACATGACTAATATTCAAAGTCTATAAAATGTAAATGTGTATTAAAAAAAAGAATTCAATTAAAGGAAGAAAAAAAGTGCAATAACGAACTAAATAAAAATCATATCTAATATTGATAAGTGTGAATATCAGAAACATATTCCACCTTGACGTATGGTCTGTAGACTGGTTTCCACATTTGTGATTGTACCCATTTAAGACAGTCATCATAGTCTCTTGGAACTTCAACATATCCACCGTCTGGTTTCTTTTCACTTTCAACTCTAGCAGTACCTTCTTGTAAGGATTGTAAAATAACAGCAGTGGCAACATGAGCACTGACTTCATCAATTTCTTCTAGTCTTGGCAACAAACCATTCTTTGGGTTTTCCATTTTCGGAGACATGGAAGCCAATCTATCAACAGCAGCGGAGATCATGGTATCAGAAATAGTAGTACATCTGGACAAAACAGCACCCAAACCAATACCTGGGAAAGTGAAACAGTTGTTGTTTTCTGAAATATAGTAGCCATCAACAGGTTCAAATGGAGATCCAGTGGCAATCAAAGCATTGTTATCTGTCCATTTCATCAAATCGGAAGGAACTGCTTCGTGTAATCTAGTTGGATTGGACAATGGGAAGATAATTGGTTGTTTGTTGTATTTATACATGGTCTTGACAATTTCTTCGGTAAAAGCACCGGCTTGGGTAGAACAACCAACCAAGACAGTTGGTTTAATCTTGTCAACACATTGAATCAAACTTGCAGTGTCGACACCTTCCCAATCGGAAGCTTTATCGGCATAGTTCATTTGTGAAGGACTAGCATTGGTGGATTCATCAGTGATCAAACCATAACGGTCCATACAATGAATTCTAGATCTTGCTTCTTCAACACTTGCACCATGACTAACTAAATGATTGGTGATTTGATCAGCAATACCTAAACCTGCAGAACCTGCACCATAGATCAAAACTTCAATATCTCTCAAATTACGGTTGGAGAATTTGAGAGCAGCAGTTATGGATGCCATGACAACAGCACCAGTTCCTTGAATGTCATCATTAAATGATGGAAGAGCAGTACGGTATTTGTGCAACATGTCTCTACCCGTTGAAACACCAAAATCTTCATAATGCAAAACAGCACTTGGGAATCTTTTCTTGATGGCATGAATAACCTTATCAACGAATTCCCAATATTTTTCTCCTCTGACTCTTGGGAATTTGTTTCCCATGTATAAGTCGTCATTTAATAATCTACCATTATTGGTACCAACATCCAAAGTAATTGGTAAAACTCTTGCAGGATGAATACCACCACACAAGGTCATCAATCCCAATTTGGCGATAGCAATTCTGATACCACCAACACCTTGATCACCAATACCAAGAATACCTTCACCATCACTCATGACAATGTAGTCAATATCTTTATCTTCACCATAGGCAGACAATCTTTCATCAATGTTGTCCAGATCATTAATATCCAAGAAACAACCTTCTGGCTTTCTGAATCTGTCAGAATAACTTGCAATTGCATCACCTTCGGTAGGGGTATATATAATTGGCAACATTTCACGGATATTTCTTCGTACCAATTCGTAATAAAGCACCTTGTTTTGCAATCTCATAGATGTACAAAAATCATTTTTAGCTAATGGGGTTTTCAAATATGAAAATTGTCTGTAAGCTCTTTCAACTTGTTCATCCAAAGTATTGACTTGGGAAGGAAGAAGACCGTTTAACTTGAAACTCTTTCTTTCTTCCATTGAGAATGCAGAACCCTTGTTGAATTGGGGGGAATTTAACAAAGCAAAGTCAGTTAATGGACATTCAACTGGACCATCCATGGAAACTCTAGTTGCCTTTGGTTTTAATGATTCAATGGCCGCCTTGATTCCTACCGGAGTCTTGACAGTACGAACTTCACCAGCAGTAGCAGATGCAGTTGTAGATGCAGATACAAATCTTATCAGTATTCTATTAAGTCTTAACATTTTCAGGAATAATTATTCAAAGGAATATATATATGTGTGGAATATGTAACTGTTTATCAATTGATGAATAAAATTTTTAAAATAAAGAAAAAAAAAAAAATCAAAGAATAGTTGAAATCAGAACGATTGAACCAAGCAAAGCAATCCTATTCCAGTGAAGATAATGTGAAAAAAAAGTAGATAGAAAAAAGGGAGATGCCTTTTTATATGGGATGGATTCTAAACTAACAAAGAAACTCAAAGGGAAAAAGAAACACGACGTAAGGAGAACTAGGACTACACTGGGTCTATTTATACACCTGATGTCAAATGGCTATACATTTCAAGTTTGAATTTTTTTTTGTGTCCAGCCGATATTATCCTTGATTTCGTTTAGTGGTTCCAACTAGGCTGGTATCACTACCACTACCACCACCACAAATACGGCCAATACCCCTTCGCAAAGAGCAGAAGGAATTTTTTTTTATTACGCTTTCGGCTTTGTGCAGCGTTACCGGAGTTGGCGTATTTTTAAGCTCACAGAAATGAATCCAGAATTCTTTCTTTTATCTTTAGGACAAACGGGAGATATATTTTCATTCTAAGAAACAAATGCACGTCAGTTATTGTAATTAACTATAATTCCCACTATTACCATTAGTTTCATTGGTTAATTTATATCATTAACCGGTAGATTGGCTTAACTTCATCGAACCGACGATGATGATAAACTTGGTGTATACGTTTGTTACTTCAATTTGGAGAATTTTTTTTTGTATTTTTCAGACTGGTTTATATGCCGCAAAGTTTCCCCTCTTTCTTTTTTGTCTTTTTCCTACACCAGAAGGAATAAATCGGAAAATAGGAAATATGGCAAATTACATGGTTTGTCTTTATGACTTAACATAGAAAGGGGACTCTACGATCCAGAAGATACGTTGACTAACATATAGTAACACATCATATCACAACTAACGCTGCCTATATTAATGATCATAGATAAAAATAATCAATTATAAACTTGTAATCAACCATATTGCGCAACCAATTTCTTTTTTTTTTTTTTTTTTTGATGTTGCAACGGAATATTTCGGAAACCACAAAATATTTCACTCATGATACAGTCTTTGAAATTTTTGTTCAGAACACTACAACCGAATTATTGGTATCAACACAAAAGTAAGATTTATACCACGTGACTGTAAAATTTCACACTAGAAGGCTGCAAACTTTCTACATTAGTATACCATAGTAAGAAGAGGTACTGCCGCATTAACTGCAGTATATGCAAGTGCAAGTGGCTCGCCTGTGTTGGAGGAAACTTTCACGACGACCATTAAACTGCTCAGAGCAAATAACAATAGGTACTTTTTGCGGTATAATATCGAGGATTCATTGTCCAGTACTGTTAACCAAAATCTTCTCCAGTATAAAACTTGACATGGGCAGCATTATAATTAGGATTAATGGTCCAATAACTAACATGATTTACCCAATTATCTGATACATCATGAATTATATAACCTGCTTGTTTTAAAAGATCCCTAGTAATAGAATACTCTCCATAATATTTGTTATTTGGCTTGGTAAAGACTGTAGGTTGATATGAACTTCAGTCCCTCTCTGCTTATCGTCAACATCAAATTAAGTATCAAAATAAGCAACAATACCTCCTACAGATGCCACCGTCAAGTATCACTAGCTCTGTAGTATTTAGCACAAATTCCAAAACATACACCCCATCATAATTATGATTATTAGATAATGATAATTTCCGTTCGGTAATATATCTTGAGGATTCATAATTGATAGCATTGTTAGCTGGACAACTGCTTTTGTCAATACCTCGATGGTTTCAGTAAACTTAAGTGATGCATTTGCAGCGTTTGTTAGCCCATAAATTGTAACCGCACTAGTTGATAAATACCACACCGAAGCTTTAATCGCTTTTCGACATTGGCCACGAGGTATTAACTGTTTTCTTTCTCTTTGGCGGCATTCATCATATACTATAGGTAAGTTCAAAGCAAGATTACCAAAACTATAGAATGATATCCATATCAAGAATGGTCCTCTAATGCGCTGATCAGTTGTAACAACCTCAACAAATGTGTACCATGGGAAATCTCTCTTAGTTATTGCTGTGCTTCCTTCAACTTGGCATTCGCTCAATGTGAGACTGTTGGTATCTTTCGGGATTATTACTTCTGAAAGACATGACAGGAAAACAGAAAAGATATAAATGAAAAACCAACAAAATTTCATGTTGTTTAACTTGATCCGGAATAGAAAACTTTTACTATATTTTTTAATCGATACTTTAGCCAACTTTATATACTCTTCAGACGCGGGCAATACGACATACGGCATTACTGGAACAATATTTTTGAATTCAATAAAGTTGCCAAGTTTTCACTCAACCTAACTATAAAAATGATAACTTTAAAATGTAAACAAATCTCTATTACCAGTTTTATAAAATTACATCACTAGAAGTTTAATATTGTCTGTTAATTCTAATGCCTTGTTGATATTGGGTATGGCATTATATGCAACTGGTAGAGCAATCACGGATTTAATATATCTCCGTGTGTTTGTGGTCCGAACGAGGCTGAAGCCAAAATTCAACGGACAAAGAAATTTGCTATTTCTTTATCAATTGAAGAATTGTTTGTACAAAAGATATATCTCTGTAAAATCGTTGTTTTGACAGATAGTATTATTCCTTGAGTTAATGACAGTGCTAGCTACTAAGGAAAAGAAAAGGAGATCAAGAGGTGGGTGTATTAGTTGCAAACACCTTCGAATTAAGGTATGTACTTTTCAGACCAGACCACACCCCCGAATGGAATACTTTTGGTGATGAATCATTTTTAACTAACAACGTATAAGTGTAGCGAAGATAAACCTACTTGTGAATATTGTTATCATACTAAGAGAAAATGTGTATACCCAACACCTAAACCATTAAAAAAAGACTCAAAGAAAGCATCTGTTTCAAAGAGGAATAATTTAGAACTGTCATCTTCATCATCACGATCGTCTTCTGCTTGGAGTTCACAACTGGATTATGAATTGATTAAAAATTTAGATAAAGATGAATATGAACCAGCACTTCACGAGGAATTAACAAGAGATTTAGTATTGACTCAAGCTTCTTCAATGTTGGGAATTTCCCGATTTGAGTTAAGATTGCTACAATTTTTTGATCAAGAGTGTATTACCTTACTTTCATTTGGTGTAAATAAAGGAATAGAAAAGGCATGGAGATATGGTGTACCAGGATTGTTCTTAGAAAGTGAGTTAACAAGACTGGCTATGTTTTCCTTTGCTGCCATGACTTTGACCTTGGGTATAGATTTGAATATGGTGCAAGGATTGGATGCAGCTGAAGATGAACGATCATTGGCTCATATGTACAATATCAACTTGGACGATCCAAATAATATTTACACTAAAACTACTGAATATTTTATGGACACAATTGGAAGAACCAAGAATCTAATAGCTCTATCGGATCTGGATGACAATTCTCAAAATTTTCAAGACCCAAAGGTTGCAAAAGAATTAACAGTCTCAAGTGTTTTGGTCTTTTCGTATTTAGCTCTTGATCCAGATAGATTGATCCCATTAATAGATTTCACAAGAGAATCAACAGATTTGGTGCAAGTTGCAAAAGGGATTAGACATACCATAATGAGATGTACACCCATAGTTCAAAATTCTGATATTGGAGGAATATTATTCTTCAAAGCACTCGGCAAAATAGATCAACCAGATTTAAAACTATGTGAATACCCAGTGATAGCTTCATTGAGAGATGAACTTTACAGCCTTGAAACAGATGAATTAAGTACAGATATTATACAAGAACACAACGTCCTAGAAGAATCTATCAATGGATTAATGACATCGATCTGGGGGTGTGAAATATACAAGTTCCCAGTTCCATTATTTCGATATTTGATGATTATATCAGATGAGTTCAGGGAATTACTATACAAAAAACATATGTTTGCTATTAGAATCCTATATATCTACTCAGCGTTAAATGCTGTTGCTGGGTTTTATTTTTACAGAGACAGAAATGTTTGGAAGGATTATATGAAATGGTATAAAAATTATGTTGCAAGTACAAAAGAGAATTCTTGCGCCGAAATGGATAGACAATTATATGATTTGGTAGTAGAAAAGAATTTTCGGTGGGAGGATCATACAAGATTTCATGAGTTTGATCCAGCAATTGAGCATCATAAGTTATATAAATCCGAGTCTCATTTGGATGATATCTTTTTAGTTTAATCAATATAGTTAATTCAAATGTGATATTTATAGTGAGCGATTTTGTGGAGTTTTTAATTACCCCCTTAAATTATACAGTGACATACATAAAATTTTTGCGCATGAGCCGAAATACACATGGATTGCAAAAAATTGCAAATCACTTCAATAGTAAGTTGCCTAACATTGATACTAAGATTTAGAAATATAGTGTCTAATGATAGAACCTATTTCCAGATCTGCACCAAAAATTAGTAATTGAAATGTGGGGATTGGCTTAAGCTATCATTCACATACTTTTACACACAAGGTTATGACGAATTGCGGAGAATGAAGTTTCTTTTTCTTTGTCAATTTCTCTCTTGTTTTAAGTTATATTTATTCACTATACGTTTACATTATAGAATACTGCTCCCCCCTTATATATATACAAACGCATTAGAGGTCACATATAAAATCAACTTTTATCTCCAAAATCTCACTCTTCCTTCAGATATCACTTTAGCTAGTTAGTTATCAATTGCTAGATACCACTAGTTTGCTAAGTATATTTATTTGCTAAAGATTATAGCAGTCAATTTGATATGCCAGGTGTAATTTTACCAACCATTACTGGGTTTATAGTTACCTTAGTTGGAACACTAGTAGGTGCTTTCTCACTAGTGTTGTTCTTGGTGATTAGTTTAATCACTTTATTCATCGGGGCTTTCAAAGCATTAGAGATTGATTTCATAATGTTAATATTTTTGGTCATTTATATTATATTTATTCGAGGTGGTGAAGAAGCTGCAAGAAAAGCAATAAACGTGGTGAATGATAGTATTTTATCACTTCCAGATGAATTAATTGAAGAAATAATTGAATATTTGAATCAAAGTGATCGATTAAAGTTATCCCTTTTGAATATGAGATTCCATAATCAAGTTAAAAGATGTTTACTTAATTCCGTTTATGTAAATAATGGTGGACCAAAAGTTTTGTTGACAAATGAGGTGGAAAGTGGTTTTTATAGGAGGCACACCATAATACTGCAATTCCAATTTGACAAGTTAGTTGAATCTGAGGATATTAGATTTGTTAAAAGAGTAGTGCTTTACAGTGATGCCATTACTGAAAGAATTTTACAAAGATTATTGAAATACGATATCAACCTTTCATTTGAACACGTAATTGAAAATAAACTAAAATATTTGACAATAATGCAACGCAAAAGGTCCCCACTTTGGATAACGCCCGATTTTCCAGTTGAAAATTCAATAACACAATTGACGGTAACTTATAATGGTGAAACAATTTCCAATGCTGCATTATCTAAATTAAAGTTAAATTCACTTAGAGCATTGAATATCACTTCTGATGCTTTTGAACGACGAGGAAGAGGAAATGACTTTAAACCAATTGTAGTGAAGAAACTTTCATTTGAGTTTGTTGATAAACAACCATCACTTTCTTTTATTTCCAATACTTTTGATATTGATAAAATCGAATCTTTAGAGTTGAAATTTAAAACAAGACCAATAGAATCAGAGATTGTTCAATTGATGTCAAAATTAACATCATTAAAACATTTTGCAATCATGTCACAGAATATGAGATTTGATAGAATTATTGAACCACTTCCTAGGGATTCTCTTGAAACATTTTATGTTAATGTAATGGGAAGATATGATACATTCCTGGCAACTATCCTTTTACAAATACTTAAACATCAATTGAGATCAATTCAGAAATTATGTTGGTCAAATAAAAGATTGAATATTAGACTGAAAACGTATGGATTGGATGATTTTGAACGTATTTATGATGTGGGGGCTATTTGTAGAGATCTGGATATTGCCGAGATAAAAATATTAGTTGCTAATGGGTTTTCCAGTTTTACTGATGTCATTCTGAATGATGCTTATTACAAAGTCTACACAGAGAAGGATGAAGGTGTAGTTGTAAAGTTGATTAATTGAATAATAATGACTTTTGAATGTATGACTTCTAAGTAATGTCTAGTTTTATCTATTTTTCTTTTTTTAAACGTTTTCTTCCAGACTCTTGTTTAAGCATCTTTTGCAAATCAGGACAATAACAACTTGTTCTACCACCTACTGTGACATGATCTAGGGAATAACCCTGTGGTGTTTTCCTCTTTTCTTTACGACCTTTCCCCCATCGATATAACATTAACCAATTTTTGGGGAACTTTGATGTATCACCTTCTACCAAAACTGCTTCTTCACAAACAGAAATCAATGAATCGTATAATTTCTGCACCACTGGATGAATATCATCGGAACCATCATTTGCTATCTTATTGGAAATCACCTCATTAGGATGTATTCTTGCTTGAAATACAATTTCATCACCAACCCAATTGCCCACACCCGCAAAAAATGCTTGATCTAAAAGTAAACTTTTTATTGGCTTCTTTTTTGATAAGATCAATTTATTAAACTCGTATATTGTCAATCGTGGTCGTCCATGGTGGTCTGGATCAGGATCACCAAAAACAAATGGCTTGGTTTGTTTTGGTGGTACTTCCGGTTTACTATAATCTGGACCCAATGCATTTAATGGTGCAGTATTTAGCAAATCTTCATTAGTTTTGACTTCTTCTCCTTTAAGTAACCTAATCCTTCCTAATCTTCTAGCATCTGTAAATGCAAATTCTATCTTGTGATCATCTTTGGTTAATTCCATGTCAAATTTTGAAAATCTAGGTGGCCATTCCTCATTTTCATTCTCATCCTCTTCGTCTTTGATCTCATTAACAGCATCTTCAATTTTTTTCAATGCTTTTTTATCCCCACCATTTTCCATCATTATCAAATGTGATTTTACATTTCGTAGTTTAACCATTCCTGTCATTCCAAAATGCATTAGTAATACATTGCTTTCTTCATTATTCAATAATCTTAACCAGAAATATTTCCCATGTCTTCCAACAGATTCTATTATAGAATTACTCAATGATTTTCTTAATTTGTTGAGTTCAACTTCAGGATCTTTGGCTGTTTTAAGTATAGGGAAAAGTAATGGGTCGTGGAAAACATTTACTTTTGAGATTTTATATCCAATGACATTTCTTCTTAACAAAGCACATACATGTGCAACCTAATACTTCTAGTCAGTAACTGAAAATCCCCATGTCTCATTCATCTTTGATAGCCAATACATACTTCTGCAACTTCTGGCATTAACAACTTGTTGATGTTTCAGAAAAAACAAAGTCTTGTGTGCAAAAATAGTTTTGCCTTTGTCGCAATCCGACTACGGTTCAAACAAAATTCTGTCGGCAGAAAATTACAATCAAGATCTTGGGATTCACATCACTTACCGAAGGCAACAGTTTATTCAACATATATAAACCATGAATAGATTATTTGGAACTAAGAACACGGCACCTAAACCGTCATTAAATGATGCGATCAAAGGTATAGACGAAAGAGTAGGATCATTAGATGTCAAACTAAGCAAGATAAATTCAGAGTTATCCACATACCAACAAAAGATAAGTAGAATGAGAGACGGACCAGGTAAATCAGCACTTAAACAAAAGGCAATCAAATTATTAAGACAAAGAAAGCAAATAGAAGCTCAAAAGGATCAATTAGAGAACCAATCTTGGAATATGACTCAAGCTTCAATGACTACCGATAATTTACAAAATACTATGGTTACTATTAATGCTATGAAGACAGCCAATAAACAATTAAAACAAACATATGGGAAGATTGATATAGATGAATTAGAAAATCTTCAGGATGAAATGTTGGATTTAATTGATAAATCAAATGAATTACAAGAAGCACTTCTGACTAGCTATGATGTACCGGATGATATCAGTGAGCTGGAGCTCGATGCTGAATTAGAAGCTCTTGGAGAAGAAATCGATTTTGAAAATGAAATGGCAGAAAGTGGTATTAGTGCTCCTAGTTATTTGAATGATGCTGAACCTGCTGGTGCAGATAAATTACCTACATTTATTGACGAACAACCAGAAGAAGCCGAAAAGATTGCAAATTAATGTGATTTGTATATATTTACAAGAATTATTGTACACGTTGTATAGCCATAAAATAATTTCCAATATCTGGACATGAAGTAAATTTCCAACCATATGCTGGTAAATAGACACAACCTTTGGTGTCAACAACTTTATATGAAGCTTTTCTACTTTCATCTTGTTCTACCCATTCTTTAATTTCAGTTTGATTAATATACTTTTCCAAAGTGTGAGTTCCAACAGGAACAATTCTTAATAAATGCTCACCCATGAAAATAGTAGTAAACCAACTAACGAAATCTCTATTGATTGTTGAAAGGAATAACCATCCACCAACTTCTAATCGATTCAAACCTTCAAGTAAAACTCTTGATGGGTAATCAACATGTTCCAAAACTTCAAACATGGTAACAATATCAAATTTTTCATCTTTTGGAATATCTTCAATTGCCATTAAATTATAAGAAAGTTTATCTTCTAATATTGGATCCTTTTGTTTATGTAATTTTGCTGCTTCTAAAACATCAGTTGATAAGTCAATACCTTGAACTTTTTCAACAAAACTTAATCTAGCCATAGATTCAGATAATATACCTCCACCACATCCAACATCTAATACTTTATACTTAACATCACTTAATATTTCTTCTCTTCTACCTTCTAAATCAGCATTAATGGTATCTCTAATTGGTTTAGGCAACAAATCCATACTGAAAGGTGGGATATAGACTTCATCATCCGTGTTTTCATTTAATTTTAAGTTATTTATTATAGTTTCATGTATGAAATCCATTCTTAATAAGTTCATTTTATGTAATATACGTTGGGGTCCATTTACGTCCCACCAACTTGAAGCTAAGGCATTGAAATGTGACATTTCTGATTCTGAAGTAGAAGTGAATTTTTTAGCATCATGATATAATATTTTAGAATGATGTAAACACCTGCGAAGTATCAATTGTCTACTTATAGACAAGCTTGGTAAGGATTTCATGGTTGAATTTGGTGGTAATTCTAACAGCAAACGATATTGAAGAATAAATGAAGAAGAAGAAGAAAAAAATAAAACTCATGAAAAACCCGAGAGCAAAAACGTGAAAAAAAAAAATAATTAGAAGCTTGAGTTATACGATCGAAACTAAAAATCAATCATCGAGTGATTTTTTAAGCTTCTACTATTATCAATAATGAGTGATGCAGAAGATGAATTACAATTTGAGAGTTTAATAGCTACAAGGGCTCGTCGTTCTAATGCTGGGTCTCGATTAAAACAATTACTTGAATTAGAAGAACAATCCAATGAAATAACAACAACAAGGAATCAATTCGTAACAGAAGATGATGAAAACGTCGATTTACTTTTTCAAGAAGATGGAGACGATGAGGAATTTATTGATGAAGATGTGGATAATGCAAATCTAGAAGGGATCGATGAGGATAGCGATGAAGACGATGAAGATGGGGAAAAACTACAGAAGAAACGAAAACGTGATGAAAATGAAGAAAGCGATGATGAAGTTGAAGAAGAGGGAGCATACGTCAATCCAGATGAAGTACTATCTGATTCAGATCTTTCAGAATCCGATACAGATGAAAGTGAAGGGGAAAAGGAGTTGATTAGACAGGAAAAACTCAAGAAAAAGAAACAAAAGAAACAGAACCTAATACCAACAATCAAACAAGCACAACCGAAATCTCCTGTGAAAAAGAAACAAAGAAGAATACATTTGATAACTTCGGATTCACTTTTGACAAGTAATAGACGATCTTCATCTAGAGCAGCAGCAGTTGAGAGTAAACAAGCTTTAGTTGATAAATTAAAAGAAAGTGAAGCAAGAAGAGCCAAATATGTTCATGTTGAAAGAAAGAAACATGTTGAATTAACACAAGAAGAAAGGTTAGCTGAAGCAGTGGAGACAGAAAAAGCTAATGTTGAATCATTGAATAGGTTTAGAGAACAAGAAATTGTAAAGAAGGAAAGACAAAGACAATTATTACTACTGAAAAGGGTCAAACTTCAGAATGTGATACGAATTGTGAGTAAAGAATATTTTACTAAACCAATTGAGGAAGTAACCGATGCCAGAAGACGCTATGAAGAGTATCTTAAACTCAGAAAGAAATTGGGTAAAAAGAAAAAGAATCAATTAGATATTGAGAATTTCCCCACAAAGATGCCCTTCTCCATAGACTATGAATCACCTTATCAAAAGGCATTATTAGCAGAAAAGAAAAAGAAACAAGAAGAAGAGGAAATCAAAAGACTTGAATCAATGAATGAAAAGCTACAAGAGATGTTAGATGACGCAGATAAGATCAAAGTAGTAAATGAAAAGGATCCAGACAGTATAGACATTGAAAAGAAGGAATCTGCAGAGGTGATAGTACTAGATGAAGAAGCGACGGACGAACAAAAGGACCATGCAGAAGAAATCAAGGAAGAAGTGAAGGAATCTACAACTTCCGTAGATGAATCTGAGAAACAAGATGTGGCAACTAATCTGGAATCTGTGGATAGTGAATTGAAAGTAGAGAAGAACATTTCTACTGATGATATATCGACTGAAACAGTATCCATGAATGAATCCAAGAATGAATCCAAGAATGAATCCAAGAATGAAGAGACTTCGCCAGTTGAACTAAAACAAGAAGAAAACGAACAGGTATCCGAAACCAACAATGATGATGCCCCTGAGAATGAGAAAGATAATATCAATGCTAATAATACCCCTGATACAATTATAGAAGATCCAATTAAAAGAGTTAAATTTGCTGATGAAGTCGAGTCTCAATCGTCAAAGGAAAACACCCCAGCTGTTGAGTTGAAAACCGAGCCGAAGGAGAAAACAGAGGATGAAGATGCTGAGATATTTGAAGGTCCAGTACAACGTGTGTGTCGAAACATGATATATCTCGTTGATTTCGATGAAGATAGAAAAGACTTAAGACTCAATTCTCAAAATATCAAGAAGTTTCTTTTTGGGAAACAATCACTTTTGCCTGCTTCAAGAAGGTTTAAAGATGTAAAGACGATACTAACTATTGGTAAAGTTGAAAATCCTTATGCTGTTGTAAAACAAGAGAAGGATAGGTTATTTGAAAGAGCCTCTGATCTTAAAGAAGATGACCCAATGTTTGATGAATTGAAGAAATTACCGAAACTAGGAATCAAACAAGATATCGTTGAAGTCGAGGAAAATAAAGAGGAGTCGGAATCTACAGCAATTGTTTTGAAAACAGAAGCTCCAACTGGTTTGTATCTTCCAAATGGTAATAAGAAGAATTGCATGATTTCGGGAACTGAAGTTAAATATTTCGATCCATCTACTGGTATTCCATATAGCTCAGTTGAAGCATACAAAATTCTCAAGTCAATAGAACAAGGCCAAGTACCTTGGTTAAGTTTCACTGGAGAACATAATGATACTGGTAATGTTGAACTTTATTTAGGCTCAAGAGATGGTTCTACAAGACATGCTCAAGGTGTCCCAGAAGGATTTGATGGTTAGTAATTAAATATTTGGCAATTTTAGGAGTTATATTCTACATACTACTTATGTAAATACATCAATTGTAATAGTCTATCATTAAATTTAATCAGTTGCATGTTGTACATCTTTTGCATGAGCCTCAAGTAAATCAGGTTGGAATTTCATCAACTTGGTTCTTAAAACTGGGATAAAGAATTTTCTAATTTCTGCTTTGTTATCATTAGAATCAATTTCAAAAACATATTCATCTTCATCTTGATCATGAACAAATTCTGGTATAACAATAGTAGCAGTGATTTTTTCAGATTCTGATTCCCCATCTTTTTTAATATTTCCAGATAACAGGAATTTTAGTTTCATATCATAAATACATAATACTTTACCCTTTCTTTGAGTAACATCACAATCACCACTAACAGAATCAATAGAGGTAATTTGAAATTTATATTGTTCATCTTCATAAGTAGTATCTATTATATTAACTTGGAAATACTCTTTACTCCATGGCAAACAGTTTTTATCAATCCAATGCCTTGGTAAAAATGTTAGTAACAAACTTGGGTTCTTTTGTTTCAAATGATTTGCAAAAAGTAAAACATACCAGTTGTTAGGGTTATGTACGACCATGTTAGATAAGCGGAATTAAGGTTGGTGATCTTGATTCAAGAAAAGTTGAGAATGAATTCTAGGAAATTCAGATTTTTCAAAGAAACGTTGGTAATCGGAAAATTTGAAAAAAAATAAAAAAAAAAAAGAAATCATAAAAAAAAATTTTGTCAGTTATGTTCCACGACATTCTAGAAAAACGACATTTTTATTTCTTCTGATATGACCTATACATCTTCTATTTAATCAGTACTCCAAGTGTACTTACTCTTGCTTCGTAAATATTCACCATATTTGAAGAAAAGAAACGGTATAGGAATTAACAAACACGTGATCAATGCAAGCAAAGTGGTAGCCCATTGAATTCCTAATCGTTCATACATTTGCAACCCAAACAACGGGAAAATGCAGGACATGAAAGATCTCGTGAAACTATTTGTAGCCATTGCAGAGGCAGCATATAATCTATAAGCTTCAACAGTGTAAGCGAAAATGGAGTTAAATACAAGAATTGTACCCGATCCATAAATAGTTGATCCAATAATGGGTGCAATCCAATGCACGTGAGAGTAGGAAGTCCAAGCTATGATAAATAATCCAATAGGGACAACAAATGCTCCTATCATAAGTGGGATAAACCTAAATTCTGGTTTACCAACTCCATTATTTCTTCTAAGTAATGCAACATAGGATTTGTTTATGAAATAAGGCGACACCAAACATGTCGATACCATACCAACAACCAATCCAAGAAATGACATACCTTGTTCACTAAGAGTGAAGTTATAAACAGTACTGAAAATGTATGGGAATGCAACAAAAAATAAGTACACTATAGCCAATGTTATTGCGGTGTACAAATTCAAAATTAATGTCATATTGTCTCCAAACAACAACAAAAAAGGTCTCTTAGAAGATGTTAAAACACTTTCATATAATGTTGCATTTTGAACTTCGATTGGTGCATAATATTTATCATCCCCAGTTGTTTTTCTTAATCTTTGAGCTTTTCTTTTTAAATTGATTGGTTCATAAGTTTCTGGAACAAAAAGTATCACCATGAGTAGTAATACAGCTGACCAAATTATAAACACGTAAAAAGTCCATCTAAAGAATAAATGTGAATTGATAAAACCTGATATTAAACTTCCTAATGAAGGACCAAGGAATGGAGCTACTGAATACAAAATCATAGCTAAACTAAGTTCTTTATTAGCATCTTTTCCTTCTATTTTATTGGCTTTGAATAAATCAGCAAAAGATCCACTTGCAACACTCATATAACTCAGTCCAAAGAATCCCGACATGAATCTACCAAATATGACCCCTCCAATATTATCGGAAAAGGCAGTTAAAAATTGGAATGCAATCATAAGTAATAATCCACCGATGTATACGACTCTTCTTCCATGAAACTCACTAATTGGTGACAAGAAACATCCACCTGTTCCTAAACCTAATATAAAAAATGAAATATTCAACACTGCTACTTCATGACTCACATGGAAATGCTCCATAATGTGGGGGATTGCAAGGGCCACTGAAGATGAGATACAAGTGACACATACTGACCCCATGGATATTATTCCAACAATTGTCCATTTATGTAGTCTTGATAATCTAGATGCATCCTCTTTATCGTCTTGTCCATTGAATTTAACTAAATATTTGTCTTCTTTATCTAGATCGTCTGATTGGGATAGTTGTCTGGTGTTGTCGGAAATAGATGATTCTTGAACTGAATCCTTTGTTTTCTCGGGTAGTAAATCTGTCATTATCAGCAGTGGTCTTTGATGAGTGGAAAACCTCTGAAACTATTCTAAGTAGAACAGGGATATATATATAAATATATAATGGATTTGTACTTATGTGATTACTAATTACCACAGAGGCTTTTGGCAGTTTTTCTCTTTTATTATGGTGAGATGCAGATTTAAAATTGATTTTTTTTTTTAGACATTTCCGCTTTCCGAGATCTCGGTGCGATTCTAAAAGACGCAACATATTTGTCATCAACATACACCGAAAACTCTGACTGTTTGAAACTGTACACACACAACACAACCACACCTGATCTCGTTTCTAACAAGAACGTCATATAACCAACCAAGTTCACCGTCTAATTCGGTGTATTATACAACTAACTCATCATCAGATTCACCAGAAATAGCAGATACACACAAGAAAAGCGCAATCCCAAAAATAGAAAACAAAGAGAACAATTCGTTATCACCATTAAAGCTCAACAAATAAAAAAAATTTCCCTAAAAGCAATTCAAACGTAAGGGTAGGATTAACCCCCCCTTTTCTTTATTCAATTGATCAATCTTTCTTCCCTATTGATTAAATTCACGGAGTTTCTACCAGAGTTGGTATATCTCATCATGCTGACTCTTTGTCGCCACCACCTTCCCTTCCTTCGAGGGACCAACTTAGTTCTCGGCTGATCTACCGCCTTAGGTTGTTTCTATTTTTGTCCCCCATTTCAACGAACACGTAGAACGAAATAAATTAACGCTGCAAAATTTTTTTTTGTTGTTTCGCAACGCCAGAAAACCACAGGGAAGAAAGAAAGAAAGAAGAGGGAAAGACAAAAAAAAGATCAACAAACTGAAAAAAAAAATATCTCGTAGATAAACTTAGAATTGAAATCACTCATCCAACTCATTGACTAAACAGACCCTCCATACTATTCTCAAATGACACTTCCGTTGGCTAAAGAAAAAGCAGAGTTGGATCTTGAAAAATCCATGAGTATGGAATCAAAAAATTACCATCTTCATCCAGCATCTTCACAAATCATGAGAAAACTCGTATTTGCATTAATCATAGAAACAGTTAGTTTATGTATGGCTTATTATGAATATGATCAGATTGCCCTTATTCATCCCATGTTGGCTCCAACTTTATTAGGTTGTGTTTCTGGAGCACTTGCACAATCCACTAATCAATATCTTAAAAAGAAATACAGCTTGAATAAAATTGCCAAATTTATGGTATGGGGATCAATAAATGGATATTTCACAAGTGCTTGGATTAATATTTTGGTTACAAAGATAGATAATATGTTTTATAGAATTATCATTGATCAAACTGTGGGTGCTATAGCATTCCAATTAATCTTTAACATTTTGAATAGTTTATGGGATCAAGGTGAACTATTTTCTCCAGCTACTAGAGCTTCATTCTTTAAATCTTTAAAATACAGTTATTGTTTTTGGCCATTTTTTTCAATTCTCCTGTTTTCATTCATACCCCAATCCATGATGTTCCCATGTAACTGTTTAGCAAACCTATTCTGGAACCTTATATTAAGTAAACTAGCATGATTTTTATACATACACATATATATATTAATCCTTTCTTCTGTTTTTTGATTTTTGATTTTACTTCTATATTGTCAAATATACATATATAATATTTACTTCTTAAAAGACTTTAGTGGATCAACCTTCTTTCTACCTTTACCCTTTCTATTACGTTTATGTACCTTGTTTTTATGGAATGGAACAAATCCGATATTTTTAACATCCAGTCTAGCACTTTCTGGTAAAAGATATTGTGGAACATTCTTCAATTGGGTTTGAATTCTTGTTGGGTGTAATTCTTTATCGTGTCTTAAACTTGCTAAATCTTGTGGATTTTCTTCAAAGAATCTCTTTAATTTTTCAGAATTTATCAACTCATTCTTCAATTCTTTAACTCGAGCTTCTCTGATGGAAGTTTGAGTAACAGCTCTGAATGCATCATCAGCACGGTACCTGAAACCTTCAACTTGGTTCATATCAAATTGATATGGTTTGATTTCAAAACCATTCTTAGATTGTTGTTTGACAATACGACGTAATACTTTTTCATCCTTTTTAGCAGTGGACAAAGTTGCTGTTTTATGTTTACCAAATTCAGATAATGGTAATACAAATGAAAGTGCCATACCAGCTTTACCTGCTCTTGCGGTTCTACCGATTCTATGAATATATGCTTTAGAAGATGTTGGCAAATCAAAATTCAAGACACAAGCAACGTTTCTAAAATCAACTCCTCGAGAAACACCATATTCTTTATCTTGTTTGAACTTGGATTTTTTAGATTTTTTAGCGGCTGGTTCACCATCGGCTTGATCTTCGTCAATATCATCTTCATCTTTTTCTTCATTCAATTCATTGGTTTCATCTGTGGCTATAAGTAAATGGTAAACATTCTTGTTAAATTCTTCAACAATATGCAATCTTGAGTTAATTGGCAACTCACTGTTCAATATACAACATCTAATACCAAACTGTTCCAAGAATAACTTTAATCTATAACCTCTATCGATATTATTAACAAACACAATGGTCTTACCTTTGATCAAATTAAGTTTGAAAATAACATATGCTAATAAAAATTTGTCAAATTCTGTAGTTTTGGCATAATATTGAACTAATTTGTTTTGATTAGCAGCATCATCATTTAATTTCAAAATAGCTGGCTTAGTACAGTATCTCTTTTTTAAATCTTCCAAATCATCATTCACAGTAGCTGACATCAAGAAAGTTTGCAAATTTTTCTTAATTGGTAAGTAGTTTTCTAATTTCTTTAAATCATCCATGTACCCAAAAGATAAAACCAAATCAACTTCATCTATAGTCAAGTTTTTAACTGTACTTAAATCGACATTCTTTTCATTCTTTTCTAAGATTTGAATCAATTTGGCTGGTGTGGAGATAATTATATCTGGTTTATTAACTAACAACGAGTTTAACACTTGATCACTATAATTAGATGATAAGTTCAATACATTAATTTTATTATTACTGAAACTCAATAATTTCTCAATGAATTGGAAAACTTGATTAGATAATTCTCTTGTTGGAACCAAAACAATACTTTTAATACCTTCACTATCTCCATCTGTCAACAAGTTATTAACAATAGGAATAGAATAAGCTGCAGTCTTACCTGACCCTGTGGATGCTTTGGCAATAATGTCCCTTTTCTCTTCTAAAGCCAATGGAATTGCACTGCTTTGAATTAATGTAGGATTAGCAAAACCTAATTGATCAATAGCTTGTAATAAACGTGGATCCAAATTAAATGAATCCCATGTTGTATCTTCATCTAAATAAGCTGATGATGCTGCAGTGTTTGACATTTCTTTCGTATACCTTAGGTAGTATTTTCTAAGATGAGATCTAATGGTTGGAATTTTTTTTTTTTTTTTGCACATAATTTTTTTTTCTTTTGTATTCCTCCTCATCGCTCGTTCAATTTGTGAGGGCGCGCGTCCCAACTCCTAGGTCGCATTATAAGACGATAACTTTTTTTTTTTTCACAGCCAAAACAGTACTCAATAATTCATGTTATTTATTAATATCTACAAATGTAAATCTAAAGAACTTCTAATTTCAATTCAATATCATTGCCAACTTTGTCAATTTTAATCTTAGTAAAATCTTCAACAACATAACTAGCACCAGCACTTAACAACTTTTCCTTATCGAAAGTACTTGCAATTCCAATAACAGTAAACCCACCACTGACACCAGCTTTAATACCAGTTGGTGCATCTTCAAAAACAACCCCTTTAGCACCATCTCCTAAATTATAAATATTCTTCAACTTTTCAAATGCTGTATTGTAGCCTTCGGGATCAGGTTTACCGTGAGAAACGTCATGCGCTGTGATAAAGACTTGTGGCCATTTGATTTCTCCAAACAATGTTTTAAACCAACTATGTGCCAAATTCGTGGTTCCAGATGTAACTATCGCCCATGGGATATCTTTATTGTTGATCCCTTCTAAAGTTGGAATCACACCGCCAATTGGTTTTCCTAAATGACCATAGTTTTTCACTATATTTAATTCCCAAGTATTGATTGCTTCTTTATCATGTTTCAATTCTGGGAAATATTTAATCAACAATTCTTCAGTACGTGTACCGTGACTTGTATGTAAATAGGTAGCCAAATCAATATATGCATCTGGGAAAGCTTTGTTATGAGTGATAATTTCATTGCCCCATGATTTTTCAACTGCTGCTGTCGAGTTAACCAAAGTTCCATCTAGATCAAATAATAACACGTTGGTTTTAACTGATACACTTGAATTTGTCATTGTATATTAATAGTTGGGATTCACTAGATAAAAAGGAAAAAAAAAGTACCACTTTTCGATTAGTAATTCATGCCCGTATTTAAATCGACGAACCGGAAAATTATCCTCTCTCTCTCTCCCCCAAAGTTCGGTGGAATTATATGCGTGTTCCCAATTGGGAATTCCTTCCTCTTGGTGTGAAGGTATTTGTCTAAACTATTTGTAAAACATAGCGAGAAATATAGCGGGTTTCTTACCACCAAACAGTAATAGGATTTCCTACTATTTATGTAAGAATATTTCAAAACTCGTCTTTTTCGAGAAATCTACATACAATAGAGACTTCTATTACATAGCCGGGAAGTTAAAAATAATTCGATAACCACAAGTTTACTCAATCCTGAGTCATCCAATGATTCACCCGCAGAAACCAATTTGGTTATATCTATATAATTAAATACGATCGAAACTCCGAGACCGTTGTGAATGAAAGTTGTATATTATTTTTCCTGGGGATTTATTAGCCCCACATATCAAATCAGCCAATTAAAATTGATTATTTCTCAGAGTGGTTGATAAAAAGAAAAATTCCTTCTATCCGCACCGACCCATAGCAAGACGTGGTACAGTACCTCGCGCGCGTGGACACCCAAGGGGAACCACACCACTTCACCTTTTTTTTTATCTCCACGACTCGGTTCAAGAGGTCGATGGAAAAAAAAATGTTGGAAATTTTCACCAACACTGTAGAACAAGAAAAAAAAAAAAAAAAGAGAAAAATCTTTTTCCTTTACTTTCCTACCATCAAACCTTAGTTTCTCCCCATACTAATTATTATTTCATAATGTCCGTCGAAGACTTAAAACAAGTTGTTACTAAATTGCAAGACAGAATCCAACAATTGGAAAAGAAAGCTGGTATTATTCCAGAAGTTTCTGAATCCGTTCGTATGGTTTTAATTGGTCCTCCAGGTGCTGGTAAAGGTACTCAAGCTCCAAACTTGAAAGAAAAATTCTGTGCTTGTCATTTGGCCACTGGTGATATGTTGAGAGCTCAAGTTGCTGCTAAGACTGCATTGGGTGTTGAAGCTAAGAAAATCATGGATCAAGGTGGTTTAGTTAGTGATGAAATCATGGTTAACATGATTAAATCTGAATTGGAAAACAACAAAGAATGTAAAAATGGTTTCATTTTGGATGGTTTCCCAAGAACTATTCCACAAGCTGAAAAATTGGACTCTATGTTGCAAGAAAGAAAGACTCCTTTACAAAAAGCTGTTGAATTGAAAGTTGATGATGATTTATTGGTTGCTAGAATCACTGGTAGATTGGTCCACCCAGCTTCCGGTAGATCTTACCACAAATTATTCAACCCACCAAAGAAAGATATGACTGATGATGTCACTGGTGAACCATTGGTTCAAAGATCTGATGATAACGAAGATGCCTTGAAGAAAAGATTGGTTACTTACCACAAACAAACTGAACCAATTGTTGAATACTACCAAAAGACTGGTATCTGGTCTGGGGTTGATGCTGCTCAAAAACCAACTAAAGTCTGGTCCGATATCTTGAAATGTTTGGGTCAAAACTAAATTGAAAGAAAATAAAAAATAATGAAATAAATAAGTAAAGACTTAGAACCTATTTATTCTTTAAGAAATTAGAAAGTTCACTCTGTTTTTATTGTTGTTTTTCTTTTTCTTTTATATTTATGAATAATATATATTTGTATATACTGCATTGTATTTTAAATCCTTTCACGCTTGACGTGAACGTTTAAATCCTCATCAGCTGATCTCTTCTTATTCGATTCGTTGAAACATGCAACATGAACGATTTTTCTACTATTTTTACTTTCACCAGGTTGTCTAATACATCTTTCCCATACCCATTCCCCAATTTCGTCATTATAAGTTGCCTTTACTTGTTCTCGACAAATTAAACATTTGTTATTCATATTTGTTTCAGATGAAGGCACAACAACATACGAAGATGTGATAACATTCGCAGACTTATCATCATCCCCAATATCTGGCAACTTGACATCGGTTGAGTATTCTAACAACTCGTTCTCATTGAAATTAACCCATTCGTAATCATCAATGTACCAGTTTCTTGATTGCACATTGCTACCTTTAGCGGACAATTTCTTATTGATTCTGAAATGCCAGTCCAAATGTAATCTCTTTTTAGTTGAGCCTTCTTGGTCAGTTGTAAATCTTTTACCACAAATAGAACATTTGGATGGTTTGGCATCGTATAACAAATCACGCAACTTTGAATTTGGTTTGTTGTTCTTGATGAAATCTTGTAGATTATTTGCGGCAGATTTACTGACTTTGATCATTTCTGTGAATTTTAATTTTTCATAATCAGAACGTTGTATTGAACTGCTTGCTAACAACAACTCTTCTAATGTTCCATTAGGATTAAATTCGTTATTGGATGGAGAGTATTTGGTTTGAGGGAAAACCAAGGAATAGACAGGTTTTGAACCCGGTATTGGTTCTTGTTCCTTCTTCACCAACCCAGAAAGAATCAAATCATCAAATATTTGGAAAACAGGATTAGCCTTTGGTGTTGGTGGGAGTGAAGCAGGAGCAGGGGTTGTAGATGGGGTCCCTGTTGGAGTTCCACTTTTCGAGGACGATGATGCCAATTCTTGCTCTTTTATAGATTGTAATTGATTCTGTATAGCTTGTAATTCATTAACCTTCATAACTTGTGTGGATAAAATCAATTTTAATTGATTCAATGCTTTGAGTCTTTCAGCTAATTTCTGATTTGGATTCATTCTAATTTTGTTTTCAAATACTGGGATTAGTTGGCTTATGTCGTTAATAAGTGATTGTTGGGATAACCCTCCAGTTGCTGGTTTAGGGTATCCGGCTTTTTTCAAAAATACATCAATTTTATCCAATTGAGATTTTGGGAATAAAGGTTCATTGGTGCCCCTAGTTTTGGTAACTTTCCAAGTTTCAAACAAACTTACTAAACGATTACGAATTGCTTCATTGACTAATTGAAAAACATGGGAAAATAAACTAAAAATCTGATCACTAACAAGTATGTTATATGGGTTCCCTGTTGTTTTACAAATAGAATCCAATAAATATAAGGCATAGAGTTTCTGCTCCGGGATGGTTTTATAGATTCTTTCAGTGACTAAATCAATTATGCCATCTGCAACATTCGGATTTTCTTTAGCTATCACTGTCAAGTTATCAATGATTGGACGTGAATTAAAAGTTAATTCATTTAAACTTTGTTTATATGAATCTAGAATTTCCGACATTTTATCTTAACTATTTGGTTGTGATATATTAATAGGATGACGGAGAAGGTTGTCAAAAAGTCAGGTTTCAACTCAACCTCCAAGATGGAAGACTTTTTTTTTTTTGCTTCGTGCCTTCATGCTCAAGTTGTTCTGCGACTGCAAAGTCGTGTGGTTTGTAACAATAAAATTACAGTAGCTATGGACACTTAATTGAATGATTCAACACTGTCTAGTTTTATAATTATTTGCAGTTTCATTGAGTTCATAGTGCTAAATATGTATTTCTTAAAGTGTATGAGCTAGTTGGGTGGTATATATCTAGTTGCCTTGCTTTATAGACTAATATCTTTAATCCACATTAGTATAGTTGAATAACTTTCTCAAATACAAGAAGTTACTTCAACAAGTCATCTCGTATCTTTTTACATAATTTCAACCACGTGAACGACAACAATTTGGTATCATAATCGTCTATCAATCCTAGAAAGCCACTTTCCTTATTAAGTATTTTTTTCTTAGTGGATTCAATTAAGCGCGGTGTCAAGTGCAAATTTTTTTTCTGCTTCTACCATTCTCAATTTTTTTTTTGTTTTTTCTGACTCTTTCCTTTAAAATTCTGTCTTCCCGTTGAAACGAAAATTTTTCTCTCCCACGATATAATTTTTTTTTTCTCTTTTTCCCACTTGGAACAGACCAGAACCAATCATATTAAAAAGCTAACACAATGTCACCATCTGCTCATTCTTCATCTGATAAGAAACAATCAGGTTTGGCCAGAGTCTTGGGTTCTGCCACTGCTGGTATTGCAGAAATTGGTGTTTTCCACCCAGTTGATACCATTTCCAAAAGATTGATGTCCAACCATACCAAGGTTACTTCTTTACATCAATTAAATGAAGTTATTTTTAGAGATCAAGCTTCTAAACCATTTGGCAGACGTATCTTCACTTTGTTCCCTGGTTTAGGTTATGCTGCCTGTTACAAAATCTTGCAAAGAGTTTACAAATATGGTGGTCAACCATTTGCTAATGAATTTTTAACCAAAAACTTTAAAGATTCTTATGATTCAGCTTTTGGTGCTAAAAACGGTAAAGCTTTGTTGAGTGCCACTGCTGGTTCTTTGATTGGTATTGGTGAAGTTGTCTTGTTACCATTGGATGTTTTGAAAATCAAACGTCAAACTAATCCAGAATCTTTCCGTGGTAGAGGTTTCTTGAAAATTATTAAAGATGAAGGTTTCGGATTATACAGAGGTTGGGGATGGACCATGGCTAGAAATGCTCCAGGTTCATTTGCCTTGTTTGGTGGTAACTCTTTTGCCAAAGAATACATTTTCGGATTGAAGGATTACTCTCAAGCTACTTGGTCTCAAAACTTCATCACTTCTATCTTTGGTGCTAGTGCTTCATTAATTGTCTCTGCCCCATTAGATGTTATCAAGACCAGAATCCAAAACAGAAACTTTGAAAACCCAGAATCTGGTGTCACTATCTTGAAAAACATGTTGAAGAATGAAGGTATCACTGCTTTCTTCAAAGGTTTGACTCCAAAATTGTTGACCACTGGTCCTAAATTGGTCTTCTCCTTTGCTTTGGCTCAATCTTTGATCCCAGCTTTTGATAAATTGTTAACCAAATAAATGAATGAATGAGAATAAAGTCATCTTGTAAATAGATAGAAGAAATAGATTGTTTAGTTCTCTGTATAGAATATTTATTACTGTTGTTATTGTTATTATTATGTCTGAAAAAAAAATATATATTAATGAATACTAGTTGCAAATTGATAAAGTCACGAGGGTTAATTAGAAACACTTCTTATTCTTTAACTTGTAATTATTATTAAGGCGAAAAGTTTGAAATTTAGCCAGATCTCGTGATTTTACGCCAATTTAATACCCAGAAAAAGGAGACATAATCCACAGTTACTTTGTTAACCACCTAGTTTCATAGGAATCGGAATAACAGTCGGAATATTCTTTACCCTTAATGGAATAATAAACAGAAATTAAATTATTTTTGTGAATAAATGAAAAAAAAAAAAAATGAACTGATATTTGATGGATTATCTTGTCTGATTTTTGTTGATGTTGCAAAATAATTTTCATACTTCGCGTTTGGTGTAACTACCGAGGGAAAATTTATCATTATACCACGAAGCTCCCCGCGCGACATGACATGACAGGGCACGGTGAGCGCGGTGAAGGCAAGGCGTAAGCCAGGGAAACCAAAAAAAAAAAGAAAGTCATCGCTGCACCACGGATTAAACTTTTTTTGCATTCCTTAGACGAAAATGCAACGTGGAGAGAGAGCGCAAGGTTAAAAAAAAGAAAACACAGTATACTGAAAATCATGATTACAAATATCGGAATGTATTATAATATAAACCCATTCTTTATGGAAACATTTTGTATAAATTGATTAAAAAATTCACTTCTTCTATGGAGAAAAGTTTTTCCTGAATTCTTATCTATTAGCTATTTATCTATTCAACATATAAATACCAGGCTATTGGTCTTTGCTACGTGTAATTTTTTTTTTGCCATCATTATCTACTCATTCCTATTTTTTTTATTATTCACACATATACCTTACACACAATGAAGTTTGTTACTTGGTTCATCTATTTTATAAAGATAAATTTTCTTCAAATGGTACTCAATGGTTCAAGAAATCCATCTATCTCACTACAATACCTACAAAGTCCTATATTTGATCAAACCCCGGCTGAGCGCACATGTGATTGTTCTGCGGAAAATGACTTTGTTTCTTCAAGTAAAGATAGAAGTTGGATGACTAATACTACTGATTTTCCAATACTATCCAAAGAGTGCAGAGATGAAGTAGCAGACAGGGTGGAAGAAGGACAAATATTTGGTTTTAGCTAGACGCTAAATGACTTTGCTGTCTGCAAAATTTTAATTTATATATTTCATTTCTTGGTTATTTATTGGCGATGATACTTTTTACATTTGTATTGATGATATGTTTTGTATTATTTCATAATTAATTTTTTCTTCTTACTATAATACTTATTCATTTTAATTTTATATAGAGCGATAATACATATACTATAATTTAATGTCATTGATTCCAAAATTATCATAAATACCTAACTTCTTCAAGTTAGGTAACTCTTCAGTCCATCTCTTTCTTGTCATTATTCTATCCAAGTCATCAACGGTTTTCTTATCTTCCAATAAACATAATCTAAATACAGATTCTAATTTAGCTTGTTCACGTGCTATCTTCTCAACCATTCTTTCTCTCAAACCACCATTTAGGTTAGAAATATTCATAGCATTTCGCAACAAATTTTTAGCATTATTAAATAAAATCTCGTTGTTATCCACAGAAGGTGGGTAGTCTTTCATTGTACTTCTTTGTAATTCTATATCGGCTCTAGCAATTATAATCTCACTTAATTGAGCAATCAAACTTCCTAAATCTTCCAGTTGTAAATTATTCTTCTTTTGTTCTTGCATTTTATTATTAACCAATTCTTGTGCTTTCTTCAACAAACTGTTTTGGAATGTCAAAATCTTCCAAAAATTTTCCTTGTTGACTTCAGAACTATCACCGTTTATAGTTTCCAAGTTTATATCATTTCTATCCAATAAACTTTGTAAATTATCAGATGCAACCATGAATTTCTCAGGTACATCCGCAGATATTTCTTCATCATTTCTCCACAACTCCACCACTTCCATTATATCTGTTTCTGTTAATGCAACAATGGTTAATTTAATCAACTTCAATTCGTTGATATCATGCATGCTGATGTTACTAACCATATCTGTCACATGTGTCATTTCACTAAATTTTTCAATCAACAATTGGGAAATTTGATCATTCAACTCAAGCAAAGGTGCAACTAATGTATTAATGGAAGGAATAATACTATTTGAAGTAGCATTCTCATACATATATTGAACCAACTTGTATGAAGACAATAAGGTTTCAAACAAATCAGTAGGTTGAATCACTTCTTCACTCACTAACTCTTCCTGCGTTGTCTCATTGTTGTTGTTGTTGTTGTTGTTGATATTATTACTAGAATTATTAGTATTGATACTTCCAGATTCACTATCAATACTTGCCAAATCTTGCACAAACTTTTGTAGATCTTCGGTTTGTTGGACCAATAACTTCTGAAACACTTCCAGTATCATCTTGTAAACTTCGACCAATCTTCCAAAATCGACATTTTCGTTTTCCAGTTGCAACTCTAACCACTCAAGGTATACAATTGCATAATTATACAATAAATCATTCAGAATTCCTCCCAGTTGTCTACAAACATTCAAAGCTTCTTCATAAACACTAATAATCTGATCAATGGTTTGAACCACTGATAATGGACCATTTTCGGTAAATACATCATGATTATGTGGTACTTTCTTCACAATTTGATAAACATGCAATAATAATCTAGCAGAATTGTAATATGCGTCACTTAAAGTACTATCTAATTGAGCAGCTTTGACATAATTGACAAATGCCTTGTCAAAGAATCGTAAACTTTTGGCAAGATCTGAACCTAACCATCTATCCCCGGATTCTTCATCTACTGAACCTTGTTCTAAGAATTCAATAGAAGTTGTTGGTGCCGCAACCTTTTTGGATTCAGCTTTCTTTGGTAACTTTGGTAGTCTCATAATTATCCTATGGCTTGTTGTTAAATATTCGATTAGAAACCTAGCATTGCCAATTTTTTCTTTTTTTTTTTTTTTTTTTTTTTCAGAGAATTGCTTCCGACGGATATCTAAATTTGGCAACACTGAGCGGCTTTTGGTTGGTTATACACTACTGCAAATTAACGCGAAATATCGCGTCTCTAATTACACACTTAAGAATTTTTTTTTTCTTCTTTTTGTTTAGCTACATTGTTTGTTAGAGCTAATGTTTCAACAAGCATTTAGCATCAAGTTTCATCAACACTTTTAACAACAAAAATATTCTATGAGTATATCTAGTCCAACCGAAGCTTTAAAGGCTTCAAAGGTAATTGTTTCTCACGAACCACTATCTGCAATCCCACCTGTTGAGAAAATTCGAGACCTGTATAATTCATCAAAATTAAAAGAAATATATCGATACGATATCCCTGTTGTGATATTAGATGTAAAGCATTGGTATGACTCTGCAAGTGGATTAATAGTATTCACTGATTTTAGTAGTATAAATACAAGATCTTCATTTGCAGGTGGTAAGGTTCCATATTCTGTTGCAGTTGCTACATATGGTATAGACCGCCATCAACTACCACTGTCTATATTATTCAATTCCTCGATTTCCACAGCTCAATATGAAAATTTGATTTTGGAAATGGAAAAAAGTGAACCATTGAGTAAAGATGGGTTTGTAATTGCCAGATTGAGTTTTGATTTAAAAATAAGTTGCCGGAAGTACTTGGAAGGATATTTCAGTGGCATAGAACTTGTGGATAGTCAGAATATTTCTCAAGTTTTTGAAAAGTTGGAATTCCAGTTTCTGAACATGTTGTACAGAATGAAACAATTTGTTCCCCATAATACTTATAATGAATTAAGAGAGACCTACAAATTTGGTTCGTATGAAATTAAAACTAGAGATAAAGAAAAGAACAACATTGAAATGGAAAGTCAGTTAAGAGATCACAAGAGACTCTGTTTGAAAAATAGCCTGGACACAAGTAGTGGAGCATCAAAATTGTTATTTAATAGGATGGCACCAGATAGTCAAATGGCAAACTTTGATTCCCAGTCGACACAGAAGCCAGCACATGAGTTACTTTCTTCAGATTTCTACTTTGAATCAATGCCTACAATGACTGCTTCCCGACACGAAGGTATGTTGACTCCGAATCTGGATTCCGAAGACAAGTCTCAAAATGTCACTGCCCAAGATAAATCCCCATTGTCAATTAAAAATATTCAAATGCCTCCACCAAAGACTCCTCTTCGCCCCGTAGTTCGTTCACTGGGTGCTGCTCTTTTATTTAGACCAATGGCTACCGATTCTCAATCACCAATTAAACAACCACAAACTGGAGGTCAATTATTGGTTCCACAAACCCAAAGTCAAGATCAACACAGAATCGAACAGAATGAATCCATTAGTATCGATGAAACATCGATCGTGTCGCCAGATGAGTTTACAGTTGATCCTAATTGGAATGAAGCTACTCAGTCGTTTTTGCAAAGAGCAAACAGAAACCTTGATATAACTATTAAGGAATTACATGAATTGAAATCCTTTGATAGTAATGTTACCTATAATTTGACCTCAGTTAAGCTTAATGGTATTCTTTACATTGACAGCTGGAAGGTTACGCCGTATCAACAAAATACTAAACTTGCGCCAATTAAATTAATGATTAAAGATGCTAACAATCCGGGGTCCATTATTGATCTAGAGGTAGGTAATGATGATGAACTTGCTTCGTTTTATGGATTTCTTGATTCTGAGATTGATCCATCACAATACAAAAAGATAAAGTACATGATAAAACAGTTGTTGCTGCTAAAAGACAAGACTATTACAATAAAAGTGTCCAGAAAAATACGTCGCTCACCTACTAATATTTCATATGCCTATTGGACATGCAACTCTTGTGTACAAAGTCTCTTAAATCAATAAATATTACCCCTGTTTCATTTTAAAAAAAAGATTGATTTAAATATGTATATTACAAATACCTCCTCTTTCATAATAGTAAAAAAAACGTGCCTGAAATATAGTTTTATATTAAATTACATGAACAACAAAGAATAATTTACATTTAGATGTAACCGATTCTGTTGGCAATATCCAAAGCATCGTAGTCAGAAGTTAATCTGATGTAAGCCTTCTTGGTACCGTTTGGTCTGATCAAAGTGTTAACGTATTCAGCATCAACATCGTACAATTCTTTGACAGCAGATTTGATTTGGTGTTTGTTGGCTTTAATATCAACTTGGAAAACCAAGGTGTTACCATCTTCAACTTTCTTCATAGCAGTTTCAGAAGCAATTGGAGCAACAATAACTTTGTAAGCATCCAATCTGTTGTAGTGTGGAACGGATTTTCTTTGGTATTTTGGTTGTCTAGTTAATTTTAAAGTTTTTGGTAATCTGAAAGTAGTAGAAGTTCTAACTTTAAGAGCTTTCTTTCCGTTAACACCTTTTAAAGCGGCTTTCTTAGCAGCAGAAGCTTTAGTAGTTGCTATACAAATAAAAAATGTTAGTAAAAAAAAATATTCAACATTATATAATTTGGGAATTATTTAAGGAACAGATCTTCAATACAGTCTTTTCTTTGGTAGAATTTACTGGGATTTTTGAATGATAATCTCTTGTTACTGATTTTCAATTTTGGTTTTACTGCCTTAAATGACTTGATATGTTCATCTTGATGAGAGTCTCTTTTTGTTAATGCTTCTAATTTAAAAACCTCATGATGATTCTATAACTCTCTTACTTGTATTATTCATTTAATATCCACATTATATATTGTGCCCATCTCATAAAATCTTCTTTAAGTCATTTCTTGAGTACTTTCCAAATACATCTTAATCTCGAAATCCGACATTCTATAACATTCAAACTGTTTCATTTCTATTCCTTCAATACTTTCCCTCATTAAACGTAGTTGGTATCCTAAACATACGAGCCATTGTTGATATTCTATGATGTACACTATTATAAAAAGGACTATTAAAAAAATTTCACCTATAATGAAAATTAGTTTTTCTCTTTCTTCCTCTCTCTCACTCTGACCCGTTCACACGCAGTACGTCGCACACTCTCACTATGGGCACAAGAGCAGAGAGAGAGAAAAAAGAAAAAACGCAGGAAAAATAAAAATAAAAATTTTCAAGCACAATGAACAATTCGCACGACTAACATAATCTTTCAACACGTGCAATTAGTGTTCCTTAGGGTTACAACCCTGATGTTGGATTCGCGTTACAACAAAAAAAAGTTGATCAAGACAAACTTATTATGTGATAAATCTTAGATTTCTATGTAAACTAAGCAGAATATATATATATGTATATACAAGAAGTAAGGTGCATTTAAAAGTGATATGTTGTCGAATATATGTAATAATTTAATCAAGCTTGTTTACAAACGACGTAATTTCTTTGGTCTGTTACCACCAAATCTCAAGACAGTAGCATCACTGATTCTAACAATGTTATTCTTGATCTTTGAACCTTCTTTACCCAATAAAGCAGCTTGGAAAGCTTCTCTACCTTTACCGAAATTCTTCAAGACTAATTCGATTTTATCATGTGGTCCAATAAGGTTTCTTTCTTCAATAGTTTTAAACATTTTACTTGAAACTTGGAAAGCAGCTTCATATTCTTGTCTTTGAGATTTTCTGAATCCCAAATTACCAGCAGTAATACTGTACTTAACTTTATGTGGTAATTGCAAATAGTACAAGACTTGATCATTATATGGCATATCTTTGTTCTTTTCCAAGAAATCCAAATCTTCAACAACAGCAACCAATGTACATCTAGTATTATGTCTGTTGAAAGTGGCGTATAATTTCCAGTAAACTATCTTTTCATTAGCTTGATTTTTATTATTTTTATTCTTCTTTTCGGTAATTATTTCTGAAGTTTGAGTTGAAGGTGTTTGAATATTTGAAATAATTGGAGATGTGGTGAATGGTCTAGTTATGGTTGGTGTCACTGGAATGAATTGTTTGGTCATCAATGAAGTGGCCAAAGTTGGTCTTCTAAAAGCCAATCTAGTTATACTCGAAAACATGACTGGTGTATGTGTAGTAGATCTATATCAAGTATTCAACCAATGAAACTAGATTTGATGGTTTCTGATATTCGCATGTTGAAAATTTTCGAGCATACTGTACTCAGGGAGAGAAACAAAAAAATTGTGTGTGTGTGTGTGTGGTCGTGTACTTTGGATAATATATGTTAATTGTACTAAAGTAAAGATGAATATACTTATTGACGAGATGAACTCCAAACAATTGAGAGGCACTCAATCGGCTATTTTGGAGATATAAAAGGTGTTTAATTCCTGTCAGTTGTGACTATTTTTATTTTTCTTTCTTTTTTTGTAGATTTTTACCATCAAATTTTATATCTTGTAGTTTTACAAGAAGTAATAGTTTGGCTTGACAGCTATTGCCAACTAAAGACAAGATAGAGACACACCACAAGGTTTTTAATTTAATTAATAAGTGGCAATTACCAACGAGGAGCCACCCCTTTTCAATGACCGCTAAAGAGAATGAGATCACCCTATATGTGGAAATAATTGAGGCATTTATTAGTTTATTAATTGCAAACCACTAATGATTCCATTCAATAACAATTATAGTGATCTTGTAAATAACATTTTTTTAACAATCATAACTACTACATTATATTTAGAAACAACCCTTTGTTAGGATAATCTTATCTGAGGGAAGGAGATTTAACTTCTATTTTATTTTCCGCGCTCTCTATTTTGCAACATTGAATCTTATTTGAACTTGTTGCACTTTGAAGGAGAGAAATTATTACTTTTTTCTTTGATTTCAATCACTGTAACATTATCTCTCAACAACATTGAGAATCATCGCTATGTAACCAGAATTATCTTAGTTATGTTATTACCGATGGATTTCAAGTTGTAACAATTTTTAAATCAACTCATTTATTTTAATTCAGTTTGAAATACCAAGTTTGTCAACATTTAAAATTTGAACTTTCTACAACCCTTTCTAACATATCCTACAAATATTTACCCACGACACATATTGATACTATAAACTACAGTTCCTCGTTGCCTAATCAATATTTTTCAAAAGATATAGGAATATGTGTTTGGGCGAATGTGCTTTTAATTCATGTTGAATCAATTATTAGTAACCCAGTTACCGAATGGGCATGATTATTCACATACTAAGATAATATTAATTCACATGAATATTCAAAGTTCATTAGCCTCACTGTAACTACAAAAAATAATTAGATTCTCTAGACCCTTTAGTAATCCATTGTAATTATCGGGAGCTAACCGAAAGCTACCTTAAAAAGAATATAATCGATCTCATCATAAAAAAACCATCAATGATCATTTTCCCATTTCGGGAGAAAGATCACCTTGAAAGTATATGCATATGGCAACGACGAACCCAATAACAATTAAAATAAACTTATTCCATTGGTCGATAGTTACAATTCTAATTACGGCAGGCGAAAAAGGGCATTGATTTATTTTTGTTGATGATTGCAGATCTCGTAGATCTTTGTAGATCAAATTCTCATTGTAAACACCATCATATATATACTCTTTTCATTCGTTGCATTTCCAGAAAGGTAAAAAAAGAAAAAGCAAAAAAAAGAAGAAATAAAAAAAAGCCTTAGACAATGTTTCAATTGGATATTGCCTCAAGTGTAAAACCCTACGTATTGGAATCAAGGGATGTAATCTTTTTGATTGGTATAAATAGTTTATAGAATCTTGTTTCAAGATGAATGGTTTAAATAGGGTCCAGTAATGATCTCTTTGTTGATTTTTCCATTGTTATTTGCTTGTTTGGTAATTTGTAAATCACCTACCAATAGTTATGCACCTGGTAGAGTTGAATGTCCAAATTTTAAATTAACCAGATCAGCTATATCTGGGTTGAACCCTGATGAGAAATCATATATTGATCAAAGATATAAACTTGCAAAGCAATCATTGTCTGGATTTCTTCATCAAGCTGGTATGATTGATTTTGATGTTGATTCATTCTTAGCTACTTCAAACCCAACTATTGGTATTGCTTTCAGTGGTGGTGGGTACCGGGCAATGCTAGCTGGTGCTGGAGAATTGAGTGCATTAGATTCAAGATCGAAATCACCATCTATACTCTCTGGGATTCTTCAAAGTGCAAATTACATTGCTGGGTTATCTGGTGGAGCATGGTTGACTGGTACAATAGCTAGTAATGATCTAATTACTGTTGATCAAATTTTAGCACAAAATAGTCTTTGGAGATTACTGAATTCATTGTTTGCATACCATGGATTCTTATTTGTATTAAGTAATACACTTATGTGGACAAGTATAGATCTACTGGTGAAGTTGAAAATGCTTTCTGGATCAACCGTTAGTATTACTGATGTTTATTCTCGTGCTTTGAGTTACCAATTTTTAAGTAATTACCCTAGTAAAGGTGCTGCATTTTGTTGGTCAGATATCACTTCATTGCCTAGTTTTCAAAATTCAGAACTACCATTCCCAATATTATCTGCTGTTGGACGAGAACCAGGAACAAGCATTATTAATTTCAATTCAACTGTATTTGAATTTACACCATATGAAATTGGGTCTTGGGACCCAAGTTTACAAAATTTCATGAATATCAAATATCTTGGAAGTAAAATGAACAATGGGTTTGCCAACGGTAAATGTATCAACGGATTTGATAATGCCGGTTTTCTTATGGGTACTTCATCTTCATTATTTAATGCTGTTTTATTAGAATTAAATAAACTTAACTTCCCTAGTTTTACAAAGAGTTTGATTAATTCAATTGTCATTAATCCATTTGAACGGTTAAACGTCGATGTTGCTCATTATAATCCAAACCCATTCTATATGAGTCAAAATCCAAATGGGAAAATTGCCAATTCAAGAACATTATACTTAGCTGATGGTGGAGAAGATGGTCAGAATATTCCTTTATTACCATTGGTTCATAGAAATGTTAGTGTGATATTTGCATATGATAATTCCGCAGATGAAAATGGTTGGCCAGATGGTACTTCATTGGTGAAAACATATGAAAGACAATTTTCTCATCAAGGGCGAGATGTTGCATTCCCATATGTTCCTGATCAATACACTTTCAGAAACTTGAATCTAACCAGTAAACCGACATTTTTTGGATGTGATGCTAAGAACTTGACTTCACTTACAGATAATATCTACGATGTTCCTTTGGTTATATACAATGCTAACCGTCCATTCAGTTACTGGTCAAATACATCTACATACAAGTTGAAATATAGTGATCAAGAAAAAGAAAGCATGATAGCAAATGGGTATAATGTTGCTTCTCGTATGAATGGACAACTTGACGATGAGTTTGCTGCATGCATTGGCTGTGCTATTATCAGAAGAGAACAAGAACGCCAAGGTATAGAACAATCTAAACAATGCCAACGCTGCTTTGAGAAATATTGCTGGGATGGTACTGTGTATAAAGATGCACCATTAGGAGATAATTTTAGTAACGAAGGTTTAACAAAAAGTGCACAATACTATAATGCAAACAACGTAAAAGGTATAAACAACGGAGGTGTTGATATTGTATAAAAAAGTGAAAGTTGTAATTGTGTTATAATCTATACGTATAATTGTTCGAGGCGTGCATTTTGTAATTCGCTGAGGTCGTTTATTTATAATTATTTATACAAGCAATTACCTGGAACAAGCTTATCTGGGATTTGTAAATGTGTACAAAAAATTAAAATGTTAATCCCTTCCAGTAAGACCACAAAGTATTCATATTCTTTTTCTTGTTATTATTGCACCGTTTGTATTGTTCCATCAACTATTTTAAGAAGTCTATTGTACAAAATGGGAGAATATTAACTCACATGCACTACGTCTCTGCAAATCTAAACTCATCAAAATTCATGATTCGCGGTCAATAATTTTAGACCGTCAAGCAAAATGAACAAATGTTTTCAGCGCTTATTCAATTTCATTAACTAGGGTTCTCAATTTATTGTGTTACGTGTTACGTGTTTTGTGTATTGGTATATATTCAATGACATTAGATAAAAAACTACATTACTGATGCTGTGAGTAACATTCCATTCCAAAACTACTCGTACGATGGGAACAATACAGAGGATATCATTGATGTTCAGTCTGAGTGGTCAACAAGTTTTCATTAGATCTCAAAATGAATTGTATAAATAGCTAGTCAAAACGAAGAAATAATAATTTATTTTTTAAACTAATCTATAAGACCACACCCCATCAACAATGAGATCTTTTGTTGTATTACTGGTATTGTTAATCCAAATTGTTCTTGGTGGATCTCCAACAGGAGGTTACGCCCCAGGAAAAGTTACATGTCCTAATGATAAGGTTACTCGTTCCGCATTAGAAGGTATTGGTGCTGATGAAAAATCATACATTGATGAAAGATACAAGATTGCTAAATCTGAAATGACTACTTTCCTTAAGAACGCAAATATGTCTGATTTTGATGTTGACTCATTTATGGAACAATATAATCCTACTATTGGTATTGCATTTAGTGGTGGTGGTTATAGAGCCATGTTATCAGGTGCCGGTGCTATGAAAGCATTAGATTCACGTTCTGACAAACCATCTGTTCTTGGTGGTATCTTACAAAGCGCTAATTATATGGTTGGTTTATCTGGTGGTGCTTGGCTTGTTGGTAGTGTTGCCAGTAATGACTTTATAAGCATTGACAAAATTTTGGGTCAAGACAAATTATGGAATTTAAAGAATTCTTTATTTGCATATAATGGGTTTTTTGGTGTTATTAGTAATGCCGTGATGTGGACTAAAATAAACATTCAAGTGAAATTGAAGTTTCTCTTTGGATCCACTATTAGTCTTACTGACATATATGGTCGTGCTTTAAGTTAACAATTATTAGCTAACACCAAGGATCAAGGTGCTGGTTTTACTTGGTCTGATATAACTACTCAATCAAAATTCAAAAGTCACGAAATGCCATACCCAATTTTGGTTTCACTTGGTAGAGAACCGAATGAATACATTATGAACTTTAATTCCACCGTTTTTGAATTAGGTCCATACGAAATGGGATCTTGGGACCCAAGTTTAAGAAGTTTCATGCAAACTAAATATTTGGGTAGTAGTGTTGATGATGGTACTGCTTCTGGAAAATGTATCAATGGTTTTGATAATGCTGGGTTTTTGATGGGTACATCTTCGTCTGTTTTCAATGGTATTACCATGTATTTTAAAGATCTTGGATTCCTCCCATCATTCCTCAAAGGTATTGTCAATGGCTTGATTTTTGATCCAATTCAAAGATCCAATATCGATATTGCTCAATACAATCCAAATCCATTCTATAAGAAAAATAATCCAGATGGTAAGATTGCAAAATCTAAAGAGCTTTATTTAACTGACGGTGGTCAAGACGGACAAGATGTTCCATTTCTTCCATTGGTTCACAGAAATGTTAGTGTGATTTTTGCTTATGATCAGGGTGATGAAAGTTCTACCAATTGGCCAGATGGAACTGCTATGGTCATGACATACCAAAGGCAATTTTCCAATCAAGGTAAAGATATTGCTTTCCCATATGTTCCAGATCAAAATACTTTTAGAAACTTGAACTTGACTAGTAGACCAACTTTCTTTGGTTGTGATGCTAAGAACTTGACTTCCCTTACCGAAAACATTTATGACGTTCCATTGGTTATTTACAATGCTAATCGTCCATTTAGCTACTGGTCCAACACATCTATGGTTAAGTTGAAGTATTCTAATGATGAAAGAAATGGTATGATCCAAAACGGTTATGATCTTGCTTCCAGAAAGAATGGTGAATTAGACAGTGAATTTGCTGCTTGTGTTGGTTGTGCCATTATTAGAAGAGAGCAAGAACGCCAAGGCATTGAGCAAACAGAACAATGTAAACAATGTTTTGCCAAATACTGCTGGGATGGATCTATCTATGAAGGTGAATCATTAGGTGATAATTTCAGTGATGAAGGTTTGACCATTTCTGCTGAATTCTACAACAGTTCCAACGTAAAAGGCTTTAATGACGGAGGTGATTCATTTCTTTAAACTTGCATACCACTGTATAGTTTTTGTTTGTGTCATCATATAGAGAATTATTGTAAATGCATGTGTTGTAATTCGCTAAGTTCAGAAAAATGTATTCCTTTTGTAAATTCAGTTTGTAGTCACTTTCTAATCATCAACTTCTAGTAAATTAAGTCTTTTTTTTTTAGAAAGAAGAACGCAAAAGTAAATCATCAACAGAATTTCATTTCGGTATTTTTCTTGAAATATTAAACTTTTCGCGCGTTTTATGCAATAGAAGCCGGAAAGGGATTTTCCATGGTGCAAAAACGGAACAACTCCCCGAGTGGGATTGGCTTGATTTTTTCCGTTTTTGTTTGCAATTTTTAAATTTGGACGGATCAAGGATTTGCAAAAAGACATAAGCTAGATATAGTATACTACAAATATGCCAAGGGTTTTTTCTATTTAAGGCTTTTCTTTATTCTTCCGAAAGACTGTGTTTATAATACATTACTTTACTACTCGCTTTGTGTGTATGTTTGGTGTACAGAACATGAAATTAAACGCAATTACAAACGGGCACTTAATAAACATTCCAATCGAAAACACATCGTGTGATAGTATATACGATTTCAATTATTACAGGAAATGGCGAACTAACTTTCCTCTATGTATATTCCCAAAGAGGTCTATAAATAGCGCCTAAAATCACCAAAGTTGGGAATCATTTTTCATTATCATTCTTCATTAAAACCATTACAATCTTCAACAATGAGATCAATATTTGTTTTGCTGTTTTTGCTAATTAATGCTGTTCTTGGTGGATCTCCAACAGGAGGTTACGCCCCAGGAAGAGTCACATGTCCTAGTGATAAGGTTACTCGTTCCGCATTAGAAGGTATTGGTGCTGATGAAAAATCATATATTGATGAAAGGTACAAGATTGCTAAATCTGAAATGACTACTTTCCTTAAGAACGCAAATATGTCTGATTTTGATGTTGACTCATTTATGGAACAATATAATCCTACTATTGGTATTGCATTTAGTGGTGGTGGTTACAGAGCTATGTTATCAGGTGCTGGTAATATGAAGGCATTGGACTCCAGAGCCAAAGAACCTTCTGTTCTTGGTGGTATCTTACAAAGTGCAAGTTATATGGTTGGTTTATCCGGTGGTGCTTGGCTTACTGGTAGTGTTGCAAGTAACGATTTCATCAGTGTTGATGATGCTTTAGATCAAGGAAAATTATGGAACTTGAAAAATTCTTTGCTTACTTACAATGGAATTTTGGGTGTTATCAGTAATGCAATCATGTGGACTAAAATTGATATTCAAGTTAAATTGAAGTTTCTTTTTGGTTCAACTATCAGTATCACTGATTTGTATGGTCGTGCTTTAAGTTACCAATTATTAGCCAACACCAAGGATCAAGGTGATGCTTTTACTTTGTCTGATGTCACCTCCCAATCAAAGTTCAAGAGCTATGAAATGCCATATCCTATCTTGGTTGCTCTTGGAAGAGAGCCAAATGAATATATCATGAACTTCAACTCAACTGTTTTTGAATTGGCACCATACGAAATGGGATCTTGGGACCCAAGTTTAAGAAGTTTCATGCAAACTAAATATTTGGGTAGTAGTGTTGATGATGGTACTGCTTCTGGAAAATGTATCAATGGTTTTGATAATGCTGGTTTCTTGATGGGCACATCTTCTTCAATTTTCAATGGTATTATGATTGCTGTTAAGAATGGAGATTTCCCACGATTCATTAAAAGTATCATTAACACTTTTATTGTTGACCCAATTCAAAAGGCAAATGTTGATATTGCACACTATAACCCGAATCCATTCTATAAGAAGAGTAATCCAGACGGTAAAATTGCTAAATCTAAAGAGCTTTACTTGACTGATGGTTCTTTTGATGGTCAAAATGTTCCATTCCTTCCATTGGTTCACAGAAATGTTAGTGTTATATTTTCCTATGATCAAGGTGATGAAACTTCTACCAATTGGCCAGATGGTTCTGCAATTATTAAAACTTATGAAAGACAATTCTCCAATCAAGGTAAAGATATTGCTTTCCCATATGTTCCAGATCAAAATACTTTTAGAAACTTGAACTTGACTAGTAGACCAACTTTCTTTGGTTGTGATGCTAAGAACTTGACTTCCCTTACCGAAAACATTTATGACGTTCCATTGGTTATTTACAATGCTAACCGTCCATTTAGCTACTGGTCAAATACTTCCATTATCAAGTTGAAGTATTCTAATGATGAAAGAAACGGTATGATTCAAAATGGTTATGATCTTGCTTCAAGGAAGAATGGTGAATTAGACAGTGAATTTGCTGCTTGTGTTGGTTGTGCCATTATTAGAAGAGAACAAGAAAGAAATGGTGTTGAACAATCTGAACAATGTAAACAATGTTTTGCCAAATACTGTTGGGATGGTACCGTTTACGAAGGTGAATCATTAGGTGATAATTTCAGTGACGAAGGTTTGACTTCTTCTACTGAATTCTACAACAGTTCCAATGTTAAAGGTATCAATGACGGTGCTGCAGATATCGTCTAGTTACATAAATTATAGAATTAACAATATATAAATCTGATTTTGTGTATTAGTAGTAAATACATATTGAATGTGTATATGTGCAAGACAAAATAAAGTCTCCAGAGATGGACATGCATACGGCTACTAATACGTGTGTGAACCGATTCCTACAATCGTGTGATTACAATAATCTATTCATCTTTTTTGATATTAACATAAATAAAACTCCCGATATCTATTAAAATTCTATAAGTAGATAAAATTTAACAAAACTATAAATAATATGTGTTTTTTTTTCTTTTCTAATTTTTTTTTGTATTAAATATTTTACCATAAAATAGTAATAATAAAAAGCAAACTAATCAATAATTCTAATATACAAATTTTATTAATAAGGAAAGGATCAACCTTCCTATTTATTTCTTCTATTATTCTTTAATTTTCAATTTAATCACGTTCCAACAATTGTGGCAAGTCATCAACAAGACCACCTTCATAGATGATTCTGTAAGTAGCTTCAAACAATGGGAATTCGTCTTGGATGTTGTGGTATTGTAATAATTCATGAACTTCCTTAGCAGTTAAAATACCTTGAGAACTTTGACCGTTCAACAAGATTCTTTCAGCTTCAAAAGCATCGACTCTGTGTTCAATCATGTATCTACCAACTTTAACATTTCTACCACCGGAACAAGTGGTGATTAAATCAGCAACACCAGCGGATTCTTCAGTAAATGTACGTGGGTTTGGTGGAGCCAAAGCTCTGATCTTGAATTTTTGCCAGTAAGAAGCAAATCTGATAGTTTCTTTAATACCAATTCTCATGATGGCAGCTTTAGCATTGTCACCCCAACCGGCACCTTCGACGAAACCGACGGAACAAGCAACAACGTTCTTCAAAGCACCGGCAATAGAAGCACCGACAACATCTTCAATAACTCTAACGTGGAAATATGGTCTGTGGAAAGCTTCTTTCAAAATAACTTCATCGATATCTTCACCTTTACCTCTAAAATCGTTTGGAATAGTGTAAGCAATAGAAGTTTCAGACCAGTTACCTCTGGCAACTTCATTGGCAATGTTAGCACCAGACAAGACACCACAGTAGATACCCAAAGTATCGGTAATGGTGGTAGATAATAAGTTACAACCTTCTGGGGAAACATCTAAACCTTTCAAACAGGAAATAGCTCTGGCAGTTGGCTTGACTTTACCAACAATGTTTTTCAAGATTCTGGTTAAGAATTGATGTGGGATGTTAAAGACAATCAAATCGGCATCTTTAACAGTGTCGACGATATCTGGATTAGCAACCAAGTTTTCTGGTAATTTGACTTCTGGTAAATATTTAACATTTTCATGTTCAGTGTTGATGATTTCAGTTAATTTCTTACCATCGATTTCTTCTTCGAAAACCCACATTGGGACTTCTTTTTGGAAGAATTGTGGTTTTTCAGCAGCATTTTCAGCAACCAATTTGGCAACTGCAGTACCCCAATTACCTGAACCAACAATGGCAACTTTGAATGGGTTAGAAACTGGATATGAGGAAGTAGTCATGATTGTATGTGTATATGTGTATGTGTATGTGTTTAATTGATAAAAATATGAATAGATAAAATAAACTTAAATATAAATTGATAATAAAATTTTAGAATTCAACAATCAGGGGGGAATCTTTGTTATATTTATACAATTGAGTTTAATTGATAATGCTCCCTTTTTTTTCTTTTTTTGTCTTTTTCTTTTTGTCTACCCAAATGGTCGATTAGCGTTGATGGTGGTGTACTGTGCAAGCGGGATCGATGACACTACGTAATAATTAGTACGAACTACAAAATAAAAAAAAAAGAAAAAGAAATTTACTAATATTATTTTTTTAAGGAGAGTTTCTTTTTTTTTTTCATTGTGGTACTGCATACAATCCCAGATCTAGGCCAAAGTCCGTTGTGTTTGTGGCACAAAATGTAACTTGGTAGTACAATTTATCCGAGTAAAAATAAAAGTAAGTGACAGATAGACAGAGAGAGACAAAGTTCTATCCGACGGAGGGCAGTGAGGGAACTTCTTTGTTTCAAACGTTGTATGATGTAATTACACACGTCTCGAGAACTGCAACGAAAACTTTACTGCTTCTGGTTTGATCTCTCAATGGTTTGGGTTATTTTTTTGATGTTTGAAGATAGTATTATGAACCATAACCATTATCTGCTGTAAATTACAATTAAACGAATCATCCATTGTTTTGCTTTCTTAACAATTTATTATTCTTGTCTTCCTTCTAATTTTTATTTTTGCTGTGGTGGGCGGATTTTTGGGTTCCGCAAATTACGAGATTACAAAGAAAAGAAACGGGTGATTTCAGTATAGAGAGAGAGGAAGAAGAGGAGAAGAGTAATCATTTGAGATGAGCAATGAGCAATCTCCAATTAGAGTTTGATTCAAGCAATTAAAATCTCCTGGTTTGGAATGCAAGGGCTACTACTGATTATTGGTTGGAACTTTGAGGAACATCACAGAAGGGGAGGCAGAGTAGAGAAACAACAACAAAAAAAAAACTATGACGCCAAAGATCGCTCGTCGGGTTACGCTACGTAAGGAGACGGCAGTTATTTAGTTCGCACTGAAAATTAAAAAGGAAAGACAAGCGATATTGAAAAGTTGGGCTAGAAAGTACAGAGAGAATACACAAAACTCCTACTCTCTCATTTCCTTTTTCATTTTTACTGCCGTCGTTGTCCATTGAAATCGCTGTCTTTTCTTTTTCTCAGTAAAGAGAATGTTTGTGTATTGAAAAGTTTCAGGGAGTATATCCATGATATGTCAAATTACGTAGTTTCTGCCGTTTTGTATCAACTATGATGTAACGATAAAGACTGATCCTAGAAAACCCGTGCTCAACAATGAAAAGAAACGTAACATCCTACGTCATATATACAAATCAATATCTTGTCAATAATATAAAAAAGCAAAATAATAAATATAAAAAAAAAAACAATTGAGACATCTTGAATACTCCGAGCGGTTGAATCTCATCACGTTGAGATTTTTTTTTTTTTGGTGCTCACTGATTAAGTGAAATTTACTAAACTACAATGACCACGTACACGACTAAAGATTTCTTTTTTTTTTTGAAGATGTTGTTGTCTTGCACGTGTTGATCACGTTTGAAATAAACCTGAGTTCTTCAGTAAAGCCACCGCGAGACGGTCTTATTTTTTCTTTTTAGGTCTAATTACAAACTATAACATGGAGGTGAAATATTAATTTACGAGAGGAGAGTGAACGACAGACTATCATGAGATGGTTTAAATGGTGCATGTCCACAGCTAATTTTTGTTTTTAATTTTCAATTTATAAATTTAAAGTTCTCCCGATTCGGTTTAACGGGTGAAAAGAAAATTACATAAATCAATTCTACTGCTAAACGAAAGGAATGCAATCATAGCACCATTGCCCAAAATTCAAAAATGTATATTTCTAATAATAATCATCATCATGTCTGTAATCATGGTACATTTCATCCCAATGGTGATCGACAATTTGACCTTTTCTAAATGGTCTTTCATTATGTGCACTTTGTTGCTTGATTTCAGGTTCATTGTCAAAATCTTCTATCCAATCTTTAGTCTGTACCTGACCTCCACTAATTACTTTGGCGGCAGTTAATGGATCATTAATATCACTTAATTGACCATCTTGAATATGAGCTAATGGATCAGGCAATCTGTTTTCTTGTGGGTTCTCTTGTTCTGCCGCGGTATCTTGAACAGGCTGCTGTGCAACATTAACACCAGCTCTCCCTGTGGGATCACGTGAGCTTTCAGGCGTTTGGTCAAACATTGGCTGATGATAATCTGGGTTATTTAAAGTTGCCTGTTGGTGCAGTTCTTGATGTGACGCAAATGCAGTTTGTGCCTCGGATTCAGGGATTCCCTTCTCTCTAATATCTTCTTTTGAGTCAGAAGTTACCAATTTATCCCCTTCCAACTCTACTTTTCTATTCCCAATGGATGACATCAATTTCAAAAATTGTGAGTTTTCAAACTTCTTTTTCATTTCAAAATCATCATAAGTCTTAGACTTGATTGTATCTTCCACCAATCTTGCAGTCTCAGCAAACTTCTCCTTGGCTATATTATCGATATCGACTTCCTGAGTAACTACTTCTTCCTGCTGTTGTTGTTGTTGCTCGGCTGCCAAATGTTTTTCAATTAACGCAAATTCATTTTCAAACCGACGTTGTTCTTCTTCTAATTTATGGCTCTGTTGATGTTCTGATTGGTTCTGAAATACTGGAGCTGCTATGGGAACGACATTACTTCTCATTTGATAACTGTTACCCAAAGCATAATTTGGTGTCATTTGTTGAAAATTTGACTGCTGCACCTGTGGTTGATGTTGATGTTGATGATGATGAGTGACATTTTGATTCTGTTGCATAAACTGTTGCTGCCAATCGGATTTAGCTTGTGGTGTTTGTTGGATCGATAAATTAGAAAAATCGTTAACCCATCCGCCGTTTTGTTGTTGTTGTTGTTGCACTGGGTGATGATGTTGAACTTTAGGTTGTATGTGCATTTGATTCATAAATGAACTGGCAAAATCGCCACCACTATTGAATTGTTGGAACTCATTATTTAATCTTGGATCAATGTGTTGCTTCCCTTGACGAAACTGTTGAACTGAAGAACCACCAGTGGCTTGTTGTAATCTTTGGTGTTGTAGAGATGTATCTCTTTGAGTATGTTTGTTTAAATTTTGAATAGCATTCGAAGGTCCACAGCTTGCTGAATCCATGTTGGTTATGTTTTATATACTTGTGTAGAAATAAAAATAAAGATTTCTTGAAGTAAATGAACTTTCCCACTTGATTTTATCTTTAGATTTTTTTCTTCTTATTTTTTTACTTGTCGATTGCCGCCACTTGAGAAACGAGATAGCACGCGAATAATTGTGACTCGTTTGCTCCTCGTCCCCCCTCCTCCTCAATTTTCCCCACGATATTTTTCTTTCTCATAGAGTGACTACCGAGGAGCGAAGGGTGCACCACAGGCGGAGTTAACATATGATATAAGTATATTTTTTTTTTGCACTTTCTATCATCTGCTGTCATAAGAAACCATATCTCCACAAATTATTTACATCAGATCATATCATTATATCGTATATACTATTATAGTCCAATTTAAATATTACTAAATCTAAACAACGAACTATCATCAAACAACTCAATAAAAGCTTCATGTAAAAACTCATGAATATTTGAAGTTTGCATTGCTCTACCGTATTTTTTAAATGCCTTATTACAAGCACATCTAACTAAAGAACTAGCGGCATAACAGGCCAAAATGTTAGCTTCATGTTGTTCCATCTCCACTTTATTGTCCCACACTTTAAGAATATAATTATTTGACCAATTCACAAGAGTTGCAATTGCCCCAGTCAATGTATCCCCTTGTCCACCAACTCTTTTATTGGAGCCTTGTACTTCGTTGATAAGATATGAATCCGATTTAACAATTATATCATGTTCGCCTTTACGGAACACGATAATATCCCCAAGTTTCTTGGAAACTTGCTGTGTTTGTTCAATCAATTTGGATCTATCCGATTCCGACAAACTTACATCTATCGATAATGCTTTTGCTATTCTTTGGAATTCCACTACATTCGGTGTAATGATAGCCTTAGGGTAATTGGAAATCAACTGTGGTTTAACAGATAAAAGAAACAATGCATCAGCATCTAGAATTATTGGCAAGTTCAATACTTTGATTTCTTCGATAATCCTCACCAAGGATTTCAACATCAATGGGTCTCTTCCAAACCCAGGACCAACAACAACAATGTCAATTCTATTCAACAATGAAACAACTTTTGGTAAAACAAGTTCATCAATTATTTTATTCAACACGGCATTGTCATTGGATTTAATTATCTCATCAAGAGGTAATTTTTTCAAATTATCCAATTCTTCATCACTTATTCTAAGAGTTGGATTATCTAAATCCACAAGGTATGGGTGAACCATTAAATCTGGGGTATATGATTTAATTACTGGAGCTGCTGCTTTTTCACAAATAACATGAGATAAATCAGCCCCCACCAAAGCAGCAGAATGACTTGAAAAAAATGGTGCTCCTGTATAATCTTCATTCCCTCCAATGACTGCTATTTTACCTGATTGTCCTTTATGGAAACTAGGAAGTAGTGGTTGGATCAATTGACGTGATAAATGAATCAATTCCTTTTGAGATTTTCCACGAAGCATAGTTATTATTTGGATATAAGTCGGGTAACTGTGCGTCGATAATAATAAAGGTTATTTCCTAATTGAATTTTTATAATTTTTTTTTAGTGAACGATTGAAATTATTAATCAATTTATAATCTTACGTATTTCAGGGGGTGAAGCAATTATTATTACTGTACTTTTTTTGCTGGCGTTTATTTCCGGATCAGCCAATTTAGGGGGCAAGCGAGAGAATTGTCCAGAATTTCCACTTGCTATTTGACAGAACAATTCAGTCGTCGTGGGGGCGGAGGATCCACAGTTTTGGTCGACAGAAAGTTGAGTTTTCGAGTTGGTCGCACAGTCGCATGCGAGTGATTTACCCTAAATTATTAATTATTTAAACCAATCAAAATTCCAAAAAAAAGAAAAAGGAGTGTTGCACCAAAATATAAAAGAAAAATTCATACAACAAAAAAAAAATTAATTACAACCAATTACTTTCTAAATTTGTTTTTTTTTTGTCAATTCATAAAAAAGGAATATTTGAAATGATTGCTCAACAATTTTCTAAACTTGCTAATCCTAGATTTTTGGTCCCATTTGCTGGTGCCACTGCCTTGTCAATTGCTTTGGCTGCTCACTATTCTTCCTCCGCAAACATTATTTCTAATGAATCCGGAAAAACTTTCACCGACCCAAACAACTGGATTGACTTGAAATTGGCAAAATCTGTTGATTTGACTCACAACACCAAACACTTGTATTTCAAATTAGCCAATGAAGATGATGTTTCTGGTTTGGTTACTGCTTCTTGTTTGTTGACTAAATTTGTTACTCCAAAAGGTAGTAATGTCATTAGACCATACACTCCAGTCTCTGAAGTCAACCAAGCTGGTGAAATTGAATTTGTTATCAAAAAATACGAAGGTGGTAAAATGTCTACTCATATCTTTGACTTGAAAGAAGGTGACACCTTATCATTCAAAGGTCCAATTGTTAAATGGAAATGGGAACCAAACCAATTCAAATCAATTGCTTTGATTGGTGGTGGTACTGGTATTACTCCATTGTACCAATTGTTGCATGAAATTACTTCTAACCCAGCTGACAAGACTAAAGTTAATTTGATTTACGGTAACGTTTCCCCAAGTGATATTTTATTGAAGAAAGAAATTGATGACATTGCTGAAAAACACAAGGATCAAGTTAAAGTTCACTACTTTGTTGATAAGGCCGATAACAACGACTGGAAAGGTGAAGTTGGTTTCATCACTAAAGAATTCTTACAAGGTGCTTTAGATAAACCAAGTAGTGACTTTAAAGTTTTTGTTTGTGGTCCACCAGGTTTATACAAGGCTATTTCTGGTGCTAAAGTTTCTCCAACTGATCAAGGTGAATTGACTGGTCACTTGAAAGATTTGGGTTTCGAAAAAGAACACGTCTTTAAATTCTAGATGTTATAGACTGTTGAGGTTATTTTTTGTTGTCTATATTAAAAAAGTATATACAAAGTAAAATAAAACGATAAAATACATATTCAATGAAATGAGATTGATCTTATCCCCACGAGAAATTATCTGCTATGTGACTTTTTTAATTTTTCATTCACTTCAAATTTTTTTTTTTGTTCTCTCTCTCGGTTTCCATCTCATTTTTCAAGGTCAAAGATAATGCAGCTGATAAAGATAGCGATTGAAGGATGTTGTCATGGGGAATTGAATAAAATATATCAAAGACTATCTGATATTCCTGATATTTCTCTTCTTTTAATATGTGGAGACTTCCAATCAATACGAAATGAATCAGATCTACAAAGTATATCAGTTCCTGAAAAATATAAACGTATGGCTGATTTTCATGAATACTATAAAGGAGAAAGAAAAGCCCCAATATTGACTATATTTATCGGTGGTAATCATGAATGTTCATCATATTTACAAGAACTTAAATATGGAGGTTGGGTAGCTCCAAATATTTATTATCTTGGAGAATTTGGTAGTTTATGGTATAATGGAATACAAATCACTGGATGGAGTGGAATATTCAATTATCATTCATTTGTTAATCAGAATATCCAAATGGAAAAAATACCTTATGATCAAGGAAGTTTAAGAAGTGTTTATCATACGAAATTACAAAATTTCTTGAAAATGTATATGATGAATCATGATATGGATATTATAATGAGTCATGATTGGCCAGTAGGTATTGAAAGATATGGAAACCAATCGAAATTAATAAAAATGAAACCTTTTTTCAAAGAAGATATCAAAAGAGGGGAATTGGGAAGTCCTTTGAATAAGTTTTTAATTCATTATTTAAGACCAAGAAATTGGTATTCAGGACATTTACATGTAAAATTTGAAGCCATTATTAAAAAAGATCTGGGGAAAATCAATGATAATGAATTAGAATTGAATATGGATGATGATGAGGAAGAAGAAGAAGAAGAAATGGTTAAGAATAAACAAGAAATTTCATTAGATATGGATGACGATGATAGTGGTATGGATAGCAACATACAAGTTGGATTTGAAGAAACGTTTCATTTTGTTCAATCAGGTGGAAGTAACAAAAAGCTTAAGACTGAACTAACACCAAAACGTGGACTTTGTGAACATGATACCAAATTTTTAGCATTAGATAAATGTGGTAATAAAAGAAATTTCTTAGAAGTGCAAACTGTGGAAATCACACATCCAACTCATCCATCCGCGGGAAAGTCAAGGCTATACTTTAGTAAACGAGCAATTGCTATTAATAGAGTAGTTGAATCCTATTTACAACAACACCAGGAAGAATTTTACAAAATAGATACCAAGGAAATACTTCGCAACCCACACAATTTCCCTTTGGTTAATGAATTAATGAGATTGGTTGATTTAGAAGCTAAAAAATTATCCACTTCTATGAATGATGAAGAGTTTATTGTTCCTGAAAATTTCGAAATCATTGCCCCCGTGAAGTGTAAAGATGAATTGAAATACTATCCTAACAATCAAACACAAGAATATTGTGAGAAATTTAATATCCCTAAGCCTAATTGTCTTCTATAGTGTATAGCTGTATAGAAATCAAAAATTACGCTACCCTTAAGATGTAGTAAACTCGTCGGAATTTCGGCCTAATCAAATCAAATCAAATCAAACCCATCAAATTGAAGTTAAACTATAATTCGTACCTTATTTTTTTTTCTTCGACATTACATCATTATACATGTCCATTACTGCCAATTATTTGTTAGCGCGATTTAAATAACATAACGTGAACTGCACTACTTCTATTTGTTGGGTATCTCTCCACAAAATAATTATTAAAAAAAGGGTTTTTTTTTCTTTGTTTTTGTTTTTAAAAATATTACCCCCAAAAATTATCTATAAATAGCCTTACATTAGCAAGTACAATGTAATAAACATGAGTGACCAAAAAAATTAGTACATTTGCTGTAATGTACATTAAGAAACCCAAATTACCTGCATGCATTTCAATAGATTTATCATAACCACCAACATAGACATGTGTGTGTAATATAGTAATGTGCCAAAAATAATGCTTGGATTATCACCACCCCTATATTCCGCTTAGTTGAAGCAGTTGCTATGGCAATTGTGGTTGTTTACAACTAAGAAATTACTACTTCAAATCACTCCACACATTAACCACCATCAGCAAATAGTAAAAGGGGAGAGAGAGAAAAAAAAAAGAAAAAGAAAATATGCTGCCTATTATTAGAAAGTATCCTAACCTGAAAACATGAGTGATTTTTCTTTTTTTTTTTTCAAGGAAACATTGGTAGACACTTACGAATATTAGTATGGGAATTATTAAGTGTTTTTCATTAGATAATTATGTATTACTTGATGACATCATCAATAACCATGTGGAGAATGCACTCTTTGGATTATTAATGACACATCAGGGTATTATGAATGCCGTAGAATGAATCAAAATAACCTCCTCAATTGAAAAATTCGAAAAACAAATATATAAAGATGTAAAACTTCAATTGAAAGGTCGATATTTTTTCTATTTTCATCATCACTATCATCAATCAAATCAAATCAAATCACACAAATTAATAAAAATGAAATTTACTACTATTGCTGCTGCTGTTTTTGCCTTTGCTCAATCCGTCGTTGCTTTAAGATCAGTTAAAATCAAAACTTTTGCTTATCCACCACCACAATATCCAGATGTTACTGGTAAGTTTGTTTCTGCATGGCATGAAGGTGCTGCTTTGAATTATTTAGTTGTTGTTCCAGAAGAAGGTGCTTTAACTTGGACTTATGATGAAGATACTAAATATTTGTATTATGAGGTTGGTGCTGGTACTGAAAATTGTTTCAGATACTATTTCACTATTGGTGAAGGAGAACCAGGTATTTTATTGGCTACTCCTACTGATAATCCAGTTAAAGTTAATGTTGACTACTTGGGATTCATTACTTTCGATGGCTCTTATGGTGTTAAAGGTGTCAAGAATATTAACGATCCTTATCAATATTCTAAGGATAACTACATCTTGGCTAAGTACGATGGTGTTGCTCCAGATGATGCTGTTCCAATCTTTTTCCAAGCTCTTGATGCTTAATTTTTAATGGGCATATAATTTTATGACTGCTTTTTTTTATGATACCCTTTTATTTGCAATTTTATTTCTTTCTTACGTTGCCCTTTTTCTTCATTCATTTTATTTACTTATTGGTTTTAGTATTTTAAGGTCTATAGGTTTTTATTGAATATACTATAGTTATAACTAATCATCTATTGTATACATTGTGAAACAAAGAAAAAGAAAAAAAAAAAAGAATCTGATATTCGGTATGTGCACGCCTAATGAAAAGTGGAGAATTTAGGTGCAAAAAACAAAGAGAAAGAAAAAAAAAAAGAAAAGTCAAATATTCATTGGCTTTGTAGTATACGAGACTGAACTATAATTAAGGTCACTCATTTACCACAACCCGTACGTTAATTTTCGCAGATGAAAAGAATGAAAATCGACCCACGAATTCATTATACTTCAACGAGCCACTATTTTTTTAATGAAATGGGTTTGTAATAATCAACAAAATAATACCTGTATCACAAAGCTGGGGATAATTATCCCGTGAGAATCAACAGGAAAAATTATGACCTATTATTAGAAGTTTTCTAATTTTTTTTAAAAAAATGATAATGAACCCAAATAGTTTGGTGTGAATTAGAGTTTTTTTTTTCTTTTGTTTATGGACATCTAATATTTTTTACCACATAAGTTGTTGACGGCATTTTTCTCCACTCGTATATGTCATCATAAAGATAAAGATACACCTAATTATTAATAATATTGTGTAATCGGAGTTAATCTCCGCTCCATCTTCTTTAAATCGGCTTTATCACATAATTTTAAAAAGAGCATCTATATTCCATACGTCTGTTTGTTTCACTAGACAGCAAAAGCGGATTATTCTGAACTAAGCTCCATAATTTATTTTTTTTTTTTTCAGTGCGTGAATTTCATAGTTTTGGGATCTAAAAATAGGAATTCCTGGAGAAAATTCGGTACCTAAGTAAGATTATGATTGTAAAACAATATGTAATTGCCAAATAACCATGTTAACACACCATTTGGATTGGTTGGTTTTGTTGGGAATGATTTACCACAACTTAAGCCTTCATAATATAATCAATGAACGGCATTAAATTCTATAATTAATATGATGAGTGACAAAATGAAAGACAGTGATTGAATCGGAAAGATTGAGCATATGGAGTTAATAAAATACATTGTTCATTTCTTTTCAATTGGTACTCCTATGACATCATTGATGGGATTTGGGATAATTAACAAATATTATAATTCACATCGACAGAATCTATAATTGACTGTCTTGAAAAGATGGAGGGTAATAATCTCCATTGGGATAACTATATAAAGCCATTGATATTTGCCTTGTTTTAAATATTCTGGGAATTGTAATTTTTCTATAACCACCAATTAATCAACACAATTCAACTCTAATCAAATCAATTACTAAAATGAAATTCACTTCTATTATCGCTACTGCTTTTGCTCTTGCATCATCTGTTGCTGCTTTAAAGACTGTTAAGTTAAAGACTTTTGCTTACCCACCACCACAATACCCTGAAATCACTGGTCAATATGTTGCTTCATGGCATGAAGGTGCAGGAATCAATTATATGTTTGTTGTTCCAGAAGATCAAGCTGCCAAATTTGTTTATGATGAAGATTCCAAAACTTTGTACCTTGACCCAGCATCAGTTGGTAATCCAGAACTCAAGTACACCTTCAGTATTTCTACTGGTGAACCAGGATTAGGTGACAAAGGAACTTTATTGAATTCTATCGTTTCTAACAAACCAACTGAAGTCAATATTGATGATTTGGGATTCATTACTTTCAATGGATCTTATGGTCTTAAAGCAGTTAAGAATATTAATGAACCATATGAATATTCTCAAAAGAACTATGCTTTGGTTGAAATTGAAGGTAATGGTCCAGATGGGGCCGTCCCAGTTTTCTTACAAGCTATTGATGCTTAAATGTTTGCGTTTGTTAACTGAATACCCTTGTTGCTTTTACGTTTATTATTATTATTTTGCACTTCTTCTTACGTTGCCGTGATTTCATTGTTTAGAAATCCATTTTAATTAGCATTTTATATTGTTTATCGTGATTAAATGAATATTAAAATTATTGTTTATAAGTGCTAGTGTAATTTGCAATAATGATTTCATACAGAAGTAGTTGTAAAGAATCAATTGTTCATTTGCAAGAAATGACGATATTACAAAAAAAGTTAAAAAGAATCTTATATCATGATATTCCTTTTTTTTGGATTTTGCAACTTCTAGTTGCCAAGTGGTGATTATAATGCGACGAGCCACATATAGTGTAACTACATCATACACCAAGAAAGTTGCATCCAAATTAGTTGTCCTTGAAAACTCTCATAAGTATAAACCAACACCTGGAAACAACATTGTCAGATATTCTAAAGCTCTACTGAAGTGATCGTACCATAATACAAAGATACGGAATGATAACAATAGATGAGTTGTGGATTTAAAATAGAAAAATCGAAGAAAATAATAACGAAATTAGTATGGGGTCGTGTATATCCAATTATGATGCAATTTAAAAAAAAAAAGAAAATAACAGCCACTCGTACGGGTTATTCGGTAAATCAATATACAAATGATTTAACATTTTCTATATAAAAAGTTCCATCACGTTTGGTATTGAGTAAATAGAAGAAGAAGAAGAAGTAGAAGAGTTCGAAAAGTTATGGGAATCTAATTTATAAAAGATTCTTTAATTGGTTGTGGGTTTTTGTGTAAATTCATCATGGAATTTTCAATTCACTATTCTTGTAGTTGCCAGGATTTTTTTTTCCGTGTATAGTATAGTAAACGATAATTCATGCTAACCTTGGACTAATCGAGATCAAATAACGGAGAGACATGTGGGAAATTACACGAAGTATCATAACCAAACCAGATCAACAACCACAAAAGATAGCACCGACAGTTCACGAGAGACTAGATCGATAATTGGGAGGGTCATAGAAAAATTAAAAAAATTATAAAAAAAATCAGGACTAAAAGAGGCTTGATACTCTTATTGTTTTCTATTTTTCTTAATCTTTTTTTTTTTCTTTTTCTTGGAGTAAATGTGTATAGCCTTGATATTTTTAAGCAAACGATTGGTTGATCAACAACGACAAATTTACCAGAAGTAGATGAATGGTATTAACTAGTAGTTGGTCTAAGCAGGACATGTAATTGTAAACTACTCGCCTAAACGTATCACATGTAAAATAAGAATGTATTCAACCAGAGGAAAACACATCTTTTTCACTCGAAAAATAAACAAAAACAAACAAAACCAGACAACAAAAACAAAAACAAAAATTCTACAGCAGGAGAACAAAAAAAAAAGAAAAATTCCATATTTCCAAGCCCAAATTTCTCATTCATTTTTATTTTGCTCAAACAAAATCCAACGAGAGACAAAACAGCCAGGCAACCAAAAAAAAAAATTCTTACAATTTAGCAACCCACAATCATTTACAACATTACTCCAAGTTTTTAACATCAAGAGCTCTCATCGTCTACTTCATCAACATCCATCATCTAGCATAATCATTGTCATCGCAAAATGAAGTACGATACTACTAATCCCTTGGCAGTACAGCTTCCTTATAACTTCACTTCAACGGCTGACTTCCCCACTGAAGTTATGGCTGGAAGATTTGCTGCTTGGAGATCTATTATTAAAGATTTGATCAACTACTTCAGAGAGTATTCCAGCATCCAAGAAGAAATAGTCAGACAACAATCCAGATTACAACAAGCCGTTGGAAATAGTAGCAGTAGCACCAATTCAAACTCGGAAGAAGCAGATAGCATCAAACGATTTTTCTTAGGGCACGGCAATGGTTCGGTTCTGGATATTCCGAATATCTTGTTCAAATATCATCAAAAGAATGTCACCAATGCTTCCAAGACATTAAAAGATATCAACAGCATAATCATCCCTAAATTAGAAGAGTTGAGAAAAGATTTGTTGGTCAAGATAAAAGAAATTAAGAATTTGCAAAATGATTTTAAAAACAATTTGACCAAAGAATTGAGTGAAACTAAACTGTTGATTAGTCAGTATAACCAAGCTATCGACTTTTCAAACAAATTGGAGACTGGGTATAACAATAGTGCACACCACGTGCTTCATGAATCTGAGAATGGAAAACTCGATCCATACTTGGTTAAAATAAAATTGGATAAGCAATTAAAACGTCAAATCGCCGAGGAAAACTATCTTTATGATGCTTATGCCAACTTACAAAATGCTGGTCGTCAATTAGAATCAATTGTAGTTTTAGAAATTCAAAACTATGTTTCAATGTTTTTAAACTTGGTCAATGAAGAAAATTCTACATTCAGTACTTATTTGTTGCCAAATATGAACAATGGATTTTTGGGTAAAGAATCTAACTTTGAATGGGATGCTTTTATTGAACGTAATTTACCAAACTCAAATTTAAGTGTCAGTGCTGTTGGAAATCAATCGACTGGCGTTAGAAATGGAACTTTTATTGATTTGGGTATCCCAAAACGTCATTTATCCGATTTTGTCATCAAAAATTTTGATACCAATTTAAATATTGCCGTAAGAGAAGGTTATCTCGAAAGAAGATCAAAATTTTTGAAGAATTATACCAGTGCATGGTATGTTTTAACTTGTAATTATATTCACGAGTTCAAATCCAATGATCGCAAAAGAGATCCAAATCCAGTTATGTCATTGTCATTAGACTCATGTACAGTTAGTGATCATTCCAAGAATGATGGCAAATCTGATGGTATTTATAAATTCATTTTGACTTCAAGACTGAACAATGCATTAATGCACAAGAATCACAAGTGGGTTTTCCGAACTGATACTTTTAAGAATATGATTGAATGGTTCGATAGTATTAAGCAGATGACTTCGTTGCCAACCCCAGCTGCCAGGGCAAGAGCTATTACTGGTAAACCAAAACCTGTCTCAGCTGAATCAATTTCAAGTGGTCATGCTATTTCTCGTATATCTACAGGTAATACTGTTCAATCGCCAAGCAGGTCTTTAAAAACTATGAGTACTAATAATACCACTGCTAGTCAGAATGCTTATAAGCATAGATCTTTAACTCAAGTGAATTCCAATCCAAATCATAAAAGACTTTCCTCTACATTTTCTCAAAGAAACAATCAGTCTCCAAGATTAGGTAATTTGATTAATAGTGATGGTACCATAATAACACCCGTGGAAACTGATGATATGGTTAGACGTTCAGCAAGTATGTATTCCTCATATAACCCAGTACACTACCAAAACGAACAACAACAACAGCAACGAGTGCAAACTCCTCAGGATCAACAACAACAACAAGAACCGCAGCAGCAACAACAGCCATACCCACAACAATACCAAAGATTAGAGCAACAACAGGATCCTCAATCTCCATCCATTCAACAACCAACAGCATTTAGAATAATACCTGTTGACCCACTTGGAAATGGTTCTCAACCACAACAACAAGTTGGCGGTAATCCACCATCTGGATATCAATATTATATCCCTTCAAATGCTCAACAAGGAACACAACAATTCTACGATCCTGTTCAACAACAGTATTTCACACTTACTCCAAGTGTCCCCGTATCACAATCTACCACTTTGACTCAACAAACATCAACACCACAACCCCAATATTTCTCTACATCGCCACAACCACAAGCTATTCCAGGATCTCCAATTCAACCATTTGGACCTGCATTTGTTCCACAATTCACCCAGCAACAAGATCAATCTAATTTGCATCCAAATGTTTTACCATATCCAACTGTTAGTAGAACTGACCTGTATCATAATGATGATACTATTACTGAAGATAATGTTGATCAACATGATGAACAACAACAACAACTGAATGATGAAGGTACACATTTAGCACCAGTGCCAAATAATACAAATCATAGTGGTCAAATTCTTTCACATTATTCTGGTGATGAAGTTTCTACATTAATGAGTGGTGGTGCTCAAGGAAATGAATTACATCCAATGGAGAGTAGAAAGAGTAATGATGTACATCATGCTGGGGATATCAACATTGAAGTTACCCAAGATTAAGGTTAATACAAAGAAGAAGAAGAAAATAAACAAAGAGATAACCCTCGAGTAAAGACAATTTTTTTTTATAGTTCATATTTAATAAATATTATTATTCCGAATCTTAATCGATTTGTGTGTTCAATTACTAAAAGAAACATTTATATTCCCGAATTATTTTTTTATTATTAATAGTAATAATATACACTTCTATTTTAAACTCTTAATTGAAATGTCTTAGACAACAACACCAGAGTTAGAAGCAATACGAGGCCATAAATCAGCACATTCTTTAGCAACTGGACCAGTAATGGCAGAACCTTTCATTTCACCCTTTGGGTTAACAATGACACCGGCGTTATCTTCAAAGTATAAGTAGACACCATCTCTTCTTCTCCATGGTTTAGATTGTCTGATAACAATAGCTGGCATAACTTTCTTTCTCAATTCTGGTTTACCTTTTTTAACGGTAGCCATAACCATATCACCAGCAGCAGCAGCTGGTAATCTGTTCAATCTAGCACCAACACCTTTAACGGCCAAAACGTACAAGTTTCTGGCACCGGAGTTATCAGCACAATTCATAACTGCACCAACTGGCAAAGCCAACTATAAATTAAAAATAATTTGTTAGTATTTATATTATTCCAATAAAAAAAAAGTTGATTATTTTTGACATGATGAGTTGATTTGATTAGATGAGATAAAGTAAATATCTTTCATGATGTTAATTCTTGATGTATTTTTTATACTATTTGATTTCCATTTCATTTCATTTGTTTCCCAATTATTTGAATATTTATCTTTATTATACTGATTAAATTTCGATTGATTCTTGACTAATGTAGTAAAAAAAAACTCATTTCAAATATTACATCCATTTCCATTTAAATCCATTATAATTCATAATTATCCCAAAAAAATTCTCTTCGAAATTTCCTTCTTTTACTTTTATTCATAAATTTCTCTTGATTAATCAATCTTTTTCATTCATTTTCAAAATAATCATTAATTTAGTTTTCTCAATAGTTGATTATTACATACAGACATACGGAATTTGTTACCTGAAGCACCTGATCCTGACATTATTTACTGTTATATAAATGATTAATCAACTAAAAATTTCAAAAAGTGTAAAAAATTTTCAACTATAGTTTTTTTTTCCTCTTTTCTCATTCTTTTTTTTTTGTTCAAGATGCGATCGTCTCCCTCTCATTCTTTCTCACACTAACACTAACTCTAACTCTAACACTTTCTCTCTCAGTAGAAATTGTTCACACAAAAATAATACACTAGAGGGAAAAAAAAAAATTAAAAATGCGATTAGGGTTGTAACCCTATACTTCGTGTACGATGTTCAAAATTTGCACACTGGGTGAGTCAAATAGGTTGATTGATACTCAATCAAATGATAATCTACAAATAAACATGTCTATACTATCTTCCTATATTGAAGATTAACTAATGACCAGTTTAGATAGTAGTTACATCAATTATCAAATGTGGAAACGTTTTAAACAGGAATATCACTATTACATTAATAGCACCCTTGACTGGTAGCGCTGTACCTTCTAACTATTAAATTTGCATCTAATTACGACAAGTTTATACATATATATATATATTACAAATGTTATTATTATCTATAGTTTATACATTTAAGTTAACGTAACTATCATATCTTGTGTGTGGTCTCTCTCAAACGTTATAAATTCTAGTTCTTCTCTTTTCAATTCTATCAGCAACGGTCAAACCAGAATTATTTTCTTTACAACTTGAACACATGATACTATTACCATTAATTATAAAATAATCACTTCTAATACCATTACCACACTTGGTACAATTCAAACATTGTAAATGCCATTTTTCATCCAATTCATTAGAAATACATTTACCTTCAATACCAACATGACATGATTTACAAACAGAATTATTCAAAATATGATAATGTTCAAAACAATATGGATGATCATTAAATACATAACATTGAACATTCTTGGAAAATTGAATAGAACATTGTGGTGATGTACAAGTGAAACATTGTCTATGCCATTGGCCTGAAAGTTCTCCAGTTTTGGAGAAAATTGGTTTAAGTGGTTTAACTTTAGTATGACGATCAATGGTACCATGACAAGCACGACATGGACCTGTACCTGATGCATAGATTGTTGGTTCAACGTGTTTGCTTTGTTCATTTTCTTCAAGATCTAATTCTGGAGATAACTCTTTAGTAGGATAAGGTGTTTGATTTTGTGGCTGTTCTAATTGTTGCTGTTGTTCGACTTCTAAAATAGGATCTTGAACAGGATAAACAGATTCTGGAGGAAAAGTAAAACTTCTATCTTGAATAAAATCTTCTTCTTGCTGTTGTGGTTGAGTTTCAGTGGTTGATTGTGGAAAAGAATCTTGAATATAAACTGAAGGAGATTCGTCTGTTTCAGGAATTTGGAAGTTCATATTTTGTAATTCTTGTTCAATAGAATGAGTTTTTGGTGATAATGGTTTAACTGCTTCTTCATACTCATCATCATTATTTTCAATTTTAATTGTCTCCTCGGTCACATCTTCTTCGTTGAAAAATTCAGCCTGTGGAGATTCAAATTGAACTTTTTTATGAAGACTAGGTGAATCCAATTGTGGTTGACTTACTTCATGTTGCAAATCTTCTTTACTTTCAGTAGATGAATGAGTAGTCAAAGGTCTAGTAAAGTCATCATCGTTCAAATCTTCAACAATGCTTTGCTTGTTTTCAACATATGAACTGCTTCCAGAAATACTCAATGGCTTAACATATTCTTCTTCGTCCTCTTCAGCAACTTCATCAACATCTTGAACATTGAACAGTGGGATAATGCCACCATTGTTACCATAACCAAAGGAATTTCTAGATTTGTTGGATGTAACCTTAGTTATGTCAATGCTACTTCCAGACATTTTCAAACTTTGCAATTGTCTTTCTAATTCTCTTTCTATGTCATCATCGTCACTATTACCTGAATCCTTTGAAAGAATCGAACTAACAGTAGATAAATGTTTATTGTTTTTGACATTGTTATCTTGGACACCAGAAACTGGTTCATCATTTTGAGTTGCTAAGAATTCAGCATATTCATTGTTTAGGTTTGCATCTTTTGCTACTTGTTGACTGGTAAAATTTTGAAATTGTGCTGATGGATCAAAACCTTTACCGTTTTCATTCATGCCAGAGTTCATGGTAGTACCATATGAAAATCTAGTATTTTCATTACTGTAATCTTCTTTTGAATCATTCTTGTACAATCCTAACTCAGATGGTGATGCAGAACTTGGAAGCTCATCTTCCAATGAACTATTAGAATGGGTTGGCGATTTATTACCTCCTTGTTTATGGATTTCAACATCATTTTTGAAATCATTCAACGCGGATGATAACTTATCATCTCTGATTTGTGAATATGTTGCCTGTTGTCTGGCAGATCTAGGTGTTACAATTTGTTCTTGAGGTTGATTGTAGTATCCACCAGGTGCTTGTTTTCGATGTTGGTGGTGGTTAAATGGATTATATACGGCTTGTTGTGGTTGTGACTGTGACTGTGGTGGTTGAGGTGGTTGTGATGGATATGATGGTTGTGATTGAAGTATTTGAGGCTGAGATTGAGGTTGTTGTCTTGATTGGTAACCAGTTGGCAATACAGGTGACTGGGGACGTTGAGAAGGTCTATAAGCGGTAGTTGGACTATTCAATGAAATCATTGGCAATTGTGGTACATTGGATCCAACAGCACTAAGGCTTGGACTAGAAGGTCTAGAGTTATTGTGGTGGTGTGGATGAGGAGCGGAATGTGTCAAACTACTTGTAGATCCGTTTCTAGATTGTTGACCGACTGAAGAATAAGGATTCCTTGGTGGTTGTCCTTGCCCTTGTTGTTGTTGTTGTTGTTGTTGAAGATGATGTTGCTGTGGTGGATTGGTTGTTTGACCTCTAATACTACGTTGTTTTCTTGGATCGAATTTTGGAGCTGGTGCTCCATTGTTTTGTACAGGTGGTGGTAACACTTGAAAGCCTTGTTCAGCAGAAGCATTCTTTTGATTCTCGTGTTGTTGTTGTTGTTGTTGTTGTTCGTCGTCTTCTTCATTAATGGTGATGCTTGGAACTTGAGGTTGTTCGGCTTGTTTATGAGTTTGTGCAGAACTATTTGAAGCAACGGAATGCATGGAATGGTTGGTGATGGTATTTTGTTGTGACACAACTTTTGTTATACCTGGTAAACTTTGTGTATCAGAAATGTTGTCATTATTGCTCAAATCAAGTTTCAAGTTCTTTTGATTGCGTGAATGATTTGAAGTTGGACTAAAATCGAATTGATCTTGAATTGGTTCGTCATTGGCCATGTTGGTAGTATTTTTTGATATTATTGGAGGATTGTAATTTTGTGAGTTTACTTTTGCTTCATTGTCATTGTTGAAGAAAGTAGTTGTAGAAGAACCGCTAGTTAAAGGTTGATCAAAAACAGGACTGAATTCATCAGTATTTCTAAAAGTAGAATGAGAACTAGCTGATTTTGAGTTGGTGAAATTTGAATTGACTGATGAGGATTTGCTTGAGTGGGAAGAAGCCGTTGGAGAATTGTTTCTGGTGTTGGCACCACCAGAAGCTAATGAAGGTATTCTATTCTTCTGCAATACAGGAGTATTTTGATATGAAGATGAAGAAGGAGATTGATCTTGTAATCTTGTGTTACTTTCATTAGGATTACCAAAATTACTTTGGGAATGATTACGACTGGTTTTTCTTGAAGTCATTGATTTTGAATCACTATTGTTGTTGTTACCTCCTCTATTGACATCAAATCCAGCTCTTTCATAAACACTCTTGTATCTATGTTCAATTTTGAATGGAGGGAAAGCACCGTCCAAACCTCTAGTTGATTGTTCTGATTTCCTAATGAACTTTGGGAAAGACATCATTTGAGGACTCAGGGTCAGGGCACTCATAATTGGATTGGATAATAAATTATATTAATTGGAGGAAGGATTATAAAGTATATTTGTGTATTGAGATAGAATGACTTGTTTGTTTGCTTGTTTGTTTGTTTGAAATCTTAGGTTCCAACTGTTATCTTCGTCCAACTTGTTTGGGTAATTCTTTTCTTTAAAGAAAAAGGTTAAAAGGAAAAAGTCAACTTTACAGGAACTTCGTCAGAAGAAAATGATGATTATGTAAATAAGTTGATTATATAATAATGTGATGTGATTTGATACGATGGGGATTGATGACTATTGTATGTTGCTGTGGCAGTTCTCCCCTTTTTTAGGTATATCTTTCTTTATTATGAAGATTGTCGTCTAGTATAATTCAATGACAAGATGACGAAAAAGGTGAATGATATTCAAAATTAATAAAATAAAAAAAAAAGGAAAGCTAAAGGAAAAAGGAAAAATCAAAAAAAAAAAAAAAATTATGGAACAATCAACTGGATGAATTAATGGAAGAAAGGAATCTGTAAATAAGTAAGCAAAAAAGGTAATCTAATAATAACTTATAATATAAGTAAAGCAAAGCAAAGTAAAATGCAATGTAACTCTGGATTACTTACTTATTGTGAAATTGTAAATTCAATTATTCATTCAATCAATCAATCAATCAATCAATCAATCAATCAATCAATCAATCTTCATACATATGAATCGTCAAATTTACTGACACAGTGAGTAAGTGAGTGCAAGTCGTGCAAATGAGACATGAACGTAAAAGAAAAAAAAAAAAAATATATGTATTCTTTAATACGAGTGCTTTTGTGTCATTATTTATGTTTCTCAGCCAAAAGAGAAAATTCAATTTGGTGTCTTTGTGTCATGTTAGCGCGATTCGGGTATTTGGTCGTGCCTTTCAAATATTTGGTCCTTGTGCACTACTCTACAGTAATTATTTTTACTATCGTCCAATTTTTTTTTTCATTATTATTCTCTTTTGGCGGTAATGATTCAGAACCCTGACAACATTTCATAAATCAAACTTGGATATTCGTCAATGAAAGTACGGTCAATTCAATTTCTAGGTTAAAAATAGCATCTTTTCAACAGTAAACCTATTATCGCAATGATGGTCAAGTGGGCGAGCATCTGCATCAAATATTTTATCCCTGGTCGGCAAGACAAAAAAAAAACCCAACCCAAAAAACTTCTGTATGAATTCTTGATGCATAGTAATTAATTAAATGCTTTGCGTTTCTTAGTGCACCCACTGTACTTGCAATGCAAATATGAAATTGGTTGTCAAGTGGTTGATATTAACGCACACTTTCACATCTCCTATATTTAAGCACCTTACAATCCACTTGCTTTCTTTTGTTGTATATCTTATACTGCGTTCAATTTAATTGGTAATCATGATAGTTGGTTGATTCTTTCAGTTTTTCTTTTTTTTTATTTTTTACGTCGTCGTGTAATCTGAAACAATTTCCATTTTGCTTGATTTTTTGGTTTGTTTGTTTGTTTCTCTGAATGTCCCGTTTTCTCTTTTTAGTTAAATTAAATTTTCGCGTCAAATTTATTTAACAATTGGAATATGTTACAAACCGCCCATTAGACGATACTCCCACCAGACCAGAAAAGTAAGTTAAGGGTTAGTATAGTTTAAACAAAGAACAATAATTCTATTTGATCCAAGACGCGTTAAGTATCCACTTAATTAATCAACCAATTTAATGTCACAAATAACACTTGAACGTCAATGAAGACGACACATTCCACTTTAATAACCACAACAACTAAACAAATAAATAAACAATAACCCCCTTTTTTTTAGTCCTTGCAAACCAACTCTCACTAATCCCACTATAACCGTTATGACCGATCTCAAATTTACAGTTTTTATTCACAAAGTAAAAGGTGGCTCAAGTGATTTTTGTCTTGTCAACTCAATCTTCTCGAACAAATTAGTAAAAATAATCTTGCTCACAACAAGGGTTTGGCTAACCCCCATCCCCATCCCCCTATTTTTCTGGTGACAACAATGAACGTGAATCATTGCACGTGAGAGGCTCATTTCAATTATAACGTATATTTGAATGAAGAATAAACTGATGTTATGATAGTCAACCAAAAAAGTTGTGAAATGTTCCACCTCTCAGTATTGGTTGTCCCTTCATCGCCTTTTATTTTCTTATTTATTTATTGTATTAAATTCTTTAAATTTTGGATAAAATTCTCTGTTAAAAATCACTTGAAACTTTCAAATTCACAAGAATGCAACCCATACAGACAGTAAATTACTACCATTACTAATACGTACATATACTATTGAAGTTCATCAATGATTATCGATAATATATGTCATCTCATCTTGATGTATACCCAGAGGTGATGTCTTTGTCAATACCCCCTTCTTGGGGTCACGTGTCGACAATTTCGCACGACCCCGATTTTTTTTTGAACGCAGACACACACAAGAGATTATCTAAATGCACAAATAATTCCGGTTGCTACTCTTGTAATATCAAACTAATTTTTCTTTTCTTTTCATATAAACAATTATTACCTGACAAAAAGATAACAGTAGGGAATATATAAGTACAAATGGAGAATGTATTTACTGCTTTGTCAATATCATTAATTTCAAACCATAAAAGATTTGTTATAGTATCCAATGATTCGAAACAAACACTACCGAAATTCACCAATTTATTAACCAACACATGTTCATTCGACCCTTCTCAGTATTGTGTTATAGACCTACTAACGGTCCACACAACTATTGATTTGATTCATAAAATGACAAACTATTCAAATAACAAATACTACTTGAAAAATGTAATCATATGGCAAAATGTACAATACTTGACGTTGAATCAACACAAATCATTGTATAAGCTAATCCTACAAATTGATCAATATGAAATGACAGGGTTGAAAGATAAACCTATTGAAATCACCATTGGTAATAATGATGAAGTCTTGTCGATAGAAAGACCCGAGTTGTTCACTATTGTCATGGTTCTTGATTACCTGGCATTCAATAGGAAACCATATATATTCTTGAAAGAGAAGTTCTGGTTTGCTGTTAATTACAATGATTCCACCCTTGATATGAATTATATCCCTAGTGAGAAAAACTATCAGGATACAATACTAAAACTACGACTGCGAATTGGGGAAGTTTATATATCTCCCGATATTAAAAAATACATTTACTCGCTAATAGTATTTACCCGATGTCATAGATTAACTTCACTAGCTCCTAAACTGGCAAGACTACCTACTGCAACAATTGACTATATTAATGATTTTTGCAAAAGTTTGATCCTATGGCAAAATAGACTGAACTTGGGAAAAGACTTATTTGTGACTCCCGGTCATGTTAAACTAGCTTTCCGTAAGATCGGGTACTGGCTAGTCGATTGGGAATACAATGAAAAGTTTGCTAAAGATACCACTAGAAATGTTGATGTTGATGATGTGGGGACGGAAAGCAATTTGGAATATGAGAAAAGATTGGCGATAAGTATGCTTACTGGTGATTGGTATGGTAGTGATTATTTCTTTGTCAATGAGTACTTAAAGAATAGTACTAGTAAATTGGATAAGAAGAGTCCGACTGGTTATACGAATAGGATCATTGAAGATGTTATCAGTTCAGTACGACCTCCTTTATAAAAGTGGGTTGCATTTATTTCCTCTAATTAGGAGTAAGTAGTGTACATAGCCTCAAAAGGAAAATTATGAAAAATTAATTTGTTACTGTACAAAATCGGTTGCCGGAATCCAAGGGCAAAAAAAAAAAATCAAAAAAGTTTGATACAGTCGGTGCTGTGTTGTCTCTCAGTCGAACCAACGGACAAACTCTCGCCAACATCCGCAGGGGAACGGAAAAAAAGAAAAAGAAAATGAACAAGAGAAAGAAAATTTACAGCGGCCAAAAATGTGAGAGTACGACTGGGAGTGAAAGCAACAGAAAAAAAAAAAAAAACTGGACAACTCACAATTGGACGATCAACAACTATTTCAAAGTATCAACTTCTTTTACCTTCCAACTATAAACACACATATTTGAATATCCATTGAACTTCTAAATCAAAGGAAGAAAAAGAAGAATATTAGAAATACACACACAACAACAACAACAATCATGTCAAACGATATTCCTATCGATTTCACTGAATTGACTCAGTTGACACAATTGGGAATTCCACAAACTTCATTAGATTTCAAATCAACAACCTTAGAATCAGACAGTTACATATGTGTACGTGAGTCAGGGGCACAAGGTAATACCGTTGCCATTGTTAATTTAAAAAACAATAATGAAGTCACCAGAAAGAATATGACTGCTGATAATGCAATCATGCATCCAAAGGAGTTTGTAATTTCCTTAAGAGCCAACGGAACCACTTTACAAATCTTCAACTTGGGCAGCAAACAAAGATTAAAGGCTTTTACTATGGATCAACCAGTGATATTCTGGAAATGGCTCAATGATCAATACTTGGGTTTAGTCACTCAATCTTCTATTTACTACTGGAATGTATTTGACGGAACCAATGACGGTCCAATTAAGTTAAGCGATAGACATCACACTTTAAACAATTGTCAAATCATCAACTTTGTTGCCGAACCAGCTTTAAACTGGTTTGCCGTTACTGGTATTGCCCAAGAAGATGGTCGTATTGCTGGTCATATTCAATTATATTCCAAATCAAGAAACGTTTCTCAAGCAATTGAAGGTCACGTTTGTAAATTCGCTTCCCTTACATTATCTGGTGCCGTTCAACCAACTAAAGTTTTTTGTGTTGGTAATAAGAATGCCCAAGGTCAAGGTAATTTGCACATTATTGAAATAGACCATGTTGACGGAAACCCACCATTCCCAAAGAAAGCTGTTGATATCTTTTTCCCACCTGATGCTGCTAATGATTTCCCAATTAGTTTGCAAGCTTCAGACAGATATGGTATTATTTATGTTTTGACCAAATATGGTTTTATACATTTATACGATATGGAAACTGGTGGTAACTTGTTTGTTAACAGAATCACTGCTGATCCTGTTTTCACTGCCACTAGCTACAACGACGGTACTGGTTTGTTGACCATTAACAAAGCCGGTCAAGTTTTGAGTGTTGAAGTTTCTCGTGACAAGATTGTTCCATATGTTTTGGACAAATTATCTAATGTTCCATTAGCTTTGGCTTTATCTTCCAGGGGCGGATTCCCAGGTGCCGAAAACTTGTTCCAACAACAATTCCAAACTTATTTGAATCAAGGTGATTATGCCAATGCTGCTAAAGTTGCTGCTTCTTCAGAACAATTACGTACTCAAGATACCATTAACAAATTGAAACACATTACTCCACAACCAGGTCAAATTTCTCCAATTTTACAATATTTCTCCACTTTATTGGACAGAGGAACTTTGAACAAATTTGAATCCATTGAATTGGCTAAACCAGTTTTGCAACAAGATCGTAAACCATTGTTTGAAAAATGGTTGAAGGAAGATAAATTGACCTCATCTGAAGAATTGGGTGATATTGTCAAATCATACAATGATACTACTTTGGCTCTTGCCGTTTATATCAGAGCCAATGTCAACATCAAGGTTGTTTCTTGTTTGGCTGAATTGGGTGAATTTGATAAAATTTTGCCATACTGTCAAAAAGTTGGCTACAATCCAGATTATACCAACTTGATCCAAAACTTGGTCAGAGTCAACCCAGATAAAGCCAGTGAATTTGCTACCTCATTGTTAGCTAGTCCAGATGCTAACTTGAATGTTGAACAAATTGCTGATTTATTCTTCTCTCAAAACTATATTCAACAAGGTACTGCATTCTTGTTGGATGCTTTGAAGAATGATTCTCCAGCTGAAGGTCATTTACAAACCAAAGTCTTGGAAATCAATTTATTACATGCTCCACAAGTTGCCGATGCTATTTTGGGTAACCACATGTTTAGCCATTACGATAAACCAACCATTGGTAAATTGTGTGAAAAATCTGGTTTGTTCCAAAGAGCTTTAGAACACTACGATGATTTGAAAGATATCAAGAGAGTTATTGTCCACACTAATGTCTTACCAAGTGATTGGTTGGTTTCTTACTTTGGTCAATTGAATGTTGAACAATCCCTTGCTTGTCTTAAGGAATTGTTGAGCCAAAATGTTCAACAAAACTTGCAAGTTATTATCCAAGTTGCTACCAAATACTCTGAATTGATTGGTCCTATGAAGTTGATTAAGCTTTTTGAAGAATACAAATGTACTGAAGGCTTATACTACTACTTGAGTTCTATTGTTAACTTGACCCAAGATCCAGATGTTGTTTTCAAATACATCCAAGCTGCCGCCAAGATGAACCAAACCAAAGAAATTGAAAGAGTTGTTAGAGACAACAATGTTTACAATGGTGAAAAGGTTAAAAACTTTTTGAAAGAATTCAAATTGGATGATCAATTACCATTGATCATTGTTTGTGACAGATTCAACTTTGTTCACGATTTGATTTTGTACTTGTACAAGAACCAATACTTTAAATTCATTGAAGTCTATGTTCAATCAGTCAACCCAACAAACACCCCACAAGTTGTTGCCGGTTTATTGGATGTTGATTGTGATGAAGAAATCATTAAAGGTTTGTTGATGTCTGTCTTGGGTAGAGTTCCAATCAAAGAATTAGTTGAAGAAGTTGAAAAGAGAAACAGATTGAAGATTTTGTTGCCATTCTTGGAAAAGACTTTGGAAGGTGGCTCTAATGATCAAGAAGTTTACAACACTTTGGCAAAGATTTACATTGATTCCAACAATTCTCCAGAGAAATTCTTGCAAGACAACAACAACTATGACACTTTAGTTGTTGGTAAATACTGTGAAAAGAGAGATCCATACTTGGCTTACATCTCTTACAGTAAAGGTGGTAACGATGACCAATTGATTGCTATTACCAATGAAAACAAGATGTTCAAATATCAAGCTAGATACTTGTTGTCCAAGTCTGATCTCACTTTGTGGAACAAAGTTTTAACTGCTGACAATATCCACAGAAGACAATTGGTTGACCAAGTTATCTCTACTGGTATTCCAGAATTGGATGACCCAGAACCAATTTCCATCACTGTCAAGGCTTTCATGGATAATGATTTACCAGAAGAATTAATGGAATTATTGGAAAAGATCATCTTGGAACCATCTCCATTTAGTGAAAACGCTTCTTTACAAGGTTTGATGATTTTGACTGCTATCAAAGCCGATTCATCTAAAGTTTCTAGCTACATTGAAAAATTGGATAAATTTGATCCAGCTGAAATTGCTCCATTGTGTATTGATAATGGTTTGAACGAAGAAGCCTTTGAAGTTTATGACAAATTTGAAATGAGAACAGATGCTATGAAAGTTTTAGTTGAAGATATTGTTTCTTTGGACAGAGCCGAACAATATGCTGAAAAATACGATACTCCAGAATTATATTATCAATTGGGTACTGCTCAATTAGATGGTTTACGTATTCCAGAAGCTATTGATTCTTATGTCAAATCCAAGAACCCAGAAAACTTTGCTCAAGTTATTGAAATTGCTGAACATGCTGGTAAAGAAGAAGAATTGATTAGTTTCTTAGATATGGCTAGAGAAACTTTAAGAGAACCAGTTATTGATGGTGCTTTGATCAATGCTTATGCTACCTTGGATAGATTAAGTGATATGGAAAAATTTGTTGGTGGTTCCAATGTTGCTGATTTGGAAGCTATTGGTGACAAATTGTTTGAAGCCAAGAACTACAAAGGTGCCAAGATTTTGTATTCCAATGTTTCTAAATACTCCAAGTTGGCTACTACATTGGTTTATTTAGGAGATTACCAAGGTGCTGTTGATTGTGCTAGAAAGGCTTCTAACACTCAAGTCTGGAAACAAGTTAACAATGCTTGTATTGAAAACAAAGAATTCAGATTGGCTCAAATTTGTGGTTTGAACTTGATTATTGATGCAGAAGAATTACCAGAATTGGTTAGAACCTATGAATACAATGGTTACTTTAATGAATTGATTTCCCTTTTCGAAAGTGGTTTAGGTTTGGAACGAGCTCACATGGGTATGTTTACTGAATTAGCCATCTTGTATGCTAAATACTCCCCAGAAAAGGTTATGGAACATTTGAAATTATTCTGGTCTAGAATCAACATTCCAAAAGTTTTAACTGCTTGTGAAGAAGCTCATTTGTACCCAGAATTGATTTTCTTGTACTGCCACTATGAAGAATGGGATAACGCTGCTTTGACTATGATTGAAAGATCCGAAGTTGCTTTTGACCATTCATCATTCAAGGAAATTATTGTTAAGGCACCAAACTTGGAAATCTACTACAAAGCTATCCAATTCTACATGAATGAACAACCATCATTGTTGGTTGATTTGTTGCAAGTTTTAACACCAAAATTAGATTTGCCAAGAGTTGTTAGAATGTTTGTTCAAAGTGATAACTTGCCAATGATCAAACCATTCTTGATTTCTGTTTTGGAAAAGAACAATTCTGTTGTCAACTCTGCTTACCACGACTTGTTGATTGAAGAAGAAGACTACAAATCCTTGAGATCATCTATTGAAAACGAAAGCAACAATAGATTCAATAAATTGGATTTGGCTGAAAGATTAGAAAAACATGAATTGATTTTCTTTAGACAAATTGCTGCTACTTTGTACACCAAAGAAAAGAAATTCAACAGAGCTATTTCTATTTTGAAGACTGATAAGTTATGGCCAGATTTATTAAAGACTGTTGCTATTGCCAAATCCAACAAGATTGCTCATGAAATGTTGGATTATTTTGTTGAAACAGGTAACCATGAATGTTTTGTTGCTTTGTTGTACACTTCATATGATTACATTAACTATGATTACGTAGTTGAATTATCTTGGTTACACAACTTGTCCAACTTTATTAAACCATATGAAATTTCTATTGTTTATGAAAACAACAAGAAATTGAATGAAGTTTATCAAGATTTGAAAAAGAGACAAGAATTGGAAAAGAAGAATGAAGAAGAACCATCAACTGCCGGTGCACCATTGATGCTTACTAATGGACCAATGAGTTATCAAGGTACTGGAGTTGGTAGCAACCTTGGATACCAACCAACTGGTACTGGATTTGGTAATGCTTTTTAATGTTAATACCATTTAATAATGAATAAAGAATATTTTCTTAATATGTGTGTGTATGTGTGTGGAGGGATTATTTATTCAATGCTTTAAAAGAATTTCCTTATATAAAAAAAAGAGAGAGAGAGATTTATATGTTTTTGATTTTTTTTTATTAATTATTACTTATTATTTTGTTAAATTTGTTTTATATCTTATAAAAAGAATATATATCTATATATATTATAAATGTTTTAGTTTCGTAATTATTGAATTATTCTGTATTTTATCAATATTTGTATAACTTTCTTAAAATTCTTTACGAGGTTGCTAATTTTACAATTCTCAAGAATAGTTTTACACATGAGCAATTGATTATCTAATCTATCTTCAAGATTATTCCCCAGAGTTCCAAAATTAGCAACTTGAATTGTATCTTCAGAACAAACCAATTCTAGATTCAATTTATTAAATGATAATGTTATTCTTTGACATTGTAAATCATAATTTATCTTATCAAATATAGGACTTTCACTTATTAATCCAAATTGATTTTTAGAAAAATTCATCAATTTTTCAAATTTATCAATTTTATATTGAATTTTATTCAATATTTCATATATACAATCCAGGAATTTTGTTAAATTTTCTTGATCAGTAAATCCAAATCTATTCAATATTATAGATAAATCATCTAAATTTATAAATGAAGGTAATGTATGTTTATAAATCATCCAATTATCTATACTTGTTTCATCTTTAATAGTAGTTGTTTTTTTAAGTATACAATAGTAAGGAAGATTATAAGAATGATTAAAATTTGAAAAAATCTCAAATCTTAAACCTAATATTGATTCTTGATTATTTAGAAATAGATATTGATTTATTGGAAATGAAGTTATTCCAAACATACGATAGATATTTTCATAAAGAATGTTTTCTTTCAATTCAATATCGTAAATTGGTAATGTTGGTTGTTGTTGTTGTCCCAGTAACATCGATTTATTCTGTTGCTGTAGTTTTGGTTGGAAATATTTCATGATTGATTCATCTAAGTAGTTATGTTTTATAGTTTCTGGGATATCTAAATCTATAGGTTCTTCATCATTTGTTTCTGTATGAATTGAATTGGATGGTTGTATTGATGATATATCTTGTATTAGTTGTTGTTTAGTTAGTTGATTACTAGCTATGTCTTTTTCAATTAGAAGTATATCTCGAGAAATCTCATCTATCTCTTGTTGTAGCTTTTCAATCTCTTCTATCGAGTTCATTTTAATAACGTATGCTTGTGGGTTTGTGTGTCTGTTGATGGGTTTAGTATTATTTTTTTTGTTTATTGTTTGCTTGTTTCAGGTTTAATCTTTTTGAAATTACGCGACTTGAGATTTCCTTTGGTGGTGGTGATGTAGTATTTCTCTTCTGCGTCCTCTCTGAGTGTGTGTCTCTCTCTGTGCGTGTGTGGTAAACTTACGAAATCATCCAAAAAAATTTTCTTCATTGTTTATCAGACAACCACCTTTAACCATTACCTTGCTGCCCACCTCCCCCCTTTTAGTTTCCTCGTGATATCGGAATAAAAAGTGAAGGGTTCCATCCACTGTCATTAAAGGTCAATAAAACTTTCATTTAACTATTAGAACACGTCATTTTGACAAATGCCACAGGATCAAGATTCAAATCTCAACCAAACTCCAGTAGTAGTTGAAACTGACTACAAACCTAGATTTACTAATCTGTATTGGTCCATTGACTATATTACTGGTTTAAATAATTTAAAGGCTCAGAGTTTCAAATCTATAAAACAATTACACGAATTAAGAAAATTGGTGTTTAATTATATGTCCTATTTCCATGCCAACAGCGAATTTTTAAACAAATCAAGTATTGACTTATTCCCTATTGAAAGTACATTCTTACCATTTGAATCACAGAAAAATGGTACTACAAAATCTACTGCTCCATCAAGAAATATCACTCCTTTGACATCTCCACACACGAATAAACTTGCTCAAGTCAAGGAACCAGAAAATGAGATTAATATGTGTACTGCGTATGGTAAATATATTGATCAAATGTCACACGAGTCTACTTTATTGTTAAATCTTACATCAATAATCGATAGAGATGTACTTGAAGATATCACTCAATTCTTAAAATATCATGAACCAGAAATCAATAGACAATTTGGAAGACTAGATTTGATCTATAATGATTATTTGAAATCTAGTAAAACTGTTGACAAATTGAAATCAAAACATGCTGAACAATTGAGATTGAAAGAATTTGCTCAGTCTTCTGGTAATATAGAATCTACTCCATCTAACAAAGAAGAAGAAGACGCTTCTTCGTCTTTCGAAGAGTCATATGTTGATGAAGACTTAGAAACTGAAGAAGATGAGGACACTGATAAAGTGAAAGAATTGCAATTTCCTGTGGAATTGGGTACTGTTGTAGTTTCTAGTCCAGATGAATTAAGAATTATCTTGAATTTATTGATAACAAAAGTCCCAACTATTCCTAGAAAAATCCCATTACCAGGATACAAAAACCAAATATTCAGTAGCGATTCCTTAACTTCTATTTTAATGAAGTTCCCAATTAGAGGATTAAAACCTTCTAGAGTCAATTTAGAGAAATTTGGTCAAGGTTTACTTGACTTGAAATTCATCACCAGTAACAATTTCTTCAATAACAAAAAATTCAAGAGTGAAGGATTATGGTTTGAATGGTCTGACTTGGCTATTCATTATTCGGAATTTAAGAAAAGCAATTCACTGGAGACTTCATCAGTTAAAGATACCAACAGTGTCGGTACTAGTGCTTCAACTTCTACCACGACTAACAGATCTTCTAGTGCAATTGGTTCACCAAAGGCAAACAAGTTCATGACTGACATGGCTGAAACAACAACAAGATTTAATGCCATGTTTAACAATGTCAAGAGTTCAATTATGAGAACTAATTATAACGAAGTATTGGAAGATTTAGAAATTAAATACACCGATGAGGTTTTAAACTTGCAAGAACAGAAATTCTTATTAGAGAATGGATTATTTGAAATTTCTAAATCCTTGGAAATATTTGAACATGCCAAAGTTGAATTGATCTATAAAAGTTTATCAAGATTACTGGAAATCTTAGTCAAGTTTCAAAAACTTCAATACGACAATGCAGAAAAATTTTCCAATGATTTCATTCACAATATCAATAAGACTTCTAATTATGATCGTGATTTTAATAAAACTTTAGAGAATTTCAGTACTGGTATTTACTTTTCCAGTTTGATTTCATCAGATGCGTCTTCTAACCAAAAACCAGGAACTGTTACTGGGTCGACTTTCCAGAATCTCAAATACCAATTTGACTTGTATAAAGATATTCCATTACAATTACAAAATAATTTCAACCGTGATAATGAATCCTTGTTGAGTATTGCATCTATTCCATACATATTATACCAAACAATTAAAATCATTGAAGAAAGAAGTAATGAAAATGTTGATGACATTAAGAAATTATGGTCATCACCTATAGAATACCAAAGCCAATGGAAGGTGAAACAAGATTTGACTGATATTATTTCTGAATTCGCCCCTGATTTGAAAAATGACTTGGCTAATAAGAATTTGATTGAACAAGAATTTATCAACCAAGTGTTGAACCATTTGAAATCTTTGAAAACCAACAGTGTCATTGTATTTATTAAAAACTGGTTGCTTGAAATAAGTGATTCAGTTATCCCATTTGTTATATTTGACAGTTTGATGAATTTGTATAATGAAGAAGGAGAAGTACCAGCTGAAGAGTTAGTAAAGATCCTTTCTACTATTCCAAGAAGTAATTTATCGTCATTGATTTATTTGCTCGAGTATATTAGTAATCTATTTGAACTTGGTGACATTCCAAGTTATGAAATCTCAGACGAATTGCCTGATGAATCATTGTTGACAAAAATTGATGCTGATCAAATTAAACAGGTTTCTGAGCAATTGAATTCGATGGACGAAATTGGATCAATACCACTAATGCATTTGATCATACGACCATCAAGCTCAAAGCATGCAACTGGATTCAAACCACCATTAAACAAATATAAACGTCTATTAGCAGATTTATTGAAGTTGAATGTCCGTACACAATTGTTGAAACATTTGGTTGAGAATGAAACAAATTATAAATCCAAAAAGGAAGCAGAGAAATTACAAGTGAAACGAGTATCATTACCTCCATCCAATACTGAAACTACACCAAAGTCACCAGCTAAATTGAACCTTCCTTCTGTAAACCCACCACCACCACGTCCTGACAGTGGCGAATTCACATTAAGACCTTTTAGAACAAGAGCCACTCCAAATCCAAGTCCTCAAACTTCACCAAAGAGAGAACCAACAGAACCATTTACCAAATCAATATCACCAACACGTGAATTATTACCACCATCTGCATCAAATGGGAAAGGACACAAGAGAGGTTCAAGTAATACTAATTTTCATGGTCCCAAAGATAGATATAGAATTTGAGGAATAGATTTCGTCGATTATTTCTTCTTATCGTGTAAACTTGTCATTGTGACCTTTTCAACTTTCTTCAATTGTTTAACTCCAAATAATAATAAACAAACTAAAGCGATAGTAGAAACAACAATGACAGCTTCAAACCCACCATCTGATTCTTCGATAAAATTCTCTAAATTCATACCATACAATGCCGATATGTATAAACAAAGACATAAAGACAATAAACCAGTAGAAAATTTTAATCCCAATAACATTAACTGATTTCTATTGGAATCTAAAACCACATTAATCAAATCTTCAGTAGTTTTGATTTGATTTTTTAAGTTCTCCACAATTTGTACAATTTCATCAATGGTTTGATAATAATTTTCCAATAACATTTCAATTTCTTCATGATTATTACCTAATCTTGGAGATTCGTTAAATTTTGCAGTTAAATATAATTCATTTAATTCATTATCATCATTTTCTAAAATATCTTCTAAACATTGTTTGATTAAATTAATTTTTTGACTAAATTGACTAATTTTTTTACTTTCAATCAATAAATATCTCAATTTATATCTTTCTATACTTTCATCTAAACCTTGAATAATATTTTGTAAAACAGTATTATGAACTTTCATTTCAGTAGATAGATTTGAAACAATATATATAAGTATCCCTTCTAATGCTTTAAATTCAAATGGTAATGATTCAAGATGAGTTGATTTTAAACGATTGCCTAAATCTTTTAAAAATTGCAGTGTAGTATGAGATGAATGATGGGGACTATCACTATGATGAGCAAAACTATCAAATATAACTAATTCATCATATTTAATCAATGCATGAACATTTAATAATTGTAATAAGATATTATTCTTTCGTATAATTATACTAGGAACAATATCTTGATGACTTGAATGACTTAAATGTCGATCAAATTTACGGAAATCTCTAGGAATTAAATTGTATTTTTCAATGAATTTATTTTTAAGTATTTCTTGTCCATGTTGAATCATATCTCCTTGAGAATTAAATATTGTACATCGTATATATTCATTATCATGATGGGATTTAGTAGATGTGAGGGTTTTATGAATGAAATGATCATTGAATGCATCTGAATTTGTAGTTCGGCATGATGATAAACATCTGAATGATTGAATGTATCTCAGAGGAGCCGAAAATAACCGTAGTTGTCTTAATGGAGTGAACATCATTACTGGTGGGATTGGATTGGATTGGTGGTAAAACGGTTGTAACTAATTTGTGTTTGGTTTGATGTTTTTTTGTTTTTCTACTGTATATTTGAGGTTGATTTTTTTTTATCATTGCTCCATTTAGTTCCGCCCATACATCGCGGTAGCTAATACCATCGTCACCACCAAACCATAAACCAACTTCTGCCGCGTCTGGTATTAAAACAAGAAAAAAAATCTGGACGCAAATTATTCCAAGAATATGCAAAAAGTAAACAATTGGCTTGTCCTAAAAATATCACGAAATAACTGAAATCGGTAAAGTAGCAAAAAAAAAAAAAGAAAGAATATATATATAAATAGAAAGATTTCACAACATTTCAAACAAAATTAAACTCAACAGGACGAAGACTTATTATGACCCAATTTCCAAGAGTAAACGCAAGTGATGATTTAGACGTATTTGAAGAAGTTGGTCGTGGTGGCTTTGGAGTCGTCTACCGAGGAATAATTAAATCAACTCAACAAGAAGTAGCAATAAAACAAATTGATCTTGAAAAAGATTCCACAGATTTACTTGAAATTAATAAGGAGATTCAAATCATATCTGAATGTCGATGTAAACAAATTACTAGCTATGTTGGCTCATTTGTTAAGAATTATAAATTATGGGTCATTATGGAATTTATTGATGGTGGATCAATATTTGAATTATTAAAACCAGGACCAATTACTGATGAAAATGTTATAAGTTATATAATGGAAGAAATATTAAATGCATTGAATTATTTACATAATCAAGGTAAAATCCATCGAGATTTGAAAAGTCAAAATATTTTAGTAAGTAAACATGGTGATATAAAATTGACGGATTTTGGAGTATCTACACAATTATCGTCAAATTTTAGTAAGAGAAATACCACTGTTGGTACACCATATTGGATGGCCCCTGAAGTTATTGTTAATAATAATGGTGGACATAGTTATAAAGCAGATATTTGGTCATTGGGATGTTGTTGTTATGAAATGTTTACTGGTAAACCACCATTACAAATAATGCATCCTCCAATGAAAGCACTTCGTTTAATTTCAAAGTGTCAGAAAAACCAAGATTTCGTAAAATTGATCAACTTGGCAAATTTGGAAGTATCTAATGATTTAAGGGACTTTTTAAGTTGTTGTTTTATTGAAGATCCAAAATCTAGATTCAGTGCCAGTAAATTGTTGAAACATAAATTCATCACAAAGTTTAGTGGTACTAATTCCCCAGATAGAATTAAATTAATCAAGAAATTGATCACTAAAAAACAATTATGGAATCAACAAAATCATATAGTTAAGACTCAGAATTATTATGTTCCTACTGAAATTCATAATAATCAGATTAAGTGGAGCATGATTGATGATGAAGATGAAGAAGATGGTAACGACAATAATGAAAGTAATGCAAATCGCGATAAAACAATTAAGTTTGATATAAGTACTATGGTCGTTGATGAAGAGGTTGAAAAACAACAAATTTCACAATTGTCCAAACAATTTGATCAGCAATTGGATCCATTGAGTTTTATGAAGACTGATTTCAATACGATTCTTACAAAAATATTTAACAGATTGGATCACAAGAACCAATTATCAAAGAAACAGTACGATCAGATTTTAGAAATGAACAATATCATGATTAATTTGATTTCAAATGATGCCGATAGTAAAAGGATCTTGATTTTCCAATACTTGAAATATTTGATTAAAGAATTATTAAAAGAGAAAAATGGTCATATCAGCAGATTGGTTTTGCCTTCAAATATAGTACGTCCGGCATTATCACCATCTCAAACTACAGGTTCATTTACTACAACAGGCAATCTGTTAAATACAGACGGTATTACATTGACAAGAATGGGAAGCAAAAAAGAGTTTCCAGGATCAAAATTTGACGAAATACAATCAAGTTTATTAGACTCTTGGATAAATAGAATGGAACAGGATAAATAAAATGGGTAATATAGGATTAATAATTAATGTCATTTATATTGGTGTATCATCTCTAGTAATATTATCTCTTGGCGTATCATTTCCAGGTGATTCCTCTCTAGGAGTTTCAGTTCTAGGAGTTTCAGCAGGAGTTTCATCGTAGCCTTCCCTTGGATCTAATTCTTGTTGCTCCTTCTCTTCATTTTCAGCTTTTTTGATATACTTTTCATTTAAATCCAAAACTGTGATTACACCATCTCTACTACAACAACATAACACAGCACCTTGATCATAAATATCAACTCCTAAAATTGCATCTTTACCAGCAATTTCGGGAGTCAATCTAAACACAATATCTTTCAGCTGAACATCCCAAATCAATAATCCAGTATTATCACTACCTGAAACAATTAATGGGTTTTTCTTTAATTTTGTAATAAACTTCACATCACAATTGAACTTCTCACAAATCTTTGCCTTTTCCCAACCTTGATATGTTTTATAAACTTTATTTTCCATGTAATTCCATAATCTTAACTTCCCATCTAAACTGGAACTCAAGATAAATTGACCATTAGGTGATATTTCAACTTTAGAAATTGGGAAATTTAAAACATCATTTGTACTAGCAGTAGCTGTCCCATAATGAGATGTTGAATTAGTTAAAGTTTTCAAACATTGACTTGTTTCTAAATCAAATAACCTCATCAATCCATCATATGAAGCACTTATGATAATGGTATCATCTGGTGTTAAAGTAATTGACAGAACTGGATCACTGTGTGCTGCCAAAGTGGTCAATATTTTATTTGAAGTTATATCCCATATTGTTATTGTTTCATCAGATGATCCACTGATTAAAATATTACCTTTTTGAACAAATTTCAACGTTGTTATGTGATAAGTATGTTTTTTGAATATTTTGATACATTTATTTGTTTTGGTGTTCCATAATCGAACAGTAAGATCATCTGAACATGATGCTAAAATATTTGAGTTTATAGGGGAGTAAACTATTTCTGATACACCTTTCGTGTGCCCTGTTAAAGTTGTGATTAACTCACCATCGGCCAAGTTGTAAATATAGATTTTACCATTAGATGCACTAACAGCTAGATTCTCACCATTGGGAGAAATTTTGATGGATGTAAGTTGAGTGGATGGTAGACTTATAGAATATCTCTTTTTAAATAGATCATCTATCTGATTAGTTGATTCGAGTAAAGGGAGCCCCATTGGTAGGTAGATTGGAGATGAAGTTTACCAAAGTTGGTGATAATTTTTCCTTTTGTTTTTGTTGCAAGAAATATTACACTGTTGTTTCCACCAAACCGAAAACCCACAGAGAAATATTAACTAAAGATAAAAATACATAAAAAATTTACATCCACCTACAATCATATCAACCTACTTATATATGTATTAATCCGACAGAACCACCTTGGTTGCCTTTCCAGATGTTCATGAACTCCCACCTACCCAAACTTTTCATCACCAATTGCACGACTTGTAATTAAGCCCGAGAAATAAAATTGAAGAACGACAATCGCACTGTGTACTTATTGCTTTCCTTATTTTTTTTTTTTTGGTTTTAATTTTACCGCTATTCAATTGATAACCATATATTTATAATCAAACAACCGTCACAATCCAAATACACACATCATGGATCATAATCATTCAAGTAATTTATTTAGATTTTCTTCAATTAGATTACCTAAATCTGCCAAATTAAGAAGTTTTGGTATTTATTTACTGGGAGCTTTATTTTCAATTGGATTTTGGACATTAATCGATTCATCAATTTATTCTAAAACTATCAATGCAAGTGATGTGCACATTACTATTGTTGATTGGATTCCATTTATTTGTTCTAGTTTTGGGATGTTGATTGTTAATTCTATTGAAAAATCAAATTTATTGATGAATCCTGATCAACAAGGCTTTGGTATGAATGGAAATGGTAATGCTTGGGCTGCTAGAGTTATCTTATTTTTAGGATTTAGTTTGTTAGCTGGTGGATTAGCTGGTAGTTTTATGGTTTTCATATTGAAATATTTGATGAAACATTACACTTTCCCAACATTGGGTATGGGAGTTAGCAATATAATCTGTAATGGATGTATCATGTTCAGTTGTATTGTTTTATGGTTGAGTCAAAACATAGAAGATGAATACAGTTATAGCTTAGCTTTGTAGTAAAGAAGTAGGTTTATATTTATTAATAAAACCAACAAAAATAAAGCAGAACAGTTACGAATATAATGACGACGATGATAATGATGACAAGAATAACTATAATAATATTATATATATATATAAAAAAATCTATAACTATAAAAAAAAAGTAGGCAAAAAGTGGAAGGGATAAATGAAGATGATATCAAGAAGTAAAAGGAATACTATTAGTTAACAAAGAAAAAGAATAAGAAAAAGAGGAATAAACAATCAAATTAAAAAACACCTTTGAATAATAATAATAATAATAATAAAAAAAATAGTAATAATCACCCTTTCTTTATAAACTCATCTTTTAATGACCCCAATAAATCTAACTCAAAATCACTAAAGTTGAACAAATTCAACTCAATTGGGACCGAAGAACCTCTTGGGTACACTTTAAAATCTTCACTTTTTAATTCACGGAAAAATGGATGAACCAACACTCTTCTTGGACTTGCTCTTGTATCTGGATCATAAACTAAAATTTTCATTAATAAATCAATGGCATCATCTGGAGAATTACTAAAAATTTGTTTAAATCTTTCTTCTATAGTACAATTAAATAATTTTGTGGTATACATGTTACCACGATATTGTGGGTTACTTTTAAAGAAAAAAGTGTTTGGTGGTGGACCCAATAATTTTGCAATTTCTTTCAATTGTGATTCTGGTGATTGACCTTGGAAGATGGGTTTACCCAAAAACATCTCAGCAATGACACAACCTAATCCCCATATATCAATCTTTGTGGTGTACAAAGAGCATCCGACAATCAATTCAGGTGCTCTATAATATCTTGAACATATATAACTGACTGATGGTTGATTTGGCTCTAATTTTTTGGCGGATCCGAAATCACAAATCTTCAACCTAACGGTATTTGGATCAACAAGTATATTTGAAGGCTTAATATCTCGGTGACTAATTCCATACCCATGCAAATAGAGCATAGCTCTAGCCAATTGGAAAGTATAAGCCTTCATGTGAGGATAAGGTATGGTGTATTTTGATTGACGGTAGTATTTTATTTCGGATTGTAAATTTGAAGGTAAGCATTCCATGACCAAGTTTTGATAAACTTTATTGTCAGTAGATGAGGTTTTATCAAAGAAGAATCGTAAACTGACAATATTTGGATGATTCACGAATCGTAAAATTTCCAATTCTCGTGATTTATACTCGGTTTGAGCTGGAACTCTTTTAATTGCAAATGGACCCAACCATTCTTGGTTGTTACGAGCATTATTTCCATTGGCTTTATCATCATTATCCTTTGGTGGATCATGATACTTCAACATTGCTTCGACAACAGTACCGAATGCTCCTTCACCAATTCTTTTATATTCCCTTACTGTCATTTTGCTGGCACGAGAGCTTTTATTCTCAACGACATCAGGTAAGGTGTATTCATTTATGACTGAGGATTGTGGCATGGTTAAAATAAAAACAATGTGTACAATAAAATCAAGCTAAAGGTAGATAGCCAATTAAAACAACAAAAAAAAAGAATACAATAACAAATAACCACAACAGGAATTGAACAATCTATAGGTCTTGGGTATCTTTTGTCAAGTTAGACCTAATGAATATATCTAGAATCAGAAACCAAAAAAAAAGTTGTGCCTAAACAAATAAATAAAAATTTCCTTAAGGCGAGGGCGAGGCAGGAAGTTTATCTGTAGTAAACTAATTGATTTGAAAGGGGTATATTAATTAAATACGTGAACAGTGATGACAATTGATCTCTTTAAATTGATGATTACAATCCACAGAATGATAACTGATTGGGTGTATAATATTTGGTATACGCGTGTGTGTCTCTGTGGGTTGTCGTATGATTCTAGTTGTCAAAATATTTTGTGACTATTTTTTTTTGTTGTTGTTTGGATAAACTAATCGTTGAATTTTTTTTTTTTCGTTGGTTGTTGATTTTTTTTTTCTTTACTACTGGATTATGTAAGCCTATGGTATGGTCTTTTTTTTCGTTGTTGTTGTTCTTGCTTCCACGCCTTTCTTTTTTTTTTTGATTTTAGTTTTCTTTAGTGACGCAGAATATTTCTTATGTCTGTCCTAGTTAACAGGGATTGAAGGAAATGTGGAACAACCGGTTTATCAATAGTGTAGCAGATTTATTTATGGGGCTTTTTTATATTATTAATGTATACATGCTTGTCAATTATAATTGAGAAATAAATTCGATTATGTATGAGTTCCCATAAATTCAGTACAATTCCCATACTTCTTTCCATTCTAGGTAAGATAATTCAATAGAAAAAGGAAAGCCAAGTTAAAAAGCCAAGTCTAAATATGCACGTGATTTACATAGGAAATAATCCCAGACGCAGTTGGAATTTAACTTTAACAATACTCTAAGGTTATATCTTCTAACTATTTGATTCTTTCAAGGGCCTAGATTTGAAGTTATCACTTGATGCGTGCACGAGATATTAATCATTTAAAGCTTTATTTTATTCTTGCATTGTATAGATCAGCGTGTCACTAGTAATTGTCTGTAGAAGAAATTGTTTCGGTAGACACCAACAACCTGTTCTGTTACTACAGTTGATTAGAGTTTTAACATTTGCGTAATATTTATTGTAGATGTCTACCTGTAATCAAAATACACAAGACCTAGTTCTTGTGTTAATATTCTGAACAATTGATGCTAATAATAGTTGCCCCTATCTTGGTATCTGTACAAAGAAAATTTTATGGAATTATTGAACTGAAATGGACTAATTAAATCAGAGGGCGGATTGTCGCATTCATCATTTCCAGATTAATTTGAATTTATAATTAGAATCATCTATCCCAGTTGATTTCAAGGAATAGTCTACTGATTGCTGGTGTTGATCTGCCGACCTAAGGTTCAATTCGATGAGAACGATGTAGTTCACGTATATGCGTCTTCACAATGTTCTGTCAATTCATAAAGTGGCACTTTTTTTTCTTCATAACTAGGATTTGAGAGAGTATACTCCTAAAAATAGAATAGAGATTCAAAAGTGGGGTTGAAGCCGCTAGAAAAAAGGCATACATTCGGACAACTATGAAATCAACAATACCGAACCACAGTATACATGTAAGTATCGACCGCTTTGTTCAAGTGGTGGCACTTTTTCAATTTGTATATTTATAACCAGATAAATAACACATATATGAACTACAATGCATAGAATATCAATACACCAGAACCGAGAACCACAAATGTAAGTATTAGCAATTTGAGAATGAATATCCAGACTTTGTTCTTGCCACCAGCTTGTTCGATTAACTGCTTCTCCAAATCTATATCATCCAATAGTTTAATATTGCCATTGAATTTATTGTACTTTGCATCCTCTTTGATTAAATTATCTATGGAATTCAACGTGGTTGATCTATTTCTATGTGGTGTAACTGATATCACAGGAGATGTAGTTATCGATAGATTTCGTGGTCTAGTAGGAATGCTCGAGGTTGATTGATTCTTAGTTAATGGGAAAGGAACTGAATCATCCATGGTTGATTTGCGGTTGTTATTTGTAATTGTCATGATTTAAACTTGAATTGTTGTCGTTAACGAACGAATAATAGAACGATAGTAAAAGAAAAAAGGTATCAACAAAATTAATGTGGATTTATTATGGATATATAATTATAATAATTGTCATCCAATCTATGGGCAAGTGGTGATATTTACTCACTAGTATTTTCTTTTTTTTTTTTTTTTTTTTTTTTTGTTCCCTCCTGACTTCAATTTGTGGAGTGGACAGGTTTATATTCTATATGCAGCTAATATTACACAAACTGTAATTCGTAGGGCAATTACTTTTGATCATCCCTTACACAACCATCATGATCATGATCATTGCTCTATCACTTCATTTAATTGCAAACTCTATTCCAAGTGTGTATATAGCTTGCAATCAACTTATGTTTTGGTAAAAGAATTGTCTACTAGACATTTCATGTTTTCTTTTGAGCTTAGATGACATATCATAAATTGCATGTAAATATTTACCAAATAAACTCGAAATAACCATTACAACAAGAGCAGAACCAAATGATATACTATGATTCAGATTAGCATACATAGAATAGTCAATGAAAAGAAACAAATATGACAAAGCACGATAATTAGGGTATAATTTCCAGAGAATTGCCACTAAATCATTGTCACTAATATTGAGAAAGACTCAAGTCAATACATGGAAATAGTATATAGACAGCCACAACCATTGCTTGTTATACAGTCAAATCGCTAATGTTGTCACTGGTCCAAATTGAATCCAATCACGTGAAATCCTGCACACTATCTCGGTTATCACAACCAACTGATTTTTCTTTTTTTTTTTTTTTTTCTTTTTTCGCTCCACGTCAGTGGAAAACTCACAGGAGTGGAAATGAATGTGAGAAAGTGAGAAAAAACAATGTAAAATCGTTTAGAAAAGTTTGAATGTTGACAACTTTTATCTCACTTTATCATATACTTTAATAGATAACTAACTCATTAATATCAACTCATCATGTGGCTCTTCGACTGGTGTATGTATACTACCAACTTATTTATCTTGTCCTTTTAGAGGATAGGCTTATTCATTTTTTTTGTAATTTTTATTTTATTTTTCAAACTGTTGATACTAACAAATGTCATTATTTTATAGTCCAAGATATATTATCCTCATTAGGTTTGTGGAACAAACATGCTAAATTATTATTCTTAGGTTTGGATAATGCTGGTAAAACTACCCTTTTACATATGTTAAAGAATGATAGATTAGCTACCTTACAACCAACCTTACATCCAACATCTGAAGAGTTAGCTATTGGATCAGTTAGATTTACTACTTTTGATTTAGGTGGCCATCAACAAGCTCGTAGATTATGGAAGGATTATTTCCCAGAAGTCAACGGTATTGTCTTTTTAGTCGATGCTGCTGATGCAGAAAGATTTGCTGAATCTAAAGCTGAATTGGAAAGTTTGTTCAAGATCGAAGAATTGAGTCAAGTTCCATTTGTCATTTTGGGTAACAAGATTGATGTTCCTACTGCCGTTGGTGAAATGGAATTGAAAAATGCCCTTGGTTTATACAATACTACTGGTAAAGACACCGGTAAGTTACCAGAAGGTACTAGACCAATTGAAGTCTTTATGGTTTCTGTTGTCATGAGATCAGGTTACGGTGAGGCATTCAAATGGTTATCCCAATATATTTAGAGATAAATGGTAACTACTGTGTATTTTCTTTTACCTACAATGAATGGATCATGCTGAACTGTTATTTTGTTTATTAGTTCCACTATATTAGGTAATTTTATATACTTTTATAATCATTGTTAATTGGTACGCACTTTTTTTTTTTTGATCTTGACATGAACGGAATGACGTTACTTTATAATCCAAACTTGTATTAGTATCTTTATTACACAATTCTAATACCTATTCCAGGGTATATGAGCTCATTGTCTATTACCCACCTTGTTCTGTATTCAATTATATTCCTTTTAGTTGCTGCAAATAATATTTTCTCCCGCTCCACACGACCATACATTTTTTTTTTTTATGCTTACGGATCGCCTTCTCATCACTGAATATTTTTTTTTCCCTTACTCTTTCTCCTTCTCATCTTGAAATACAGATTATTAGTAATTATTATCAGCTAGACTACCACCATAAACAATATATAATGGAAGGAAACAAGGTATCGTTACATCCAGAACAGAAAAAATGGAAGGCACCAAAAGGTCCAAAACCAGTTCACCATAAGAATAAGAATTTAATTGGTTTAGGTAGAACAATAGCTAACCAAAGAGCCAAAGAAAATAGTATTCAATATTTGCCAGATGGTGAGATGAGATTTACTACCGACAAAAAGGAAGCTGATTGGGTTAAATTGAGATCAGTTACCCAAGAAAATGCTTTAGATGAGTTTTTGAGTACTGCTGAATTAGCTGATACAGATTTCACCGCCGACAAGAACCAACAAGTTAAGATTATCAAAGTGGGAAATACTTCAATTATAAATTCAAATGGTTTGTTAACTACAGATGAAATGTTAGCTATGAGACAAAAGCATATGATGTTTGAAAATAAATTAACTATACCTAAACGTCCAAAATGGAATAAGAATCAAAGTAAAATAGAAATTGACCGTCAAGAAAACTTGGCATTTTTAGATTGGAGAAGGCAATTGGCTCAGTTGACAGAAAACAACGATTTATTGTTAACCCCATTCGAAAGAAATTTAGAAGTTTGGAAACAATTATGGAGAGTTGTGGAAAGATGTGATTTAATTGTACAAATTGTCGATGCTAGAAACCCATTATTCTTCAGATCCGTTGATTTAGAAAAATATGTCAACTCATTAAGTGAACCAGAAAACAACAAGGCCAAGAATAACTTATTATTGGTCAACAAAGCAGATATGTTAACTAGAGAACAACGTGTTGCTTGGGCAGAATATTTCAAGTTGAAGAAGATCAACTATGTATTCTTCTCTGCTGCTAAAGCCAATGAATTATTGGAAAAGGAAAAAGAAGAGGAAAATAACCTAGAAGGCAGTAATAATGCCAAAGATGAAGTTGAAGAAGTTGAAATTAATGAAGCTATCAGAATCTTGAAAATCGAAGAGTTGGAAAAATTGTTCATGGATTCAGCTCCAAAGTTTGAAGTTGATCCTGAATTCCCAGATAGAAAGTTACAAATTGGGTTAGTAGGTTACCCAAATGTTGGTAAGTCATCTACCATCAATGCCTTGGTTGGATCCAAGAAAGTGTCAGTTTCTTCTACACCAGGTAAAACCAAACATTTCCAAACCATCCATTTATCTCCAGATGTATTGTTATGTGATTGTCCAGGTTTAGTGTTCCCTAACTTTGCTTATACTAATGGTGAATTGGTGTGTAATGGTGTCTTGCCAATCGATCAATTGCGTGAACATATTCCTCCAATTTCATTAGTGTGTCAAAGAATTCCAAAATTCTTCTTGGAAGCAGTTTATGGTATTCATATCCCTATTCAAAAAGTTGAAGATGGTGGTAATGGTGAATATCCAACTGCAAGAGAATTATTAAATGCTTATGCTAGAGCCAGAGGTTATATGACACAAGGTTTTGGTGCTGCTGATGAACCAAGAGCTGCTAGATACATTTTGAAAGATTATGTCAATGGTAAATTATTATATGTTAATCCGCCACCAAAAGAAGTTGCAGAAAATGAATGGATATTGCCTAATTTACAAGAAAGTAGAATATTCAACCGTGATTTGTACACTTTGAATCATCTACCTGAATCAAGACAACACCAAATCATAACTGCTATGCAAAACAAACATATACCAGTTGATGAGTTTAACTTGGAGAAGGATCTTTCCAGATTAAACTTCTCTCAACATATTGGTGGTGAAAAGAAAAACGGAGATAATGATGCTCAAGAAGGTTCAAACAAACAAGGAAACAATACCGGTGCTAAAACATTGTTCTACGGTGGTAAACAAGCTGCTTTAGAAAGTGCTGGTGATGATTTGGATAGAGAGTTCTTTGCCATGAATAATATCACTGGAAAATTTGCAACTCCATTCCACAAGAAATCTGCTGAGAAGACTCTGAATAAGAAACACAATAAAAAGAACAAGAAACAAGATAAAAAAGTAAGAGTTACAGGTTATTAGATCAGTGTATAGGTGAATGAATATAATCTAGGAACGAATTTTTATTTCTTTTATGCTTGACATAATTTATCTACTGTAATTGGTTTTAAATCCTGTTAAATTATTAATACATTAATATATATATAGTTTTTTTATACATCAATAAGAAAATAACCTAATAGATTCTGAAAGATGGACCCATGGTAGATTTGATAACCAAGGAACCAACGTTTTGCCAGTTCTTTTTCAACAAAGAAACCAAGAAGTTAGCAGCCATCATGATTTGGTTAACCAAGATATCTTCTTCCATATCAACGTTACCAACAGCGACAGCCAAACACAAGACTTTCTTCAATTGGAATTTGATGGTGGATTTGACATCAGTGACTTTACTGTACAAATCATCATTGTGGGAAACTGGGGTTGGGAATTTACCAGCTTTAGACAAGGTTGGACCCAATAATCTTGGAATTTGTTTGATCAAAACTTCAGAAGCAACGAAAGCGTTGTATTTCTTAGCCAATTTCTTGATCAATTTCTTGTTCTTGTTCAATTTCTTCAAGTCATCAACGGACATAGCATCAACACCCAAGGACTTAGCTCTGTCAACATCGAAAGCATCACCAAAAATACAGATGGTCATGTTTGGTCTTGGAACTTGTGGCAATTTCAAGGTACCAGAGAAACGCTTGTCTCTTTGAGGATCATAGTTTTTCAAACCGACTTGCAATTCAACGGTTTCCAAAAAGTTTCTCTTTTTGGTTTCGGTGGAGTATTCCAACAATTTTTTAACGTTTTCTCTAACGCCAGAACTGGTAATCTTAGACATTTTCTAGTTGATATGAATTTCCGTCTCCCAAAAAAAAGTTATTGGTAAAAGTAAATTGATTCGACGAGGATAAAGAAAGGGGAAAAAGAGACCAAGCGGGTGGAATGAGGATGGGAAGAGGATTCGTGAAAATTTTCTTTGTACCTAGTGCCCAGAGTGCGACGTTGTTAGCAGAGAGATGTGATTGTACAAAAAAACATGTGCGTGAGTGTAAGCAAAAAAGAGAGAAAAAAAAAAACGGAAAAGAATTTCTACTCACGTGCAAACAACATGTTAGGGCTATAGCCCTGACACCAAAAGTGATTTGACACACGCGCGCGTGTGTGTGAATTTAAAATGGTGCACCTCCGAAATAAGAATTAATTTTGCGTCACTATAATAATAAACAATAACAGATATCATTCGTTTTATCAAGTGGCACCAATGCTGATTACATTGTGCAAACCAACCATTCACTATCTTCGGTATAGTCAGAGTCTACGATGTCTATCGACCAGTGGTCGATTATCAGAAGCATTTGAAACTATTGATATCAATTTTGGAATAGTTCACAAAAAAAGCAGCAAAAGAAGTGAAAATGTAAAGATAGAAAACTTTAACAATACTTCTCGAATAAAACATTTAGATCGTCGATTTAACATATTGAATGGATCACATCGAAGAATACTTGATTTGGGTTATGTGCCAGGAAACTGGATAACTTATATTCGTAATCGTATGGCTAAGATTCATAATATTGATCCCGATAAAGTAAATAAGAAATGTCATATTTTAGGATTTGATTTCATGTTTGGAGCTCCACCAGCTGGTGTATCAGCAATTCAAGGAAACATATTTTCTAAATCTGCACAATCACTTATAATTGATTATTTCAAAGAGGCAGCATGGATGGAATTAAAACATAAACTGATACTTCAAGAAGATGAATTAAATCCAAGAAGTTATTTTTCAAAAGAACAAGATGAAGAAGTATTTATAAATGAAATTAGAGAGATTGAATTAGGTTTGAATCATTATAGTACATCACCAGAAAAGATTAATGAATTGACTAAAAAGAGAGATTTATTACTTCCAGATTATAGAATAGATTTGGTATTTCAAGATCTTGGTAAACCGGGATATCAAAACTTTGGGTTTTATAGTAATTCAGTTTCTATGCCATATATCAAATATAGTCATTATGAAAGTTTGAATTTTGCTTTTGAGAATCCAAATAAAGCTAATTTTGATTTCTTAGATGCATCGTTGATCTTAAATTGTAAACTTTTAAAACCAGGTGGAAAATTCGTGGTTAGAATGAATGAAGTTGATCCTAATGATAAAGAATTTGAATTAGTTAGAGAAAAATTATTAAAAATCTTTAATTCTGTGTTGGAGGTCAATAATTATGCTACTGACAATGATAAATCATTAGTACAATCCTTTGAAAAGTACTTTATCTGTGATTCAAAGAAAGATGATCATGAATATGATCCATATGAATTGTTTGCATGGCAGGCACCACCTGAACCTGTACCTGTACCTATACCCGAAGCAGAGACAACAAACGAAAACAACGAACAACAACAATAATAATAATAATAATAATAATAATAATAATAATAATAATAATAATAATAATAATAATAATAATAATAATAATAATAATAGAATTTATTTATTACTTAATATACACTTCCGTTTTGCAATTTTTTTTTCTTTCAATTTATTCATTCAGTCTTTTTGAAAACAAAGAAAACTAAACTTCTGTTGTTAATTGGAGAACATCAATATCGTCTCCCTCTAAATATCCTTTTCTTCAACTTCGTCATCTTGTTCAATTTCAGCCTCTACTTCTTCAACTTCTTCTTGTTGTACTTCTGAAGCACCAGCTTCATCTTCTTGTTTTTCATCTTCTTGTTCTTTTTCTTCTTCTTGGTGGCCGTTGTTTTCAAGGTCAATCAATGGAGCACCGGTTCCGTTTGTCTTCAATTCACTAAAGCTATCAATTAATCTATCAGCAACTTTACCCTTGTTCTTTTTGTGTAAAGTTTGTTTCCATAATGCAATACCTTCACTCAATTTTTCGGCTTCAACTCCATAATTCTTACCAAAGATAACAGCTTCAGTATATCTTTCGCTTTTAATTAATAAATCAAAACATTTAGTGACATCTCCAACTAACCACCAAGATTGCCATGCTATGTTGTATCTACCTTTGGTTTCACATTCTTCAGCCAATTTTATCAATTCAGCTTTGTTTTGTGATGATGATAATAGTAACAACAAGGATGGGTAATCTTTAGCTAACCAGAAACTCTCTTGTGCTAATTTTATATTCCATTTAGACAATGCCAAATCACCTAATTTCTTCCATTTACCAGAATTGGCTAAAGCTAATGATGCATTTTCTTTATCTTGAGCTGATAATAAACTGTAAGCTTGTTTCAAGTTACCAGTAGATAATGAAAGTTGGAATTTGGAGTCGAAATCTTGTGACAAGGCAAAGGATAAAGACAAGTAGCCTAATTTTTCAAAGAATCTTGATAATTGATTCAATTCAGTTTTGCTGAAACTGGAAATCAAGTTTGAATATTCATCTGAGACATTTTCCAATGTAATTGAAGACAAATCCACTGTTTCTTCACCAGTTTCTTCGTCGACATGGTTTTGAGTAGCAAATTGTTCCAAATCACCTCTCATCACCAATGTCTGCAATTCTAATACTTCAGCATTGACATACCATGAAATGACATCAAAAGATTTGTCGATAAGATACAATTTACCATCACTGGCTTTGTATCCGATGATGTAGAATTTACGATCAAAATGACCCAAGTTAATGACTTCACCACCCACAAAGTAGTTCAATCTGTTGGTTGTACCAGTGGTGTAAACAAAGACATCTCCAATGAATTTACCAGACAAAATAGCTTCAGATGTTGGCAAAGTATATAAAACATCAAATGAACTTTCGGCACCTTCTTCTGGATCCAATTCACCATTAGCCAAAGCTTCTTCAAACAATTCATTGTTATAACTCAAAAAGTATGTTTCATTGTTCTTCTTAGCCCCAACAGTGCTGCTGACTTCACCCAAGTTTGAAGTTGTAACAATAGCTAATAATTCACCATTATCTGACCAGACAACTTCAGCAATATCGTCATCCAAGTCAACTCTTCTGACCAATTTCCCATGTTCCCAATCGTAGAATGAAATACAACCTTCCAGTTTAACCCCCAATAAAGCACCAGTGAAAATCTTATCAGCTTGGTAGATCAAATCAAGGGTCAAATATTCTTGGAAGTTTTTGTAGATTTTAACACTAACTGAACTTTCACGGATAGCGAACGAACAGGCAGCAGAAGAATCATGACTATTCCAGACAAAGTCCAATGCACTACCATAACTCTTGGATCTCCATGCCAAAGCAGTGTATACAATATATTCACCATCACCACAAACGGCAGCATATCTACCATTTGGTGAATGACTCAAAGTTTGTGGAAATATTTCAATAGAACCCAAGTCTCTTTGTTGTAAACTCAATGATTCACCATCTTTCAATCCTTCAGAACTTGTTGGTTTGATAACAGATTGGTAAACTTCGGAGTTCTTGGCATAAATCAATTTATTATTTGAATCCATAGAAAACAATGGTTCCTCGTTACCCAATTTAATGATCACAAAACCAGAGTCAAAACCAGCGGCAATGACGTTGGACTTTGGTAAAATACCAATACACCAAGCTCTTTCCAAACTGTAGTTTATGGATTTTTCTAACTTAAAAGTGTTTGAATTCCAGAATCTGATAGTTCCATCTTCAGAACCAGAGACAATGATTGGCAATTCAGGATGGAAAATGGCAAATGAAACATTAGATAAATGTCCTTCCAATGTGGCAACACATGATTTGGTTTGATAATCCCAGACTTTGATGGTTTTGTCATCAGATGAAGTGATTAAATATGGTTTGTCTGCTTGTGGGTAGTAGTCGACATAATTGACACCTTTAGCTTCGTGAGCAATCAAGGTGAAGTTTGGTTGGGATGAACCCAAAGACCAGATTTTGACGGTTCTATCTAAACAAGCAGAAGCAAAAGTGTTTGGATCCTTAGGATTGAAATTTACACTCATGACATAGTGTTGATGTCCTTCAAAAGTTTGTTCCAACTTCCAGTTATAATCCCAATTCCATAATTTAATAGTTAAATCATCACTTGAAGTCAAAATATATGGTTTAGATGGATGCACGGCAATACTTCTGATATAATCTGGATGGGCTTCAAATTGAGTGACTTTTTCACCAGTATTATAGTTATAAACCCTAATTTGGAAATCATCAGATCCAACAACAATCCAATTCTTACGAGCAATGAACTTACCAGTACGTACTGGCATTTCAGTGACTTGTATAGATTTAACTAAAGAATTGGTTGCGTATGACCAAATTTCAATTTTACCATTGTACAATGTTGTCAAAATCCATGGCTCTGTTGGGTGGAAATCAATTCCTTTTACTCTATCTGAACGAGTCGAGAATTGTTTAACAACATCCAATTTCATCTTTGTTTATATGTGAATTTCTTGATTCGATGATTAATGAAAATATGGATGGTTGTGGTTTTGTTTATAAATCAAATAACAATAAAAAGGAAAAACCTCTGTCAAATCAACTTTCGTTGGGAAACTTTACCTATGTGTTGTTGATTTTTTTTTTCCTTCATTTTTTCAGTGAACAGACAATCCGAACGAAAACCAAATTTAGTGAGAGAGCAGGAAAAAAAAAAGTGAAAGCTGTTAACGTGTTAATTCAGATTCGCACAGTATACACGACTATCTATCTATCTATGCTAAAAACATACTAGAACACCTTTTCAACATTAGATCTGTTTTCTTCTCTGAAATCCTTTTCCATGGCATCTAATTCGTTAATATACAGAATCCAGGATTCATTAAATGTCTTGTTGGAAAACTTCTGTTTTACGAGTTGTTGGTCATTTTGACGCATCTTAATTAGTTTTGCATCACTAATGAAAGATCTATCAACGACAAATATTTCAGTTAACAAGGATGCAAATGTCGGATAATTGATGATGTGTCCATTTAATTCATAGGCAACAAATCCATTGATAACCTTCTCCTGAAGACTTTTGTCCAAATCAGGGTCATTGTAGCTTTTGAAGAAAAATCCTGTTTCTGAGTTCCAATTGTCCAATTGGTCATTACCAACTATATCTAACAATGGACCAGCGGATGCATGAACTATTGGAATACACCCTCTTGCCATATATTCAACCACACCAATTCCAAAATGTTCATTCCACATAGCATTAAGACCAAATTTACAGGTGGACAATAGCTCAACCACTTCGTCATAGGAGATATCAACTCTGAATGTAACAAACTCGGTCAATTCCAAATCATCAACTTGCTTCTGTAAAGACTTTAAGGTAGCTGTGTCATCTGCAGTACGACACGATCCAGCATAAACAATGGTTGGGATTTCTTCAGTAGGTTTTGTTACTCCTGGATAGTTCTTCTTCAAGAAAGATCCATATTCCAGCAATAACAAATCATGGCGTTTTTCTGAACGAAATTGGGCTAAGTATAACATTTTGTTTTCTCTGGGTTTGGTCACATCAATGTTTGCAGTCAAGTATTCGGTACCACATGGTGGGTATAGGATTTCTAATTTGTGACCAAAAGCTGGATTGAAAGTCCAGATTCTTGTCAAGTGTTCATACGTCCAGCTTCCATTAGCTAAAGCAATGTTTACTTTGGTTCCAAGAAATACATAAAAGTAGTACAACAAAGACCAATAAACAAGTTTTCCAAATGACAAGTAATCTCTAACCCTGATAATACTGAACTTCTTCAAATCAGCAAACCTTTGAAATTTTAATTTACCAAACATATCCAGCTGTAAAATGGGATAGTGAGTATAGGCCATAATTGGAATTTTTAAAGAAGTAGATACCAACAAGTAGCTACTTGGTAAACCTTGGGTATCTATCCATACATCAGGAGCTAATTCAAATATAGCTTCGAAAGTTAACAAGGCAGTACCGAACAATTGACCAATTAACGTGAAATGTTTCCAGTATGCACCATCAATCAAACGATTGAATCTTCTCAAATAGATAAAAACAATTCTAGAGTGATCTAAACCATCAATTTGAAACTTGTTTTCTGCTTTGTTTAAGATATCCAATGGTTCTGCTTCAATGTTAGTGGTGTATATGGCACAGATATTTTTATCATCAGCCAATAATGTTGCCTTTATAGCCTGCCATAATACACGTTCACCTCCGCCACCATTGTTTGCATACGGATGGAAAAACCCGTAAATCACCCTACGTTTAGGATCGTGGGCATCCCTTCTTCTCATTTCATTCAAGAAATTTTCTCCATCTTTGGAATCCTCAGGATTGATTTTCAACTTGTTATTTCTAAAATTTGTGTAAAATGATGGATTTTTGCTAGCAAGTATCAATCGTCTTCTATAACTTGATCTCTTGGTCCCAACTTCCAAATAAATCGGTTTGGGATATTCAATTACTTTGGTGATTTTTTCCTTCCAAGATTGACTTGGAACCAACAAATGATGTGGTAAGACAGCTGTAAATAACTTGTACGTCAAGTAAACAACCGACACCACAAATATTATAAAATACATTGATTTGAGAGTGGTGAATGTTTATGAAAAAAAAGAAGTATACCTTTTCTGAATTATAACACTGATAAGAAATATTTCACTCGCAATCGATCTCTCGGTCAACTCCTTCGTCTGAAAAATAAAGCAGAATTTCCGTCAGCAAGTCGTGCACCTGGAGTACAGAGAATTTAATCGATGCAAAAAAATTTTCAAAATTAGGCAAGCATGTATGGCTATCTCAAAGCAAGCTTAAGCTGGCTATCGAGTGATAATCAGAGTAATGGTGGCCATTCATAACCATCATAACCGAAGACAGGTACAGTTTTGTAAGAAAAGACTTAACATTACAGAATCTGAATCGTTGTGGATAGTTACACTTATAATTTCTATAACCTAACACTCTAATGATACTCAATTGCAACATCTATCATGAGTAGTATGCTGAATTTAACTTGAAACCGATAAATTAATAGGTTTCATACGACAAGTATCAAAATAATACGATATGAATTGTGTGCAGTATATCACGTGTATCATATCCAACTCATCACCTTTCCTAAAACGGACAAATTATCGAAACAAAAGAAATCACAAAAAAAAAAAAATAATATACTTGACGCGATTAATTTAGCAAAGGAGAAGAATGCTTAACTAAAAAAGAAAAAGAGAGAGAGAGAGAGGTAGGAAAAAAAAAATTCTCTCCTTTCAATTGTAACCCACGTCTCCTTTCAACAAAAATCAAATAAAGAACTCCCATTTCACATTTGTGGAAATCTTTTTCTTTTTTAGATTTCATTTCTTTTTGGTTTTTGGTTATATATATATATTCATTCTTCTATTTGAGGTATATATTTATGTATTCAACGGATAATTACTCATCACTCAATATGTCATCAGTCATAATTAATAATGGTCAACCTAAAGTCAAGACTCCTCTTAAAAAGGAAGAATTGGAGCAAATTGCTCGTCAATTAAAGAAGAAACTTTCAAAAGCAAGCATAACTGCAAAACAGTCATTATCACCAACAAATGTCAAAACCACACCAATGTCATTACCAAAATCTTCACCATTGAAGAGCTATATCATGAAGAAAAATGCCAGTGCACACAATCTTCACAATGGTTCTCCCATCAACAATATGGATAACTTGAACTCGTCCCCGATAAACTTATATTCACCAAATGGTAAGTCACCAACACATATAAGGACACCAGCGGCAGCCTTCTTATCTTCTTCCCCACTAAAAAATATTGCACATCATGACGCGGATGACATGCTAGATTCACCAACTAAAAAGAGGAAGACATCGCCAAATAAAATGGTTTTGCAAGAAATTACACCAGAAAGAAATGCACCACCAACGGCAACCAAGAATACCCTTAAACCATCCTTAGAGTTGGAAAGCACACCTACAAAGAAAGGTTCTAGATCACCAACAAAGGAAGAGCAAACAACTCCAACTTTACCAAAGAGAGAATTGTCAACCTCACAGAATGCTCTTTTGAAAACTCCTAAACAATCATCCAATAGCAATGGTTTCAACGATGCTGAAGGTGCTGATTTATTAATGTTCTTAGCCACCTCTCCTTCTCCAGCAAGAGCATTCTATGGAAACACACCGCGTTCCGTCAGCAAACCTCTCCCGTCCATTCAACAACATTCCCCATCCCAATCATCTCAACAACAGCAACCATCATCACAATCACAGCCATCACAACAGCAACAACAAACTTCTCAACCTGTTCCTCCAGTATTGTCTGTATCACAACCAAATTCGCAGTCTTCTAATTCGGGCGCTTCGGCGTTCATTGCTCCACCTCCACCGGTAACTCCAAAGAGAGTAATAACGAGTCTGAACACAAGAACACCACAAAACAGATTGACTCCATTCTTCAGTTCTTTAAATGGTGGCCTTCCATCTCAAGGGTTAGCTTTAACTCCTACGAGTTTTAACATGAATGATTATGTGACATTCTTCACACCATCACCAGGAGGTGCATTCAATAAGAACCTTTTGAAAACACCTGATTTCCATACTTCTTCACAGAAAAAGTAGACACATTCACACTGTATATTAGATTAATGTAATGTATATCTAGCACTGGCTTTATTCTGATTCTCAATTAATAATCTCTGATTTGTGTTTAAAAACAACTTCATAATTGTCTGATCTCATTATCCTCCTCACGCTTGACTTTATTTGATCCAAGTTATCTTTTCCTCCTAGTAATGTAAGTTTAAATTCATCTATGGACCTTGCTTCATAATTCAAAAAATCATTTATGTTGACAATTGTACCGAGAGAAATATCCAACACCTTGACGACTTCTAAATCCTCAGCAATGAAATTCCAATTCGTGACTCTCGAACCAGCAACAGGATATGAAAATGTAAATTTTCTAACATTTGTCAAATCTAAAACTTGAGCAATTATATCTCCAGAATAAGTCAATTTTGTAGATTTAATAATCACTTTTAAAATACTTGGATGCAAGTATCTTAATCCCTCCATATCTTTATTCATATCATCGTGTAATTCAATTGTCAAATCAATTATATTTTCAATCTCTCTTTGTTTAAGATATTGATAATCTTTTAGTAACAATTGTTGAGATCCCCATATCTTTTTCACCATATCTTGTCTTATTTCAAGATTCTCCGTACTAGAAATGTCATCTTTGAAAATTATAACCCGACCATTACCTCTAAATCTGATAACATAAGGATGTAATGCTAGTATAATATGTAAATTGGGATCAATTGACCAAATTCTTAATAATGGAGCCAAACATAATTTTTGTAATTCCACATATTCAATCAAATTTGATAACAAGAATTCACGATTTATAATTCGAAAATTCTTTCTATCGTCAAGGGTTGGTTCAATGTTTGATATATTAATATATATATTATCGAAATATTCATGTTCTTTACAACTAAAGTTACCACATAATATATACTTGCAGTAATTTTCATTATCGAAACTTGATAAAACCAAGGACAAATCTTTTGGGGAGAAATATCTGGACTTGAATTGTTTTGCAATAGATTCAATACAATGTTGTGGAAGATTTAATAAGTTAGTCATATTATGTTTATGATATGAATAGTAAAAGGAGAAAGACATAATTAAATTCTTTATGGGAGAAATGATAATCAACGAATTGCACAACAAATTTAAGGGATGAAAACTAGAAACATAATTAGGTTTTATCAAAGTATTTACAATATGTTTAAAATAGAGTATGCTTATGAAGAAAGGACGGAAATTTAAAACTTTAATATCGGCTTGAACTCAACTTTATATTTTAATTATCATTATTCATTTAGGGGCAACAAACCCGACTGCAAAATAAAAGAAGGAAAAAACAAAAAAGCAAAACAACAAGAGCCAGAGACCTTCAATAGGAAGTGGCTCACGACTTTGTACATGTATATGTCTTTTTTGGTGTATAATAGTAACAACACAGCAAGCATCATCAGCTAAAGCTGGTTGCAAGGAACTCAAAATGTTCTTTCTGAAAACATGCGTGTCCAAGTAATCAAAACGAGTACTCCCAAATAATGTTAAATTATAGCTGGAGATTGACTTCTTTCGACTGGGGACAAAATCTGGGAGAACAATAAATCCAAGATCAATGTTAAATTCTCTAACTCTTTTTAATTCTTCGTATATAGCATTCCAACCTGAAATGGTGAAATCATATCTGGTACATTCTAATTTGAATTTCACCACATTTGCTAAATCTATAGCTGTTGTAATTTGGTATCCACAATAGACCCTCTTTCTAGATTCAATAGCAATAGTTAGGATTTCTGGCTTCAAAGGATAAAATAAATGATAGTAATTAGTTGTATCATCCATTATAAATTTCAAATTTTTAATATATTTGACATCATGTTGTTTGAAATATCGAGAATTAGAATATAGGAATTTAGAATTCCGTTCCCACCTGAACAATTCCAATTTTTTGTAATCTTCAGTCGATAATCTACTAATGATTTCATTTTTGTAATCATTAAATGTTCTCTCATTTGTTACAGATAAATCTAGTGGTATTATTAAATCAGGGACACCTGTCCACACTCTAATAAGAGGTGTTGGAATTGACAGGAAATTGAAATTACTTGACAATACTATAGACTCCGCAAAATATTTATCAACAATTCTATAATTCTTATTTTCTGTCAAAGAAATGTCCCTGGAGAAAACATTAATATAAAGACAATCAAAATGATTGGGATTACAAGCAATGAACATTCCTCCTAAAATATAACGACAATAGTTCTCAGTACTAAGATACAGTAACGCGTGTGGTAAAACATCCCTTGGAATATAATAAGATGGTACATGTACCACAATCTTTTCAATGATTTCTGGTGGTAAATCAAATAAGCAAGTCATTTTGATTAAGAAGGCATACTCAAGCTAGGATATATCCCGCCCTTGGATTGCACTCTTATATACCTGTATTTTTAGGGATATCTCCTATTTATAAAGAAGTACTGGAAACTATATAAAACTATACAAAACTATTACTGAAAGTCAGAATATAGTTTTTGAGAGTATACTCAAATTAATTAAATCTAAAATTTTAACTTCACACACTAACCCAGTTTGTGTTCTTAAACTTAATTTCATACAACCCTTTGCGTTAAATAACCTTTTGAATAGACGTGATATAGGTTTTGCGTCTTCCTTGTTTTTACATCCAAACAAGTTCACTTTGAATACTGAAATTGAATTTGATTTATACCTAAAGAAACAAGAGATATCCTTAATCAACCGAATCAATATATCTGCTTCATTTATATTTTCCAATTGTGTTGTTAAATTAATTGAACCAATATAACAACTTTGTTTGGGATATGAAAGTTTGAATTACTCAACAGTTTTAAAATTCCACACTTTGGTGATTAATTTACCAAAGAGTTGAGATTTGTTGAAAGTTATGTGATTATCAAGTACTCGTGGATAAAGTTAACTAGACCGTCTTTCTATTTTGTAAAATTATCATCCAAAGTAATAATCAAGTTTTGAATAAGTTGAATATCAACTTTAGTGAAATACTTGTAGTCTTTTACAGGTTTAAAGGAATCACACAAAAAATCATAGACTGAATCAACATCCGTGTCTTTGAATGTAGCAAAAACAAACCGAATCCATGATATCATGACAACTGGTTTAATTTATAGAAAAATTGTATTTCTATTTGATCGTATATCTTGATTATAATCAAAGTGATCAATTACATGGTAAGAATAAAACCTTCTTTATGAAATACACTTTGATGATTTTGAATTAGAAATAAATGTTAAGTTTTCAATTGTTTTGAGTTTTGTTATGTCTATCAGATGCCCATGAACCTTTAACAGAATGATAAAACCTTAAACCTAATATCAAAACTGTCTCGTCTGATAATTTACAGGCTGCAAAACAGAAAAACAAAAAATTGTATCGGATAAGGCATTGCTTTTTCCGTTCCAATGGTTATGTAATCCACAGTGATAATTCCGAAGACAAGAGCATACGAATTTGTATGGGAAAGGTGGCTAGAAAAACAATAAGATGCGTCTTGCGCTTTTCTCTTTTTCTTCCAACGGTTTTCTTTTCCGGATTTCTGGTTTTCTTTTTCTTTTTCCAATTGCGTCGTTTTCCCGATGGATTTTTGCTTTGTTAGTCCGAACGATGACATCTTCTTCTTTTTTTCTTGTCGTACGGCCCCAAAAATAAGAAAATCATGCGACGTAGTTAGGTCGAGGTCGTACCAAGAAGAGAAGAAATTTAACCTATGGTTTTTTTCCTTTCCCGCCTAAGAATTGCTTGCATCTCCTCTTGCATTTTTATTATATTTTTCTTTTTAGTTAAACGATTTTTTATCTTTTCTTATTTAAAGTATATTTTTTCACTCTACAATTATACAACCATGTCATTTGATGATAAAAAAGGATTACAAATTGCTTTAGAACAAGCTCAAAAAGGTATGTTTTCCATTCTCTGCATTATGTTATATTTTATACAAGAACAATATCTAACATTTCTTATTGTTAAGGTTACTCTGAAGGAGGTATTCCAATAGGTTCATGTATCATTAGTTCAGATGGTAAAGTCTTGGGTAAAGGACATAATGAAAGAATCCAAAAAGGTTCAGCTATTTTACACGGAGAAATGTCTGCTTTAGAAGATGCCGGTAGATTACCAGGTAAAGCTTATAAAGACTGTACTATTTACACCACATTATCCCCATGTAATATGTGTACTGGTGCTATTTTATTATATGGTATTAAAAGAGTCGTCATGGGTGAAAATGTCAACTTCCAAGGTGCTGAAGATTTATTAAGAGCTAATGGAGTTGAAGTTATTAATTTGGATGATAATGATTGTAAAGAAATCATGAGTAAATTCATTAAAGAAAGACCAACTGATTGGAATGAAGATATTGGAGAATAGACATGTTACTAAAAAGGTCAATATTGTATCTGTCAATAGATTGTAAATAGTACACATGAAGGATAATGTATTTGTAGGAGTTTTATATGCTGATGATGATGATGAAGAAGAAAAAATAAAACTGTAAGTTTTCGAAAAACTTTACGAAGATTTTAGGTAATCAAAAAGAAATGAAAAGAGCAAGGGAAGATGATACTCGACAAGATGACATAATCACTACACAGAAAATATATTGCAATTTTCCCCCATGTATACAACTAGAGTTTACTAATTATCAAGAATATGAAAGTCATGTGGTATCGACTCATGATTATATTTGTGAATCTTGTCAGAAACCATTTCCCAATCAGCATTTCCTACTACTACATATAGATGAACATCATAATCCGCTACTACAGATAAAACGAGATCGAGGAGATCGAACTTATGGTTGTTTCAATGAAACATGTCAGGAAACATTCTTAAATCCTAATGATAGACAAACCCATCTTATTGAAATACATAATTATCCTAAAGACTATCCCTTTGATATTATAAATAATGGTATATGACCGCTGGATAGCAACTAACTAGGAGTGGGTGTTGCAGAGGTTCCATTGTCGAGTTTTCTCTTCTTCTTGGAAATTACCTGTGGTTCTCTAATCAATTCATTGATGATTTTTTTATCAAATGCAGAATCACAAGCCGGACATTTCCCATTATCAGGTAATTTTGACATAATACATAAACAAACTGAACAAACATATCCTAAATCGACAGACTTACCAGTCAAGAAACAGCTGGCTCTATAATTAACATTTGAATTTGTTGGCAAAATAATATAAGGTCTTAAATTTGGTTCAATGAAAAATGCTGTAGATAAAACTTGAATAATCCCCTTAGGATCTTCAATATGTAAATAAACTCCTCTAGTGGCATCTGAAGCTTGTTGTAAATATGATGAATTCTTGTGTCCCAATTTCGCCACGTCTATAGATACTTTCATCTTCTGGGCAGCAAAAATACAATTCATCAATGGGATATATTTGATATCGTCGTCATCATTAGCTGATACAATCAACACACGTGACTTTATGCCCGTTGTAGATACAGATGCTGAGCCCGAACTTGAAGTGTTGTTATTTGATGTACTTTCTAAAGTCGATGTTGTCATGGCGGATGCTGTTGTGGTTGTAATCGTTTGATCTAATGTTAACATTCTATTAGTGTAAGTTAAGGCCATACTTAGAGCTCCTGTTAATGTATTAGTTGTTCTTCTTCTTCTTCCATTTTCTTCTTCTTCTTCTGGAGTTGCCATAACTTCTTCGATAAATTTGTTCAATTGATGTAATACTGACTGATCAACCATTTTGAATTGTCGATACATTCCTGGGAATTGACCACCAAAATCCTCTGTGGTGTTATTTCCATTTGTTGTTAGGTCAGGGTATAAAAATTTGGAACCTTTAGATGAACTGACAATAAATGCAACCTGATTACTGTTGTTTAATGAAAGATGTCCATTTAAAAATACCAACAAAGATTTGGTGATGTCTTGGATGGAAATCAAGTCTTTAATATTGAACCATCCCTTAAGGGAAAGATCTAGTATGATTGTCAATAATGATGGATCATCGTTACCTGATTCTATGCTTCCTGTATTGTCGTTAAATAGTCTATCTGAAATTTCTTCCATTATTGGTAGTTATTAATGAATGTAAGTTGCTTTTTCAATTGGTTGGATTTTTCTTCATTCTCGTTTTTTCTTCAATTATTTGCTCTAAAATTCTACGAAAAAAACACCACTGTATAAGATCACGAACGTCTTTCAATAACTCAAGTGAAAAACTCACCACTCATCTCAATAGATCACGATTATGTTTAGTTTAAGTTGAAAATAGCTTTACGTTCATTGAATCTTTATCTTTTGATATAAAAAAGTATTAAATTAATAACATTATATAATATACAAAATACAGGAGACAAACACGCTTAGGCAACCAAAGCAGAAGCAGTGGCAGATTCGTATTTCCAATTTGGTGGCAAGACAGCGACGGTTCTGTAGTATCTAGCCAATCTGTGGATTCTAGATTCGATCAAAATCAATCTGAATTTAGAGTCCTTGTCTTTTCTGTTTCTTTCCAAGTGCTTTCTGACGGAAACAGCTTTCTTGATCAAGTAGTACAAATCTTCTGGAATTTCTGGAGCCAAACCGTTGGATTTCAAAATTCTCATGATTTTGTTACCAGTGACAACTTTAGTTTGGGAAACACCGTGAGCATCTCTCAAGATAACACCAATTTGAGATGGAGTCAAACCTTTTCTGGCGTACTTGATAACTTGTTCAACAACTTCATCAGAAGATAATTTGAACCAAGATGGAGCGTTTCTTGAGTATGGAAGAGCGGAGGAGGAAATACCTTTACCCTAAAACAAAAGAAGAGCTAATTGTTAGTAATTTGAATCACATCAAGAATAAAAACTTCCAAACAAAAAAATATAAAAAGTTACCACCAATTAGAGCACACCAGAACATACAAGAACAATAGTTGGCCATAAATACGGGCAGGTAATTGTTCAAGTACTTTTAGAAAAGTCATTTAACCATAAAATGAAACAATAATCAAACAAAAGAATCATCTTCATGTTGATATATAGTTATCAAATTATGTCTGGCAATATCAAACGAGAATATCAGATACCTAAAGCGTATATAGTAACAATTCTAAGTCTGTAATGTCGACCGTAGGTGAATCGTTTACTTTAAGCAAGACCTTGTCGTTGATAAAGCCAAGTATACTTTCTATTCATGGAGTGAAATGGTGGTAGTTGATGTGGTTGAATGGGTTTCTAAATGTAGTAGAACATACAGATGAATGCATACGACCCATGATGACTGATTTGTTTCTTTAGTTAGTTATGAAAAGAAAGAAAAAGAAAAAGAGTAAGAATTATGAAATGTAAGATGAAAATTTTTTTTCTTTTTAAACTGAGAACATGAGAGATGAAAGAGAGAGAAAAAAAATTTCACTGGAAAATTACTGATTTGGTGCACGACCTCATTTGAGAAATTTTCATTCCAGAGTATATGCAGGAATTTATTCAACAAGGAGAAAGAGGAGCATCAGCTGTGGGATAACTGATTCATAGTTTGGAGTAACACACATGTTAAAGGTGTATCACAGTGAATATCTGGTATTAAAAAGTTAAATAAGTCTATAATTAACTATTTGCTTAGATCAATTGTTCTTTTAAGTCCTCAAAATCTTCTTCTTCTTCAAGTTTAATCAACCTAGTAACATAGTTAGTAATGAAATTCAATTGTAATCACTCTTATTGTAAGGAATACATACTTTGAAACTCCAGCTTTATCTCTGAATTGCTCTACTGCACCAGCATAAAGCATTCTACTTTCTTGTCCACTAGTTGGTGGGATCCAATATAACATAACTAAAGGGTATTTCATTCTTCCATCATTCAACTTGAAAGGATATGACAAGATAATGAATCTTGGAGTGGTATCTGGTAATTCTTCTATCAATTCCTCGATTGATTCAATAATTTCATCATCTGGTTTCACTTCATAAGTTTTCTTATCGATTGTGTCTAATGCATGATTGTTAATACGACTTTCTTGTCCAATTAATTGTCTAATGTGCAACTTAATTTACAATACATACAGATAACAGCTTGTGGAGTATCCTTTCTAGCACTTTCAAATCTGAATTTCTTCAATTGAGATAATGTCTCTGAAGAGAATGAATATAAAGATGAAGACTGGTTGAGTTAGTAATCTTGTTTGTAAATTGGATTTTACACATTGTGTGTAATCTTGGTCATACCATTGGTCAGCTATAGTGAGGGTGGGTGTGGGGGAAACGGTTGTTATCTCTTGTGCTGATGGTGTTAATGGATCAAACGGGGGGGGGTTGTCGACATATCAGCGTTCTTATCCTTTTTTTTGTTAGTTTTCCTTGTTTGCTCCAGTTGAGTGAGATTACAGTTGAAACGACGGAACAGGTGATTTTGTCCCACATTTTAATTGAAATCGTGTGCATGCGTGCATTCAACAACAATTTTGTTTCCAATTAGGAAAATCAAAACATAAACAAAGCAAAATCTCATCCACTTGTGTACAAAGAAAATTTCAATACTTAAAAAGAAACACAACGCTTAGCAAATAAAAAAAAAAAGAAAAATACAACAACAATAACAACAGTGTCAAATTTATCCAGAAGTGTGTTTTCTTTATCATATCAGCTTGATTTCTATTCTCAATTCCCAAATATTTATAAAGTCATCATTGTTCGCCAGATAGAAAGTACTCCTCGTGAATCAGTTTTGTTTGTTTTTTCTTTTTTTTTTATTTAACTACACTTTTAAAATAAATCAATCCAATGCGTAAATCAAAAGTTGATGTTCCACTTATAGAATTCCTTAAAAGTATGTATACCCTTCGTTAATGATTTCATAGTCTACATCATTGTCATTATCATTTACTAACACTTTATTTTACAGATAGAATCTATCTTGGTGCCTATGATGTTCCACGTCGAGACACAGACGATTTAGTTTATTTCACTGTTGAAGATGCATTACCATATAATGCTTTTCATTTAGATTTCGGTCCTTTGAATATTGGTCTTTTATACAGATTTGCTGTTCTTTTACATAATGTTTTAAATGATGAAGATAACAAAGGTAAAGGGTTAGTTCTTTATAGCTCTACTGATCCTAAACAAAGAGCCAATACTGCATGTTTGTTATGTTGTTATATGATCTTGATTCAAAACTGGGCACCACATCAAGTCTTGCAACCAATTGCTCAAATTAATCCTCCATTACAAGCATTCAGAGATGCAGGATACAGTTCTGCTGATTATGAGATCACCATTCAAGATATTGTTTATGCCATGTGGAGAGCCAAGGAAAGAGGCATGATTGATTTGACTACTTTTGATCTTGAAGAATATGAACAATACGAAAGAGTTGATCAAGGTGATTTCAACGTAATTTCAAAAGATTTCATTGCATTTGCATCCCCACAACAAAGTAAGAGAGGTGGTATTAATGAACCTTTCCAGAAAGTGTTGGACTACTTCATCGAACACGATGTTCAATTGGTTGTTCGATTAAATTCCCATTTGTATGATGCTAAAGAATTCACAAAAAGAAATATTAAACACATTGATATGATATTCGAAGATGGGACTTGTCCAACTTTAGAATATGTGCAAAAATTTATCGGTGCTGCCGAGTGTATCATCAACAAAGGTGGGAAAATAGCAGTTCATTGTAAAGCAGGATTGGGAAGAACTGGATGTTTGATTGGTGCCCATCTCATATACACACATGGATTTACTGCTAATGAATGTATTGCTTACATGCGTATGGTTAGACCTGGTATGGTAGTGGGTCCACAACAACATTGGCTTTACTTGCATCAAGATGATTTTAGAAGTTGGAGACATACAATGATTGTTGACAATAGACCAGACGAATTTATTGGTAATTTATTCCCATTGTGTTCATATGAAGAGTACAAACAAAGAATAAGAGATGCAAGAAGAAGAGAAAGATTACAATTGCAACAACAAATGACTTCTCCATTTGGCGACTCATCCGTTACTAATACTCCAATAAGAAGAAGAAAAATCAGTGGTGCATTGGCATCTAAAATCCAAACAGTTGTGCCAATGGAATCACCTGGACAACCAAGAAAATACCTTGAACAGTCTGATGATGAAGATATCGATAATGGTGAAAATGCCATACAAGAAATTGAAATGGCCAATAACTCCGATGATGAAAATACCATGCAAGATATTATTCAAAGCTCGCCAGCAAGATATAATTCAGTTACTCCTAACCGAAAAGAAAGTTCTGATTGGAGAGTATTGCGTTCGATATCTACTAATAGCGTAACTGGACAACAACCTATTCATGTGATTAAAACTACAACAACCACCAGAACAGTAACTAGCGAGACTTTATCATCACCACCAGGTTCTTCACCAACTAATTTCTTAAAAGTATGCAAAACAAGGTCAAGAACTAGGGTGGCTTCTGGAGGTAACCCAAATCAAAGAGTACATTCTGGAGGAATCAGAAAACTTAGTGGAAAAAAGCACTAAGTTCAATATTCCACATTAATACCCCATTTATCTTTCAATTTTTATATATATATCCATATCTTTTGTATAATAATAACTAGATTTATTTGTTCTTTTATTCTTTTTTTTTTTTAATAATATAATCGTTACTATGTAAGAACACCTATTTTCAATTCTCCTCAAAGGCAGGTTCTGTAATCACAAATTCATCTTCTGGTCCATAAGCAAATGCAATGATTGAATAATCTTTCAAATTAAACTCACTTATATCATCATCCTCTTTTATTTCTTTCCAATGATTCGAATATGGATCTGACACATCGTTTGGTATAGCAAGTCGTATTTCATTAATATCTAATTCATTACGTTCAGATTTAATTTCATCCATATTGTCTTCTTCGATAATGTCAGATTTTGGAATTTCAATATCTTCTTCATCTAATTCATCCACTACTTCATCAATACTTGATAATCCACCTGATTGTTCAATTATATTAACCAATTGAGTCTTTATATCAATTAAAGTTGATGTTGAATTGATCGTTACAATATATGTGGTTGATTTCTTTTTCAATTTTAAAATTGTAATTATATTATCTGGTGTTTTCTTTGGTGGCTAAAAAAAAATACAAGTTAGTTAGAAGATCTTTACAAGACATTGAAGTTATTTGGTACATACCATGATGATTATAGTTTTGTAGTGTTAGGTACTTGAGTCGGGTTTTTAATTTTTTTTATTTAACTTGCGCGTCTTTCATCTGGTTTATCACCAGAAATGCAGTTTTGAAAATTTTTATGTACGACTATGAGATATATATGCAAAGATCTCTACAGGAATCCAACATATGAATAAACTACTAAAGGATCTCACATCCACAAATGAACATAGAGTTTCAGTATTACAATTATATCGAGAATTATTACGAAAAACAAACAAATTACACCAAAATCAACTACCTTCATCGATAAATCAATATGAATTACAATTTAGTATTAAAGAGAGCTTCCACAAACGATATGGAAGTACACACGACATAACAATTCAATTATTAAAAGGTATAAGATTAAATGAAATTTTGGAATTAAATCAATGGAATGATTTAGAAGAATTAATTAAAGAAGAACGTAGACTATTTTTTGAATATCAAAAACGAAGGGCATCTTATTTAAAAAATAAAGTGAATATTCATGAAAAACAAATAAATAATTTAAGAGGTAAAGCAAAAAGTCAAATATTATCACTGAAGAAAGGTAAACTAAAATATCAAAAACCAGATTTATCAACAGCAAATGGGAAATCACAATTTTTAAAGGATGGCTTGAAGGAATCAAAATTTCATGGTTCTTTAATATTACAGAGATTCATTCATGAATTACAATTGTTAAACAAATTACCGGATCCAAAACTACTACCATATACTCCTGAACGTATTTTCACAACTGGTGATAACCTTGATTCAAGACATATTGTTGGTGGTGTAACGAATCATGCATTAAGTCATTATGATCAAGATATTTTACAAAGTATAATCATTCCTGGATTAGAGTATGAGATAAATAAAAATTACTTGGATGAATTGAGAACTATACTACAAGAAAAAGGTCCTTATGAAGCAGTTATCAAGGAGACAAATTCAGGTATTGTACCATTACCTTATATTATGCAACCAACGAAACACAAAATTGGTCGTGAAGAGTTAGCAGTTTTAGTAAAGAGACAGACGTTTTGTCTTAGAATGATGAAGATTTGGGAAGCAGATAAAGAACTTCCAGAAGAAAATATGCAAAGAGATGGAAGTTATATCATTAAACGAAGTAAAGGCTGGGGAGATCAAGAACTCGTTTATCCAAGACAATATTATCAAAAGTATTGTGACGGAGAAGAATTGTTTGAAGTTTTATTGCAAATTGAAATAAACAAGAATAAGAAAGTGAAAACACCCATTGATTTTGACAAATATTACTGGGGTGAAAGTTTAGATATTTCTTCCCAATATCTACGCCAGGAATATAATAAGACTATAAAAGAATCTCAGATAGATTTATTACCACTTCAACAAGAACTTCAAAAGAAGTATAATGCTGAATATGATAAGAAAGTGGAGAAGTACAACACCTTGTCGATGAATCTTATCAAACATAATGTGTTTAAGCATAGTGAAATTGTATCACCAGTTAATTGCAATACCATTTACAATGGTTTAGAAAAGAGAAGTATTGATAAATTCCCAGTCAAAGATAAGGTTGGTAAAGGAAAATCATTAAGTGATCTCATTACTGAAGTGGGGTTAAAAAGTTACGAATTTGGCAATAAGTTCACCAAACGAGTCACTCAAATCATCAAGCGAATTAGCTACAAATATTAATCATGTAAATACCTAATAGACAAAAAAAAAATTAATGATAGAGTATCAATTCCTTTTTTTTTCCTTTTTTGTTTCATCAAGTGTCTTTTCTATACAACATATCCACCGAAACTTTTATTCGACGTCACATAACCATCGACATTATTCGTCATACTTCGTAACTGCTCTTCATAGTCTTCTTCTTCTTCTTCTTCATCATCTTCTTCAGGAAGTCCATTGGTGTTGCTGTTGTTGTTGTTTTGAATTTCGTGCTCTTGATAGTCACCATGGAAATTTGGTTCTTCTTTCTCGACAATTTCAAAATCCTCTATTAGTTTTATCAATTTGTTTGTTTCTTCATGAAGTTCATTATTCTCCAAATCACTAACAGATAATCCATTCATCATAGCTATCACCTCTGATATTGATTTACCATGTTGTTTTAATTCTTTGTGTTTAGCAATAACTTCTTCCAAACAAGTTATAGAATTCTCATACCAATTCATTCTATCCATCGGGAATGGTGGTATTGTCATGATATCTTTTCTTGAGAAAATAGCTTCATTACTCAATTGGTTCCTGTAAAATATAGAAGCTTGATAATGGTCTTTGCAACAATATTGGGAAAGATATGTGTTGGGTAAAATCATACTTGGTTTCCTGTTGTAAATTTGATATTTTGTTGACGCACCAGGATCGTTAGCTGAAGATGCTTGCGTGAATGCGTTACTATTCATCGACAATCTTCTTACTAAAGATTTCGGAGATTGGTTACACATAATGTATCCACATTCATGTTCAATGTTACGTTCTTCTACCAATTCATCATACAATTCTTGAGTTAAAAATCGACTTAAAAATTTCAACAATGGGAAGTCGACATAATGATCAACTAACAATTCAACTATAATCAATGACAATTTTGAGCATTCTAAAGGAGTTAAAAGTTCGTGGTTATTGAACGGTTCCAAATATGGTAAAAATGATTCTAGGGCAAGTGGTTCCATGGTTTTGTAATTGTTATAAACTGATAATAATTGTTGGGTGTGGTAAGTGAGTAAATAAGTCTCTTGATGTATCTATAATTGCTGCTTGTATCTTGTAATGAAATTTATACGGACAGGGGAAGATAAAAATACTTAGCGGGTGAAAATGAGAGAGAGTGAGAGAGAGAAGAATATGAAATGACCGTAATTTTTTTTTATGGCTGCTTTTTTTTTGTCTCTCTCCTAATTTTCGTATTGTCTGTGCTGCTACTGTTGTTGTTGTTGTTGGTTGCCATCAATAATTTTTTCTTTCTCCCTCTCTCTATGTGTTTACGTCGAACAATGTGAAAGATTTGTTCGTGTGAGTTGTACCGTATTATTTATCAATTACAACGATGTTGTCGCCATGTTTTATATTTTTTTTTCCTCCTCTGTCTCTCTCTTGGTTCGTGTGTGTGTGTGTGTGTGTGTGTGTGTGTGCATATCAGACAACAGAAATTTCATATTACAAAGTGTGTGGCTTGTCAGTAAAGATCTCAATTTCATCTAACACATAGATAACATCAAAAAATTTTTCTACACAGATATACTTGACTGATTGCCCCTTTTTGTATAGTATCATATAATATCTACAATGGCTAAGAAGAGACCTGGAAGTAATGGGAGTGCAAGTAATGGAAGTACAAATGGCAATATTCGGGGTAGAGCCAACAGACCAAGCCTGCTGTCAAAATCGTCTTCCAGCTCTAATAATGAATTGAAAAATAGATCCCGTTCTAGTTCTCGCCATAGAGATACACTCCTGCCTAGCATTTCACGCAAAGGTTCACGACTGAAACTGAGATCAAGAGCCAATTCTGTGTTTAGTTTTATTTTTGACAGGATATCAAGTCCCCACCCAAGAAGAGATGGCATAAAAGGATTCTCACTTTATAGATTGTTATTATTAGAATTGAACCTACTGTCTAATGAACCAGGAAATGAAATTGCCCCACAAAGTGAAGATAATGAAAACTCCTTTGAGACTCTTAAAAATATGCTATACATCCCATACTGTCTAGAAAAGTTTATGATATTTGGTTTATTGGTGTGTTTCAATTCATTCCTTACATTGTTTACGTTGGCACCTTTGAAAATTATGATTATCACTCTTCAACAAGCAGTACAATATATTAAAAATTCAAATGGATTCCAATTTGAAAAATTTAGATTAATCAAGAAGGATGTGATAACCCTTAGTCTTGTTATCTTGTCCATACTAGTACTTTCTACTAAGAAATTAGATATATCTAGAATGTACCATGATGTTAGGGGTCAAGCAGATATAAAATTATACGTCATGTTTGGTGTTCTTGAATGTGCTGAGAAGTTGTGCTCCTCAATTGGCCAGGATATATTAAATATATTGTACCATACATCAACTAGCAAGAAAAGTGGTAGATTCGTGGCATTCTATGTGTTGTCAATTTTTTATTTATCATTCCATGCATATATTTTAATTTATCAAACAGTGTCATTGAACGTTGCTGCTAACTCTTATTCAAATGCATTGTTGACTTTGTTGTTGTCCAACCAGTTTGCTGAATTGAAAGGATCCGTGTTTAAGAAATTTGAACGAGAAGGTTTGTTTCAAATATCAATGGCTGATTTGACTGAAAGATTTCAATTATCTCTAATGTTAGGTATTATTGCATTGAGGAACTTGTTGCAATTGAGTGTCACTGGTGGATTGATCCCAAACAGCTGGAAGAGTTGGAATAGATGGATTGGTGCTGTTTTTGGACCTGGGGTTGTTGTTATTGGCTCCGAGGTATTTGTTGATTGGTTGAAACATTGCTATATTGCCAAGTTTAACAAGATCAAACCAAAGATATACCGTAATTTCTTGTACGTTCTGTGTTTGGATTTCTTGGAGGTGTTTGAGTTTAATAAAGTTAGTGGGAAACCAAGTCACGAGTTTACTGACTATATAGTCTTGACAAGAAGAATTGGGTTACCATTATTGGCTTCAGTAGTTTGTTTTTTAAGAATGACTTTGCAAGATTTGAGACAAATATTCATTTTTCCTGTGGTTAGTTCATGGACATATTCAATCTTTGCTAGTGGATCATTAATTTTGGCTACTTTCCTTACACTTTTACTTATTCGAGTTATTCTTTCTATGCTTATTTTCAAGATTGCCAATGTACTCGTTATTCAACACAAACAACACCAAGAGGAGTTGAAATTAAGCATGAAACAAACCCAGGAAATAGCCCGTACCATGTCACCAACTGAGAAATTTACACCAGAAACGACACCGGCAGAATTTGATGGATCCACTACTGAAAGTATTGTTCTTAATGAGATTCGAAATTATAATTCGTCACCAATAGGTTTATCATTTCTTCCTGGGTCTCCTAATACAGAACCTTCAACCATTAACCCCAAGACTAGAGCACAGTTATATGATGTGGATGAAAAGATCCCACCAACTGTTGAAGAAAAACGTAATAAACAGTTACTCAACGGTAGTATGAATCAAGATGTTTGGAAAAATGATGATGGTGATGAAGGACTCTCCCAAGTAATGAGATATAAAATGTCAAGTAAACGTATCTGGTGAGAAAAAAAAAAGAACATAGTCTTGTGTATTTTGATATTAATTATTTACATGATATTCAGAGAAAAAAAAATAAAAACCACTTATTATTTACAAGTTTCATTCTCTAAACTTTAACTTTCAATAATTGGCTTTTCATAGAATTATTAATATATTGCACAAATTGAGGTCTTGGTTTCTTCAATTTTGCTGAAAAGGCCAATGAAGCAGTCAACAAAGCCAATGCACCAGCTTGATGTAATGCTGCCAATGGAATTGGAACCAAATAAATCAAAGTAGTAATACCCAAAGCAACTTGTAATGTAGCGACACCCATAACAGCATGCATCATTCTTTTGGCCGGAACAGGAATAATGGCTTTGTTTCTGTTGACATACATGTGGGCAGCTAAAACTGAGAAAAATGTAGTGGTTGCAAAAATACGATGAACTAATTGAACAGTGGTTGGGTTTTCTAAGATATTTCTCCACCAAAGATCAGATTTATCCTCTTTTCTGGCATATACTGGAGACATAAGTTCACCTGAACTTGGAAGCCAATCATCACCCATATGTGGGAAAGTATTGTAGATTAAACCAGCATCTAAACCAGCAACCATACCACCAGACATAGCAGTAATAAAAGTCAACACCAACAAAGCACCACCAATGTTTCTAGTAGTTTTCAATGCTGGATTATTCAATTGAGCCAAGATTTTTTGAGCAGTTTCAGGAACTTTCTTTGACATTTTCACTAGTTTGTTTTCATTTAAGATTTCAAACGCAGTCCATAAAACACCCAAATACATCAAGAAAGCAGCACTTAAATGTGTAGTCAATCTATATTGTGAAACAGTTGGTTTAGATTTTCTTTCAGCTAATTGTTCTTCATCCAATCCAGATTTAACCATCCACCAACCAATGAAACCTTGTAATCCCAATAACCCAGTAAGAATACCAACACGTTTAGTAACTCTTGGAGTGAATTTACCGCGAGCATAGAAATAAAGTGCTGGAAGAATGAAAAATGCACCAATACATCTACCAACTAATCTATGACCCCATTCCATGGAGAAAATAAATTTAAATTCTTCTAAAGTGATATGGGAGTTTAATTGTTTAAATTCAGGAGAATCCTTATACTTGTCAAATTCTTCTTGCCATTCCTGTTCATTTAATGGTGGGATTGCACCGGTAACTGGTTTCCATTCAGTGATGGACAAACCTGATTCAGTCAATCTGGTTAAACCTCCCAAAACAACGATACCAAAAACTAATCCAGAAGTTCCTAATAACCAATAGGCAACGGACTTTGGTGGAACAATACGTGGAGCGGACTTTGCTGCAGTATTGAAAAATTCAGTTTTTGGCAAACTTGATTCAGCAGTTTGAGCAATAGTAGAATATTTTCTTTTACTCAAATTGTTGAATATTCTTGAAAATTTAAACAGAGGGATAAGTTTAGATGTAGGTCTAGCAGCTCTTGCCGCAATAGATAATCTACATCCCTTATTCTGTTGTAAAGTGTTCAACACAAGTGAGTTCTTTGTGAAAAAGAATCTTGTCTTTGACAACATGTTCTATGGTGGGAGGATATGAAGTGTGTGTGGTATAATGGGAGGAAAAAGAAAAATTAAGTAAACACCAAAGAAAGGTTTAAATCCTATCGTTTATATTCTTGAAAAAAAAAAAAAACGGAAGAGAAAAAAAAATCACCCAGTTGTAGCGCAAAACGGTGATGGTCTGATTACAATAGATGAAGATTTCATTCGCGGAAATAGTCGGGCATTAAATTTTTAGTTTAGTTTGCTTTCAATATGAAATCTGATTATGCGTGCATTTCAAATTTTTGGCAGCACTAATAAAGTTGGTTGTAAAAATGAAATAATAATAATAAAAAAACAAATAAAAGCACCAAAAAAATTTGATCTATCATTACAAAATAAATCAACTAAGATCACCTTTGTCTTTTTTTTAATTATATTATTATCTTCTTTTTTATTAGTTTAAATGAATTCACTTGATTGGGAAAGAAGTATAGATATTATCAGATATGATAGAACCCAGAGATATCAAGGAAAAAATTCAACTATTCAGACATTCACCCCAACAACCAATCTACAGACAGAATCTATTAATGAGTCATGAAGAACCAGAATATATTATAAACAATCACAAAGATTCTTATTTGAAATTAGGTAATGCTCATATTGCTGACACAGATCTAGGGGGTAATACTCATTATGACGAAGCTTTTTATCCTTTATCTGCTAATATTCAACTGCTTCCCGTTGAACTTGATAACCCGATTCTTGCCAATGGATTTTACTACTTTATGACTATAATTGTTGTTTTGATACTTGTTAGTGCCATTTCGTTTGGCGTTAGAGAATATTCATTTGCCTTTAGAAGAAGAATTAAGTCTTCTACCAGTGAAGCAATTAAGTTAACAAATTGGAATGACATCAAAGGAGCTATTACATCAACAACTGAAACCACAAATAATATCAATTCTATCAGGCAAAAAATTATGAATCGGATCAAAGAAGAAGAAAATAATGATCGTAGCAGAGTGGGAGTGGATGGTTCAGGCGACGATCAAGCGGATCTCGGCATTGATATTCGTGTTGGAAAAGCAGGAGGGGGAACTGATCGGCCAATCATGATTTTGCAAAATAATTCTGCTCCAATTCATCATGTTTCGGATCTGTCAAGCAAGAACAACATGGAATCGGGATTCACCCAGTTTATGGAAAAGGGACAACATAATGATACTACTGAATGGGAGTGTGAACGGTTTCAATCTGCAGAATTGAACGAAGAAACATTAACCAAATCTGAAGGAAAAGATTGTTATGGAAATGACTACAATACTGGTATTACTGAAAAATCAATCAGCAAGTTTGCAAGACAACAATCGCTAAAATTACCACATCCTCCATTGAAGCCAGTATATAGCATCGGGTTTCTCAAAGGAATCGACAAGTCCACCACACCTATAAGTGAAGTATTGATCAACATTTCTAAGTTCAAGCAAAAGAAAAAGATTCCAATGTCAAGTTTATTGAGCTGCTCTGTCGGGTTCCCACGTACATGTTTTGACAATGCATGGCAAGCATCAAAGGTAATTCGCGAAGCAGAGAGTATTATATTGACGACTACTTGCAAAGTATCCAGACTACTTCTGCTAGTACAGCTCTTGTCAGTTGGTAAATCAATCGAGTTATTGGATAATCCCAACATATTTCTTGAAGCTTTCAATGATTGTATTGAGAATTTGGTTGATATGGGATATGTATTTAATTTCTTCTCTGAGTCAAGTGTGGTGTTGAAACTTTTGCTAATGGAAAACTTATTAACTTATAGTTGGTCTCATTATAGATTTCATGATTTGGAAAATAAAAGCAGAATCATCAGAGTTCAATTTGAGAAATGGAATTTGCCTCACCCAATAGTACAAACTAGAAATACAATTTTCAAAATCTTGTGTAACTTGCAATTGGGACTAAACACATCTTGTATTTCAACTACTACAGAGCAAGCAGAAATCGAGAATGGATTAAAATTGGGATTAGTAATTCGGGAGGTTATTAATCATAGCGTCTGTAATGATTATATTGGTTATATGCCTATGATAGCACAAGCGATTGATATTTCCACCGTGGACAGAAACAAGTTTTTCTTTTACGAAATTTTGAAACTTTTAATTGTCAAACATGGGAAATGCTGCATGGGAGAGTACATTCAAGAATCTAATATTGAGTTGAAGACTTTAGTACAGTTTGGAATGACCACAAATCAGATTCCTATTATTAATGACAAGGTTAAAGAGATACTTGAAATGTTGATCAAAATAGATGGCAAGATCATTTCTTGGAAGAATATGACCGCGACCAACAATAACTATATTGCGTCTGCCATACCGCTTTCGACTGAACACACAGAGAATTATTTTAGTGCGCCGTTATTCCGACAACCACAGAAACAACAAGATCATCTAGAAAAACAGCCGAACCGTCTCCCACTCTTGGATTCGGGGCTGACGTCAGGTTCTACACTAGAGACATTTGCAAATTCTTGGAAACTTGGTGTTGTTTCCAGTGATATTAATTATTCGCAAGAAACTATTGAAAACCAACATCAATATCATTACAATAGAGGTTGATAGTTCTATCTAAGTAGATGATCTTAAATCGATAAATCTCGTTTTGTATTTTCCCACACCGTTAGTTGCAAAAAAAAAAAAATAGCACTGTTAATTCCGAATTATGCATATATTCTTCTATGTTTTGTGATCTCATCCGCACTAAGGCAAACATTATAAAATAGGAGGGGAATCTCATGTGAAAAATAAAAAATCAGGTGCAATATGTCAAAACCATTCAGAGAAAAAACATGCTCGGTTAATTGGAAGAAGGCAAGAAATGTTGGGCAGTTGATCCGAAGAAGTTCATCGAGGGTTGAAGATGAACTTTTGCCATTAATCCATTCTACTATAGAAAGCTAAACACATATCCAAACAAGACCCAATTAAATCGTGAAATAGCAATCTATAAGTAATTCTCAACAACTGGTTCTGTTAGTGACGTCTCGTGGTGAAGCAAAACGAACGAGCGTACCGAGTAATAACTTTGATTGCTCACAAGGTAATTATTTTTTTCTCCTGTATTTTGTGGAGAAACATGTTCGATTCCTTAATGATTCCTGTGAAAAGAGAAACATGGTAGTAACTTTCTGGGAAATTTTCACATTACGTATATTGTGTTGAATTTCTTTTTTATATTGTTTTAAGTTTGTTCCCTATCAGGGAAATTCTGGATACTTTTCAATAGTTTGTATAAATACATAATGAATATCCCACTGATAACTGTTTTTCTCTCATCCTCTCACTTTCTTTCTTTCATAATACTATATTCTTTTTTAATCGAAATTTTTTTTTTGGTTCTCGCTAATATTTCTATCAGATAAATATTATTCACATCATTAAATCTACTAAATCAAAATAATTGCAAATGTCAGGATTAGAAATTGCTGCAGCTGCCGTTCTTGGTAGTCAGTTATTAGAAGCCAAATATTTAATTTCCGATGATGTACTGTTGGCCAAAACAGTTGCTCTTAATGCACTTCCATATTTATGGAAAGCCTCCAGGGGTAAAGCTTCATATTGGTATTTCTTTGAAAAATCAGTATTTAAAAATCCAAATAATAAAGCATTGGCATTTCCAAGACCAAGAAAGAATGCACCACCACCAAAGGTTGATGATGAAGGATTTCAAATTTATGACGATCAATTTGACCTAGAAGAATATACCTATAAGGAATTGTATGACATGGTTTTGAAATACTCTTACATTTTGAAACATGAATATGGTGTTACTGCAAATGATACTATTGGTGTTTCTTGTATGAATAAACCACTTTTCATTGTTTTATGGTTGGCCTTATGGAATATTGGTGCCTTGCCAGCATTTTTGAATTTCAACACCAAAGATAAACCATTGATTCACTGTCTTAAAATTGTCAATGCTAGTCAAGTTTTCGTTGATCCTGATTGTGATGCTCCAATCAAAGATACTGAATCTCAAATTAAAGAGGAATTACCACATGTTAGAATAAATTACATTGATGAATTTGCTTTGTTTGATAGATTAAGACTCAAGTCTACTCCAAAATACAGAGCTGAAGATAGTACTAGAAGACCAACAGATACCGATTCTTCCGCCTGTGCGTTGATCTATACATCAGGTACCACTGGTTTACCAAAAGCAGGTATCATGTCTTGGAGAAAAGCATTCATGGCTTCTGTTTTCTTTGGCCATATTATGAAAATTAAGAATGATTCCAATGTTTTAACAGCTATGCCATTGTATCATTCAACAGCTGCTATGTTGGGTTTGTGTCCTACTTTAATTGTTGGTGGTTGTGTTTCTGTTTCTCAAAAATTCTCAGCCACTTCATTCTGGACTCAAGCTAGATTATGTGGTGCCACACATATTCAATATGTTGGTGAAGTTTGTCGTTATTTGTTAAACTCAAAACATCACCCAGATCAAGATAGACACAATGTTAAAATTGCCTATGGTAATGGATTACGTCCAGATATATGGTCTGAATTCAAGAGAAGATTCCACATTGAAGGTATTGGGGAATTTTATGCAGCTACTGAATCTCCAATTGCCACTACAAACTTACAATACGGTGAATATGGTGTAGGTGCCTGTCGTAAATATGGTTCACTTATTAGTTTATTGTTATCTACCCAACAAAAATTGGCCAAGATGGATCCAGAAGATGAAAGTGAAATTTATAAGGATCCAAAAACTGGATTTTGTGTTGAAGCTGCATATAATGAACCTGGTGAATTGTTGATGAGAATTTTAAATCCTAATGATATTCAAAAATCATTCCAAGGTTATTATGGTAACAAATCTGCTACCAATAGCAAAATTCTCACGAATGTTTTCAAAAAAGGAGATGCTTGGTATAGAAGTGGTGACTTGTTGAAAATGGATGAACATCAATTGTTGTATTTTGTTGATAGATTGGGTGATACCTTCCGTTGGAAATCAGAAAATGTTTCAGCAACTGAAGTTGAAAATGAGTTGATGGGATCTAAAGCATTGAAACAATCTGTTGTTGTTGGTGTTAAAGTTCCAAATCACGAAGGTAGAGCTTGTTTTGCTGTATGTGAAGCAAAAGATGATTTAACTCATGAAGATATTTTGAAATTGATTCATGGACATGTTACTAAATCGTTACCAGTTTATGCACAACCTGCATTCATTAAAATCGGATCCATTGAAGCTTCTCATAATCATAAAGTTCCAAAGAATCAATTTAAGAATCAAAAATTACCAAAAGGTGAAGATGGTAAAGACTTGATTTACTGGTTGAATGGTGATAAATATCAAGAGTTGACTGAAGAGGATTGGTCTTTGATCTGTACTGGTAAAGCCAAATTGTAAAGCCGGAATTCACTAATTTGGTAGTGTGTATACTATAGATATTTAGAACAAAAAAAAAAATGGAGTTGAACTTTTTTATTTATTGAAACTTTAATAAACGTTGATACATTTATTGTATGTAACTACAGTACAAGTAAATATGTTTCTTTTATAAAAAAAATCGTTTCCTTTATATATATTGTTTTGAGATATTTTTTACTACTTAATTCATGAAAACACAAGTATTGTTTTGTGACTTCTTAAATCAAAATTTAGGCTTTGTTGGAAAGAGCAGTTACACCTGGTAATTCTTTACCTTCTAACAATTCCAAAGAAGCACCACCACCGGTAGAAACGTGGGACAATTTGTCAACAACACCGTATTTCTTAGCAACAGTAGCAGTATCACCACCACCAATGATAACAATGTTACCTTTTTCGGCAGAAGCAACACAGGCATCTAACAAGGATTTAGTACCGTTAGCGAATTTGTCAAATTCGAAAACACCTGGTGGACCGTTCCAGACAATGGTCTTGGCTTTACCGACAGCGTCAGCAAACAATTTTCTGGATTCTGGACCACAGTCCAAACCCATCCAGTTATCTGGGATACCTTCCTTGTCAGTAGCAGAAGAGACTTGAGCATCTTTGTCGAATTTGTCAGCAGTGACGAAATCAACTGGCAAGATGATTTCAACATTGTTCTTCTTGGCTTTAGCAACCAAGTTTTCGACGTTCTTAGCACCAGCTTCATCGAATAAAGAGTCACCAATTGGCATGTTGTCCAAGACTTTCTTGAAGGTGAAAGACATACCACCACCAACAATCAACATATCGACTTTGTCCAACAAGTTGTCAATCAATTGAATCTTGTCAGAGACCTTAGCACCACCCAAAATAGCCAAGAATGGTCTGCTTGGGTTTTCCAAAGCTTTAGCAAAGTATTCCAATTCCTTGGCCATCAAGAAACCAGAAGCTCTTTGTGGGACTTCCAAACCAACCATGGAAGAGTGGGCTCTGTGAGCAGTACCGAAAGCATCGTTAACGTAAACATCAGCCAAAGAAGTCAATTCTTCTCTGAATTTCTTGACAGCAGCTGGGTCAGCTTTAACCTTTTGACCATCAACCTTAGAGGAACCTTCTTCTTCAATGTGGAATCTCAAGTTTTCCAACAAGAAGATTTGACCATCAGTAGCAGCGTTAACAGCCTTGGAAACTTCTGGACCAACACAATCGTTCAAGAAAGTGACTTTTTGACCCAACAATTTTTCCAATTCAGCAGCAACTGGAGCCAAGGAGTATTTTTCAGTAACTTGACCGTTTGGTCTACCCAAGTGGGAAGCTAAGATAATACATTTTGGTTTGTGTTCTTCAACGTATTTAATGGTTGGCAAAGCAGCAACAATTCTGGCGTTGTTGGTGATAGTTTTACCATCTAATGGGACGTTGAAATCAACTCTGATAAAAACTCTCTTACCAGCGACATCTAAGTCTTTGACGGATAATTTGTTGGATAATGACATTTTAAGAATACAATTGATAATTTTACTTATCGTTGATGATTATAAAAAAAAGAAAGAGAAGAAGAAAAAAATAACAATTGATATTAGAAAAAGGGAGAGGGAAATCCACTTGCATTTATATACGGAAAGTTGGTTCCAAGACAAAAAAAAAATCTGTTCCAGAGTACAAGGGGAATCAGTAGACGCACATTCAAAGAAAAAAAAAATTACCATACAATACAAAACTTGATCCCCAAACAACCAAAAAAAAAATCACGAAAATTAGAATACTGCAACATTGTCATGTGATTACACCTCAATGGCAAGGAAACATGTCAATTGACCTGTTGAGATTGTACTGCAATACTTGATTTAGTGAGTAGTTCGTCTCGTGTTGATGTAGACAATCGGGTTGATTGGAAATTGGGGCCCGGGGAAGATTGCTCCATTGTCGGGTTCGCGTGGGTTGAAATTTTCCATTTTTTTTTTTGTATTTTTCATCAGGTGGTGCAAATAAACGTATCCCACAAAATTACTACTCACCTGTGCTTCTGCTTTTCTTAGTTTTTTTTTTTTTTATTTTGTTCTCCTGTTATGAAGGCTATTTTGCCAACATATGATTTTTCTCGGAAAGTGTCGTGATCTGTCTCTCTCTACATTTCTGTTTGTCTGTTTGCATTTATAATGGTTCTTGCAGAATTTATTCCTTTTGTTTTTTTTTTCTCTCTTGTAAATGACTCGTGCACATTGTCTTGTGATCCGTTCAACCATTTGCAATTAGTAGTGCTAGATGTCGTAGTCAATTTCTAATGTCGTCCAGATGTCGTAGCAAAAATGTCTCACGAATGTCGTTTGTTTCAACGACATGTCTCTTCGCATCTGGAACCTTCTCGAAATAAGCAAATATCAAAAACGTCTTCTCCATCGAATTCAAGGAGAAGAGTAAGGTTTCTTCAAACTAGCAACTGTATAAAAAAGAACAAGGGGTATATACCATCAATTAATTTTAATTTATTACATCTTTTTTTTATATATTACGCCACCTTCATATTCATACACATATACACAACATGGAAAAATTATTACACTGGACTATTGCACAACAAGCTGGAGATAAAGATGCTCTTGAAAAAATTGGAGAACCAGATCCAAAAGCTCTTAATCAATTATTTGGTGGTCCAGATGAAGCAACTTTAATGAGAGAAAGTATCAAAGTTGTTCAAACTCCAGATGTTTCTCAAGAAGATAAAGAAATTGCTTTGGAAAATTTTGAAATGTTGATTGAAAACTTAGACAATGCAAACAATATTGGTAACTTGAAATTATGGGAACCATTGAATCAAATCTTGGCTGATAAGAGTACTAACAATGAATTGAAAGTTCTTATTTGTGGTATAATTGGTACTGCCGTACAAAACAATCCAAAATCTCAAGAAGATTTCCACAAGAGTAATGGATTGACTGAATTAATCAAATTGGCACAAGATGGCAGCAATAGATCAGTACAATTAAAGTCTTTGTATGCTATTTCCTCTGCTATTAGAGATTTCAATCCTGGTTATTTGGATTTTGAAAAATCGGACGGCTGGAAATTGATCCATTTTGATACTACTGATAATAAATTACAATTGAGAATCTTATCCTTAGTCTCATCCATATTGAGTAACGGTTTGGATGAAAAATTAGAACAAGAGTTTAGAAAAGAAAAATTGACACACTTTTTGGCACTTGTCTTGAATAAAGATTCCGACACTAGTTTGGTTGATAAATCTTTAAACATTATTTCTCAATTGAATAAATTGAAATATGAATACACTTTAGAAGAGAAGTACGAAATCAATAGAGGTATTCAAGTGGTTGAAGGTTTGAGCGACAAGTTAAACATTGATGATCTCAATGCTGCTAAAGAAGCTACCAGTTCTTAGGAATATATACAATCTATTAATTAACTTATAACGCTATTAGGATCATTTGCTGTAAATAATCTCATCATACTCTTGTCGACTGTAGGAGGGACGATATTCCTGCCCAATCGATCACGACCCAAAGTTCCCTTATCACGAAATGCACAATAAATCAGGTAGATGGATTGATGCAGTGTATATAGTATATCGGCCTTTGATTGTGTCATCAATTTGAACTGTTGCATAGATTGCATGAATGTCGCTTTTGCATCTGCGCCCGATCGAACTGTTCCTAGATTAGCTACCGACGTATTTCTCTCAAACTTATCGTAAAGTGAGTGGCCAATCATATTTGTGAACGTATTAAGCCACATGACTGATTCAGACCTACCTCTAACTGTGAATATATTTGTTCCTAGCTCAATTTGTGCTTTGTTGATCAAAATCTCAATGTCAGCAGATGATGGGTACTCTGCCATTTCCAAATCCGCAGTCCTTGTTCTTGCTTGTTCTTGAGTATTTAATCCATGAAGAACCTGCTTCTTGAATTTTCTTTGTTCATAAGCTTTGATCTTATTAACTTGTTGATCATAACCTTCAACCATTATAATTATATGGTATTCGTTAGGTGTAATTGCTAAAGCATGATTAAGAGCTGCTGCAACATCTGACTTCAATTCTCCCTTCTTCAATTTCATCAAAAAATCAGGTGCCAAATAGTACATGACAAATGTCTTTTCCAATAATTTACGTGGATGGCATGGGATAAACAAGTCTCTTTCTTTGTCATACATTGCTTTGACATTCCTTTTCCATAGAACAAGAGGTAAATCGTATCTACCATCAAATATCTTCAGTTTGAAATCTTCCTTTGTTTCTGAAAAAAACTCATACACGCCAGAAGACATATGCAATTCCATCTCTTCAAATATTTCCTCTTTCTTCCTAGTAGCTCTATTGGCTTCATTTAAGTCTTTATGAGTGTATTGGAAATCATCAATTCTTGGTAGATGTGTTACAGGATCAGTTGTTTTTGGTCTCTTTGTACGCTTAGCAGGTACGGAAGTTGAAGGTTCCTGAGTTGATTTTGATCTCTTTACAGGCTGTGCTACTACAGGTGCTTGTGGTGCTGGTTGGGAACTTGGGATGATTGGACCATCATCTTCATCTTCATCGCTATCTAGCCATAGTATGTTTGCAGGGATATCAGTCGAGTTCAGCTGTCGTGGTGCAGGTGCACGAGAAGGAGGGGGAGGAGGGGGTGGTGCAGCTTTCTTTGGAGGGATTATTCCATCAATCAGGAAATTGAAAGTTGAATCGACTATTGAATCATTGAGTATACTGTTGTTTGATTCACTTGGTAATTTAACAGGAGATGATGATATTGGTTTGGAAACAAACTCATTCACTAGGTTGAAAAGATTTTTGATATCAGTGGTGTCTCTTGTTTCAATGGAATCTTCACCATCACTATCAAGTACAACTATCTCCTCTTCTGGGGGTAGAAATGATGATGTTCTTGTTGCTGCTTTGAAACTTGATTTTGCAAAGTTATTTGTTACACTAGTGGTTGAAGTTTGTTTCAAAGAAACAGTTTTACTTGTCATCATCATTGTCATTGAATTATCCACTTCTGGGACATCCTCATCTGTATCTGTCAATCTGTTAAATAACTTGTTAGTAAAACTAATCAACAGAAGAACGCGTCTTAATTAATATACATACAGCTCAATAACTTCAGGTTCATTACTCTTCTGGACTATATTAATTGGCTGACTTGGCTGTGGTTGAAATGTTGGACTTGGATCCTCATCATCTGATATCTCAATGATCAGAGTAGTCATGCTGTTATTCATTCAAGTTGGTGTTGCTAATTCAAGTAATAACTTTAACTTCATGAAAAAAAGAAAAGAAGACGTTCCTCAGACAGAACGGAAACTGAGACAACCAACAGGGGAAAAAAAAAATTTTTGAGAAATTACCAACAGTGACAGTGACACCACCAAATAGAGACAACAACAAAAAACAAAAAACAAAAAAGGAACAAAATTCCAGATCAACGATCCTCAAAATATTGTAAATTGACCTAGACACATATCATTTATACACACGAAATACTTACACGATGTCTATGAAAAGAATGTCATATTCATCTCGTAATGGAGATAATGATCCACGACTGACAGATGAATCAATTTACAGTTTAAAGGAAATCTACAACACAATAAAGTACGATTGGCCCCAAATGCTCCGAGACGATGCTAATCCAATTGAAATCGCGGTAGCTTTATTAGATGATACATCGGTTGGTTTGGCACATAGATTAGGTGATTTTGAAAGATTGAAAAACGAAACAGAATCTGCTTTGAAATATGTTGCCAGTGAAAAGCACCAATTGTTTCACTCCACGATTAATTCATATAACACTTTGTTGGCTACTATGAAAGAGTCACAGAAGGATTCTGCTGAAATTAAAGAATTTTTGGAAAGTTCCAACAAGGAAATCCATGATAGATCTGAAGTTTTGGGAGAATTATCCCAAGCATCTGGGAAGTATGCAGAAATGATTGAAGTATTGGATGCTATGGCAGAAATGGATGGAATTCCTGGAAGAATTGAACAATTGATTGCTGATAAGAAAATTCATGAAGTTTATGATGTTATATCTGAAGGATACAAGACTGCTGAAAAGTATAACTTGTGGTCGCTTCCAGCAATGAGTGGAATACAAAGTTATTTGGAAGATCAATCAAACAAATTATTCGACATGATCATTGATGAACTACAGAATGAGATCTACTTAAAATACAGTAGAAGACAACGTGAGGGATCTATATCCTGGAAAAGTATAATAGGTTCAACCAATCCACAATTGGCTTCGTTTGTGGCTTTATTGGATCTGAAAAATTTGGACCAATTTATTTTCAATTCGGCTAACTTGGATACATCAGAAGTAGTGGATTTTGTCAGTAACCCCGTTGAAAACTTTTTGACGAATTTGTTACCTGACTTGCATGCTCATAATCAGAAGAATCAAGGAGCAATAGATTATAAAATTTTGTTGGATTCTACACTGAATCCAAATACTGAGTCATTTTACTATATTTACATGTTATTGCTTACTGCATCAAAGTTGAATAGATTGAACCAAGCTATAGAAGTTTTACTTGATACGAACCAACTGGAGTTGCATGGATTGATCAATCGAACAACAGAAGAAGTGAGACTGACAAATACGTTTGCATTGTCTAAGTTATCCAAAATGCAACATTTAGAGCAGGGTACTTTATTTGAAGTTATATCCCGTGGTTCATTTAATGATTCGGCGGTTGTCGTATTACAAGATTTGTTTGGTTCCATATTTATCAAATGTTTGGCTACATTTCAAAGATTCAAAGTTGTTACTTCGATAGTGGAATTACTTGATGATGGTAATGTTGAGCCATTAATTGCAGAGAGTACTCCTGTTTTAGGAGCCAGTCCTATGTTGGGAAAATCACTGCCTGTTTCCTCAAGAAACTTACTTTCAATTTGGAACTCAATCAGAAAAGAATTAAAAGCATTGATGTTGAGTTATATTTATGATGATCGTTCACTTAAATCACATGCAATGACGGAAGTAAGAACCATGGATCAAAACAAAATTTCTAAGGCATTATCCAAGAAGGAATTATTCAAATTTGAAGATGTCGAATACAATTCTTCGAATAAGACATCGAAAGAAATTTTAAGCATCTTGAGTGATGTACTTCCAGGATATGCTGAATCTGGAGATGGTAAATCCGGTGAAGTCCTCGAATCAACGACACCATATGTTAAGAATGAATCTTTTAATGCATCAGTTGAGGTATTGGTACCAAGAAATCTATTCAATATGAGAATTATATTAGAATTTTTCTTGATATTTGCTGATGGTTCCCAAAGAATCTTTTCATCCTTTAAACAACAAGGATTAGTTACTCATAAATTAAACACATCCTATCAGTTTTTTGAGGATTTTATGAAAAAGTCATTTTTGGCATATTTGCGTCATTCCATTGAAGTTACCTTTGGAGATGAGGTAGGTGGAGCTTACGCATTGAAAGTGGACCCATCAATGCCATTTACATCGGGATTGAAGATGGATTTGGTTTCTTTGAATCAAGACTCTAAGGTTAAAGTCATGGGTACTTCTGTTAGCAGTGTTGATTCCAAATTGATAATCTATGAGAATGCTTACAACTTTAAGAAATTATTCCTTGAGTTGTGTTTGATTTTAAACACTTCATTGTCGTACCGTGAAGAATTTTCAGGTGCTGTATTGTTGACATTGGAAAATTTTGGTACCGAATATAATAAATTGTACCAAGAACTTTTATCAACCGGTGAAGGAGCTGTTTCTAATCGTCCACAGCTGCAAATTAGCAAATGGATGAAAATCCCGGTATTAAATGAAATCAGTGGCAAGATCTTAGTCGAAAGTGGTCAAGGTGCAACTGACTTGGGAGAATTAATTCTGTCGGAATCTAAGGTGTTGTTACATGATAGCACTTATACACATCAAGAAGACTTGTTGGATCATGAATCTTACTCCCAGATAGTTTATTTATTGTTGACAACAAGTTGGATTCTTTCCTGGTTACCGTTAGTTAAGAAGGAAACAAATTATAGTGTATATGATGAAGAGCACAACAAGGATATTAAAGTGACTGAAGTTGACAAGATGAAATACAATTGGTCATTTTTGGAAGATGGTAGACCTTCTATTAATTTTGCACCAGATGGATCAGATATCATTCAATATAACATCTACCTTGCATTGAATTCCGAAAAGATTATTAACTTCAACAGAGTTGTTAATACATTTGAAGCCATTAGAGACAAGACGTTATTGGCATTGAGATATGAGTTGAGATGTAAAGCAATCCACTTTGTAACCATGTCGTTTAGCCATGTGAATTGGTCTCCAGTATCAGAACCAGGAGATGCTGACCATTATATTGCCAATTTGAATCAAGAGATTTTCACTGTTGATAACAAGTTATCCAAAACAGTTAGTGAAGCTGAAAGACACAGTGTATTTGTTGGTTTCCCACAATTTCTTAATGATTTGATGATTAGTAAATGTAAGATTTTAGTCAAGATTAATGGTAATGGTATCAAGAGGATATTGTTAAATATTTCCACATTGCAACAAATGTTAAGAAACTTGTCACCTAATCCAGAAACTATAGATTTCACAAAAGCGTCATTATATTTTGAGATGTTTACTATGAATGAGTTCACTTTACTCAATAATTTGAAAACTAATGCTCAAGGTTATACTAAACAAGAATGTCTTACTTTAGCCAGATTGATATATAGTGAAAAATTAGCTGATGGTAAAGGATCACAATTCAACAAGGGTAAATACAGTGAATTAACGAAAAAGATTGATGAAATTGTATCATAACAAAAAAGAATAAATACTAGAAAATATACAATTAATAAGATGCAAAAGTTTTAAGAATATGTACATGTATTAATTAAATAAAATTATTGAAATCATATAAGCAAAGTTGCAAACAAATTAGGAAACAACTCAAGTCTAGCAGGAGTTGTGATAAAACAAGAAAAACAAATCTAAAAGTAATCAAATGTAGAAACTTTTTATGGTTTTTTGAATTAATCATTTTCCTTTCTAACAGCAATCTCTTGGAGGAGTTCTTTTAAGTCTGAAATGTTCCATAGTTCTTTCAGAAACAAATCTACCAATACCAGAACCAATAACAACGGCAAAGAAATAAGTCAAAGTATAAGTCATAGCAACCAACATTAAAGAATAGGCTAGTAAATCAGGAATAATACATAAAGCCAATCTAATAATATCTCTCATAATACTTGAAGCAAAAGAAATTGAACGCTTTGGAGTTATTGGTTCAATTTGTGGAGAATTTGATTTATCAATTGAATCATCTGAATCATCTAAATCATGTTTTTTAGCAGTACAACAAGTTTTAGCATGTTCTTCAAAATTACCATTTTCTTTAGCATTCATACAACAAGTAGCTAAATTTTTTTCTGATTCAATAGTTGTTAATTTAGCACCATGTTGAACAATACCTTCTTCATTTTCAAGATAATTATTATTTCTCCAAACAATTTCTTCAAGATAATTACGTACAAATTCCAACATTCTAGTTAAAAATGCAACAACAAATAATAATACAAATATACCAAATGCTTGAGCTTTAGTATTTGCTTTTAAATCTTTGAAAAGTACTGGATATCCAGCAAATTCAGCAGTTAACCACATATGCATTCCCATTTTATGACTCAGTCCTGACATTCCTGACATTGTTGAATGATCCATTGATGAAGAAGCTGATGAAGTAGCCATGTCCATAATTGTAGATGATGCCATATCCATCATCATTGATGTAGCAGAAGCAACCATTGAAGAACTAGATCCCATATCCATGTCGTGATGTCTTTTAATATATTCCATTATATGTATGAAAAAAAAAAAAAAAATTTCTAAATTGATTAAATGATAATGTGGAGTATTTATAGTTGGTCGTTAATAAGTTGTAATATATATCTAATCTAAGTGGCTTTATAATATGAGCAAATTTATAAATGATTATGATATGATGATATTTTTTAAAAGAAAAACCAATGCAATACAATATAATAAAAAATGGAGAATGAATATTTTCTAGATGAATTCCCAAGTGTATTTATAATAATGAAAAGTTGAATCCCGTACTCGTTGATCGATAACTTAAAAAGGCAAACCAAGATAAAGAATATTTGCTCATTATAAGAGTTATAAAAGGAATAGTAATAAAAAAAAAATTAAAGAGTAAAAATGGGTTGAGATTATAGGGATGGTACATCGAATCCACTTGGTTGAGCAAATTTGTTATTGCCTGAAATGTTGCACAAGGTTGTTTGAAAATCTCTCATCTTTGACACACAGAAAGAAACTCTCTACAGGTTGCGAATTGTTTGTACGACAACGAGTCAATTACATGTTTCCTAAATAGGTAATCGGATGCGGTGTACACTATGAAGAGATTTCTCGTGATTGGTTGAAACACGAATGTCAAAAGATTATGCAATTTTGTACTAATCCGAGATTCTTAGATCTTTAAATTACAAATAGGTAATAAATAAAATTTATATTATAAATGGCTGATAAATCTATAATCGTTCTGTAAACCATTTCTCCCTAAAAACTACTTAATTACAGGCTGCTGGCAATACTTTGAGCAAATAAATAAATACTAAATATAAAATAGAATAATAATAATAATAATAAATAAATAAATATCAGAAAATCGATGTGGTGACAACGAATAATAAATAAGGCAATTCATTGAATTGAAATCTTGAAATAAATAAAAGTCATAGGGATTTAGGGTTTTCCCTTTTTTTTTCAAACCCCTGCATCATTAGTTAGTTCCCTGATTTATGTAACGACATTTCGATTTAGGGTCCTTTGTTAATACATGGGAATCTAACCAATCACTAGCAATAAATCTTTGTCCACAAGCACTACATGTACCGTGGATAGGTAATTTATCTGTCAAAGTATTAGCAGTTTTCCCCTTTGGATCATCAAATATGAAATGCAGATGTAATAAATGCTTTTTGTAATCATATGGACGATTGAAATTCTGAGTTCTGTGATTACACATTGCTTTCGGATAAACACATTGAAAACGACCCACATCATCATGGATTCTCATATGTCTGGCAATGTCTCTACTGATATACTTGTCACATACAGTACAAACGGCCCCTTTTGAAACTCTCTTCTTGGACAGCTTGGTCGTTGGAGCGATATTGTTGACAGTGGCTGGGGGTGTCGCAGCTATATTAGGATTAGTACTTGTTGAACGAGTCAGTTCTGAACCAAGTGAAATTGCACTATGAGCACTTTGGTTAGATATACTTCTTTGTAAAACAGGTAATGCCAATCTTGAATCAGAATGATTTGGTGTCTGTCCCATACATTGTGCTTGTACTGAAACCTGTTCTTGATCATCTTCATCACCACCACTGGTACTGTTATTGTAATATTGTGGAGTAGAAATTTCATTGTTAAATGATCTATTCTGACTATCTATGGTTTCATTATCAGGAGACAAAAATTCATTGCTAAGTGAATTATCAAAATTCAATGGGGCAAATAAGCTTTGGCTTTCTGGTAGATTCAAGTCAGTGAAATTGGTATCCAATGTATCTTGTTGGAACTCGTTTGTACTGGCTCCAAGAATATCATTAGTGTTTGTGTTTTCATTTGTAGATGAAATCTTTTCTGCATCTTGTAAATACTCTTCAAAAGTTTGATTAAAATAATTGACAGCATTTTCATTAATTGCTGGTGAGAAAAACCCTCCTGCAGTTGCACCAAGAGTATTTATTCCAGGAGTCAAATTGTTATTGTGATTGTTGGCGTTGGCGTTGTTGATGTTGGTGTTTTGGTTGGTCAATTCAAAATAACCTGAAGTTCCATTTCGGGGAGGATCAACTGAAGGGGTAAGATTGAATGATGGAATTGAAAAATTGTTATCGTTAAGTTCCAAATCTTGTTCAGAAATTCTTAAATCTTGACCTTGTTCGGTACCAAGTGCTGGAGCAAAAGAAAGATTCAGCTTGGAATATCCACTTGGTGTTCTATTCCAATAATCAGTTCCTGAATCTGATTGTGATGAGGTGATTGTTGGACCAGAAACTTTTCGAAGTCCATCCAATTTCAAATGAAACCCAGGTTTCTTTTTAGGTCTTGGTCCTTTCTTGATTTTTGGTCTTGTATCATGAGACATGGATTCACCTCGTTGATGGAAATATCCAGTTGGGGGACTGATGTATCGCAGGTTTGATGCATTCTGTTGCTGTAGTTGTTGTTGTTGTTGCTGCTGCTGTTGTTGTCGAAGATTCTTCACCGATAAACTATAAACTGGAGCTGTGTTTTGTCTTTGTGGTGGAGGTCTTGCTGGTGGTACCATTACGTTGTTGTTTCCCATATAAGACTGAGGCTGTTGTGCCTGTGTTTGCAGTACCGGAGCTCGTTGCATGTGTTGTTGCTGTAGTAGTGGTTGATGCACGTGTTGATTATATTGTATATCCTGGTGTTGTTGTTGTGGTTGTTGTATATTTGGTTGTTCTTGTGTTGACATTTGAGGAGGCGGTACTTGATAATTTTGTCCGCCTTGAGATTGATTATTAAAATATATTGTTTGTTCCGGCTTGAGAACAAATTGTTGTAGTTGTTGATCAAATGTATTTGTAGTAGTATCTATTCGAGATGAAGGTACTGACATTGCTGCTCTTGATGAAAAGTATCCAAATTCATCATCTTCATCTTCATCTTCAAAGAATCCACGAGATTTATATTCCTGGATATTTGGAGTTAATAGACTACCTGGTTGATTAAGTTGAAAATTCTGTGGCTGTGTTTGTTGTGGTTGTGGTTGTTCATGCGTATTGTTGTTAAAGATAGGAACTGTTGTTTCTGAAGTTGAATAAGACTTATTCGGGGATGTATTTGTATTGTCATTATCTTTTATTGCCACCAGATTATTGTAATAATTGAATAAAGACTGAGACATTTTTGCATGATAATCGGCAGACATGCTCTCTCTATTAGTTTATGATGAATATAAGATGAAATGAAATAAAATAATTAATAATTAAGAAAGAATTATAAAATAAACAAGTAGCATAAAAAGTCTAATTGAAGTATTTGACTATTGTCAATATATATATATATCTATATGTGTTGGTGTGAGTATATGTGAATGAGTTTTATTGATTATCGATGAAGGAGAGAAATCTAATATTTATAAATGGGTGAGCGTAAAATTGAGCATGAAACTAAAAAACCAAAAAGAACTCAAAAAAAAAAAAAAAAAACAATCTCTCTGTTTCTGTGTGTGCAAGAGCGTGTGTAATTACCAAAAGTACAAAGTTGACTAAATTTTTGGGTTTGTTCTACTTTTGTAGTCTTTGCCCGGATTTAATATTGTACTTAAAGTTATGGCCAATGTGTGTCGTGTATAAATGAACCATACTCTTTGGTTTATATACAGTACTTTGACTCTCGTTAATCTTGAATTATGTAATTCTGCTTCCCGCCAGGGATGTTAATAAATCAATAAATAAATTGAATAATTGATTAATATCAAGAGTTTTCATACCCTACCCTGATTATATTATCATTTACACAAAGATATTTCACTTTTAGGTGTTTTTTTATTGTAGTTTTCAATAATGTGGTTCTTACTTTCGAGGTTGGTCGTATAGATTATGCTGACTGATGATTGCTCGTTGTTGCCTGTATGTTTCGGTTTTTTCGGGGAGCTGGCAATATTTTATCACCGAAGTTTGCTACTTTGTTTCTAGAATGCAGTAGCAAAAGAGCCAAATATTCTTTCACCCATTCAGCCTATTTTTATTTTCGATTTATCTGCAATATTCAATTGGCTTGCAAAACCAATAAACTCGAACTTTTTTTTTTCATTTTTATTATTATTATTATTATTTTAGTTAGTGGTGATTGTTATTTTGTGATGATCTGTGGGTTTAATTTACAGTGTAGTTTGGTTTAAAATTTTGTTCACCAGTATTTCGGAATTTAACCAACATACCCGGATAGTTCCGTAGTACAAAACAAAAACCCGTTTGTACAATATGACGATGTTGCCATCCAAACTTTAATTAAAGAAGAATTGGATGTAAAAATAATACAAAAGAGAGATATCCCATCATCAACAACAACAAACAAAAAATAAATAAAAAAAGATAATCAGGATCAACAGAAGACTGGTCTATCAACACAAGATATACGTATCCTATACACTCTATTGATGTTCATTTGAAGAGCAGCGAAGCAACCTTATCAAATGAATTTAGGTCACGGGTTCCGTATATTAAATGCAATATCTAAGACAAGGGCGGCCCTTGAATTTTAAGATTTTTATTTTTTTTTTTTATTTTTTGGTCACGTTTTGAACTATAAGGTAATGTTTTATATTTTTCATGTATAACTGAACAATAATGGTCATTGTGTTTGTTTCAACTAAAATGCTGCAAAATTTAAAAATGAAATATAAAAAAAAAAAAAAACTCAGTGAATTTATTCCCAATTGATGGTCCTGGCAATCGTTTTGCATTTGAGTTTTTGTGATATCAATATCATGCAATGCATGCTTAGTAAGCGGTAAATAGTCTTCTAGATGGGACCGTTGTATCTTAGGCAGCGTGTAAAGTTAGAGAAATATGGAATCTCAGAAGGTGCAAAGAAGAATGTCCACTGGGATTCCACATTTTTTTGATATAAGCGGTTGGTATTTTTTATTTCCATGATACACTTTTAAACAGAATTTCAGGTTAGTTACAAAATCAAGATGTATGGAATAATAGAACATATGTTAACAGAAGGGGATGAAAGGAAGAAGTATTGTATTTCATTATGATTTAGATCCTGGTGTATGATACTACCCATTAGTGAAACTGGGGTTGATGTCTATACTTCGCCACAAATTTCCGATGTAAGTATATCACCAATGAATCTACTAGTGGTGATTTCATTTGGTCTTTCTTTTTTGTTTGTTTATTTACTTAGAATATATTGATTGAGATCCTGTTGTCATGGTTCATTAGTCCTGTCAGTACCCGTTGTAGAAACGACTAATTTATTATTTATCGGTAAGAGAACATTTTTCTTTTAATCCATTGTACGTTTACGGAATGGATAAACGGAAAACATTGTTTATTGTAATTGGGCCAACAATTTGTGAAAAGCAAACCAACTTAAGTATACAAGTAAACTGAGAAATGAATAGAAAAAAAAATATTTATATACACAATTTTACCCAAAAAAAAAAAATAAGTTTTTACTAGACAGAATAATAAATCGCTATTGTAAGCTAAACTAATTAATTGGATGATTGATTAATTATACAGCTAGGAAAGTTCTAGAAGCATACCCGACTTGGAATTCTCCTGTGTTTAACCATACATTAATTAACCAAAGTCACAAAGCAAATAAATGAAAATGAAATCCCACCAAAAGTGAACGTTTGGATTGGAAATCAACAAAAACAAAAAATTTACAGTTGTTAAAGTTGTTCGTTGAAGTTTTCTTGTCTCTTAACCCATTGTAATATTCAGGCACAAGTCTACATGATACACATGATCAGCGGATTTATGAATCAACTTTAACAGGAAGAGAAAGAAAAAGTACGATACTTAAAATTAAACCGAGTAATGCAACGAAGCCATGGTTAATATTAATACTAAAAAAAAAAAACTATCAAAGATGAAACCCTTTCGTGTTTTTTTGTCATTTACTTTTCCACGAAATACACAGTAATTTCCTGCTCAATTTTAAAATACTGAAAAAAAGGGAACATTTAAATTTTTCTGTTGTTGATTTATTGACAATAGATCATACATACCCTGGGACACGACTTTCTCTAGAATTTTGTGACTTTGTCTCATCTTCATTCAAGGGAAACATTTGAAGATTATGTTTGACCAATTCAATATCCCGTTAGTAAATCTCTATTCAATATTCATGGTTTCAAAATTGAAGCAATGTTTGGAGAAGGAATTTTTCGTGCAAGGCACCAGGGGTGAACGGGAAATAAAAAAACAAAGAAGAAAGAATGAATAAATGAATGAGTGAATGAAGATATGTAAAAGTTAGGAAAATGAGGAGGGTCATTAGCATATTCATACCACCATCAATGTATTGAAAAAAAAAAATTAGTAAAGATAGGCGTATCTGTTGATTTATATATTTTCTAGTTGTGGTTCATTGACAATGATTATCCTTATAAATTGTCGAGTCAAACACTTTAATTAAGAAAATCCAAAAAAATTAAGATTGCTGATGATGATGAATTACTACAAGAATGTTTTAGTACTCTGTTATTATTCTTTATTCAACATGAATTCAAATATGTAATTAAATCAGACAAATTATTGAAGATCACGTTTCTTAATTTCATGTTTCATTGTCATGAACGTATCTCTCCTTTTTTTCTTTATTATACATTAATATAACCTAGCGATGCATGATTTGTTAACATTTGATCTTATTCAAAGAAACGAGTCTAGACTAAATATAAAATCATATATAGATAAAGGGGGTTTTCCTCATATTAACAACCATAAAAAATAATAATAATAATAATTGTTTTACATCAAGGGTAGCATTCGCATCAAGGTTATGAGACCTGACCATTTTTCTATTTTTGTAATTCTTTTTTTTCTTTTTCTTTTTCTTGACTTACACTTTAAATTAATAGTCGTACAGAATGCATTGGGAGTATCATAGTTGATTTTTAATATCATGTGCAACACGCCAAGTTGCCTCATTAATACTGTGCAAAATGTAGTCAATCTAACTATGGTTTGCATATTTTGTTTCCATTTATTATCGTCATTTCCTTTATTTTCTTTTCATATGTTCACGGAGTGAGCGTTTATACACCAATGTCGAAGAAGTAAATAAAAATGAAAATGTAAAGCAGGTTAAGAAGATCGGGAAACATTTTCCATCTATTCAGGTACGGAATTTTGATTTTTTTTTTTTGTTGTTAATTAATACAAGAATCGTCTATTACTTTGATGGGAGACAGAATTTTTGATAGATGTCAATCTTTTTTTTTTTTTTTGACTGCGAAATTAAAAAACTACACTCTAAAAATTCTTTATGATTATTATTGTTGCTATTAATACACAATTTGTTATAAAGAAGAAGAATTATACAAACATTCTATGGTTATTACAATACAATAACAAAAAGAACAGACAAGGATAAAGGTAAAAATTGTTAATGCTAAAAAGAATATCTAGGACTTCTAATCAGAAATTTCATCTCAAATATGAAATGGAATATGTACAATCATAACCAACAAAAAAGGTAAATACAATTTTTTTTTAACGTGACGAATCACCTCAAATTAGTCTGATTAACATATTCATAGTTAAAACCAAGATGAACCCAAAAAAATAATTATTTTTAAAAGATATAAGCCCAAAAATTAGATTAAACGATTATTAATGAAATTGAAAAACAAAAAAAGAACAACGCAATGGAATGGAATAACCTCATATACTAAGATAAAAACACCTTTATTGTTCGTCGTCAAAAAAAGAAATAGTTTTAATATGTACAATAACACCTTGAAATATAGCCATCTGAATAAATCAAAAACTAAAAACAAAAACAATGGTTCGCAAACCAGACAACTTTTTGGTGAAGATTTATTCAATGAAAGGACATTTCTTTGTAGGATCATCTGTTAATATATGATCATCTAACCAATCTTTACCTAAAAATCTTAATCCACAAGGACATGTTCCCCAATGGTTTAATTTATCACTTAAATTATGTAATCTCTTGATTGATGGATCATCGAATTTGAAATGACGATTCAATAAATGTTTCTTGAAATCATAAGGACGATTGAATTTGCCCAGTTTATGACGACATTGGTTTTTTGGAAACTTACAATTGAATCTCAGCTCTGCTTGATGGGTTCTCATATGACGTGACATATCTCTAGTAATCTTCTTACCACAAATTATACAGACTTTATTATCAACAAATCGATGTTCAACCAATGGAACAACAATATTAGCATTAGAATTAACAAGTGTTGTCATATCTGGGTATTGATTAACATCAATATGAGTTGGAACTGAAAATGGGATAGGTGGAGCACCACCAGTATTAGTTGTAGAAGCAGTAGTAGAAGTAATTGTCAGTGTTGAGGTATTGGCCGATGATGGCAATGATGATGTGACAGATGAAGAAGATCCCATGATTGGTATTGGTTGTGGAGGAGGAGGATAAAATCCATGTTGTGGTTGAGTATGTAAAGCAGATGGAGAACCGATTATATTCAAAGATGAACCTTGAGGGTCAGGATCAGGTGTAGATTGATGTTGTTGCTGTTGAACATGTGAAGCACCTGGTGGGAGAGGTGGTTGCATTGCTTGATAGAAAGGTCTAGCTGCCGGGAATGAATGAGAATGTCTTAATTCTAAACCAGCACTACTTCTTGATAATTCATCATGAATATTTGTAGTAGAAAAACCTTGAAATTGTTGAAGCGAAGGTGGTGGAGCAGAAGAAGTTGACTGTACTTGAGGGGTGGATGTAGACATATTTAATGTAGGAGGAACCACTTGAGGCGGGGTTCCCATAACTTGCTGTTGGTGTTGAGGAGGTAGAGGAGGCTGTTGTTGTTGTTGTTGGAAACTAGGAGGTGTTCTTGTATGAGGTTGTTGAGATTGTTGTTGCATTAAGTATTGATTGGATAAAGTATCCATTGTAGAATATTCGTATTCCGTTTGCATTTGAGGGTTTGTATTAGTGGTATGTTGCTGGTTTGTTATACTTTCCAGTTGATTAATATTGGAACTCGTCGGTAGATGTGATTGAGGCTCTTGTTTTGGAAGTTGTTGCTGTTGTTGTTGTTGTTGCTGTTGTTGAGATTGAACATTTGAGGAAAGTTGATATAGTTGAGGAGGACTGTGAGTACTGTGAGTATCCTTATTTTCCATGATATTTCTTCTTATACTAGATTTCTTTTCTATTCTGTGTAGGATTATTGTGCTCTCCTTCTTATACTACTTCTTCAATTATAGTGACGATGATGATGATGCTGATGACGATGAAGCTTGGGTTATTGAGGACAATGTAAGGGTAAGTCTTGAACTATTTGATTCCATTTACTTACTGATTTGCTTCTTGGGGCAAAGATCCAAATATGTTAAATGCAAATTTGACAACTTCTAGCTATGGACCAGGTGCTGGTTATAAAAAAAAAAGAATAATAATAAATTAAGTCAAAAAAATCTATAGTTAAACTTTTTAAACTTTCGGTTATAAAGTATATTAAAAGTTGCCAGTAACTCTATAAGATTGTGGAATTGAGTGGGAATTGAGGATGATACTAAACTAATTAAATGGTTGACAGAATTGTTATGAATGATAATTAAAGAATCTCCCAATTTCAAGTCAATTATAAACAAATAATGTAATTGAAACAGGACGTAAAAATTCACGGAAGCAAATTGTCAAAAAAAAAAAAATGAAGGGGAAAAAAAAAATAAAAATAAAAAATTTGTACAACTTATGAACCTGCAACCAAAACAAACAAATTAAATAATAGTAATAATAAAGGAGTGGCGGAAAGTTAGCTGTAATTTGGTTGAAGGTTTGGATTGTGGTAGTTGAATAGAATAGATCAATAACTATTAGTAGTAGTGGGCTATTTATCTAATACAATGCTGGTAGATGGGTACAAAAGTAAAATAAAAATTAAATTTCAATATAAAACACACTAGTGGATCGGTTTACTTTTCTATATTTTTCTTATTTGATTACTCTTAATAATTCTCAAGTATATCCATTTATTGAAGTAACGGAAAATTGGATATAAGTTGGATTAATAATGAATTGATGAAAGGGTAAAATACCAATCAGGAGATGATGGTGAAGAAGACGGGTGGATGGATGAGTAATGATAATAAAAAACTAAAATGTATAATGAAGATAATATAATACCCAATATGAAAAAAAATACTCAAACAGTTACAATAGAAAAATCAAAAGAATAAGAAGAAACAAAAAAAAATTTTTTAATCAATTATTAAGAATCTACAAGGCAGATCAAGATGGTTATATATATATGGAGATATAGCCCAGTATTGCAAATGGAAGAATAAAAATTTATTATTACAATGTTTCAAAACCTAATATATGTATGATGTAGAATAATTCTTCTGTATGATTTAGATTTTCGTACTACATAAATTACAAATAGGAAAATGAAAAAGAACAGAATCTATTTTAGGTGAAGGTTCTTTTTCTAGTTCTTTTTGTTGTAAATATTCCTATTGTTATGGAGTGGGATTGGTAGAGCTGCATTCATGCATTTGCTTGCATATCTATTTTGCAGCTTGTGCGTTAGCAGAAACTGGAATAGTGATGCAAGAAGAGAAAAAAAAAAGGTGTATGGCTTCGTAAGAAAACCCTGAGAAACTGTAATTTTCTCTTGCGGTATCAGGGGAGACTTAAAAATACGGGGGGGTAGAGGCTAAATATCAAAGGAAGTGAATTCTCAACGAGTCTTTCTTTCTGAGCATGTGGAAAGAAAGCAAATAAAAATCAGGTTAAATTTGGGTGTGATTCTTTTGTTATGAATGAAAATGTACAATGAATTAAACGAAGGGGGAAGAGATGCAGATACATAAAAGAGACGGAGAGACAGAGAAAAGGTACAGGTTATAACACAACATACAAGGTGGAACTTCATTTCCAACTCAACAATGCATAATAACTTATAATATTTAAATACCTAATAAAACACAAAAAATCTTTGTCAACTAAAATTAAATGAAATGAAATTAAACAAAAAAAAAAATTGAACAAGGCACTTTCGCTTTAGTTTTCCCTATTTATGTTTACAATATTGGGGCAAAAAAAATGGGTAGCAATTTATTCAACCAAGTACTGGAAGATAATATATCCTGGATAAGAAATAGGAAATTTCAGGTGGTTAGAGACTAGTTGAAAACAATAGAATGACTATAAAAACTACTTTGCTAATTTTCTTTTTCTTTTTTTTCTCTCTCTCTCTCAAATGATTATGGAAACATGGTTTGTCTTTGAGTATTTGGTATTCTTGTGAGTTGGGGCAATGGCGTACGTCCTTTTAATTTGAACATTTCGCATTACCTCAACTGTGTTAGTGTCGTGCTACATCGCCTTGCCAGAGTTTAAACTTTCAATACATGCACCTACACACACACAAGCACACACAAAACAAATGGAAACCATTAAGTACATTTTAGACAAATTGACATACTCGACTAAAAAGTTGGTCATCGTTATAAATTTTTTGACAGTTTCTATTGATATTTGTATAAAGAATAACATATGGAATAAAGCATTGATAATTAATTGTTGCTATTTTTAAAGAAAGAAAAACTTGTAACAAGTAAAAGGAGGTTTTACTGGGGTATTTTAATCACAAAGGGGGAAAAATTAAAAGAAAAATTTTGTTACATAGGATGTTGAGAATTTATGTATTCAATTTAAAACAACAAATGAATTTTTATTCATTTTGTGAAATGGTTTCCCCTTAATCATCAGTTCTAATATTTTGCTAATTTGTTGGGTCTTGATGATTTTATTTTATTTTTTTTTTCTATAGTTAGATTTCAACAGTTTATCTCAAGTATCACACAAGTGGTTTGCTTTCCTCTTTTTTTTTCATCAACCATGATGTTTTGACAGTTGAGTTTTGTAAAAGAATTATCACTATCATCACAAAACAGACTATCCCGTGATGTATGTGATGTATGTGATGTAAAAGATTTGCAATTTTAAGTAGTTTCAAATCAACTCATTCGGCTGAGTTTTTTATTTTGTATTATTACGGAGAAAATTATGAACTAGCGAGAGTCAGACCTCTTCAATGACTAGTATAGTAGGGCAAATATAGTTGTGATATATCGACTGAGTGTAGTGAATCTCAGAATGATTAATGATTTGTTTGCAGGGTTTTTTTTTTTTTAATAATTGCAAAACTAGCATTGGAAAAAGAAAAGAAGCATGATTTCAGTAAATATTTTTCTATGCAATGTCAGATCTCATTAGTAAGCCCATTGAAGACTAGACTTGAAAAAGAATTAAACATCATTCAAGTACAAACATTATTTCTTTACTCCTCATTTTAAACTACAAGTTTCGTGTGTCTATGAAACATTCTTGTGTCAATCAAATGGTTCCTTATTCCCCTGAAATATTTTATTTCATTTAGACACTACAGAAATAAATAAAAATTCTTCTTGTTGGTTCCATCGTCTAACAACTTGATGGATGATGAAGTCTAAGGCGACCCACATTATTTTTTGCGACAATTCATTCCTTGCCCTCTGGGATGTGTTTGCAATATGTGATCATCATGTGGAATATACTATGATTAGTTGCAACAACAACAGCAACAGCAGAAAAAAAAAAAATACTTGGGAGGATTTAGTAACCAGGTGATGTATAGATGAATAAATTCCCAATTTCCTAATACTCACAAAATTTAAATAGCCTATCTATAGATATATGATAAAGAGGAAATCGATCTCGTGATTATCGTTGACAATGAATATCATTGTTCTAGTTAATCCTTCTATAGTATAATGCACATTATAGTGATGAACAGAAAAAAAAAGTTTCCAGTAAATTTACGTTGTTCTTTTTCTCTTGTTTATAATGCTATTTTCATCAATCGGATTTATATACTACACTTAACTCTATCCAAATAAAGACTTCAATTAAGGTCTAGATCACTGAAAATAGATGTACATTATGCATGGCGTAAAAACAATAACCAAATAGTAAGGAAACAATAATATTTCAGGGGATTTTTATTAGTAAAATAGATGAAATATGAATATAATAATTTGTCTCAAAAAGTTTCCCTTTATAAATAGAGAGAGAGAGAGGGTATTTAAATCGGCTAATTGCATTGTCAACAAAACCCGGGAATTATATGTGATTACAACGTACATAGATTAAATATATATTAATTCAGTGGACCAAAGCCCATGAATTGTTATTAAAGAATATGATAAATCTACAGAATCATAAATAAAGAGATTCCTATAGTTGGTTTTTTTTTTTCTTCTCTTGTTGTACGTGAGGTTATGAATCATGAGACTTTCAGTTCATTTTAATTGATGGTTGGTAGATTCTATTTTGATTCTATGGTTCTATAATGTGCATGGAGTTAATTGTAAATAGAATAAAGTAAATGCAAATTTTGTTAATTGTAACCAAGTCAAAAAAAAAAAAGTTTTCTCATTATGTGAAAGATTTCATGTAATTCGATGCCTCGTATAAAACTAAAAACATTTTTGTACCCTTATTATTATCAAAAAGCAAAAACTAAAATTTAGTTGAACAAAAATAAAAATAAAAAAGTTGACATTGAGATTAATAAGTAAATCAATTGAATGAATAAGTGAATGAATAAACGATTGGAACGTTTTCACTTTCTCTCTTTGACAGTTAGATCTTCCAATTTGGTTTCTAAAAATAGGTATAAGTCAATAACGCCCTTTTTTTAATACATTGCGTAGAATTTCGACAGGAGAAAACTAAGGACGAATAAAACATCAACGGTAAAGAAAGAAAGAATTGAAACCTGACATACGTAATAATCAAATAATGTCCTATTTTGTTATTCAATTGCTAGTAATTTCGGAAGAATTGTATTTTATTCTTTTCTTTTTTTGATTTTTTAATTTTGTATTTACCGTGGTTTCTCTTCAGTTTCTTTGTTTAAAGAGAAATGGTTTCTTTAGAAACCTACCGACCTTCATTTTCTTTTTATAAGACATGCGTTCTTTATATTGAGCGGTTAATATGCTGGGTTTTGCAGCAATTTTTCTCAGTCACGTTTTGTGAATTGTAAAGTAAGCTTCTACAGAACAGAAAAAACAAAAAAAAATACAGCCTCCTAAAAATTTCATCCAATGTTGTTGTGTTTTTATCAACATGAATGAACTTATAAATTTAATAATTAACAAAGCTGTAGTATATGTATAATATTGATGCATGTATCTATTACAAATACTTTAATTTCTAGAAGCTCCATCACTTCCCGGAAATGTATCAACACAGAAACTCTTGCTTGTATTTGCATACATATACATTACAATAGATTAGAAGAGAAATGGGTTTATTTTTATTACCAATACTGAAATATCCTCAAAAATAAAAATAATAATCATAAATTAGGTTTTATTAGTACTGGAAATATCGGCTAAGTGAGACACTAGACAACTAACGAATGATGGTTCTTTCTCTTGGTTACAGTATCTGTCCTCACAACCAACAAATGAGCTGCATCAGGAATCTACAGTAAAGGAATTCAAATAATTATCATCTTCGCAACCAATTCACCATTTTCAACAAAAGTAATTATAACACCTATAAACTCTGACAAGAGTTATATAAATAAACTATGTAGTCGTTCTGGTTTATTGTTATTTTTCTAGTTTTCATTGGTTTTATATTGCCGATCATGTCATCTTATTTCGCGCAAGATACTAAGTTAGTGAATCTAGTATAAATGTTTTGTGAAATTGCGTTCTGTGAGACGATATCAATTGAAAATCTAATTACAATTAAATTGAAGATATCAAAAAAAAAGATTTCCACTCCTGGGTCTTGTTAGATTTGGTACCCATCAAACAAAATGTTTGTTTTAATTGATCCTTTCGATTAAATTAGCTGCATTATATGAAAGAACTAAAAAATAAATTTTGTAAAGTTTATAGTTGTCCTAATTTTTTCTTTCAATTTTTTAACGAATTTCTTCACGAATTTAATAATGCCAATTATTTCCTTACAGGGGTAAATTAGGGGATAGTACAATTGGTATTGTTTCATTATCATGGCAATGCAATGTACCACCTCAAGTATGATACTATCTGCTTACCACAATGTATGATTGATAATAAAAGATAGCAATTGAATCAACTTGCTTTGATTTTCTATTCTTCTTTCAGGGGAACTTACATCATCATCATCATCACCATCATCGTCGACAGTACTACTTGTCTTGTTTTTAGAAAAAAACCAACTTTTAGATTTTACATTGACACTAATAAGTGTTACTAGTTAAGTAAATCGTCGTTATAAAAGAATCGATGCTGTCATTACAAAGAGAATAAGTTGAGCAAATTATTAGTTTCACCAGAAAACATCAACAACTTCTTTGGTATTGCTGTTTCAAATTCTAAAAAGTGGTGAAACTTTTGTTACATGAAATTCTTTGTTTACACTTGACTTATATTCAGTAACACCAACTATTCCAAGATGGTGTTATTTTTCAATAAACAATGAACTATTTTTTTTTCTTTCTTTATTTTATCCCTTTTATTAAACTTGTAATATTGCTTGAAACATGTATAATTCTATATTTTGCTATGAAATTTCAATTCCCTATTATTCTAGAATCACTTTATCTTCCGTATAACTTCAAGATCGAGATGTATAATTATTACGAATGAAAATCTTCGTTATTCAGGAGAAAATACATCTCTCCTTACAAAATAAAATATCCACTTATCTACATCGTGGATGTTTGCTAATGTGGGTGTGTATACATATCTTTTGATTGGATGATTCCTCTGATCAAACAAAAATGCAAACCCCCTTGAAACCATCGTTTGGTTGTCATGCAGTGAGAGAACAATGAAAATAGAAACACCCTCTTTAAATGAAGGGGAACAACATGAACCAAATAATATACATACATAAAAAAAAAAGAAACGAAAAGGTCAAATGAGTTTCCTAAGGTCTGACATCATTTTACTGATTTGACTTTCCGAAAATATAGGGTCTTAATCTTCAAAAGACAATAAGCATAGAAATTATTATTTCTTGAAATTTGTACACAGCAATTAATTTCAGATGAATTTGGGGATTCTCCTATTTTTGTTTGCTTTGTTTTAAATCGCCTTTAATTTTTGACTCAAACAAGATACAACCTAAAACTCAAATGAAACAACTATCCTAAAACAGAAACAAAATAGATTAAAATGGAACGAGGTGAGATAATGCTTTCTAAAAGAACTAAAAATACAATACCCGGACGAACCTTCATCTATCATACGAAGAAAAACCGATTGTAGAGTTGGATAAAATGGTTCCTGTTAGACGAACCTAATATCTTTTCTTCAACATTATCGTCCAAGAAGAAGAAGAAGAAAATAAAAAAATAATGCCTCCTATAAATTCCGTAGTAATCATAATAGAAGTTGGAATTCAAAGTATGAATTATTTTAAACTTGGAACAAAATATTTTTTTGTTTTTTTTTTGTTTTTCGTTTCTCTTAGCATTGGTTTATATTATTTTGACGATCAACATGGTTATTGTTGTTGTTGGGGTTTGGGCCAACATTGTGTGTCAAAACCAATGAGGACCTGCCGCCGCGGACGTGCGTGCATCATGCACAAGAAGAAAACAATAAACAACAACAACAAAAACAAATAATCGTAATTGTAACATCAACCAGCATAAATTAGGTACACAAGCTTTTTCTTCTCTCTCTGTTTGATTTTCATGAATTTGAATATTTTTTTTTTGTAATATATAAACAACTAAATTCCCTCTGACAACTCCCCTTTCAATTATAGGAAGAAATATAAAGAAAGTCTCATTAACTAGTGATATTTTTATATACTACTAATTTCTACTGTCTAACCTTAGTCATTCCTTACAACTAATCCAATTGTTGAAATTATTACTACTTGGAAAGTTCACTTTAAAAAGATTATCAACTCAACTATAGGTATGTATTAAACTCCAATTGGTTTTCAATTGAATTAAAAGAACGAGCAATATCAATTTTCATCTCATCATTACAGCACCACATTAATATCAATATCATCGAAAGAAATTTTTCCTGATTTCACTTTTAGTGTTTTATCATTTTCGTGTGTTAGTGTGTCCTATTACATCAGCCAATATTACTGGCTTAATCAATTTTTTTTTCTTGATCTTTGCAAGCACAAAAAAATAAATTCAAATTGGTAAACACACACTTATTATATTTTACTCAAAAGGGGAGTGTTTACATACAGGATAATTTCACAAAGACACGAATTTTTTTTTGAAATCAATTTGTTTTTTGTTTTTGCTACCAAAGGGTTAGTGATAACTCACACACAATTTTGTCTCGCAATATTTTTGTTTCATATCTACAACATCAAAATCAAAAACAACAAAAAAAATTTTCTTCTTCTTCTTTTCTTTAATTAATTACATGTTTTGATTTTGTTCATACTTTGTTCTTTTTCAATTGAATCAAAAGCCTATTCTTTGAATACAATAACTAACTAACCTTTAGTCGTTCCTTTTATTTTAACAAAAAGTTTTCCTTTTTTTTTTTAGTTTCAACTTTTACTTTCTTTCCTTCAATTACATTTGATATTTCATTGTTTTAAACTAGAAATCTTTCACCTTATTCAAATCAAATGAAGTTCACTCGTGCTACTGTTTTAGCCTTTGCTGCATTGTCAATGGCAGCTCCAGCTTTTGATGAAAAACTCCAAAAGAAGAGAGATGGAGAAAATTGTGATGAAACTAGAGTTCATTCCCATCACAAACATAAGAGAGCTGTCGTTTACGATTATGCTTATGTTACTGTTACTGTTGATGCTAAAGGTAACCCAGTTACCACTGAAAGTGCTGTCACTTCAGTTGCTTCAACTGCTGAAACTGATGAAACCTCATCTACTTCAACTGATGTCTCATCAACTACTACCATTGTTCTTGATGAATCTTTGACTTCTAATGAACCAAAGACTTTATCTCTTGGTACTGGTACTGTCACCAGATCTACCAGTGAAGAAACTTCTGCTGAAACTTCCAGCTCTAGTGGTTCATCAAGTGGTTCTGATAATGGAATCTATGGTGATTTATCTGCTTTCAGTGATCCAACTGAAGAATTCGAAGATGGTGTTTTATCTTGTGATGAATTCCCTGTTGGTCAAGGTGTTATTGCTTTAGATCACTTGGGTTTCGGTGGTTGGTCCGGTATTTACAACTCTGATACCTCAACTGGTGGAAGTTGTAAAGAAGGTTCTTACTGTTCTTATGCTTGTCAAAGTGGTATGTCCAAGACTCAATGGCCTGAAGATCAACCATCTAATGGTGTTTCTGTTGGTGGTTTACTCTGTAAGAATGGTAAATTATACAAGACCAACTCAAGATCAAACTACTTGTGTGAATGGGGTGTCAACAAAGCCAATGTTGTCAGTAAATTGAGTAAATCCGTTGCTATTTGTAGAACTGATTACCCAGGTACCGAAAATATGGTTATTCCAACTGTTGTTGATGGGGGCTCCTCTTCAGTTATTACTGTTGTTGATCAAGACACTTACTACACCTGGAGAGGTGGTGCTACTTCTGCTCAATACTATGTTAACAATGCTGGTGTTGCTTGGAAAGATGGTTGTCTCTGGGGTACTGCTGGATCTGGTGTTGGTAACTGGGCTCCATTGAACTTTGGTGCTGGTTATGCTGATGGTGTTGCTTACTTGTCTTTGATTCCAAATCCAAACAACTATGATTCTTTGAACTTTAACGTCAAGATTGTTGCTCAAGATGGTGCTTCTGTCAGTGGTTCTTGTGTTTACAAAGATGGTAAGTACAATGGTAACGGTTCCGATGGTTGTACTGTTGGTGTTACTTCTGGTGCTGCTAGTTTCGTCTTGTATGAATAAAAGTGATACCAAAATTAGAATAAAGGAGATTGATTTTCCATTTAGAATCCATGGTTTGCTGATATCCTTTGCCTTTTTTTTTTTGTTTTATCTCTTTTGGAGAAGTTGACTTTTTTTTTTATTATTGTTTCTTATATATATAAATTGTTTATTTGTTTTTTCAAATAAAGATCTTATATTCTTTATTTGTATTTGTTTGATTTTTATTATTATTATTCCCTACGTTGTACTATGTTATTATTTACTGTTTAGAAATACATGTTTATTGATCTGAAATAAAATAAAAACTAATAAAGTTTTTTAGTTTACATATAGAAAAAAATCTAGGCAATCATGTTCCAGAATTTTTGCCAGAGATTCTTTGGAGGTGGAATGTCAAATTCCGCATCATTGATATCTCTAACACCAGTGTCGATATCACATTCATCTAATGGAATTAAAATATTACTCCATTGGAATGAATTTTTACCAAACCCGAAAAAGAAGAAATGGAATCCAATCCAAGCAACAACAAATAAAATAAGTGAAATATAAGCAGTGAAAAAATCAGTTGCTGTGAAGTTCCAAAATACTGTAAAACCTTGAATTAAAGCCACAGTGAATACAGTAATAGCAGCATAATATGCACTATATGGCATGAAAAATGCTTTAAATGGTAAAGTATCTCTACTAATTCCTCTTTTTTCAAGAACTTGCATGAATCTAATATGACTTACAGAAATGAAACCCCAGGCAACCAAACCACAAGTTGCGGAAATATTTAAAAGCCAACCAAAAACAACAGAACCATCATTTGAAATAGCTAAATAACCTAATGCACCAAATGCAGCACTGAATAAAACAGAAACATAAGGAACACCAGATCTGGTTTTAAGGAAGATTTTTGGTGCAACGCCTGATTCTGCTAAACCATAGAAAATACGTGATGCAGCATAAACATTGGAATTACCTGCAGAAATAATAGTGGCAACAATAACTGCATTAAAAATATCTGGTAAAACTTTAGTGCCTGAGTTTTCAATAGCAATGATGAATGGAGAATTTCTAGTGAAACCACCATCTTGATCAAGTTTTGGATCATTATATGGAACAAGAAGACCAATGAAAAGCATACACAAGACATAGAATACCAAAATTCTAAACATAACTTTTCTAATTGCACTTTTAAGTGCTCTTGGTGAAGCTTCTCCTGCGGTGACGGCAACCAATTCAGTACCTTGGAAGGTGAAAACAGAATTAATTAACCCATTAATGAATGCAATGACATATTTCCCATTATTTTCAACAAGCATACCTTCACCCCAAGCATATCCGTGTCTCCAATAACGGAATCCAACAGGTCCAGTTTTACCAGCACCACAAACCATGATGAATGCATAAATGATCCAACCAAAAACAGCCAAGACTTTAATAGAAGCCATCCAGAATTCAATTTCACCATAGAATTTAACTGGGAATAAATTGGAAATGGTTAACAAAACAAAAAAGATTGAAATCCAAGCTGCTAATGGAACAGCATCAGTCCAGAATTGAATGACTTGTCCTACTATAGATAATTCCAAAGCAAAAGTAATAGCCCAAGACCATCCATATAACCAACCATTTGCTGCACCACAACTTTTAGAAACCCAACGAGTAACGAATTGTGCAAATGAACCTGAGATTGGAATATAAGTGGCCATCTCACCAAGGGATTGTGTGACGGAGAAACAAATTGTGGTGACGAATAAAAATGAAATTAAAGACATTACAGGTCCGGTATTTTGAAGTAAAGAACCTGTACTGATAAATAAACCTGTACCAATTGTACTATAATTAGTGTTAGTATATTTGTAAATGTGAAGAAACCAATGGCGCAACGCAACGCAAAACAAAAAAAAAAAAAGTGATTGCAAAAATAGTAGATTAATAAACATACCCTCCAATAGCGATCATTGAAACATGTCTTGCTTTTAAATCTCTTTTAACATGATCTCCAGAATAATCTTCTAAATTACTGGTTATTCTAGAAATGAAATTATCCTTTTTAGATCTTTCTTTTGGATTACTGCTATCATAAGCTGATTCTGACGAATCTGTAGCTATCTGTTTCTCATTATCAGGTAACATGATTGATTTATACAAAATGAAAAGATAGAATAAAACAAAGTCCGGTCTAGAAGATACAAATAAAAAAAAATTTAATAAAAGAAAGGACGATGGATGATTATATAAATGATCTAAAATATAAATATTCAATCACTAAACCCCCCGCCAAATGAAAGCGGGTGCATGGATAAATTTATTTTTCTTTATACAATGGAGTTGGCCAATCTAATTAATTCATTTCTTGGTATTTTTCCTTGGTGAGTTAATCTTTTCAAAAGTTGCTTTGTTGTTTTAGTAAGGAGTCAAAGAAAAGGGTTTGTTCCATACTATGTTTTTTACTTTACTTTATTGCATCATCACGGCAAATTGATCAAAATTTTTAAAAAAAAGAATCTGGAGTAATATTGTGGAGTGGAAACAGGAAGTGCAACTCCGGTGATCACGATCTAAAATCAGATATACACGGCGTCTCAATAAATATTTGGATCGTGAGAAACATGTTGCATTTCAATATCCTCGGCAATTTAACACCCTCCTGAATAAAATAATACACACAAGAAAAAAAAAAGCCAATTTAATAAATTAGTTCTACTTGTTAGATGAAATCTGATTGGATAATATTAAATTATCAAATACACTGATTATGATTGTTTTTCTTTTTACCCCGTAATTGCATACTTTTCCTTTTCATTGAGTAGCAATTTGAGATTGGAAATCTTCAATAAACATCAAGGGTGAAATTTTTCTTTCCTTGATTTTTTTTTTTATTTATTTTTTATGATGAATATCGCCGTACGACCCAACAGAGTTGGTTTTTTTTTTCTGTTCTCTTGAATCGTGTACTTTGGTTCAGAATATTTTTAACTGGGTCGAATGACTATCACTTGGTGAAGTGAAGGAAGATATTCATTCTTCTTTTTTTTTATTATTTTTTTGATGGTAGTTATGACAGCACCATTGATACAACGAGCCATGTATCATATTGGTACTGTCATAACTTGATATCATTCCACATCAACTAGCTATACGATTTGAATGATAACCAACTGATGTACTATTATAGTCTTGCTTTCAGTATAGTACTGGTGTATACTTCAAGATATAAGAGTCATGCTTTCAATTGTTTGCACAGCCATACATTTTGACATGCTTGACGATCATCATAATGATTACATGGGCCGACATTTCCCGTGCACTTTTATTTATTTAGCCTATTATGGATGGACGTTGATTTTGCGAATGGTGCATAAAAAAAAAGGAAAAATAGGACACAGTAAATATTGGGTTTATACGAAGAACACTAAAAATTTTCGCATTGTATTGGAGAACTCCGAAAAAACTAGAAAGACAAATTGAAGGCAGGTATTGGGAATTTTAAACCTGAAATTGATATAAAGGTTAGGAGATTTAATAAAGATAGTACGTTTTGGAGGGTCTCCACCGATTTGTAGATATTAACATCTCAGACATAAATTAGAATGAAAATCATCTTATATTTTCATTTTGCTTTATTTCAAAAACAGCAATACAAAACAAAACAAAACAAAAAAGAAAGTAAGATACATTCTCGATGGTATTTGAGATAGAGATTAATAAATGATCGCTTTGTATCTACTTGTTGAAAAAAAGTTAACCTAATATTGTTTTTATTGAATGATCAACGACATAGATCTCCCATTTTAAAAAACAAAAGCCAACTGACTGACTGATTGACTGACTGATTGGATAATCCTTCTCTTCCCTGCGCAACGAAGCCTGGCAATTACGTCTACACGTAAATGTTTACGCCCTTTATCTAACGTTCCACACATGACAAGTTGAACCATTCTTGCGTAGAAGATTGGAGAATGTTATTTGAGTCCAACCTCCACCTCCCCAGTCACCTACTCCCTATCATGTAAGGAAGAAATAAAAAAAAAAGCCTAATTGGGACTAGTCATTTCTTGGCTGCACGTTTATCCGCGTCTTAAAGTTATGTAAGTGAATTTAAAAACAAGAAGTTCCGGAATCATTGGGCGGTAAAAAAGAATGGAACGATGGCAGATGACTATTTATTTTAATTGGTTAAGCAATTGATGCCATCGGATACTGAAGCCCATTTCCTGTTCTACCTTTAAGCGAAAATGATATATATACCAAAAAAAATAGGGTATATTTAAACTTGAAATAGTCCAGTTGATGCGACATACCATGAGCATTATATGCAAAGGTTTGAATCTTTCCAAAACGCATGATGTAAAACAAAGAAGTAATAATAATAATAATAATAATAATAATACAAGCATTTAGTTTGTGTCTTCTGCAATAGAGAAAAATAAAAGTAAAACGTAGACAATGATTGGTTAGGTCAACTTATATGAAAAAAAACCCATACCAATAGTCAACAAAAAAATCGGGCGTATCCATCACAGATTTCGATTTACTGGCAAGAAATTCTATCGTGAAACAGTAAACCACTGAAGTAATTGTCAATATTACTAAATGCTCACTCATTGCTCTTCAATCAACAAAAGGGGGATGGCCCCCAAATATCAAGGTGCCTATCGTTTTCGCTAAACGTTTATTGATGCTGTGGCAAGTACAAGTGAAATTTTTGTTTCTGGAATATGAAACGACCAGAGCCCTGGTTCTAGAATATTTACTTCGTAAATACTAAAATGGTCTAAGAACTAAATGAATAAAAAAAAAGAAATTAACTCAACCCTTTTGATAATGGCTAAACAGAAAAAAAAAATTATGAAAGGGAGTTTGATAAACCAAACGATTTTTCTGCTATTCACTATGAACTGTGAAATGTCTTAAAAATAGAAAACCAACCCATTGTCATTTTTGTACTAATTAAACAAGATAGCAATTTCTTTCTTTTTTAAATAAAATGTAAATTTTAGGACAAATGAAGTGCTTTTTGCGTTCATCAACAGCACATTGAATAAAGAGAATGAATAGAAATTTCCATATTATTTTCATATTTGTACACCATTTGATCGACCCTTTTGATTTTTGTGTGAAATTTCAAATCATACTTCCATGCCTGGTATTTTAAAAGAAAATTTATAGCCCTGTCTTTTAAACAGCTACTATTACCGCTATTCACCCCTATTCGAGATGAAATACCTAGATATCTTGTAAATTCTTTTTTTTATATATATTTATTTTTCATTATATATAAAGAACAAACTCTCCGCCTTGAAATTGGAGTCATTTCAATACTTTGTTTCTACTTTTGTCTTCTATATCTCTTTTTACTTTCTCCACATTAAATAAACTTATAATCACAAATCATGAGACAAACACCAGAAGAATTCTATGACCTTCATCCAAGAGACTTGAAAGGTCGTCCTTTTTATTTTGATCAATTGAGAGGTAAGATTGTTGTTATTGTAAATACTGCTTCAAGATGTGGTTTCAATCCTCAATTCCAAGGTTTAGAAAAACTCAATCAACAATTCAAAGAACAACCAGTGGTGATATTAGGATTCCCTTGTAATCAATTTAAACATCAAGAACCAGAAGATAACAAACAAATTGCTATTTATTATAAAGTTTACTTTGGTATTAGTTTTCCTATATTAGGTAAAATTAATACAAACGGTCCTGATGCTGATCCAGTTTATCGATACTTGAAGAAACAAAAACGTGGAATTTTGGGTATGTCTAGAATTAAATGGAATTTTGAAAAATTTTTAATTGATGCTAATGGTCAAGTAGTTGGACGTTATAGTACATTCACGTCTCCTGAAGCTATTGGTGTTAAAATTGAAGAAATGTTAGAAAATATGAAAGCTACTACTTGTATCTAACTTCTTCAACAAATCAAATTTCCTTCAAATGTGTTCACGTGTGTTCTTTCTTCATTCAATTCTCTGATTCTTATCTTCTTTTTAGTTTTAATATTGTTTTTGTTTTATGTTTCAAATAGATGTGTTATTTTTTCTACTTTCTAATTTTATCGTATCAATTGTAGGTTTGACATCAAGAATTCGTCTATCATTATAAGCATAAATATTGATTAATATCTGTATAATAGTAATAATGAATAACTCTCAATGATGGTTCCTGTTTTAACGATCCAGTGTTGCAGCCGTTTGCAACAACAGTTAGAAAAGCACATGAATCAAACTCGATAGTTCAACCACCTTGTAATTTTCCATCTACTTCATGTACATATGTGGACCCAAATGACATTAAATCATATGCATAACTCTATATCACTTCACCTGGCTGTTAGTAGCCGATTAATCTTTTTTTTTCAAGTTATTCTGCATACAATACTAAAGTAGATAAATCTAACGGTTTTTCTTCAATTATCTTCTGTGCTCTCTACATATACTCATCAAATAAAATCCTTTTTAATCGTTTACAGTTGCTCAAATAATAATGAAATCCGATTATTCTCTGGATCACAAATTGAATTGACATATACGGAATAACTCAATCATTATTTCGGACATTCTTTTTTCTTTTTTTTTTTGTGATGAGCGTTAGTTGTCTTGCAGTTCGGAAGAAGAAAAAAATCTTCTAACTCCGGTCATCGCTTGAACAAGGCGATGATTTTACTAACAAAAATGGAATACAGGTCCTTCTTTTTCTCTATCTGTATTAAATTATTGTGAAATTATAGTGAACGGCTACGTGTAATTTCTATTTCTAAAGACTCGATCTAAACGATTTTGCCTTAGGGTTTGAAATGCTTAGTAAGAAAAATATTTCACATCAATTTTTTTTTTCTATATAAGTAAAGTCATCACCTTACAGTTAATTTACTTTTCTTAAAAGCTCATCTCCATATACTTCTTTCTACCTATTCAATTGCTCCTCACATTATAATGTCAGAATTTTATAAATTATCACCAAAAGATTCCAAAGGTGAACCATATCCATTTGAACAATTAAAAGGTAAAGTTGTTTTAATTGTTAATGTTGCAAGTAAATGTGGTTTCACTCCACAATATAAAGGTTTAGAAGAATTGAATCAAAAATATAAAGATCAAGATGTTCAAATTTTAGGTTTCCCATGTAATCAATTCAAACATCAAGAACCAGGTACAAATGATGAAATTGTCAGTTTTTGTTCATTAAATTATGGTGTTACTTTCCCTGTTTTAGATAAAATCAATGTTAATGGTGATGATGCTGATGCAGTTTATAAATACTTGAAATCTCAAAAGAGTGGGTTCTTGGGAATGAAAAGAATTAAATGGAATTTTGAAAAATTCTTAATTGATAAAGATGGTAAAGTTGTTGCAAGATTCAGTTCTTTAACTAAACCAGAATCTATCACTCAAAAAATTGACGAATTATTGAAATAATCATCATAACGAGTGTTTATTTATTTATTTACTTAATATATGTATTCGAATAACTTACCAGAGCTACCAAGTTTGTTGTATTTTAACCACCAAGAAAAAGTATACGCAACTAATACGATCAAGTCGAAAAATAGAAGAGAGTATTTCCTAATCAAGAAATTATGATCACATATATTCTAACTTTTTCTAGTATCTTGATTGTCTCTAGTAATAGTCAAATCTTTAACCTATTCACTGTTTTCTCTCAGACCAGTTCAAACAAGCGGAAAAATCATCACTTGCAACTATCGTCAACCTAAATGTAATCATAAAACCGTTAAAGATTCTGGAACCATTGGCAATGGTTATTTTCACTAGCTGTATTTGTGATATAAATTAGTCCACTCCTTTTAATTTTTTGGCCCATAGAATAGACTGTTTGTATCATCAAGATATTATGGGGCGATTGGTTACGTTTTAATTACAGTGCGTATAAATGGGATCAGCAAGTTTCCCTACCTTTCGGCCCACAAATTATTGCTGGAGTCGCTGTCCACTACAAAGTAACCGGGCGTCAACTAGAACAAAAAAAAAAAAAAGAAACAAATTGGGCATTGTAATTGATTATTCATTCAACATTCCTCTATAATAAAAAGAATTTCATAATGTTATGTAAAACAAAAGGGATGCCTTTGAAGTAAAAAAAAAAAGAAAAAAAATAAAGTAAAGTTGTCTACTATTTATATACTTCATCTTCCTCTTTATATCTAGAAAGTTAACGTACTCGTCTTTTTCATCATCACGAACCACCATGGAAAGTAACGCGGAGACAATATGGAATTCTATGGATGAATCATTCTCCCAAATCAAATCAAAATTCGATAATACATATCAACGAGCTCAAATCATTGAGCAATCACCATCAAGAACTTTAGTTGAATTTGGTACTAATGATAATGATGATATTTCAACTTTACCACCTATTACTTTAGCAAAAGATAGATTTTATCTACTTACTCCATTAGACAATCAATTACATCCTTATCCGTTTAAACAGTTACGAAACAAAGTTGTTCTTATAGTCAATGTTGCCCTGTATTGTGGGTTCAGATATCAATATAAATATTTGGAAAGATTACAAAAGAAATATGAAAAAGAAGGGTTTACAATTATTGGGTTCCCATGTAATCAATTTCTTTTCCAAGAACCATTTTCAAATGAAGAAATAGTTACAAAATGTCGAAATAAATATGATGTAACATTCCCAATAATGAATAAAATCCATGTAAATGGTCCTCAAGCTGATGAAGTTTATAAATTTTTAAAAGAATGTAAACCAGGATTATGGGGTACCAAAAGAGTTAAATGGAATTTTGAAAAATTCTTAATTGACTCTGAAGGCAATATTGTTGCTAGATATAGTACTTTTACATCCCCCGAAGCTATTAGTGGTAAAATTGAGGAAATGTTAGAAAAGAAGAAAACAATGACTGTAGTTTGATTCATTAATACATAGAACTTCAGAAGCTACCATGAATTTGTTTCAACGTATAACATAGAATTTTTCATAAGAGCAAGCCAAATACCGTAACAAATCTCTCAATTGACCAAGAGTTATCTATATATCTTTAAAACTTTAATATTCACTTGTATTATAATGCTTGTATTTCTGTCATATATATTACCAGGTATAAACGTAACACAACTAAAAAGTCGTGTAGAGTTTGACTTACTTTTATTTGCAACAATTTTTTTCTTTTCTTTCTATTATTTATCTAAAACTACCCAATAATAATCAAACTATTTTAATTGTTGCAAAAATAATACGAATTGAATACGGTTAGTTATTCAACAGACATTGCCCTTGTCCCGTTTCAGCTCAATTGGTTATTACTTAAACATTAGTCACACACAACTACAACATCAAGTTGAACATCTATTGATTCTTTCAAAATCAGAGTCATCAGTATTACTCATTTACTTTCCGATTCAGGAAAGTGGTTATTGATAATGACAATTGGAAACTCAGCTATTTGGTTTTGTAATGCCCTGTGACAGGAGATATTGCCACCTGATTGTACAAACCCAAATTTTATCATTATCTGGCCAACAGTAAAAACGCCTTTTCCGCTGATCCAGATAAAAAAAACAAAATCAAGCGAGAACTCATTCCTTGGTGGTCCTGTTCAGGACCGGAGCGGTGATAATTTTTTTTTTTTGTTTTTCAAAGTTCTATGCAGTGCGAAATGATTCATTAAGTAAGAAAATTTTTTATTTTATTCTTTTTTTTTTCGGCACAATGGTGGTGGTGGTGATGATGAATGACGGGGGGCTAGAATTTTCAACCAACGAAAAGGAGAGGGAAAGAAAAATTTTTCAACATATAAACCTCAACAGATCTCCCTGAAAAATTTTAATTCTCCTCTTTTTTTTCTTCTTCTTTTTTATATTCATCAACAAGAACAAACTCAATTGTTTTTATTATAATACCTACGTATTCGAAAACACAATGTCTTTCAGAACTACTTCTATGAGAATGGCTAGATTAGCCACTGCTAAAGCTACTTTGTCCAAGAGAACTTTCTCCTTGTTAGCTAATGCCACTGTCAGATACTCCGCTGTCAACTCCGTTAAAGCTATGACTCCAATTACCTCAATTCGTGGTGTTAAGACCATTAACTTTGGTGGTACTGAAGAAGTTGTCCACGAAAGAGCTGACTGGCCAAAGGAAAGATTATTGGAATACTTCAAAGATGACACCTTTGCTTTGATTGGTTACGGTTCTCAAGGTTACGGCCAAGGTTTGAACTTGAGAGACAATGGTTTGAACGTCATCATTGGTGTTAGAAAAGGTTCCTCTTGGGAAGCTGCTAAAGAAGACGGTTGGGTTCCAGGTGAAAACTTGTTTGAAGTTGACGAAGCTATCTCCAAAGGTACCATCATCATGAACTTGTTGTCTGATGCTGCTCAATCCGAAACCTGGTCTCACATCAAACCACAATTGACTGAAGGTAAGACCTTGTACTTCTCCCATGGTTTCTCCCCAGTTTTCAAGGAATTGACCCACGTTGAACCACCATCCAACATTGATGTTATCTTGGCTGCTCCAAAGGGTTCTGGTAGAACTGTCAGATCTTTGTTCAAAGAAGGTAGAGGTATCAACTCCTCTTATGCTGTCTGGAACGATGTTTCTGGTAAAGCCGAAGAAAAAGCTATTGCCATGGCCATTGCTATTGGTTCTGGTTACGTTTACAAGACCACTTTCGAAAGAGAAGTCAACTCCGATTTGTACGGTGAACGTGGTTGTCTTATGGGTGGTATCCACGGTATGTTCTTGGCTCAATACGAAGTCTTGAGAGAAAACGGTCACACTCCATCAGAAGCTTTCAATGAAACTGTTGAAGAAGCTACCCAATCCTTGTACCCATTGATTGGTAAATACGGTATGGACTACATGTACGATGCTTGTTCCACTACTGCTAGAAGAGGTGCTTTGGACTGGTACCCAAGATTCAAGGATGCTTTGAAACCAGTTTTCGAAGACTTGTACGAATCTGTTAGAAACGGTACTGAAACCCAAAGATCTTTGGACTTCAACTCCAGAGCTGACTACAAAGAAAGATTAGAAGAAGAATTAAAGACTATCAGAGATATGGAAATCTGGAGAGTCGGTAAGGAAGTCAGAAAATTACGTCCAGAAAACAACTAAATTGGATGCTAATTCTGCAGCTTCTTATATAAAAAAATATGATGAACAAATGGTCGCGAATGACTTGATTTCAATTCTTAAAGCTTTCTTTTTATATTACTTATAATTTCTTTTATTGGTCTTTTTTTTTAAATACTTTGTAAAATAATAAATAATGGTCATATGAATGACTTCGATAGGATAACAAATATATTTATAATTGTAGATTAATTATGTTTTGTGTTTTATTCGTCCCCCCATGGTTGCAAGGTTGTGAGATGTGATGATAAATAATAGAAATACGTTTCCAACATTACTACCAGATGTGGATCTACACTTATCAACCAGTTGTATATATAAAAAAAATTATATGTTTCTATACGATTGATACAAGTAAAAATATTCAACGTTTCTAAACGAGATAATAAATTCTGTGGGATAATGAACCTCGTCGTACAATTGTGCGAGGCCGTCCTGTCATGGCCACGTCTGGCCCGTTGCGGAGCGAGCAAACGAAGAAAGAAAAAATAATAATACTAAACTTCCATACGAATCGGAAATATCAAATCTATGACCCTTTCCTAATTAGTAGCAAAAAAAAAAAAAATACAACAGAGCCCAAAATATTTAATTTGGATTTTATGAAATTTTCTCTTTTTGTATTTTTATTTTGTTTGACATTTTTAGATTAAAACAAGCAGGTAACTATTCCAGGATAATGACTACATCTAATAATATCATAAATCAAATGGTTACAGAAGATCAAGAGGAAAATGATCCTTGGTCCTATTCTTTCCCGCCTTCAACCGAGTCACTTCCCATTCTGCAACAGCAACCAGGATCTAGGAAATCAACAGAAGAGAAAAACAACATCAATGGATCTGGAGTGTCGTCTTCCAACTTACCCAATACAGATTCCACTATAACTGGACCGTCACAATTGAAATTGAAAGTAGATATGAAGAAATCAAACAAATCGTCGTTATCATTTTCATCTACTATGCAAAAATCAGTTCCGTTGGATCCATTGACAACTAAAGAAGATGCCAATTCAGTTATCTCAAAAGATTCAAAGGCAAATTCATTGGATGATGACTCTCAAAAAGCGGGAAAACCTAAATTTATGAAAGATCTTAAAGAATTTGAATCGTCTTCAAAAGTTCCAACATCGCCGTCAACATCAGACGAACAAAAGTTAATGCCATCACCACAAATAATTGCCTATCGGAAATCCAAAAGAACTGTAAGTGAAGGAATGTATGATTCTGTATTAGAAAGTTCTCCAACAAGTCCCCCAGCAGCAAAGTTTGATACCAAGTTGTATGTGGATGAGTTTTACAAGGATTCCAAGTTTAGATATGCAACAATGAAAAGAAACATTGATTTTCATAAGAGCTTTAGATCTTTAGATTTGACAGATAGACTTATTGATGATTTTGCATGTGCTTTGAGTAGAGAGATATTATTGCAAGGAAGGATTTATCTAAGTGAAAGTTATGTGTGTTTCAATTCCAATTTATTGGGATGGGTAACAAATTTAGTTATACAAATGAAGAATATCGTTAAAATTGAGAAAAGATCCACTGCTGGTTTGTTTCCAAATGCAATTAGCATTGAAACTGAAGATGGTAATATACACACATTTGCCAGTTTTCTTTCAAGAGACCAGACTTATGAGTTGTTAATGACACTCTGGAAAGGTGCCACTGGAAAAACTGACAGCGATCTTGGATTAGATCAATCAAATATCAGTGAAGATGAAGTAAACAATAACAAACTCAACGATGGGGAATGTTCACCAGGAACTCAGATTGAGTCATATATTTTATCCCTTGATGGTGATGATACTAATGATGATGATAATGATGATGACGAAGATGATGACGACGACGACGACGACGACGACGATGAAGACGATGATGATGACGAAGAAAAAGAAAAAGACTACGTTTCTAATGGTTTGATTAAGAAGAAATCCATGAATGGGGGTATTAATGGTACCACAAAAAGTGAAACACTAGTAGAAACAAAACTAGTAAAATTGAAACCCGAATCTATTTACAGGAGCAAAGGTCCAGACTCTCATAGACCAACTACTGCAGCTTATGAGAAATTGGATGAAGAGAAGGAGATTGCTGATGAAGTATTTGACGCACCAATGGGTGTGGTGTTTGCTATATTATTTGGACCAGAAACTAAATTTCAAAGAGATTTTCTTGAAAGTCATGATGGTTCTGAGATATCTGAATTTGCTGAGTTTCATCCTGCCGAAAATGATCCAGCTATACTAGAAAGAAATTTTGTTTATCGTCGTGCATTAGGTTACTCAATTGGTCCAAAGTCTACAAAATGTGAAGTTACAGAGACAATAGAACATTTAAATTTTGCTGATTACATCATTGTGGTTTCAACAACAGCAACTCCAGATGTTCCCCTGGGTGGTGTTTTCACAGTAAAGACAAGATATGTTTTCACTTGGGGCAATGATAACAAAACAAACTTGATGATATATCACCATGTGGAATGGACAGGCAGGTCCTGGATGAAATCGGTGATTGAAAAACTGTGTTACTCAGGTCTGTTATCAATTACTACAGAAATGATGAAAGAATTGAAGGATGAAATTAAAGCTCAAACTTATTTCATTGATGGTCCACCAGCTGTTGTTAAACTGCCATCCAAGAGAAAACAAAAGAAACCTGAAGCTGAAAAGAAACAAGAAGTTGTTGTAAAAGTTGAGAAACCAGAGTTTAATCTTGCTGAATACTTGCGTCAAAACATTAGCAGAGTGGTTACTATTATGTTTACCATTATTATGGTAATTCTTTATTTACAAATCGGGTTGTTTGGTGTAATGAAAGAAACCAATATGCTTGTGAAAACCCAATTAATGTTAACAATTCAAATAGCAGAATTGCAACAAGATAAACTAGAGATAAAAGATAACGAATTTTGGGATATGGTTAACGATAAACTAGGGAAGAAATTATCTTCATTAGAAAAATTGCAATTCTTGACATATCAATTGCAAACTATACACAAGAAACAAACGGATAGTACCTACAAAGATATTAAGAATCTGGTTGGTAAAATACCAAAGTATGTACAAGGATTGTTATAGAAAAATTAATATATCTTTCTGCTTTTTTTTTTCTATTATTAGTATTCTGTGTCATTCTGGTCAATATACCATCTCTTTAGCAAACTCGTAAAGCATTAACATCATCAGCTTCTTTTGGTTCAAATCGTTCAATTATCTCCATATTTTCAATTGTGTGTACCAAAACTTTTGTATTATCCTCATCCAATTCAAATATAAACAATCCTGAAAGAACTCTTTCTAATTTTTTGGGTTCTTTAGTTAACCCCATTATTGTTCCTGGTAATTTTGATAAAATACTTGAAATACTTTTATGATTATCAAAGATTTTTTTCGTATCTTCTTGAGACCATTTATGAGTTCCTAAATGAGCTTCAGAAGTTCCATGTTCTTCTAAATGAGTACAACCATGATGACAAGTAGACCAACGAACAAATAATTTTGTAGTATCATTAAACATACATTGAGGATCAGGACCATTTGCAACACGAATTGAATGAATATGTAATTTAACTTTTGGACTCAACATTACTGAAGTTAAAAATAATTGAATTGCTTTACATGTAGTATAATAAGTAACTTGACCATTTAATTTAGGTACATAATTTTCATCAACTTGAGAAGGACAAATTCTAAGATAAATATCTTTTGAAATTAATGATTTAGGTAATGAAGTTTCAAGTATATCAGGAATATTTTCTTTTAATTTATCAATTAATCGATTTAAATTTATTTTACGTTCAAGTTCTTTTTTATCATCTTCATTAAATTCATTTTTCAAATATGGAATTTTTGAAAATTTTACTTGTGATGAACAGAACCTAAGATGATTAAATGATTTATAAACATTATTCGATGGGATTCTTAATTGTTCATGTTGTGATATATGAGGGGAATTCAAATCCCGAGATAGAATTATATTTTGCAGTTGTGTAGATGGTGATAATGAATGTAGTTGATTACATCGATTCAATCTTAGCGTTATTTCACTTCGAGGTAGTGGCATTTAGTTATGACAGAATAAAAAAAATAATAGATTTAATTGAAGGTATTGAAGAAAGATGAAGTGGATATTGTGTTTTTGTTAAGAAAAGCAAAAAAGTTAGTGAGGAGTAAATTGTTGTGAATGGGATTGAAGTGAGAGAAATCTTTTTTGATAATTTCGCAAACGAGAGAAGAAAATCAAGGCGCCTGATTGAAAGTAAACTTCCGACGCTTAATTAAAAATGAAAATATGCGTATGAGCGGTGGTGCAGTACAAAATCAAATTCCTGATTATAATACCGCGGCGTATTATTCGTTCAAATATCGTGGTTCAAACTCCTCCCCCCCCCCCCACATAAAATCAACAGAATATGGTTTATATAAGAATACCGCGTGTTTATTTGAAACAGAATCAGAATATTAATAACATCATTAGATTCTCTTTACTTAACTTATAAAGTTTCATACAATAATTCTCTCAACTTGTACTCTTCATTGGCTTCATCAATTTCATGCCAATTACCGATAAAATCATCCCCTCTAACAACACCAGGTAAAGTTTTACCATTAGCTTGTCTTTTCCAGATCTTTTTAGCTTCTTCATCAGTTCCTAAATCACGGTATTCAAATTTAATTCCATTTGCTTGTAAAATAGTTGCCAAACGATTGGTTCTTGGCATAATTTGCATACCACCAGCTAACGAAGTAAATATATAAATTGGTTGAGCCTCAAGATGTTTACGGATTTCTTCTGGTGAGATATCCAAATCGTCCAAATCATCATCGTCAGCAACAGCAACAGCAGGTTCTTTAGCTTTTGGTTCTTCAACAATATCCTTTGATTTTGGTTCCTCGGTTTCTTCACTCTTTGACTCATCAACATCTTTCCTCTTTGGTTCAACACTAACCTTGGATTCAGGTTCTTCAACATCTTGGCTTTTTGATTCTACAACTTCCTCAGGTTCTGGTTCCTTGATTTCTTCATTTTGGACTTGTTCGACTTCTTTAGTTTCTGGTTCCTTGTCTTCTTTAGTTTCTGGTTCCTTGTCTTCTTTAGTTTCTGGTTCCTTGTCTTCTTTAGTTTCTGGTTCCTTGACTACTTCGGTTTCTGGTTCACCTTTATCATTAGATGCAGATTCTTCATCCACCTCTTTGGCTTCAACATCAACATCTTCTGGCTCTTTGGAAGAGTTAGTTTTTGGCTCATCTTCTACTTCTTCAGTCTCTTCAGGATCAGCTTTCTCAGAAACTTCTTTTTCTAAGTCGTCATCCAGTACATCTTTCTTGGACTCTGATACTGGTTCTTCGTCTAAGGTTTCTTCA